TCACAAGTGCATCCCGCGGCGGGATATGTTTGGAGAGTATGGGTCGGATCGATCGCTTGCGGGAAACGAGACTTCCAGAAGGGTGGTTGGGAACTAGTCATGATCGGGCTCCTTCATAGGCTATCCTACCGACCGCGACTGCGAAATCCTTGTGACGAGATCCTGGCCCATCTGGCACCGCTTGATCGTGAGCCAACGCAAGACACGGCGCAAGAGCAATATGTAACCCTCGACGTTAACTTGCGAGTGAGAGCTCTCCAAATTATCTGCATGCTCCTGCTTGAAACGAAGGCGATCAAGAATTACCTCGAAGAGTGCAGTATTCAAATGACCGAGTTCCGTAAGGAGAAAATCGACTACCAACGGGCTCGTAAAGCATGGTATGTTCTACCTTGCAGTATAGCCACTTTTTCTTTTTCATACTGAACTGTAACTAACCATTGTCGCTAGCCTTGAGGAGATTCGACGGTTGCATGAAGAGCGTAAACAGCTTCAACCTGAAAACCCGCCATCACCCGTTCCTGAGTTGGAGGAGCTAGCGGACGTGAAAATGACTGGTTTGGATGACGACTCGGAGGCAGCTGCAGACACTGACGATGAAGACGCGCACACAGGAAGGTCCCTTCGCCGCGGAGCAGATAGGGCCGCAGAGCGAAAACGGCGGCAAGAAGAGGAGCGGGAGCGAAAAGAACAGGCTGCTAAATTGCCCAAGGGATCGAAACAGTATCACCGAGTTCTGAAGAAAATAGAAGAAGAAAAGGCCAAAGTCAAGTCATACGAGGAACAGATCGCCATTCTAGATAATGACTTGCGAGAGGCTGATTGTCCTCGAACACGTGTTTTGGGTAAAGACCGGTTTTGGAATCGATATTACTGGTTCGAGCGGAACGCGATGCCGTTTGAGGGCCTCCCGACCAGCTCAACTGCGTCTGCAAACTATGCGAACGGCCGATTATGGGTCCAGGGCCCCGACGATATGGAGCGGGAAGGCTTTATTGATTTGCCGCAGGAGGAAAATCGAAAGTACATCCAGCGCTTCAAGATGACAGTGCGACAACGGAAAGAGCTCGAGGAGGGTCCTGCGGGTGTTTCTAATGCGCAGGAGTGGGGTTACTATGACGATCCGGAGTCCCTGGATCAGCTTCTAAGCTGGCTTGACGCTCGCGGTGTCCGAGAAGTGAAACTGCGCAAGGAGCTGCAGTTGTATCGGGATAGCATCGCCAAGTACATGCGGAATCGCACAGAGTATCTTGGTAAGAACGCCGAGGAGAAGAAGAGCGCAGAGTCGGAGGAAGAAGGGCCGGCGACGACAACGACGATGTCGACTCGGATGTCTAGACGGACGAAATCGTCTGGAGGGGAGGACTTGTCGAGTCGATATCGCTATCGCTGTCTGAAATGGAAGAACGGCGCTGCATTGCGGGAAAATGGGCATTTGCACGTCGAGCCGGCGCGGCCGACGAAGAAGGCTAAGCGATCTACGGCTGCGGCTACGGCTGCGGCGGTGGATGAGACGAAGGAGAGGGAGAGGGAGAGGGAGAGGGAGAAGGAGAAGGAGAAGGAGAGCAAGCCAACGAATCGACATGGAAAGCCGCTTACGAGGCAGGGGACTAGGTATCAGTTTTGAGTAGATACCATCCATTGTTTTCCGAAAGCCCTTCCCTGCTACCGCAACGCCCTACCTTGATGACAGTAACAGCGGGGGGCTAAGTGGTGCGCCTCCGATAACCCCTAGAGACCCTCCGGATCACGCTCAGTCTGCCGTTCGTTGTATTTGGCGAAGAACGACACGGCTCCCTCTCTCCTCCCTCTCTGCTTCTTTAATCTGCTTAGCCCTCCCCATAAATTTTCCTTTTCCGGAGGATTGTTTTCATGAAGTTTTTACTTATTTCATTTTTGTTTACTTTGCTATTTCCCCCTCTAAAAACCAAATTTTGGCATAGTGGTTTTGTTTAGCGAGGCGCTTCATTGCATAAACCCGGCGTTTCCTATTCCCCTGACTCGCGCCCCCCCCCCCTTTTTTTTGATATAACTTGGCCTTTTCTATTACTACTATTATTACTTATATTGGCATTTTTTGTATGGTTTTGGAGGGAAAGGGAAGGGCTGCGCCGTCTATTTGTCAAGTCTAAGTTTTGGCTGGGGGTGAGGGGTATTTTTTTGCTTATCATTGATTATCTTTCATCATAGGATATGAAAGGGCCGGTTGGCTGTTGGTCAATTATCTTTGTTCTTGTGTCCTTATATTACTTAGATATCATGCTATCGAGTCGAGCGGACAGATATTATAGAGATCTTCTTGCGTCATGTGGGTGTTTTTCCAGCGTTGACAATCACGTGCAACTCCCCGCGGCGAATCTTCGGCATTCCCCAAGTCCCACCCAATCACACGGGACCTCGGCGATATCTCACGTGGCCAGTCGCCTGAAACAGCCTAGCTCGCCGACGCCAGCCGACGTATTCTGGCGTATTTCGATACGATACACGGTTGTCGCAATGTTTCCTCTGCCACAACCAAACCCTCTCTGCTCTCCGCTCTCCGCCCTCGAGGCATCGATTCGAACGGACGGTTGGCGGCGCGAAAGCCACAGCATCGGTTCCTCTTCCTACATTGCCTTGCTCTCTCGCCCGCTCGACACGGAGTCGTGGAAGATATGCCGGCGGCTCAGTCAATAGCCAGACGAGTATCCCATCGCCCGAAGACGACGTCCGTACGATTAGTATAACCATTCTGGCAGCGATGTTCCAGTAATCCAGGTGCAAGACAGACAGATGAAATAAGGATTTCTTTTCCTTTTCTTTTATAGGATACTCTTTGCGCCTTTTGTTTCTTCCTTGTTGAACCTTCCGTGCTATCTGGACCAAGCCACGGAGGTTACCCGAGGTTTCAAGTTTCGGAGAATTTAGCTAGCATAGCTAAAAGGTTATACAATCTCGACACACGACGAGACTACTTTGCATCCAAGACAGAAACGCTGGCATATATACCTGCCTCGCAGAAAAGCAACATAGCAGAAAAGCAACATAGCACTCTACAAGTGCCTTCTCCTCTCCGGCCCCCCCAAACAGCAGAACACCCACCAATTGAAACAGACTACGCCACGAACCTAATAAATCCAATTTCAAGCTCCCCCCTTCGCGTCGCTCGACGGACGCCCACAATCGAAGGCACGGCCGGTCGTTGCGGAAGCCGGAAGCCGCCCATGGATGCAAGGATGGAGATGCTGAAGATGAAGGAAAATGCGTCAACGATTCCGCCTGCGAGAGAGTCCCCTGTGGGTAGAGATGGAAATGGAGCGGGCCCAGTGCGGGCTGAGTTTGCGGCGGACGCGGATATGGATGTCGAGGTGGACGTGATTGCGGATAATGCGGGTGGCGTGAAGGCGCTGGATAAGCGGAGTTTTGAGTATATATTTCGAAGTGGGTTGGCGGGGGGTTTGGCGGGGTGCGCGGTATGTTTTAGCCTTCTTTTTTTCCTGTTCCCTTTTTTTTTGTTCCCCCTTGTGTTTAATGCCATTGCCTGAAAGGAAAGGAAGAGGAGAAGGAAAATGAAAAGAAAGCTATTCTAATCTAAATTCTGACCGCAATACACAGGCGAAAACAGTCGTCGGGCCCCTCGACCGTGTCAAGATCCTCTTCCAGACTTCTAATCCCCAATTCGCCAAATACTCCACCGGCTGGTTTGGTGTCGTGCGCGCCATGCAGGACATAAACAGCCATGAGGGCGTGCGGGGCCTTTTCAAGGGCCATTCGGCAACCTTACTGCGCATCTTCCCTTACGCCGCCATCAAGTTCCTAGCCTACGAGCAAATCCGCGCCGTGGTAATCCCGGCACGGGACAAAGAGACACCGTTCCGCAGGTTGATCAGCGGCAGCATGGCCGGGCTGACGTCGGTTTTCTTCACGTACCCGCTGGAGGTAATGCGGGTGCGCCTGGCGTTTGAGACGAAGCATAATGTCCGCTCGTCGCTGCGGAGGATCTGTCGGCAGATTTACAACGAGAATAGACCCACGACGGGATCCGCTCCTGTCACCACCGCGACAGCAGCTACAGCTACAGCCACAGCCACATCTTCTCTCACATCACCATCAAAACCCCACACACTCTCATCAACGCCCCTCCACGCCCCACGCTACGGCCTCTCGAACTTCTACCGCGGCTTCTCCCCCACCCTCCTCGGCATGCTCCCCTACGCCGGCGTCTCCTTCCTAACACACGACACCGTCGGCGACTGGCTCCGCCAGCCAAAACTAGCCCCCTACACCACAATCCCACACTCCGACAAACCTCCCGCCACCACCGGCACCGCACAACCCTACAAGCGCGTCCAACTGACGGCCCCGGCCGAGCTCCTCTCAGGCGCGCTAGCGGGCCTCGTGTCGCAGACGAGCTCGTACCCGCTAGAAGTCATCCGGCGCCGCATGCAGGTTGCCGGGGCGGTGGGGGACGGGCATCGAATGCGGATTGCGGAGGCGGGGAAGCGGATCTTTGCTGAGAGGGGGTTTCGGGGGTTCTGGGTCGGGCTGACGATTGGGTATATGAAGGTTGTGCCTATGGTAGCGGTGAGCTTTTATGTGTATGAAAGGTCGAAGTGGTGGTTAGGGATTTAGGAATTAGATTAGGTGGGTCGGTGGCATTTTTTTTTTCTTTTTTGTTTTCTGGTTTTATATATATTGTATGTTTGTATGTATGTATGTGTTTCTTTGTTTCTTGTTTCTTGTTTCTTGTCCTTGTTTCTGTTGCATTGAGCGAGATATAGCTATTTTCTATGTCTGTTCCATCTCTAGATAGGATTCTGTGAGGGACAAGGGAGTCCCCACCCCTTTTCATTTTTATTTTTTATTTTTATTTTTATTTCTGGGACATGGCACATGCTATTCCTTCCACATTTCTCTCTGCTTTATGCTCTTCATATATTTGATTTAAAAACTCAGCGCTTGTATGTATATAGAGGCGTAGCTGTCCCCCTCACAGCTGTACATATGGAATATCCCCTTTGTTGTTTCTATCGTCCGTATCTATTTATCCGTGTCAATTGCACCCTTTTTCCCCTGCATGCTGTCTTTTATCCCTACCCCCCCCCCCTTCTTCTTGCGTAAGGATTGATGTCACTCCAATAGATACCTCTTTATATATATATATATTCTAGGAAAAGGATTTCACGGCAAACGGATATCATCTCGATTGGCCTGTTTTGGAAATAGGGTGATATTATTTTTGGGAGTATGAATGGTCTGGTCGAATGAGAGAGAGAGAGAGAGTTTGGGGAAGTGCTTTAAGCTGCCATGTGGAATAAATATTTATTACAGTGATCTATTGCATAGATAGTATCGCAGTGATATCTTAACCGTAGTCACGGTTATTTTGACGAGAAAATGCGCTATGTATATATACATATAGATATGGTGCAGTTTTTTTCTCACCTTTTAAAGTTGAATATGTATCACGTATCCTCCCATTCCCCGGGGGACCAGCCTGCACACATTCTATCCATATTAGTAATAGTAATAATAATAATAATAATGAAATTAAACAAGCACCCTCCTCAAACCCTCTGACCCGCCCAGTACTCTGCGGCCGGTAACCGCACACCTGCCCTTACCACTCTCCCACTTCCCAACCCGACTCGTCCTACTACTATCCACATCATTCCTTTGCTCCTCATCCGCACCACTCGTCTCCGTAGTGGCCCTGTTTGCCGCATGCTCGTCCCCATCCCCATCCCCTCCACCGTCATCCTCCCACTCCGAGCCCCCACCATTCATAAAGTCAATCTGCCGTTCATGCTCCCCGTTTATCCAGCGGAATATGCAGCTGTAGCAGAAGACATAACCCGTCTGGCAGACGGCGGGGTTATTGAGAGGCCTAAGACAAATGGGGCATGGGGATTGATTGGGCGCAGAAGCAGGATCCGAATCAATTGCGGTCGGGTCGACGGCTGGTAATGGCACGGTGAATATGGGGAGGTAAGATGTGGAGGAGATGGGCGGCTTAGGGCGTTTGGGGATATGTGTTTGCGGGTTTGGGGGCTTGTTGGTGGATTGGCTGGCAGACGTTGTCGCCATTTGTGTCTTAGTGGTAGCGGCCATTGCTGCCGCAGTCGCCGCCGTAGGCGATATCATTCCTGAGGTGACAGGGGGGGGTAAGTCCAGCGCCTCTGCCGCTTTGCGCGCGAGTTGGTGCGAGAAATCGCTCGCGTGCCACCACTCCAGAAACTTCAGGGCGAATATAGAGGTTGGGAGGAAGATCTTTAGAGACCCAAGGAGATGTGGGTATATGTTTTGTGGCCTGAGGAAGCTCAACGTTCCCCCGGGCCTGGCATTAGGAGCGTCCAGTTTTGCCTTGGGAGGTTGCGTAGCTAGCTCTATCGCAGCATGGTCGGCGGGGCCTAGCCTTCGTATCCGCGTGCCTATGAGCCAGAGGAATGGCGACGAGTACTTCGTGTTATCGAACAGATAGGCCAGGTTAAAGGCTAGAATGGCGAAGTAGTATGCCGCATTCAGTGACGGGTAGACGTTCCGCAGGAACCATTTGTAATAGTGGATTAGCCGCTGGCGCACGGTGGGGTTGTGCGGGAGGCCGTCGTCCGGATTATACCGTGGAATCCCTCCTCCGCTGGCGGCTAGCGCGGCATGCGGAGCGACGTGGATATCATATCCTTCATCTAGTTTCCGTTTTAAGTAAGGAATGCCGACCATCACGGCCAGATTTTTCCAGATATCCGACGAGCGGAGCTTGAGTGTTTCACGCACGGAACCCGCTGCACCGAGCTGGGCTCGTGGGATTTCGCCATTCTTGGTCGCGAGGACACGTTCGCGTTTCAGGGAGTAGAAGTTCTCAGTGAAAGAGCCGCCGAAGGTGCGGAGGTAGTAGCGTTCTACGAGGAGGGAGAGTAGGGCGTATAGTTCGTCAAAGGAGTTGAGGGCGCGGAGGAGGTAGCGCGGGTGCCGGTGGGTGGCGACGGCGAGAATATAGCGGAGAGATGGGGGGAGGAGAGCTGAGAGTTGCTGTTCTGAGAGGATCTCTGCGGATGTTGGTTAGAGCTTGTGGCTTCTGGCATAAAAACGGAGGTTAGCTTACCGAACAGTGACGGCTTGAAATCGTCGAAGTCGTTTTGCAAAGCGGACATATACTCCATGTTGGCGAATTGATGTCCGGAGCAGCCCAGATGGAGGCGGGCCTAGTTCAGGCCGTGGCGGAGGAAGCGCTGTGCCGGTTGTCAGGACGTCGACATCGCGAGTTGATATCGCAACTTCCTGAGCTCGCCAACAGCCGAGGTAGGAGATTTGCTGACTCATCGTGTTATGATTGACAAAATTTCGTTTTCATTGATATTCAAACTCTATGCTATCATACATGCGGTTCTCATCTTATTGTACAGGTAAAATATTACAAGTTAGATATCTGAGTGATTACAGACATACGGAGCAGTGGAATCCTGTCCGCGCCCACCAGCTGCTGCCGCATTTTCAATCGCGACTCGGCAGCGGTGCCACATTCTGACCAGAGGATTCTGCTCATTTCTTTCCACTCTATCAATTATCTCTGGATATGCGATGGTAATGCATTTTTGCGTGACCTCTGCAAGCTCGCCATCAAGATGTACTGGCGGATTTTCTCTTTCCATCATTGGAATACAGTTTAGGAGCTGCGTCGTGAAACATTGCCAGCCATCCGATTCCGCGTGGAGTTGGAAAAGAAATACATAAAGCGCTTTATCTCGAGCTACCCCAGCCAGCGCCATGTCTTCCCATGTATTCCAGAATCCTGAATATGATCCTTGGTCGAAGAGCACTCGCAAGATTTTCATATACTGCTCCGCAGTGAACGAAATTTTCGCGGCTGTTTTGACACGGGTGAGGCGCGATTGGACGCGTTTTACTGCATCACAAGTATTAAGTGGAACTGGAATACGGTTGCCGATAACTGGGGAATTGGGTAGATCTTTCTGCTCTACTGGGTAGACCTGCGCCCGAAATGAGACTCCAACAAATAGTTTGACGAGAATGGTTGAGTCAAGGAGATTGAGACCTCGGAGCCCTGCATGGTCTATGATTTGTAATGCCAATTCCATATCAGCGTTTGGAAGAAGTAGCCTGGGAGGATTCGAGGTTAGGTCGGGTTTAAAAGAGAGGAATGCATCCAAAATCTGCAGGAACTGGGCTCGCGTTAGTGCGTAGTTTGAGAGAATATGCTCTTGGATCGCCTGGAAGAGGTCGGGTTTGCGGTAACCGGGATGATGAAGTTCAATTGCAATGCACATAAGTTCTATTCTTCGGGAGGAGGCTAGTTCGGAAGGCGCTCGTGCGACTTCCTGGTAAAACTGCTGTAAAAAGGCTGTAGAACATCTGTCATGTGTGCCTTGCCCGAGATCGTAGATCGCTTCATGTGGTGGGATGTTTTTGAAACGGTGAGACAGGGATGTTGGGGAGGATGGTGCGGATGGCTCAAGGTGTGTAGTTTCACCATTTGGGCTAATTCGAGAGGTGCCCCATGTGTCCGATGTGGCGTCTTGATACCGTGATCCAGTAGATATGCCCCTTCGTTGTTCATAGTTGGGCGAAATTTGGGTCGCGTGGCTAATTTGATGGTTTATGTTAGTTGGAGGAATGGTTAACTGTTCATGGATATCACCCGCCTCTTGAGGAGCTGCCGCCTGAGGTTGCGGGAGGCCTTCATTCTCCAGAGAGTTTCGTTCCAGTTTCTGGCGCCAAAGACCCTCCAGATCAATTTCTTCCCTTTTCTCCTCTGTCATCATTTGGACAACGATCCGCGTCCCTTCTACAACGGTACCGAAGCCAACAAAACCGACTTTCCGAAGCTCCTCCTCCGGCTTACGAAATTGACCGCCTTCCACGGTCCCCACATCAACACATATCCAGCCTGTTGTAATGCCGTCGTCGGGTTGCGTGAGAGTCGATTTGGCGCTCTTAGCTAACTTTGCTCGACGAGCTTTTCTTCGGAGTTTTATCTTTAGCTCATTCCTACCCAGGAGGCCATCGGCGTCGGGCCGTAGCTTATAGGTAGTACGCAACCATCGACACAATCTATCTGCTGACACATTGAGATGTTTCACACCTCGAGCAGTACCGAAAATCATAATGAGATTTGCACCCAGGGCGGGAGGAGGGTCGAGTCTGCGAAGATCAAGGAGGCTGAGATTGTCGAGGCCAATGTCGACGGATATATGCTCAAGAAGATTTTCCAAAATTGGGGGTGGGTTCTCTGGAAGCGGTGGCAGTGGTTGTTGCCTTCTTAATGGGTGTGGTATTGTTTCTTCAACCTGCTCCTCCTTGAGGTACCAGGGGATATGTTCTTGGGATTCTTCTGGCTGCCCTTCAGGTTCTTCCCCGTTATGGATTTCAGGTATGGGATCAACAGACAACTCAGCATTGTCCGAAGGCTGATTCGAAAATAATTTCGCATGTTGCGATGAAAAATTTCGCGATAGGGGTGGAGGACGGGCTTGCGCGGTGGACCTCGAACCACCAGCCAGAGGCGTTATCGCTACATCAGAAAGGGAGATAAACGACCGAATGACATTACTTCGGCAAGCATGGCATTGGATGCCTCTTAGCAGAACCCGGCTCATTGTAAAGTTGACATTTGCCCACGAATTGGGCTGATAACGGCAAATCGTATTAGAGAAGGTTGAAAGTGAAAAAAATCATAACGGGTTTGGGAAAACGGCAAAATGTAAATCCGAGGGCGCCATTAATAATCCCGGCTCACGAGGGGCAAGTATAATTTTACTGAATTTTGCGGTTATATTGCCCCGTTTTACTCTACAACTTCCTTCAAAACCCTAGAACAAACTCACATTCCGCTCTCTCTGCCATCATGTCGATGGACTTGGATTCCCCTATGCCGATGCAGCAGGTTGCATACAAACCGCAACAACAAACAGCGACGTGAGCACTCCCCGCTTTCTACCGTCATGTCCTAGCTTGGAATTTATCTAACCCCTCTGTCAAGGATCCTTTGTTGCAACTGTGGTGCTCCTATCGATGGGACAACCTCAGCAGGCGCCCTTTGCGAAGATTGTGTGAAACTTACGGTTGACATATCACAAGGAATACAGCGAGAAGCCACACTACACTGCTGTAGGGACTGCGAACGTTGGCTGCAACCGCCTTCACAGTGGATAAGTGCCGCCCTCGAGTCAAGAGAATTACTTGCTTTGTGCCTTCGAAAATTGCGCGGTTTGAGCAAGGTTCGCATCATCGACGCAGGGTTCATATGGACGGAACCTCATTCAAAACGAATCAAGGTCAAAATTACAGTTCAGCAAGAGGCTTTCCAAGGGACCATTCTACAACAAACCTTTGAAGTTGAATATGTGGTGGCCTCTCAACAATGTCCCGAGTGTGCCAAGTCGTATACTCACAATACCTGGAGGGCGTGTGTACAAGTGCGGCAAAAGGTTCCTCACAAACGGACATTCTTATATCTCGAACAGTTGATTCTGAAACATAACGCCCACAAGGATACCATCAACATCAAGGAAGCCAAGGATGGCCTGGACTTCTTTTTCTCACAGCGAAATCATGCAGAGAAGATGGTGGATTTTTTATCTTCGGTTGCTCCAACCCGGGTCAAGAAATCCCAAGAGCTCATTTCCATGGATGTTCATACTTCAACCAAATCCTACAAAATCACCTATTCCGTTTACCTGATACCCATTTGCAAAGATGATCTAGTTGCTCTTCCGATATCGCTCGCCAAATCCTTAGGTAACATACATCCTCTTACCCTATGTTATCGCGTGGGCACCTCGATTAGTTTGCTAGATCCATCTACCCTTCAAACAGCCGACATCCCTTCCCCAATATACTGGAGAACCCCGTTCAAAAACGTGGCAGACGTCCAAGAGCTTGTTGAGTTCATTGTTATGGACATCGAACCTGCTGGCCGATCAGTGGGCCACTTCCATCTTGCTGAAGTCACCGTGGCGCGGGCATCTGACCTGGGAGTGAATGACACCACCTATTTCACGCGAACACACCTTGGCGGGGTCCTCCATGTCGGAGATTCTGTGAAGGGTTATCTCTTATCCGGCTCAAATTTCAACGACACGAACTACGAAGCCTTAGAACAAAGCAGCGTATATAGCTCTACCATTCCCGACGTGGTTCTTGTGAGGAAGCACTATCCCAGGAAGAAGAAGCCCAAGAGAAACTGGCGCCTGAAGCGCATGAACCGTGAAGAAGAGGAGCCTGTTGCATCTTCACGGAAACAAGAGAGAGATCGTGTGGAGGAAGATTTCGAAATGTTCTTGCGGGATGTGGAGGAGGATGCGGAGTTGAGAAGCACATTTGCGCTTTACAAAGCCAAAAAGGCGAAAGCTGACACAGGTCGTATGGAGGGTATTGATCACGACGCTATGAGTGTTGTGGAAGACGACGAGAATGACAGTGAAGATGACATTCCCAAGATAAGCATGGATGAGCTTCTTGACGATTTTGAGGAACTGAATGTGAGCGGTTGAGAACGAATTTTTGCATGACCTACGACCAATATTTTGCATTATGATGTATATATGCCAAAAAAACAGGGGATTTAAAAGGAGTTAGAACTCTGACTTTTTTACTTATTGAATAAAGGGCTGTGGAATTATGAATCATGGCAAAAGTTCACTTCATTGGGACCTAGAGTAGCAAAGAAATGGATTCTTCCCCCTTCTGTCAACCCCTCCCAATCACTGGATTGATATCCGGATATCTTATTTCCTTTTTTCAAACTCTCAGGACTGTTTCCGTGTGCTTTTCCGTATTCGTATGTGTAGGAAGGAGCGTATGTCTTGTGTGATGTCATTTCTACTCACTTCGAGGGTGGTTGATTCAAGTCTCAAAAGGGGTTTTTTCTCCCCCCCCCCTTCCCTAGTGCTTGCAGAGATACAGCGGTTGGCTGTGGGCTCAAAACCTCCAAGGCGATATTCCGCAACATGGCGGTAAATGATTTTCCATTTATTTCTTTTTCACTCAAACATTGCTAGAGTACCTCTGGCACATCGGGTGAAGCCTAGGCCAAAACAATCCCCGTCATGATTCCACATAGCAGCACATTATTTACTAACTTATTAGGGTAACCTTATTATATATTGCAATTTTTTATTAAAAAAATAAAATAAAATAAAAAGAAGCAACACCCGGAAGAACGCCAACAAAACAAAGAAAAAGTAAATATTCATGCAAAAGCAAAGGAGTGTGGTCTCCCTTTGCCCAAATATTAACTGCGCTCAAATCAGCAAGAGGTGATATCCATAAATAAGGAACAAAACAAAAAATCTCCATCTACCTACTAACCGCACCGATCCACCATTCCCGCATATCACTCCCCAGCTTTATACGGCGATGCCCCCTTCCCGAAGAGGAGATATGGTTTTCTCTCCGCAAGTTCCAGGATGGTCTGCGCGAAGACGCTATTTGCCCACGCGAACCAGCTGCGCGTATACACGCGGATATTGTCAACGTCGACGGATTCATGGATCAGACCGAGAAGACTGGCGTTGCGGACCATGTTGATGGATTCCATGATCTCCTCGTCGTCATCGGATGTGCGGGCACGGACGAGGACGGACATGGGCCAGGCGTTGCTGAGGCCGGCTAGGAGGCGGAGGATTGATGTTTAGCCTTAAGATTTTGTGGGGGGCCAGAGGGAGAGTTGATGTTTGAAAAGGTCATGTGCATATGAAATTGTAAAACTTACCGTGAGGACCGCCGATACCGTGGAACTGGGTACCGGTCAGATAGTACGGATTCCCCGTTTTGGTCAAAAGCATCTTGCGCGTGTTCTGGTAAACTTCATCGTCCTTGTCGACGAAGCCAAGGAGAGGCAAAGATAGGAGGGAAGGGAGATTGGCATCGTCCATTAACAACCTCGAGCCATATCCGTCCACCTCGAAGGCGTAAACCTCACCGAATTTCTTGTGGCTAACAATGCCATGATCGCGGATGCCTTTCTCGACGATGCTTGCTCTCTGCTCTAGAGTCTGGATGAGGCTGTCGGGTCCACCGGCGGCTTTGATGGTTAAGGCTGTCCGCTTCAGCTCCACGGATAAATAAGCGTTGGCAGGGATAAAGTAACCGAAAATAGTGGCGTCATCGCTGGGGCGGAAGGCGCTGCGAACAAGGCCCGTCCCATTGTTCAAAGGATTCCCGACCCCGTCCAAGTTCAAAGTTTCGGTTCCTAGGGTCGTCAAGCGTTTGAATGTGTACGTGTTGCGGACATATTCGCCTTGATCGTCAAAAGTGGGTTTTGATTGTTCCTCAATAACCTGAAGAACGGTAAGCACAGCCCGATACCATCTGGTTGTGACAAACTCCGTGGATTTCGTTTCCGCGAAGAACTTGTTTCCTATCGCGAGGAAATTGGCTAGGGAATCGAGCTCGTATTTACATTCGAAGACAACGGACTGTTCGTAAGCCGGATGAACGATGTCGCTCTGGGTTTGAGGAATGGTGTGGAGGAGGCCACTTGGAGGGGGAGGCTGGAACGCATTGCAGTACGGAGACTGGAGGACGAATTCAACCTGAGTATTGATGGCGCCCAAGATAAGAGTTTTGATCTTGGGATCCTTTGCAGCGAGCATTTGATACCCCGCGACTTGGTTTGCCGAGTCGCGCAGCCACTCCGCATTGATATCGCCAGTGACAATGAAAGACTGCGGTCCCTGCCAGGATTCACTCTGTGGATATTGTGTCAATATCTTCGATCGAGGGTCACTTGAGTCCACATGCCATCGGACAGTGGTATCTGCGGTGTTTGGATATGCATTCCGAAAGAGTTGGGCAAGATCCTTGTCAACCATGCGGGAAGTCACGTCCTCGATGACCTTTTCAATGAACGTCGATGTGAAGGTTCGACATGGCAGAACAGGTCGTTGGAAGGGAAGCTGTAGAGGACCTTCGGAGTATGGGGGACTGTATAAAAATGATCAGTCAGTGAGAAGGAAGGCATACATAATGATCTAAATCGCAAAAACTCAAGAACAGTCTTGTCTTCTCCGCCAAGGGCCGATGAAGTTGTAGTAAAATGTGCTCACTGTTTAAGCTTGGAGTACTCGCTGTAGTCAGGGCAAGCGGCTGCTAGCGATGCAGCATCGTCCGGATGGCTAGATCCAGCTAGCGCACCGTTGGACACGAGAGCCGCAAGCACTGCAGCTGTCCATGGAAGAGCTCTCATATCTGCGCAAGCTGCGGTCCATGCGCTAGTTAGTTAGCTGGTCAGGGGTAGGACTTGTAGCGATGTTGGGTGGCCGGTAACTTCAGCTGGGCTCATAGGCGTGGGTGGGCTGGTTATTCTCACCGCGGGCAAGGACATGTAGGAGAGCAATAGCAATGGCGCCAGCTTGATCTCCCCGGGCGAGAGGAGTCTCCGCAGCGCAGCTTGTACTCGGACACCCTGATATTTAGCCGAAACTCAACGCGAATGTTCCAAGCACCCGACTCAACCCTGGATCACGTGCCGATCGGCTCCAACCTTGGAAGCTCTCGGGGCTTGTGGTTCACGACGCTGGAAACGCGGTTGCAAAAAACTCATCTCCTAAAGGAGTTTCTCCTATGCTGGATGTGAGTCCGTGGAGCGCACCGTTTCGGTCACGGCTGAGCGTTGAACCAGCATGGGTTTCGGCCCGAAAATAGTCGGCACGGGTTCAAATCCGGTGATCCGAGCTCTGTGTCAAATCAGAGATGCTAGTCATTTCCTTTAATTTTTTCGGAGGTTGTAAGATGCTGTGCATATGCTAATTATGCTAAATACATACACACACTGAAAGTAATGATGTTACAAGGATGGACGAATAGGTCATGAGGTATTATTATATAAACCAAGGAGGAAGCATGTAACTAGAAAACCTGCCGAGTGGTTAACCATCTGGTAAGTGCTCACTATTAAAACGCCAGTAAAATGACAAGATGGACACGAACACCCATCACATAAGGCTTGAATTTTCCTGGCTTTGGGCCCTCTACCGCTTGAGATTAAGAAAAATAAATTTTTATCCATCATGGAGTAAACCATACGATCATTTTTTCCCAAAGAACGACATAATGTTGCCCTGGCCCGTCTTCTGGCTTCCCTTGTTACTAGAAGTAGGCTTTGGGTTCACTGAAACAGCTGGTTTTCTTTTCACAGGTGGTGGCGCTTCGTCCTCGGAAAACGATTCCCAGACAGGTTCTTCTTTCGTGACTGTGCAATTAGAAAAGAGGGGGGGTTTGTGAGCTGCTGGCTCAATGTCTTTGGAAAATGAAAAATAGAGGAGACGAAAAATAGGTACGGACCGAGATATCCTTCTGCATCTTTTATCGTTGTCTTTTTCATCACTTGTCGTCTCCCTCTCCTTCGGCCCTTTGGAGCGCTTGCTTCCTCTTTAGATTCAGCCTTCGGTACTTCTTCGGATTGCGAGGTGTCTGTACGTTCTGGTGCACTCGCGGGCAGTAGTTCTGGCACATCTTCTGGCACATCTTCCATATCCTCATCTTTGTTTGTTTTATTCGTCGTTAGCCCATGACTAGGTGAGAGTAGCATATTGTATATTCATGGAAAATATACCTTCCATCATTTTCCGAAGCTTTTCTTCTCTCTCCTTCCTTGACTCGCGCTTCGAGTTGATTCTTCTTGTCCCCGTATCGAGGAATAAGTCTTCTCGCTCTTCTTCCGATGCATCATCGAGAACAACTACCAGGTATTGTGAGTAAAGGAAATGAAAAGTGAAAAATAAGCAAGTTTGGCATACCATCTTCAGGCCCACTGTGTTCAGCCTAAGCATGCGAATTAGTATTTACTTCCACAATTAAGACAATGGCAGCTGGACATACGGATTCCACTCCACGACCACTCGATCTTTCGAGGACATCATCCTTCTTGACTTTGGGCTTCGCCTTGGCAAAAGCCTTGAATATATTCGAGCTGTCTCGTTTTAGTGAGCTTGGTTTGTCGCTAGTTCCTCCCTGGTTATGGCCACCGCTGGAAGGACGTGAGGACGCGGCAGATGACGCTTGAGGAGTCTGGTTTTTAGCTTGTGGTTGAGTAGGTTCCTCTGGCTTGGTGGTGCTTGGTGTTTCATTTGCCTTCTCCACCTTTTGTCTTTTGACGGTTTCAACGGGATCAGGAGCTGGAGGAGCTGGAGGGAGTCCCGATCGCCGCTTTGGATTGTCGATGGTCCATTAGTCTGCCAGAAAACTAAGCGAAGACGATGGGTGCTAGGGCCCCTACCTTGACGTTTCTATTGAGGATCATGCCGTATTGTTTACCGTATTCGAGAGGATCGTTTGGCTGAGGCTGCATTATATCATGTCCAACATCGCCTAGAACATTCAAATCTTGGAGGCGAGTAGGCTCAACACTATATATAAAAATTGAAAATATTGTTTGATACCGGCTCTTTGCTTCTGTGCCAATATATTAGGCTACTGTCAGAGAGAATAAGAGGCGAATTCACCATATATTTTGAGCATACCAAGTAGGTCTTCCTCGCGCACTAACATGATTGAAGTTGTTGGGATATCGTCGTTCCCGTCACCATCTTCTTGCCGTGCAGCCTGACTGCTCATGAAGGGGCTACTTTGCATAATTTCATCATCGCCATCCTTCGCACACCCGTTGAGCGCATGTTGTTGCGCAAGCGCCGGGGTGCCGGAGATGAGATAAGTAGCATTGACACTTTGCGGTTTTTTAGAGTTCTCAAGGCGATGGAACTCATAGAGCATCCTTCCGAATGGCCAATCAGTACCACACGTACTTCCCGCTGATCAAACTGACCTTTGAAACTACGTACCGTTTGGCCAAGTTGGAATGGACTTTTAAAGCTCTGCTCAGTGCACGATGGGTGACCTAGCAAAGGAGATTAGCGTGTGTAAATGTGAATTGTTGTAAATACTCACAATATCCTGTTCATTAAGAACCTTCTCGGCAAGGTATTTCTTATAATTGGCAGCCATCGTGAGTCCTATCCCCAATGACCAAATATCCCGAATCCCCAAATACGAACCCATGGATGCTCCAGGGTGACGTGTGGACGTGATCAATTAACGCGTCTTAGTCATCGCGATCTTGGCGTTCTTGCGGCTTCAACCGAGATGTTCAACTCTTTTTACGGGTTGAAATCTGCCCCTTTTGTTCCACTGTCTCAACGACACCAATTTGAGATAACAAACCTCCGAGTAAATGTACGACATCCCCGACTCAACAGATTGGCTCGGCACGCCCCTCTCCAAGCTCGCCCGCGTAGAATCCGCCCTACGATGCCAAGTATGCAAGGACTTCTTCAGAAGCCCAGTCATCACCTCCTGTTCACACACGTTCTGCTCCATATGCATACGCCGATGTCTAAGTTCGGATGGAAAATGTCCCGCCTGCAGGACTGCAGATCAGGAACTTAAGCTGCGAAAGGATATGGCGATGCAGGAGATGGTGGACTCGTTTATGTCGGCACGACCTAGCGTGTTGGAGTTCGCGAGAACCGCCACGGTGAGAACAGATGAACCAGAGGGGGACTTCGAGCTGCCCGCGTCGAAGAAGCGGAAAATAGATACCTTTGTATCGTTGGCTGAGAAGGGTAAGGCGGTTTCGGGCGCGGAGAGGAGAACACGCTTGCAAAGTAGAAGATTAGAAGATCAAGATCTGCAAACGCAGGCGGAAGTCATCGACGATACGGAGGATGAGGACTTTGACCCAGGTATTCATCTTATTTTCGTTATCTGGGGACCACTTCCTTAGGCTAAAATAGGCTAAAAAATATCTAGATGATGGCCTAGTCGCATGCCCAATGTGCCAGCGAAGGATGAAAAATGAAGCTGTCTTCCCCCATTTGGATAATTGCCCTGGTCCTTCAGAGCTACCAAATCCCTCCACATCATATGGGTATGTTGGGCGATTTCAAACTATCCTTAGAAATATTCGATATCCTTGCTAATATGATCTAAGACCTTTACGAAACCATGCTCGCCCTTCTGAACAATCACAACAATCCCCTCACACCAATGCTCCAAAACGCCTCCCGACGTTAAACTACTCACTCCTGAAAGAGACGGTTCTGCGGCGAAAGCTCAAGGAGTTGGGAATACCTGACTGGGGTTCCAAACCTCTATTGCAAAAGAGACACACAGAGTGGATGAATATATGGAACGCGAACTGTGATTCCAGAGTGCCGAAATCGAAACGCGAATTGTTACAGGAACTCGATATCTGGGAACGGACACAGGGTGGCCATGCACCAGCTGCGTCTGGTATTTCGACGTCTTCTCCAGTAACGCGCAAGGATTTCGATGCTTCCGTTTGGACGACAATGTATGGTGACGACTTCAAGGTACTCATTGCCAATGCTCGCAGGAACAAAGAGCAGGCTCTCCGGGCTGGTAACTCGGGAACGATTTTGGCAGCAGACCAATGTGCGGGAAAAGAAGATGGTGAACATGAGCATACTATAACCCAACCAGATTTGCCGGACACTCGACACCAGACTCGGAGAGTCGAGAGTGAACCGGAAAATAATACAACAATAGGCGGGGCTGTAAATGAGATGAATGGGGAGGGCAGTAGTGCAGGCATGGAAACCTGAGAGACTGAGAATTGTAGAGGACACTGCAGCCTGATGCATATTTCTCCTTTCCATATACAATGGCATTCTAGCGTTGGCGTTTTGTGGGTAGCGAATACGCATCTTCCATATATGGCACGGTCCAAAAGTATACCATTGATTGAGGAGTACCTATTCTGCCGTAACCTGTTCGGGTATCTTTGTCTTTGTATTCTCACCTTTTGAGTTGTCTTCAATAGACATATGGGAAAATTTTCCAATACTATCCTCAAGATCCGAGTCGTCATCCGCTGCCGTCACCTGTACTTTCTCATTTTTACGCTGCGCCTCAACTTCAATAGCTGATTTCTCGAATCGTTCAATCTCTGCCAGTTTTCGTCGCGTTGCTTCTGCTTCTTTAGCATCATGCGCTTCTTGTTCTTGCTTTTCCATTGCAGCAAGAATATCGTCCAGTTCGCCTTCGTCAACTGCTTCTCCAACCCCATTGATGACATTCCCAACTTCATCGACTTTACCCATCTCCTCTCGCAGCTCCTCCACGATATCTTCGACTTTCTCCACCCCGCCGACTTGGCCATTTATTGATCGAAGAGCAACCGCGCTGGCTTCCATTACTCGCACGATATCTATGTGGTCTGCGGCCTGCTCGAGTTTCACATAAACTTCTTCTAGTTGCAGTAAAGTATCTGTCCGCTGTTTTAAATTGCTTTCTGCCATCTTTGTTGCCCGTAGTGCAGATAGAGCGCCAACTCTGTTTTTGTTAGTCACCGCATCCTTCGCTCTTAGTGATAATTCCTGAATTTTGGATTCAAGGTGTGCGACCTGTCTGGTTAAATTCGAGATTAGCGTCTTCAAGGACGCGATGGTCCGATCTTCGTGCGTTATTGTGTTAATGTTGGTTTTGGTGCCTTTAAATTTAATTGTCTAAATATTCTTTAGCTACGGATCTGAATGAAAAATACCATAGAGGTACACTACATACCTCCCCATCATATAGAATTGCGTTTTCATCTCTCGATAGGAATATCAGGAGGACGTCGACATCCAAGCTTGATAACACGGTCCCGCCACCAAATTTTGCAAACCGCTCTGTGAAAAGCTCTTTCGAGTAAATGCAGTCGGTATTTGACTTGTGGGACTTTGAGGCTATTGCAAGGACACGTTTCCCAACTTCCTAGATATATAAATATCACAAATTTGAATTAGAGGAGGGTTACTCAAGGATAGAAGATGAGCTTGACAAGGAATATATGTTTAAGCAGAACGGCAAGGAACGCCGTTCTATTCATACGTACCTTTAAATTATCCACCAAAACCAAGTTCATAACTTGTACTTTCCCTGATACATTCGAATGACCTTCGAAATCGGATAGAATCCCCCTTAACTGTTTCATACCCCAACCCATAACTTGGGATAATGTGGGAGGGGAAGGGAGGCGTATCCACGATGTTTTCAACGGCGTTGTAGAACTGGCCTGAAAGATATCAAGAGGTATCATGGAATTATGTCGGATTGCTTCATCCTGTGAATTAAGGTAGAGAATCAGTTGGTTAGTCAGGCAAACCGCAAGGCAGGGCATAGAAGCAGCAAGTCTAGCACGCACAATGAATGGATATAAGTATCGCGATAACATACAATAGCACTTTGTAATGCCACCGGGCGACCCCATTCCTGCGTCTCCAGCTCTGCCATAAGAGCGTTGCCTGTCCTCAACACGAGCAAATCACTCTTGGCTACCCCGTCATCCCCATGGTGTCTGCTTCCCGACGACGAATGTATGACGCCGGCAAGAGCTGCATGAGCTAGTGCTCGCTGCCATGCAGCGGCGTTTGTCGCATATCCGTCTGGATTGGTATGCCGCTGGGTGGAGAAGTCTGAGTAGAGAGAAGGAAGTCGAGCTCTGTATGTCAATTTGTCAGTTTCTAAAACATCTGGTCCAACGGCAGCGCTACGGCAAATCAAAATCTGACCTTCGGAAAGACTCCTCATTCGCAAGGATGTACGCCAGAAGCTCATTCATAATGGTTTGTATTGGGACTGTTGGTGGTGCTGGAAACAGCTAGTGGCCCTTTCACTACCTGCCTTCTCCGTACACCTTGTTATTTTAGAGCACAATCCTGATTCCCGTGCATTTCAAAAGGACATTCGTTAAATGGCGTCCCAACTTCCTCCGGAGAGTTGTGGTGTTGCCTACCCAGTAGCAATCGGGTTCAAAACGCTGTAGAGGTTCCAATGTTGCCAAAAAGGCTTGAGATTCCCATCTGCTTATTAAGCGGCTTGATTCCGCCCAAAGAATAGTTTCTATCCTAGACTACATTCTGTATTGATATCTCTATATCTACTTGTCTACTTTATTAAAACACTATATAATTAAAATAAAATACTCGCAACGGTAGGCCCCAGCAGATTGGCGCTTCCAGCCACCTTTTCCACCGCAAGAAGCTCAAAGAGCACTCCAGAGACACAATGTTCTCACTTCTCGCACCCATCTATCAACCTTGAAAACCCCCTTGGATAGCTCAGAACCACTTAAAGCGTTTACACAGCAGAAACACCCCAACGCACAAGTCCCTTGGCGATGCTGTCGATTTTGGCATCTCTTTGGCAAGGTAGTTTACAATGACGTCAGGATGCACCCAGGCTTTGGGATCCACCCTGAGACACTAAGATTGTAGGAGAAGAAAAAACAGTAACCATGCTCCTAATAAGATGAGATTGTTTTTTGTTTCTTTGCAGAGACTTCACTCATCGTGAGTTTTGTTATTTATTTACTTTGAGATCAGCATTTGATATATCTAAAGGCCAATAAGATCCCCATATTAAATCCGCGCCTGAACTTGTTTAGAAAAATCTAGATAGATTCGCTGAAGGAATTTATATTCAAGAACGAGAATATCATATTATGATACCTGGCTTATTTCAATCGCCCTTGGCAAGATCTAGTAGATGCAATGAATATTAACCTCGGAACGCCATTGGAACACCTGGTCGACAAAAAAGATTACCGCTCTATAGGCAACCTAAAATTTTGGCATTACTCCTGCATCCCGATAGTCCATCCATCTATTTGCTTAGACCAGATCATCGCAAAATCATTCGAAATCATCAATTGAATGACCTTTGTCGTCTGACTTTAACCGGGTAACGGTTACAGGCGTAGCCTCCAGCGGATTTACACCTCCCATCAACGATTTCCGGCGGATATGATTATCGAGCTTCTCACTCGTCTCCTCCGTGACAAATTCTATCGCGTTCGATATCTTGCTTTCGCTGCCAATCCTTTGCGATCCAAGATATTCGATCTGCACGGTATTCCGTAGATTGTCAATAAATTGTTGCATTTCTGGTAGAAGCGCCTTTCCTTCATCCAATACGTCGCTGTATAGACGGTCGGATTCTTCGAGGCAAATACATGCGAGGTTTGGTTTTCCTTGCTTGAGCCATGACTCGGTAGCAAGGACGGCCCACATTGCGGCTTTCCTTCGGCGTATTCCCCATTTTGCGGCACCAGACCCGGTTTTAGACGCATAGCATGCAGACACTCTCTCGGAGACAAGAATTCGACCGGTGTCACCCACAAGACCCATATCTAGGATCCGTATAGCCCATTTTGCGGCAGCATCAGAGGCAGACCCTCCACGAGATTTCAAGAGCTCCACACCTAGGACAAGGGTACGCAAAGCATTTTGTGCATCGGAGCACCTTGTAAGATACGAGTAGCTAGCAGTATCCAAAAGCTGGTCGATAGCTTCCAGTTTTGTTTTAGCAGTTGATGCCATAGGATTTAGCAGTGTGCTCACAGCGCACATTTCATGCGCTCCCGCCTGGTATCTCCATGCTTTATCATGTCCATAGTCTCCTTTCACAAGATCATAGGTTGATGATGCAAGTTTCCAGTCACGGAGCATGAATGCAAAGTCTCCCAACTTCCGTAATATTGCTTCGGGCGTATCTGGTTTGTAGAACCCTTGAAGGGAATCGTAATTAGAACCTGATCCCGAACCATAAGAACTACCTGACGATCTTGTGTTTGTTCCGAAACCGGCCCAACGCCTTGACATCGACATAAATCGACCACTCAAGCCTCGCCTTCGGGAGGCAACTTGTTCGTTCCAGAGAGCTACTCGATTTTCCATATGAGGGATCACCGATTGAGCAACCATTTCCCGAATGAATGCTTTGATAGCGGTGACGTCTGATTCAAAAAGATATGTGCCTCCTTCGGTTTCAACATCAATCAGAGATTCTAGAACGATTTTAGCAATTATATCCCAGTCTTGGAGAGGGGAAATATACATACCTTGCTCACCCAACTCGGAAATGTCCTCCGAAGGAGTAAGCCATTCACAGGAGGGAATTTGTGTGCTATCATCATCTGTTATGACACATTGGTTGCTACGCAGCCGTAGAAGATGGCAGTGAAGGCCAAAATGCCTTTTCATTTGATCAAACAAAGCTGTTGATTGTGTGATGTCGTCCTTGTCTTCGTCATGGACGAGGACGTAGTACCTCAGATATTCGGGATATACCCACTGGGGTGGCCGCTTATCGCCCTGGCTCGTATGTGCATATAGTTGACGTAGCGATTCAAGAGGCGTAGGGGTATGCGAACTTATGGCAATAACACAAGCAACGGGATGCATAAACGTTTCGTGAGGCGAGGTGTACGTCGGGGAGAGAAGGCGTCTAAGGAATAGTTTATAGATTGGAGAAGCTAGGGGTAAACGGCCATGTCCACTGTCGCCACTCCGAGTCCAACTCGCTAATGGGTCGTCAATTGAATGAACATGCCTGTCAAGCACTTGTTCTATCTGGACGAGAGACGGAACAGCCTCCGTGTGGCTGGTCTCCGCTGTCTTTTTTCTCGCATCCAAATCAACAAAACGAACCCCGAAATCCTCCCAAGAACGGCTGGAGCCGCCGCTATCACGTATAACTATCTTTCCTGCAACTGTTTCCCCAAATGGTCGTATTAGTTCGTGGAATCCATTTTTGAAACCCTTTCGTTGAACGAGAGCATCCGTGTCTGGTGAGGCATATACGCCTACTACGGGAGAGAACGCTCGGATTATCAGCGAACGAATGTCATCTGTAGTATCGATTTGGAACCCCAGAGGCGAAAGAGCGTTTGAGCGGGATAGATGCGAGGCGGAGTGCGGTAGCCTCCCATTGGGAGATGCGGTTCTGGATGATCGCCCGGAGGAATGGGACGAGCGCCGTTCCAGAGAATCGGCCAGGGCGGACTCAGATAGCGAAGAGATCACCGGCTGGGTGGTCTTGATCTTCTCTGGATATCTAGCTTTAGACACGTTGAGTGCAGCTCCAGGAGAGAAGGATGGCGGAGGTTTGACTGGAGTAACATCGTCCGGTGATGTCATGGACACTTCGGGGACTTTATCTAGTAATAAAATAGCGATTTTGGCCGGCAGATGTGAGCATGTGTAGTAGTAGTGGGAATAAATAGGGCTTGTAGGATTCTATATATAAATACTGTGGGTGCTGTTGAACGAAGGGTTGTCGCTGTTGTCGTTTGGTTAAAAATACAATAAATAGTGCTGGAGATGCGGAAAAGCGCAAGACCGAAAAGAAAAGCCTTTGATCACCATCAATCACGACTAAACCCTGCAGAACTTTCGCATCCAGCTACAACAGAACTTTGGAAAATTTGGGGAAAAGCCTCTCCACAAAACTCACTATGCTATCTCCCAGAAATACTTACTAGTACCTATAATACTAGTCATCATGACAGGGCCCTATGTGCTCGTTGACCAGCGCATTGCCAGATGACTCCTCGTTTTGCTCAGGCATTCCTTCAGCGAGCCCATTCCGCTTCCCACCATGTAGGATTGACTCATTCTGCAACCAATTCCCGTGCGGTTGGCCATAATCGACCATTTATAACCTGGAGAGGAACCACCTCTATAGGCCTTTTCAAAAAATTACTTTGTCTCACACAATCACTCTGCCGTCCTATGCCATTTCGAGAGAAAAGTCCATCCCTCCCACAAGAACGACCTACCAAGCGAAGACGGATTTTAGGGACTTTCACAAATCAGGCAACCCAGAGAGTCATGTCTGAAGAGAGGAATATGGCCCCACCGGCCGTCCCCCGAATAACACTTACGCCCATCGAGCAAACTTTGCGATTATGTCTACTAGATGCGGCGGAGTTCATCCAGCAACGGGGCAACCAAGATCCCGCTTCAGTGCCAACAACGCCCGACCCACTAGTTCTACGGTTTGCTGGAGGATGGGTGCGGGACAAACTTCTCGGGGTTGACAGTCATGACATCGATGTAGCAATAAACTGCATGACGGGGGAAAGATTCGGGGAAGGGTTGAAAGAGTACCTGGATATGCCCGGAAACCTCGAAAAATACAAGGCGTGCCATTCTGGAAACCCGTCTATTATCGATTTCATCAAGATTCATAAGATTGAGAAGAATCCTGAGAAATCAAAACACCTTGAAACTGCCACTACAAAAATATTTGGCCTGGATATTGATTTGGTAAATCTGCGCAAGGAAACGTATTCTGACGATAGCCGCAATCCCCAGATCGAAATAGGTACCCCAGAAGAGGATGCGCTTCGTCGGGATGCTACTGTGAATGCATTATTTTACAATATTCATACGGACACGATTGAAGATTTTACAGGCAAGGGATTACAAGATATGGAAAATAAAATCATACGTACACCGTTGGCTCCCTATCAAACTTTTAAAGATGATCCACTCCGAGTTCTGCGGTTGATACGCTTCGCAAGCAGATTGGGTTACACTATCGACAGCGACACAGAAGAGGCTATGAAAATTGAGGATATTAAAGTTGCTCTAAAAGCAAAAATTACCCAAGAAAGGATTGGTGTAGAGATGGAGAAAACCTTACGAGGTATGATTCTCCAAGGGTTATCCTATGTTATTTTACATGCAGTTAATTCACCACCTATATAGGACCCGATCCTTTAACCGCTCTGCAAAGAATCAACCGACTAGGCCTATACGACACTATTTTTGCCAACCATCAAGATAATGCCGGAGTTGATACATCACACTGGGAAAGGGGTTACAATGCCCTCGCGCTCCTGTTAAGCAAGTCGACTGGAAATATGACCGAGTCGCAGAAGACGCGAAAACATGTCCGAGATATCCTTATCCGCAATGAAAACGAAAGATATTTTGCTTGGTTTCTTGCTGCGCTTGCCCCGTGGACCATTGTTGCAGACCCAAAGCCGTCCAAATCCTCAAAGCCTCCAGTGCCACGCGCTACAACCGTGGCTAGAGATAGTCTCCGTGCAGATAACAGGGCTGCTGGTATTATCTCTGCAGCCTCCAAGAACTATCGGATGATCTGGGATATCAAATCATCTTTTCTCAAGAACGAAATCGCCGATACTCCTGCTGAGATGCGTGTGAAAATGGGACAGTTCATCCGCAGTCTGTCTCATGACTGGCGATTATGTTTCGTACTTGCTATGCTCCTTGAAGTTATGCAGAGGCAAGAAGCAGATCAAGGTGAGTCTTTCGCAAGGCTATCACCACATATTACATATGACCAAAGCTAATGGTGCGTTTCCTTTGATTAGTATTTTACAGCTATGGGAAATTGCTTTCGTACATTGAAGAGAGCAATCTTCTCGACGTGTGCTCCCTGCGCACACCTATCAATGGAAGGGACATCATCAACGCTCTCAGCGTGAAGACGGGACCATGGATGACTAGGGCCCTGGATATGGTTATCGAATGGCAGCTTCGCAATCCAGAAGAAACAAGCAAGGAGGCTGCAATAAATGAAATTCTTAGAAGGAAAGATGAATTAGGATTAACTAGCAAATAATGGACACACAGAAGTAGATAATATGAACACAATTAACGAATACACGGAGTATTTGGTTCTCATATTTACTGTTGGCCTACGGTTGTTTGCCGCATCCTAGTTCTGGATCCGACGTTGATGACAAAGCTTCCACAACATCATAAAATCTTCGATGAGTTAGAACTAAACGTCTATGTACTGTGTAGATTGCATGTACTGTACCACATCCCGTGCTTTCAATTTTTTCAGCTCTAAAATCAATACCCCAACTGCTGGCATAGTCCTATCTTGATGTACGCTCCCTTCGACGATTACTCACATTTATGTACCAGTATCGCGCTGTAGCTTCCAAGAGCCTAAAGGAGGTTGATGACGGAGCTAAGTATCATATTGATACATCTCAGATCAAGTCTGATATTCGCCTGCGAGACTTATGGGCTGAAATCAGTGCAAGTTCACCTTCTGGTACCACTATAAAGGTATGCTCGAAGTATCAATGCACTTAGAGCACACGTCATATATGCCTTAATTGCTCATAATATTCTGCTAGCAATGCGAAGATCTGCTCCTTGTGGAAGCTGTGTTGAGGGCTACCAAACAGTCTGGCGCTCTGCAAAGGGAAGATCTAGAGGCAGCAAGATTCCTCATTTTCTGGACTGCCAATGCTGTTCTACCGACTGAAGATTTCACTAGCTCTTGGGAGAACGCGCAACTTGCCGACGGTGAGTTCATGTCATCCTTGTCTGAGAGGGGAATGTGTCTTGCTAATATCTGATGAGCAGACACAAAGCCGTCCCAGCCGAAAACATATAAGCTCAGTCGACTAAGGTCGAGTGTTGGGGTTTCAGTCTTAGCACTTCTCAATTCGATCAGTCCTATCAGCAATCTTGAAGGTGACGATGGAATTGATGTCATCACCTCCATAGCCGCTTTCACTTGTAGGCTGGATCCTTGGACAACGGAGCAGGCGTTTGATGATGCCTCAACTATTCTTCAAAATTATGAGTCGTTTCTTCGCTCAAATAGGAGAGAGGAACTGACTGCTGTTCTGGAAAATATTCTAAGAAAGAAAGTGAAACCACTGTTTTCGAAGACGAAAACGCTCGCGGTGACAGCCGCAGGAAGGAAGAGTGTCCACCCTATTCCACAGCCCAGATTTGACCCTAGTATTTTTGACCCAGAGTCCAAGCCGTGGAAGTTTAGATATGTGTATATCATTACGGTGCTTTCTTGGATTATTGAAAGATATTCGGTATGATGATATCCACCGTTTCTATAACTATTAACCGGGACACCAACCAGGATATTGACTGCGAGCTCACTGTAACAAGAGATATGTTTCTACAGTTCAATGGAGATGAAGTACTAACTCGGAGAATCTATTTTTCTTAGCCATCCGACAAGCTCTCACTTGAATCACAATTCCCTCTCCTCGTCCCCGCCATCCTATCCCTGATAGATGACGAGAACCTCTCTTTCAAGGCGAAAGGCTGCGAGCTGCTCTTGAAATTCCTAGCCCCGCTTGAGGAGTCGAACTCTGACGTACTCCGGCGCACAAACCTGGATTCCGTGTTCCAAGAAGCCCTTTACCCTTGCCTCCTTTCCATTCCTACGATCACTCCTGAGGCCGAATCTATCCACCTTCTTCAATATGCCTACCCAGCACTTTTTGCCGTCATCCGCACCCGCTTCTCTTCACCCAAAGTTCCATCTGCACCAACGCCACTGAGGCCGTCCCAAACTAAAGTGAAGCACGATCCCGATTCCCAAAAGCGTCTGGAATCCCTTACTCGCCTTCTTCGCCACGGCATCCTTCACTCATACCATCACACCAGCAACCCTCGTCCTATAGAAAACACGTCCATATCCTCCTATCCATATCCCCGCCTCTCGGCCCTCCTTCTCTCCCAGCTCCCACCTGCCCTCTCGGAACTAGGCATCCACACCACCAAGCATCTGCAAGATCTTGTTCCGACGATTTTGGCCGCATTGTCGAACCCGTTTGGAACAGCGTTCCCTCCACTTCTTGCTGCGGCAGCTGAAGCAGCGAGAGCACTCGTGTTGAACGCGTGGCCGAGGGTTTGGAGGTGGAGGGCAGAGCTGCTAGGCGGGTTGTGTGCGTGTTGGTTGCATATTGCTGATGATTTGGTAGATATAGGTATATGTGCCAGTGGTGATGGCGACGGTGGTGGTGGCGGTGGCGGACAGAGGGCTGTTTTGCTGCAGTTACAGTGTGCGCTTAAGGTTGTAGTTGCAGTTTTAAGGATTGCGATCGGGGGGAATGTGGTTGTGGCTGCAGAGGAGGGAGGTAATGGAACAGGAGGACGGGATGGAGACCAGGGAAGGGAGGAAGAAATTATTGATGTAGATCGCGAATTTGGGAAGTTGGTTCAGGGAGATGACAGGTTGCGTGAATTGTTAATTGGTAATGAGTATTTCGATGCCCAATAGGGGGTAACAAGGACCATTTCAAAAGAAAACAACTACATTGGACCTTTAATCTTTAAACCCTCCCAACGCCAAGTTACACATTATTAGTCTCAAACTTTCGGCTGTCATAATGTCATTGAGTGTAAACTGCGGAGTCTAACGTCCATATCCTCTAGAATCCAAACCTGAGCAACCAAAAGCTATCGTATCCAGAAAACTAAACAATTAAATATACCATGGAAGAAATATACGCCACAGCACAAGTTAGGCGGCTTGGTTGGTAACCATGAACCGCCATATAAAGGGGGTTTTCATGAATCCACTCGCTGCTTGAACAGGCTTTTCCCTCTCAACCATTGTCGATAACGCTTGTACCTCTTCTTATTATGGTCCTCTGCTATAACCGTCAATCCTTCCTCATTTACATTGACAAACTCAAGATAGTCTGGTAAATTATCTTCCGCTAACAAGTCCAAGTTCGCATCGTCCACTGTGCATTTGTTAGCGTACTCGAAGAGATCAAGATTTGATCCACGCTCCGCCAGCGATGCGGCAGCCAACGTGTCCTCTGAAGTCACTACAAGGGGAACTTTGAGAGGGTGATTTATGTAGCGTTCGTACTCTTCTGCTTCCACAGCTGAGACTGATGGGTGAAGTGATTCGTACACTAGCTCGTCTAGGCTCCATTGGATGAGTTGGGATTTACTGGGAGTACGTGAGTGGTTGGCATTGTAGGTTGCTACGTCGTCCGGAAATTCGAAACGGGGTAGTTTTGTTATGCCAGCCTGGGGTGGGTATTTCTCGGCAGATGGCGGTTGTTGAAGCCAGTTCTGGATAGGTCTGGAGACGGCAGATGAATCGATGCGTGAACTCGTGGACCATGGATCTTCACTTAGGAGGTCTGATGGTTCTTGGATAGTCACGCCTTTTCGCTGGGATTGTTTCTTCTCACGACCATCGGGTTCGTTGATTACTCGTACGACAAATGGACTTAGATCGTACTGAGGGTCTTGGATCGATCGGAAAGGAAGATAACGTATTGTTGATTTCATCTTGTTAGAGAAAATTTTGGAGAAGGAGGAGATGGCCAAGGGGCGGTAGTATTCCAGCCAGTAGTCATCGTAGTTGTCGACCTGGGGCTTCTCTACATCTTGTGGAGTCACAGCCCAGGATGTTTCTTGAGGCTTCAAGTACTCCGGGTTGAACCAGTCAATGTAATTACACTTGTTCGACCGCACTCGTGGATCTGAATGATGGAGATAATAATCTGTGGCGAGTTCCCACAGCATGGGCTGGCTCTGGGAGAATATGTAGTTCCCTAGGAATAAGTTGTATGCCTCCTGGCGCTGCGCATCGAGAAAGGAATTGTTGTAATATCGTTTAACGCTTTCAACCATATCCCTGGAATGACCTGTCCATTGATTGATTTTTCTATAAGTTGCCATAGTGTTCACAAGGTGAGATCCGCCGTATTGAACAGCTATTGTATCTCCATGATGATGCCACATGGCTGTGAACAAGTTCATAGCATCAGTGTCATACTGAACGGATGTCCCGTCGATAATCCCTAAAGCATGGAGTTGATATCCAAGTGCTCGTTTCCCAATGACAAACTGGGCAGCATTTGTTCGGTCGAGGCAGTCGATGCAATTTGTTCTTGCAACGCCATTTTGCAATCGCAACCCAGATTCAATATCATCGCCGTTCCGGAAGAACCCTGTCTCTGGTATAATGTCCTCAGCAATGTCCTCTAAGGTGCCGATCACATCTTGGTCACGACTCTTTGATGCACGACTCATGTCCCAAGCCTTGTACAGAATTTTTTTATCTTCGGGAAGAAATTGATTTAAATAAGTAATGGCATTTGTAAATTCCGTAAGTAGTTTGGATTCCCGCGGAACTCTCTCCCTGGCTTTGATAAGGTTCAGGACGTACACAGGTGCGCCATATCGCTCGAAGAGGTTGTTGAAATGAAGAGCAGCAGCTGAATAGAACGGGTCAACAAGACTCAACTCAATATCGGGCTTCGGGCTGACACCAGTGCTATCCTGCGTCCAGTGCAAAGGGATACTCCCACGATGTTGCACATAAGAAGTGTATTGGGGATTTGCATAAAGTTTCGGTCCGGGGGAGTGGAAGGAGGTGGTCAGCATTTCCGACACAATCTGTTCGGTTTCAACATCGTTTGCGACGTAACCAAGATCGTTCGCGCCACGCTTTAGAAAGCGTGCTCCTGCAAAAAACCTAGACCGCCGGGCAATAATTGTCACATATACCAGCCTTCCGTATACGGATATCATCGACTGATCAACATATCCATGTATGATTGGGAGACACCAATCAAATGCATTCTTTAAAAGGGAGACCACAGGCTCCAACATATAATAATTCCACACAAACATTGTATTATGGTCAACGTTGCGACCATCAGAAGGCCCTTTCTGAAGTCTCTGTCGTTCATGGGAAATATTTCGCTGTAGAGTGCGGGTGATGTTGTAAGAGTAACTGAAGTAGAATGATCGTGTTAAATCGACATTACTCATAATAGTTATGAACCTTGCCTCCTCGGCACTTTTTTCAGATTTTGTTCGGGTTGATGTTGTAGATGTTAATGGTATAAGTTCCGTGCCGTCAATCTGGTAGATATAATGCCCGCCAATCATTGCAACTTGACTTCTCCTGGTGACCAAAATCATGTAGTATGGCCCAGTGAACCTAATGAAACCCAGGAGGCCCCAGGAACTACATCTAAGCTTTAAGCCGCCAGAGCTTTTGTTTCCATCATCAACTGCATCCAGAAGATGATTCATTTCGCTTTTGGTATAAACAGTATCGTCTTCTGAGATATTGAGATCATCCACCGCAGAAGTGCGCTCGATCTTCAGGATCCGGAATCGTTGCTCCAACAGATCCATGCCCACCATGTAATACCGCGTTGAAGTTTCATATAACGAGAACTTGTGCATTCTGGAGACCCAATCATCTCCTACTTTCCCATCGAGAAAATACCGACTTCGCTGGGCGCCCGTCGAAGGGGAAGAAGTCCGTTCGAATGAATTGGCGACATTAGGCTCCTCATCTCCACCCTCCGTATCCTCGTCAAACATTGGTACATTGTGGGAAGGGTCGCGACTAGCTAAATGCTCCACGAATGGCACACCGTTGCCATTCTGTTTGGTGTCTTTGATGTCGATATTACGAGGTGCTGGCTCCGAGGGAATAGCTCCATCTGCTGAACCCTGCTCCTCGCTTTCGAGTAGTGTTTTAAGAGGCCGCACTACATTATCGAAACTCTCCATTGGAATAGGACAACATATGGTATGGCTGCAACTAATAAAGTAGAAGAGGAGTGCCTCAGGACGGGATGCTGGTCGAGCATACGGTCAAAAGTGTCGTGTTGTCGAGATCATTCGGCGTTGTTGAGGATGCCAACTACGTCATTTCCTTATCTCGGCAAGCTACAAGATGATTGGCCACTGTAGTAGACTAATCTCAAATCGATAATTCAGCAATTGAGATCAACCTTGGGTTTTTTTTTTTTTTTTTTTTAATATTGAATATGTTGTCCTGACATTTTAAAACATAGAGATGAAGCCATCAAGATCTCTTATACTCTATAAAAATACCAATCGTCAGAAACTGATCATAATAAGAAATCCAGGAAATAAATCAGTTCATGCTATCTACATCCTTCTCCTATCAACACCTTCTCTCACCTAGGGCATCAGATGCTAGCCGACGACGCAGGCAGCGATTCCGTTTGGGGTAATTCGGTATGGTGATTTAATTACGGCTTTTGTTGCTAGCTGTGGGCGCTCACTGACCTCTCGAAGTAGAATCCTCAACTATGCTATCGCTCTTTGGGCAAGGCTCATTTCTTTATATAGCAAACTATCGAGTTATAGGCAATTTGCATTCCGCCGGAGAGCAACGTCGATCTTGACATCAGCAACGGCCAAGGGCTCCCCGACATTCCTCCCTTCCTTCTTTCTACCATACCTACATTGGCCACATGCAGCTAATGGAAAAACACTTGCTTTGACAAGGTGTTAACCGTAATTCGAAAGGGTGGTGTGTTTAACAGTTTGCTTTGTATCACTACATTCCCGGGAAACAATACTCGAGCTGATCCAAGAGGCTTCCCTGGGCGGATGCCGGATAGCCTTAGTTGGCTTGAAAGCATACTGTACTCAGCAACAGCTTGATTATCCAAATAACATTACAGCCAACTTAATGCCTCTAAAGAGAAGGGACCACCAATTTTACTTATGCAAACTAATTCCATTGGAGGGGGCAGATTACTTTTTAGCACTGAAATACCCCATTCATGTGACCCTATGTCATATTTGCATCACTCCCAGGAGGGCTCAGACAAGTGGTCTCCCAAGGTTAATTTCATAGTTTGAGGCCTGAGCGCTTGTACTGTACAAGTTTGCGAGTAAGGCGGAGAAAACTTATCCATGAATCTTCTCTGAGACCCCTCTGTTGATCTACCAACAAGTTGGCCACGAACAGCAATCCATGCGCAGCATGGATTACTGTGTACTTCCCAGAGAAAGTGTATAGATTCTGATTGACGGGGAAAATCTACTGTATTTTTGATGGTGGCCGAACAGGATACGTTGGTGTTGTTAACCTCTTATCTATTATCTTGCATCTGGATCGCTTTAACTGCTGCGGGAACGTTATTCGTTTCCTGATTCTTCAATAGGTTGTTACTTGTTGACGGTGAGAAACGTGAATCAGCCTTTTATGTTCTATGGGCCAATAATCATACGAGGAAAGCCAACCTGTTATTCTTACATTCTGAGAACTTGGGATGGACTTGACAGGCATCAACCAAGATCCATCCATGCATCATGTTAAACGAGTGCCTGTCGACATGCCAAACCACACTTCGACCAACCGAATAGCATCAACGCCTTGCCACTTCCACCGAGAAAACTGGGTAGGGCGGTGTTCATTTGGGACTTTCCCCGTGTACGAATGTGATCTTTTTATTTTGGCATATTATCAGCGGGAACTGGACTCCAAAATTGGGTGCAGATAAAACACCCGAGGGAACCAACAGGAATATTTTGAACCGCTCCTGTTGCTTACAGGGGAGGCGCTTTTCTGGTGTTACCACAAGCGTGCCCGGTGTCAAGGGCCATCGGCGAAGATTGTATTATTTGGTCACCCACGAAGCCACTCGCTGACGGCAACACCCAAAATCAGGAGTGTGACCAATGCAGGACACCCATTTTGCGACTTGTTGGTTTTCCCTTCACTAGTCTCCCAGCACGCGCATGTTGCTGCAGGCTCCCGTCCCGCTTCCACGGCCCATGAATCTTATACTACTCCGTACTGTCGTCGTGATTGAATTTTCGGCATCGGGTAACTGGTCACGCACTAAAAATAGAGCCTTCCTTTGTTCAGTGGCTCTGGGATACCCTTGGAGCCCTACCCTTGCCCCATGCACCCCGGCCCGTGTCCATGTCGCTCAAAATCCCACCTTTCGCCTGGTGCATTATTCGGATTCCAAGCCTCTCCGATTTTTCGATGGGGTCATGTTTATATTTACCAACCGAAGTGAGGAAAACATTACATCAAGCAACATGGAGCGTTTTGTGGGGGGCATGACACAGTTGAGTAGCATGCCAACCAGGTCGAGCAGACTCTCCAAGTCAAGCCACTAGCGTACAACCACATATAATTTACCTGGTCGTACGAGGTCGCAGTTTACCCCTCGTCCTGACGCATATCCAAGAGACAAACCCCTCAGCCCACCAATGACATTGTGTTAACAGTTAACCCTACGCAAAATCATGTTCTCCTACCTTGGGCCCAGCATTCACATTCTTCGCATAAGTATGTGGAGATACCTTCTAGACTTCCAGACAGTTGGTCCAACTCGCCTACTCTACCTTGTTGATTCCGTTCCCGATGCGCTCGATGCTGTGATAACGGATAATTAAATAACCAAAAGTATTGCTGGTGCCCAAGAAACTCAGAGTGAGAAAGGTACTCAAGTTTTTACCACAAAGCAAGTCATAATTGATGTAAAACTCTCACCGGGGAAATCTGGCTGTCGCAAATCTACGATTGCATCGCGTTGAGGAATTTTCGTATTTCCGGATTGCAGAACGCAATACCCAAACATTTTCCTAATGAAGCAAATAACAAGGCTGCAACGTTCAGCTTCTGGAGAAGATGAATCACAGGAGGATGAATTCGTCCCAGATCACTTGCGCTCCCCGGGCCCTTGTGTGCATTGGGTAACAGCGAAAAATTTGCCCCCTCCTATCAATACAACATATTACTCTGATAATTTCATGAACCTATACTTTATCACGAGCTCTGTAAGGAAATTGAATTTTGCGCTCCCGACCGTCCCTCCATCAGAACCATCTCAGGATGAAGGAACTGCTGGCCCAGACTGGAAATATTGTACGTGACTCTCCGAGGTTCAATCGGTGATGTTATCTATATGCTTACTCTGGATATGAATAGGGCGGCCAATTTCAACCCATCTTGGTCTTAGTTGCGCCTCAGGTCGGGGAATACCAAATTACATACCCGAGTGGGAGTTGATTCAGGAGGATAGAGTCTGGTACCATGTCGATGATTTGAAAAGGCAATACCCGGTCACTCTCTCCTCAGACCTCCAGGAAGATCAAGGATCTGTGGTACGATTTGTACCATATGCTTTCATACCAGCGGAGAGACAATCCTGGCCTAACGGAACCCCAGCACCTCTCAACGTTGCCGAGTTAGAGTCATATCTAGGTCTTCTCTACTCTGTTCCTAGTGACCATAGACTTCATCTGGGCTTTGAAAAATCGACACTGCGTTTAAAAGCAGCGGGAGGAATACTTAAGATGCACCTCGAAAATATTAGAAAGTTATTCGACGGCTGGGAAACGTTCAAAATTATAGACTTTGACGAGTTCATGAATCCGACTGTCTATAGCCGAAATATCCCCAATCGACAAGTCCCTGACAAAGAGTGGAATATTAGGACAAGGCCATATGCACAGGCTTCGATGCCATCCCTTCTAGCAGAGTGTTTTTCCATCAACGTTTCACCTACTCCCTTGCGTTTGACGCGCTCCGGAAACTGTATCAGACAGTCTCGTCTCACGATGAAACAAGGTTACGGGCCATGGTACCGGATAGTCCACTGCCAGGGGCTAACGTCAAGATTCGGCAAGAAATCCTTGCCTCAATTCACAAACATAAAGGATGTTGTGACTTTGCTCCTTGAACCTAGATTCTTCGCGCAAACTCCAGGCATCCGGAACCAGGAAATGACTGACTATGTCTCGGAAATGTTTTTACTTCATCTCAACTGCCATCGTCGCTACACCATATATAACCCATACAAACGTCGTGCACCGTTCCACATAACTTGGTTCCGTATCATGGAGGAGAGGGAATTAGCAACAAATGCGAATTGGAAATCAGGACGACTGTACGGTGGTACAAAAGAACAAAGGTTTGAAGAGGTCGCTTTCACTGTCGACTACTTCTTCGAGCAAACTTTGAACTCTGATTGGTGGTCTCGCCGTCAATCTCCAGCGTCATATAGCTCATTTCATTGGACTACGATCTTACTAAGCCCGCAACACCTGGATCTTATTCACGAAAACCTCCACTGGCCGCCCAGTGCTATTTTGGTGCTGATAAAAAATGCCCTCCAGAATGCTGCAAATTCTTATGAAAATGTCTGCTCACACTTCGCGTCAGTTTTAAATGACCAACTTGCCATTTTTGATCTAGATGAGCATGACAACCTTTTATTCGACGATAATACCTTTTCCAGATCTCGCTGTTATTTCTGGGTGATTGATAGTTTAGAAGCATTCAAGGAGCGGATAGCAGATGCTAAAAAGCAATGGGAAGACTTTTGGGCCGCCCGTGAAGATATCTTCAGAAAACATGAAGAAGGCCACATATCTCGCCTGAGGTCTTTTGGCGTAAAGGATCCTTATTTTGCAGCAGAAAACAGACAACGATATGTTTTCCCTAAAAGCTATCGAGTGGATGATGTTGTCAATTCTATAAATGTTGAAGTGAGCAGACTAGACAATTCGGCTCAGGTGCTGGAAGGCTTCTATAAGAAGACCCGATCCTTAAGGGATGGTGTATGTCCCCTATTCGTACATACTCTGGCACTATCAAATTTTATTGCTAACTTCCATTACCCAGCTGTTCAGTGCCAGTGCAGTGGCGGAAAGTCGTGCAGCAACACAACTTGGCGAGAACATACGACTCCTCACCTACGTCAGCATATTTTATCTTCCTCTGAGCTATTGTGCTAGCCTCTGGAGTCTCAATGAGCATTACACGGTTCTAAATTTCGCCATAGTTACTTTTTTCATTGCCCTCGCCACATACAGTTTGGTTGGTAACTTGAACCATGCTGTCCTCTTTTCCAAAAAGACCGTCCGCCATATCAAGAATCCCATTGTCGAGCGTATGAAGAGGGACCCTGATAGAATCTGGGGAGAACGTGGCGACCGGTTTTCCGCCTTCAAGCCCGTCCGGGAAAGCGTCGAGCCCTCGCAGTGGCATATCCCACTGTACTTATGTATTGAAATTCTGCGGAAATTTCGCTTGCTCAGACTCTCTCCCTCCAAACCAAGACCGGAGCACGAAACCATAAAACCGTACGAAGTGAAACCCCCTCCCTTCAGCCTGGACGAACCGATTCAGGTATTAAAGCAGGTGAGCAACTTAGCCACAGCAAGTGGGAAGCAGACCGTTTCGAGCGGCATTATATCTTCGGTGAAACAGAAATTTGCGCCCAAGGGGCCGGGTATTACACATTATTTTGAACGTCGTGGACACTGGCTGGTATTGAAACAGCCAGCGAAGACAGTGCGAGAAGATGCGGCAAAGGAAGTGTAAGATGTACTGTACATTTCCCTAATATGGGGGATGAAAAGGTTGAGTGCAGGTTGAGTGGCCCCGACGTTGTTCACCTATTTGCCCTTGCAATGTGCAATAAATAATTATGTATGTATTTCGGCACCCGGCTCAGTGGGTGGGATTCAATTTCGGGTACTATGTGCTCAAGTCAGTACGAGCTGCTTGTAATATTTCCACGGTCCCTTTTTTCGGGCTATTAACCTATTTCCCGTTATTATTCGAGACTTACCGTTCTTCATTAACTGTTGCATAGTTGGAAATGGCAGCAACCGCAAAGATAGCTTGGTCAAAGTACTGAAATTCTCAACCCTATGGGGTGGATCAAGACAAGGCAGCGTGAAATAATGGCTTATGTTTTTGAAATGCTCAGAGTAATATGCCTCTGCCCTGTTACTTTCTATGGCGATGATGTTGAGAGAACCCAAATATGCTGATAAGTAAAATCATGCAAGGAAAGAAAAATACATGTTGCTGCTGTCACGGCTGCGTCTTTGGGCATGGAGGCCAAACAAAAGATGCACAATCGCGAAAATGCCAGAAAAGAAAAACCCTTTACCCCTTTATTCCTTCAATCCATAATACTACAAAGCCCAAAGAAAAACAATTCTATAAAAGGGAAAGAGAGAGAGCACAGCGCCCAACCCATGTGCAATCAATGTATGTACATACAGTACATCCCATTTATCTATCCTTTCACCCCTGTTCTCTGTGCATGCTTCTCATTATGAATATAGAACCACACAAACAGACATACACACACACTCTCTAGCTCTCTCCAAACAAATAATAACTAAGCTCACCACCCCATCAGCAAAGGATGCGCCTCCGTATTAAAAACATACTTATCCAAGCTTGCGAGATCCGGCTCGCTAAACAGAAGATAAAAATACTTCAGTGTCTCCCCGGTCCAGAACGATTCCATTCTATTCGTAATCGTCGGATTCGGTGACGCGACATCATCCAGGCCCCCGTAGGCGAACTCTGTTTTCGCATGCTGCTCGATGGCGAAGAACATTTCCCAACCTTTGTCTTGGAGGGTTTTGTCGCCGGTGATGCGGTAGAGGATGAAGACGGATTCGATGGCCTCAGGCCTGTGCGCGATTTTTTAGTGTTAGGTTAGTTAAAAGGAAACAAAAGAAGAAGAAAGAAAGAAAGAAAGAAACGGAAAAGATCGTTTACATTCTTAGAAATAGAAAAAGTAGAAAAAGTATACTATACCTTAGCGAATATCCGCCATGGATGATTGCGGAAAAGCCAGCAACCTTACCCTGCTCCCGGCCCATGCGCTCATAGTCGCTGTCTGAAGCCCCTTCATGGATTTCACCAATGAACCAGGACTCCGGTCTCCACTTGCAATCCCTCGAGTCTTCGCAGGGAACTACCTCGAACGTCTCCGGCATTACCCCGCTGGGAGTGGCTTTGTATGCCCAGATACAACCTTCCGTGAGTTTTCTGGCGATATCCAGCTCCTCAGGGCGGCTGAATACCTTAGCAGCAAGGGCAACCATGCCCCCTACAAAGCAAGTGAGGTGTTGGCCTTGCGGCCTGAGTGTGACCCTCGTTGTCCCTGCAATAAATGCAGTTCCGGAGATCAGGATATCGTCACTGTCTTTGGTCATGGGCCGGAAGAAAATATGTTTCTTCGCCACTTCGAGGGCCTTTTCGTACATATCTTTGTACTGCTGGTTTCGGCCACCGAGTAAGAGATATTCCTAATTCCATGCGCACTGTTAGCTCAAAGATCGTGGACAGACCAATTTGTATCTGTAGTATCTTCGTACTTTCGGTAGGTACTCGTATAGAGAATCTGCCATGGCGCCAAAAGAAAACCTACGATCCCTCTCAAACGAGGGAGTTCTTGCGTCGACTGATACCGGCCATAGTCCAGGGACCTTTGTGCTAAACTGGTGTTCCTGAAGAATAGTAGTGATCCGTTGGATAGCATCATAGTACTTGGGGTCCCCAGTAATCTGCGATAATCGCGTGAATTCCAGCGATAATGATCCGAGTTCAGCAAGAACAGTCAACCTGCTTGCTTCCTGGTAATCACCGTCCCTCGCTCCAGGCCAGTACCAGCGGAGGACGGGCATTCGGTTCGGGGTATCGAATGCCACATAAAGTAGATCACCTACTTCCACAGCTTTTTGCAATAGGATCGGATAAGCCCCCTTTGTGAGATCGTGGGCTGCTAAAAATCCCCCTAGATACCGAATATTTGTTTCAAAAACATTCAGCAACGATGTGTCGCTGGATGAGAAGTCGATGTGCTTAACAGCCGAGACAGCTTCCTTAAACTCCTTCTCTAAACCCATGAGCCACAACGTATCCAGAGTATCAACCAGAGTTGCGCCCCATCCACCATAAGGATTTCTCCCTCCACCATCGACGGGTGAAAGCTCATCCTTCAACCATGCATATTTCTTATATCCCTTCCACGAGTGGAGGAAGGCCTGTATTACTGCATCCCGGCGAGCTTCTCTAATCGTCTTGGACTCTGGATCCTCGGATCCAAACTGGAATTGAATTTTTGGAATCGACACGGGTTTGGATGTTGGAAGAGGCACCATAGACGTCACAGGGTGTTTTATGACATGCCGTTTGTACCAATCGCGGATAACTTGCTGTTTTCGAGTCGCGGTTGGGGGCAGGAAGGAGGACGAACCGAGGCCTGTTGAGAGCTGATTTACGTCAAGGAGAATGAATAGGAAAACAAAGGAGCAAGCGAGGGTGACGACCCATCTTCGAATCCAGGTCATTGCTGGATGTTTGAAAGGAGAGAATTCAGGGAAACAAGACCGAAAGGAATGAAACGACGGGGTTGACGACAAGCGACAACAACCTCAGCCACCGCCCTGAGTATCATTACTCAGGTTGCAGGGAAGAGAAAGCAGTGAAAGCAAAAGAGGAGAAGGAAAGGCAGCATTTGCAGCTGAAGAGATATAACATTGCTACTTCTTTTCAATGATTTACAATTCGTCTCCTCTCTTTCAGTGCTTCAAAATGCTCCACGAAGCCAAAGGAATGACCGAGCTCCTCATGTTCTCTGCTCCAGGATATCCAGGCAGGTTCCACTGTGGGCCCCATTGTGTTCCCCTAGCTCGTGTTAGGCCGTGATCCCAAAGCCACCTCAAGTGCTTAAGTATCCCGATTGGTAGCTAAATTGTGTCCGGGCCCTACCCCAGCCGGCAGTGACGTAAGCTTGGCTTCAGGGCTGCAGTCGCCCGGACACCGCCAATAGTTCGGCGTCGGTCTAGCGGCTTCCAGGCGCTGTTCGCCAGGGCTTGGGCTCTTTGGGGGCTTCTTGTTGGACTTTCGAGCGGATCCTTTCCCCCTGCATCCTGCATGTCTTGCACTCCGGCCCGAATCCACGGCTCCATTTCGTTTCATGCCTGTCTCACATGTTGCGAAGTTTTCAGCCAAATCCAGATTCCAGGTTCAACAACTCCTAGTACCTCAAATAGTACCCGGCAATGCCCAAAAGAAACCGATATTTTCTTGCAAAAATATACTCTTTTGTTCCTGGACGACGACCGGGCTCCAGCTGTCTGAATCGTTCCGCCCGGAAAAAAAATTCAGCAGGCAAGCTGGGATGAGAAACCGGCATGGTTAATTTTTGAGCTGTCCCCTTGCTCAAAGCTCCGGACTGTGTTAAATGACGGAGATCTGTTGGAGCATCCCTTGGAAATCAACAGCTTGCCATGGGGCTGAACTTGTATTCAACATGCTGTCGCGCAGGACTACGGAAGAGAAAAGAAAAGGAGGTTGTGTTCATTCAGCCCTTCTAGCATTCCACTGGCGGATTCAACTTCGCAGAGTTGCGATGGAACTCGTCGTCCAGGACAAAAGCCACCGCACATTTTGGAGAAGAAAATAAGACTTGCCCTGGTCATCACTGAGCCGAACCCCGATATCTGATCGCGAAAACCTTGCCCTCCCGCTGGTTTTCAGGAAGGAGAAGATTCGAGGTAAACCCGTTAGAGCCCCGGCCAATGGCCTGAATGCCACGTGATTGCTGCCTGAAAAGAGCTCGTATCGTCGACTTGGCGGCTTCTTGTTCCTCGCAAGCTACGCCCAACCTTCACCATTATTTGAGCATTGTCGACGTTCACCCCGCTCCTTCAAACTTTCGAGGATCGTTCAAGGGTCAATGCAATGAGTCACATTTACAGCCAGATGCAGGATCGGTCAGCGAGATGCGGAGCGAAATTAGGCCGCTTGGTTGGGACATAAAAGCAGCTTTCTCGCCAGTTTGTTAACTCGGTATCTCGTTCGCTGACCTCCACAGGAACCCTCTGAGCACACTGAAATCTCAACATCTCGCGATCAAACTTAAATCCATTGTGTCCATCCACCTAAAGCCAAGAAAAACAAAACGTCTCCCAATCATCATGGAATCCCCAACTTTTGCCGTTCCCTCGCACAAAATCCACACTTGCCTCTGGTTCGAAAAGGACGCCATCAAGGCCGCTGAGTTTTATGTTTCCCTCTTTAAAAACTCTCGCATAGTGAACAGCAATGATACCCTGGTCACATTCATTCTCGACGGACAAGAGATATCCCTCCTGAATGGCGGTACTTATTACACCCTTTCCCCGGCCGCGTCCCTTTTCACTATTTGCGACGATCAGGACGAGGTTGACCGCCTGTGGGCCGCATTGGTGGCGGATGGTGGAAAGGAGTCGCAGTGTGGTTGGCTCACTGATAGATTTGGTGTCTCGTGGCAGATTGTGCCGAGATGCTTGTTGGAGTTGATGGGGGATTCTGACAAGGCCAAGGCAAAGAGGGTCACTGATGTGATGCTCAAGAGCGTTAAGTTTGACATTGAGGCGTTGAAGAAGGCATATGAAGGAAGCGATTGAAGCCTCGCTTCGCTCCACGATGACACATATTTGGCATGCGCGTCGCAAGCAAGTCCTGTCCTTCAGTGACCGGTTCGGTTTTGGTTTACCTGTCTATTGTTTCAGATCAGCTTTGGTATTTTTAGCATGTAGGGAATGTGTGCTCCGTAATAGGTTATCTTTTGTCCAATATATTATTGTTTTGTGCATTTCCCTTGCTAGTACTGATTCTGCTAGAGAGCCCTGGCTTTCTCTATTTTGTTTCGTGTGATATATTCTATGTATTAATCGCTACGACGTCGCTCATGAATATGTTTTCTGTTTTTCCATGAAGTCTATCAATGATCATAGTGGCAAAATTGAATGTCGAACGCTGATAAGCTTTAGCATTCCAAGGTTGCTTACCCCACAAAAATCGGCCCGATAACCAACCACCCAGTTTCCGATGCCGATGCCTCAATTGAGAAACGGGAAGAAATAGCTAGGTAGGGCGAACAACACAACAAAGGAAAAGTAGAGTATGAGAAGAGGCCATGCCAGTTTATAGTCGCACACTCAGTTGCCTGCCTACGCTGGTAATTCAATTGAAGCCGCTGATGAGTTAGAGTAAAGCCACTCCACACAATCACTTTGAATCCTGCGCTCCCAACACGAGAACTCCTCCAACATCATGATAAATACTCCTTCCCCTCCCGGCCCTTGCTAAACTGTCGACCACATAATAGCAAAAGCCATGCAAGCAATCCCGCATAACCTACTTCTCCACTCCCACTCTGTCGTCCAACCGCAGAAACCCTCGTGGATCCGAATGTATATAGAATGGACTGATGAGCCTCCTAGAGTCTGGGGTGGCCAAGCCCATCATATATGAGAGAAGATACCGTGTGGCAGAATGACGTTCTCAATGCCGTGGCAGATCCACAGGCAAGAAAAATATACGGGAAGGGGATGAGTGATAGTATATCTTGATGAGAATGCAAGCGACCTGGCTACATTGTGGCTACTTGCTGGTGTTCAGCTTCAGCTTCTCCACTACGCCTTGTCACACCTATTCCGGTTTTAGAGGAGAAGAGGATACCCCATGCCTGTGCATATTATATAGCTTTCCATTTGATTCTAACATTTATAATGCGTTATATATATATATATATATATATATATATACTCCTTTTAGAAAAGTGGCGGATGTATTGATTTGGGATGAGCTAATGACTCTATATTATATTACCAAAGGTAAAAATCGCATTTACATAACTTAGAGTGAAGAATTAAATCTTGTACGGTTTATCATAATGTCTCAGAAGTTTAATCGCAATCGAAATCTAGGGTATTAGTATTGGAAGTCATACAGAAGCGACACGATGCCGTTGAAAGTTAGAAGAAAATAACAAAAGTTAAAAAGCGGCGAGTTCTTCAAATTAAATGCCAGCAGAAACTCGTGGAGCACGGAAAGGGGGGGAAAAATACGTAAAAGGAGGGGAGATTTATGGGGAATTGAGACTTAAGGACGGAGCGGGCCAGTGGAAATATTTCTCCTCCTAATTTAATCCAACACCATTATTCCAGCTTGGATTTTCAACCCTGGAGATTATGTCATTCAAACATCGTTGTACATCTTTACATGACCATCTGCAACGAGGATCCGGATCCAGCATCCCTTGTATACACTCTGTCAACTTTCGAAGGATATCAGCAGTGTCCTTCTCGTTCCCGCCCTTGAATATCCCTGAGCAGTCGACCTTGGCTGCGAAATCAGATGGCAAAGTTGGGACGAGACCAGAAGGCCTGCGCTGGTGATGGTAGTCATGCTGATAATGCTTCATCCGCTTGTTGGGTGAACAGGTCAGATCACACAGTGCCATTTGACGCTCCATTCGGGTCTCAAATTTGTACAGCAGTTCAAACAAGATGACACCTAACGCAAAAACGTCTAGGCTTTCGTCGACGTTGAGGATCTTTTGTATCTTACGATTGCGTACCTCATTGCCACCGTGGCCGTCGCCGTTATCATCAATTTCGTGGTGTATGCGATGCCGTGAGGAGGAGCAAGGCGATGTGATGATGGGGGGTCGATAGAATTCCGTACCAACAGGGCGAATAGGGGTACCGGTAGAATTATACACGGAATCGAATAACACTTCATTTTCGTCTCCAAATCGGGATATTTCCGCAACGAGGCCGAAATCGCCGATGCGAGGTGTCGTGTACCATGTCCTTTCAATGCCGGCTTTCTCGCATGTTGGGCAAACTGGGTTGTCCTGCACGCCAGCCGGAGAGAGGAAAATATTTGCAGGCTTCAGGTCACGATGGACTATGCCAGTAGTATGCAGATACTCAACTCCTGCCAAGACTCCTAGAATGATTTTGAGAGAGGGAACGAGATGGAAACAATGATGGGGAGCTTTCGGATCTAACGTAACGGGCTTCGCGATTAGGTATTTTGCCAAGCTCACCGGATGGAGAGACATTTGAATGTGTAACATCAAAACAGGATTAGGTTTCACAAGGCCAACTTTCTGGCTAACATGGCACCTGGAGCCAGTATGCCCCATCCCGTCAGTAAAAACATCATCATTTGTCTCGCTCTCCGTTGTCGTTTGGCTAGGGGCTGGGAAGTCGAAATGCCGTGGAAGAGACTGGACTTCGTCGTCTCCAATATCAGTCTTACAACTCGATTTCTGGAAACATTTCCGTTTATTATGTCGTGAGCTGGGAGAGTCGGACGAGGGCCCTGTTTCTTCAATTGCACTTTCACAATCTTTAGAGGAGTTTTCAAAGACGATTCCATGGCTAGAATCCTCAAAAACGATACTAAAGTTTAAATCATCGTTCTGTTGTGATGACGATACGGGGCTCAAAAGAGGTTGTTGATTATCGTCCATCTCGCGATGATGAACCGGAAAACCAGTGGAAGGTGACTTTAGAATTGGGCCACTGGGGCATTCAGCCCAAGCACCATAATAACGTACAACGTTGGGATGCTCTAACCGGGCAAGAGTCCTAACCTCCTTCAAGATATTATCCAGGGCCAGCAAACCACATTCTTGCACCTGTCTTAGTCGTTTCTCGCCCAGGGGTATTTTTTTCACTGCATAAACTTGACCATCGACATGATGTCTCACACGGTACACAGCACCATATGAACCTCTACCAATCATGGCTTCCTCTTCAAACTCAATCCTATATCGAGAGCCAGGGAAGTTCATGGTTGGTGCATATAAAGCAGGCAAATTGATGGGAAGATGTGGAAACGGAGTACGTATATGCCTTACGAGATCTGCGATATTTGGCAGCATTTGCTCGTTGGGAGCTTCAGCATGGGCCTTATCAGTAATGCGTCTCTGAAGATTAGGGCGGGAAGTGCGTTGTGGCGTGAAGTTCTTTATGTTTTCAAGATCGAGGCCTTCTAATTGTGTTTGAAGTTGCCCAACGTCTATCGTTCCCGCAGCCTGTCCGATGACTCCCCTAGATGGTGGATGAGGAGACCGGGAGTTCAAGTCCGCATCCCCTAGAGCAGCCACGCCAAGCACATCGAGATTATCCCGATAAAACTGTCTCGTGCTTTCCCAATCCTCTCCGTCGACTCCTCCTGCAATAACGCCGTGATTAGACAAGAACTGGGACTTGTAGGCGTACATATGCCGTCCCAGGAATTTAGCCTCAGGAGAATCTCGAGTATATTGTCCATGAGATTCAGGTTGCCCGTTGAGGATATCAGCAGCGCGGCTTTGGCAGTAGAATTCCAGGAGGGCGGCTGTCATCATGGCGGCCTGCCCTTCTGCATTGAGGTCAGGTATATCCCCCTGGTCAAGACGACCGCTGGTTTCAATTTGCTCATAATGGGAAGTTTCATATTCGTGAGGGGGTGAATTTTCCACAGTATCGGTGCTTGCGTCTGTCGGAACCTTTTTGGGGTGTCCTGGCTCCCATCCAGTGGTATCACTAGGGTCGAACTGTGGCAGAGGCTCGGAATCTGAAGACGAGACGTCTTCTGGAGAACGGAACATGGAAGACATTATGCGGCTTTGTCGTTGCGCAACTTTGTACATGTACATGCACTTCTCCAGGCTCGATGAGACTGGCACGACGGAAAAGGCTAAAGAGTGACAAACGGAAGCAAACACGAGCAAGAGGGTATATAATCATTTCAAAAAGGAGCGTATAGATGGACAGCTCCTAACAAATGAGTGTGCCATCTGTAAATAAAAGCAGCCTTCTGGAGCATATGGAGACTTTAAACGCGATTAGAAGAACAATGCCATGTTTTGAGAGGCATATTCAACTGGAGAACACATGAAATAGTGAGCAGTGAAGTGAAGAGAGAGTGTTTTCCAAGTGAATCTAAGCAATTGAAAGTGGTACCATAGAGATTCTCGAGCAGTCGCAATGAAGGTTTAGAATGCCTCAATCAATATGGTGATACTAGTACTTGAGCCTGTGAGTTTCGATTAGATTCCATACAATGTAGCTCAAAGGGCGTCGGAAGCTTGCCTCTGCCTAAGAGCTACTACACAAGTAGCTGTTAGAATTTGACTAGAGAAAGAGAGAAATCGTCTCAGCAATCGGCATTGAATCGTGGCGTCTCAATATCTCCTTGTCGATGTCAAATTATGACTGGTTGTTGTGAAGGCTCCACCGCGTGAAGCCCAGACGGGCGTCGAGGCTGAATGTATCCAGTTACAGTACAGTCGTAATAGGTCGGTAATCTAGTCCTTTGTTCGTGACGCCTAACTCGCTTAGGATAAGGTAAGTGGCTACACAACCAATAAGCATCAGAAGAGTGTGATCTGTATACAGGCCTTACCAGATGCAATAAAATCCAAGCTACAAATTATTGCAAAAGCTAGGCAGAAAAGTTGCAAGGCGATATTGATTCACTAAAAACAAGCAGTGATGAATGTATATATACTAAGGAGTAAAATCTAATTCTCCGCACAAGGCCTCCAGGAAGAGGTCAAAGTCTAGTTACAATCGACTCCGTCATAACAATATTTGCGCCATAGTTCCCTGAAACCATTGGAAAATATCGTACAGTACATCATTTACACAGGAAGCGTATGAAGCATAAATTTGGCGCACGGCCTAGATACAACCAAGATATCATTTGTAGCTCATGGGATTTTCGACAGTTTATCAGCCAACCCAACCATCTGCATCGGCCATCGCAGTAGCGGTCTCCAACTCGTGCCCAGAGAGCGATAAATCGCTTCGAACAAATGAGTCGCCCAACCTTGTGACCACCAGCACGAATCCAGCCTGGAAAGAACGACACAGTAGTGCGCAAGAATCACCAACGCCATGGGTTTTCGGGCCTTCAGATGGGCGAGGTACGCTTCCGGAAGAAGAATCGGCCAGCGAAAAACATTCTCCCAACTTGAAGCAGGTCGCTCAAATGAGATACGAAGCTCGCGAATCGCATGATTATTCGCATCTTTTTCCTCCGCGCTCAGCTGGGTTACATGGTCGCCATTGCAATCGTGCAGATAATCAAGTGCATTTATGACGTCCTTAGAAATCGGTTGGGATGCATTAATAGCAGGGCGCCGGATCATTGGCCCTAGCTCCCCCTTCTGTATGATCTCCCAGAACGTACTTAGGACGCTCTCCACACCGCGAAATAGAAGGAAATCTTGAAGAAGTTCCGCAACAGGTTCGCCCCCACCGGGTCTGCCGACAAATCGGGAGAAAGCAAAGGCTAGCGCAGCGATGAGACTCGAGAACGCGAATACCGCGTTGCAGTTTGATGGAGTGATATCATTCAACACTGGTCGAAACGCCGCAAGGGCAAGGTGCTGATGCATGGTGGCTAATTCGACATATTTCCGACGATTCGGGTCGTCATTGCTGCTGCTCTCTATGAGGTGAAGTGCTGATAGAGATAAAAGCCCGTGCATTAAAAAAGGGTGAGCAAGCGCTTCTTTGGGGATAACGGTTCTCCAAATATCGATATGTTCCGGGGTGTTTGAAAGTGTCGTACAGGTCACCGTGGTGTAATGGTGCATAAGCTTCAAATCATCAAGATGTAAATTAGATGTGAACTGAGGATTCGTGCTGTCAAAGGTGGTAAAGATTTCCAGCTGGTCAACAGTTGATGAGGAAATGGGCATTGAAATTGAAGGGAGAGAAACAGGCGGCAGCACGGGAGGGGGTCTATTGACGATCGTTGATGGCCAACGACACGTGCTATTATTCGCAGGTACGGCCCCAGGAGGGGTTGCGAATTGGCACTCAATATTGTGCTTTTTGCAGTTGCCGCATGGCGGCGGCGTCTCGTCACACTGTTACAATGTAGAGTTAGAATGTTGCAGATGGAGTTGTTGATAGAACAGGACGACGAGGCCTAAGTCGTTGTGATAATGATATTTACTCTTTTTGTCTTGATACAACTGGACTATGGTGAAAACGAATGGCCTAGTTTAAGCTTCATAATCGATATATCTCCATACCTTTATCTTTCTTCTCTTGCATTGAAGACAACCCAAGCGGGACTTTCGATGGCTCCTTCTCGGCGGCATCGAGAATAAGAAAGGTGTAATTACTTTTCTCACTTCTGCGTACGTATCAGATCATACGCATGAATGGTCGTAGTAAAGAAAGTCATGGACATAACATTCAAAGCATAATCAAATCCTCTAGAGCAAATCATTGGCCAAGATGGCTTAGCAGCAACCGCTCGCCTAGATCCTGGACACCATGTATAGCTAAGTACCGGAGGAAAAAAAAGCTTTAAACATCTTAAGAAGACGCATAAAAGCTCTCTGAACAATCTATGCGCGGATATGACTTTCTCAGTGGAAATAGAGATCCAAAATTTCCGCCGAAGTCGTCCAGAGAAGAATGTGCCAAGCCGCCAGTGTTTGGTTACGTAATACGCACATCAAAGTAATTCCACGCAATAATTAGCTGGTGGAATACCTCGAAATACCAAGGAGGTATAAACACGTATGATTGGCTGATCGTCACATGATGAAATCGCAACCAATTTGCTCAATCAGGAAATTTATCGACTCACTCCTCCTGGCATTGAAGGCCTGCGAGAATGCATATGCATGTCTATTTAGGCAACTTCCGTTCGATTCGTTTATTCGATTACTTCCAATGTTGCTTCGATCCCGAGACAGGAATGATACTTCATTTGTCAGCGAACGAAATTCCAAAGGGATTGATCACAAGGTTTTGTAATTATGACAACCTTGAAGCCATGATTACCATATAATGAAGGATAGCCGTATCCTAGATGCGGAAGCTGTTCATGGATCGGAAAGGGATCTACCATTGATTCTCTGAGACAGCCGTCATCGAATTCGGGTACTACATCGTATCTATCTAACTAAGTGAACGCGTTTGGAACACCCCCCCCCCCCCCCTAAAGCTTTAATTTCACAAGCCTTGCCATTTAATGGTTCGATCAAAAAACCTCATGCATGGACAGAACGTTTCAACCACTCCAGTCCTCGGGAGGTTCTATTCCCCCGGATTTGCCTAGTCTCAGACATGCATGGCAAGTGACAAGCTTCATTAGAGTGAATTTCTTCAGTCAGTCAAGAGAACTGGAAAATGGCAATTGGTTCCGCATATGGTTTATGCGAGTATTGGGGTTTGCGATTTTACGTGCAACATATGACTGTTCAACCTGAACCTGGACGGAATGATAAAGTATCTGAGAACAATGCAGCATGTTGATGTGTTGGATCGGATGCTTGGCTTTGTTTAGTTCCCAATGAACTGTATGCCTCATTATTTGCGATTTCCAAGCTCTTCATGTCTTCAAGACCAAATTGTTCTGAAGCATCCGTCAACTTTGAAAACTTCAATGATTGTTAGGATTTTCATATGTCCATGAACACCCGTTGGACATGGAGAACTTTCATGCCCTTATTTTGTCTCACTTGACCTGCTGTGATACCCTACTGAATAAATAAAGTGACTCTCTGACAAGGCCGGCGTTAGGTATGGCTTTGGATTCCAGAATGTTGGGACAGATAGATACCTAACATTTTGACATATCCGCTCCCGTCTACTGGAGGATTGGTACCAATTTATCAACCGAGGGTTTTACCGGCCACATTGCCTTCCATCATGAAGTTTCATAGAAGAGCTTCAGGGGCCATCCTATAATATAACGACAAGGTGTTACTTGTATGCTTTGTCACTCGATTGTGTTTAATTTTAAGGCACTCCACATTGCCGACATTTCGTGTTGTTCCACTCTTTCATGCAGATCGGGTTACACCAAATTTTGGGCTTTTTGTGCTCCCACATCCCGCCCCGGCAAGTACGTTATTTTTTACCTGCAAAGGAGGAGACGGTTGAAGTTTCGACAAACTTTGCTAGTCATTATTACACCACGAGCCCAGTTTAAATTCTTTGCAGCCAATACATGGCTCTGCTCACCTTCGTTCTTGAGCAAGGGCTTGGTAGACGCCCATTTTCTTGTTCGTTCTACTTACCAAATTACCAAATAATGGCACTTACCAGCGTTTTATTACATATGTTTCCTTGTTCCATGATTGGTAAGTTTTGCGACTCGCTCTACCTACTCCACAGATTGTGGGGAAAAAAAAAAAAAAAGTCTCATGGCACTTCTTCTGCTAACCCCTTCATGTCTTGCATTATTACATTAATACAGTATCAAATCACCTGCATGCTGAGGCGAAACTCAGTCCTGCTCACTGGACCAAGACTATCTGGAACAGTCTTGCATCATGGGCACCGATCTCATTGACAATTGCTCCCCTCGAGATTGATATCCTACAGATTTTGCCATCGTGAAATCATTTTCACTTACTAAAGCTGCATCTAGCCTACAGCTATTGTCCCGTGAGACGTTACAGAATTGGTCACTCATTTTTCCGGTCATGATCGAATCAACATCGGGCGTCCTCTATACCATTAGTGTCACAACGACATTCTCAAGAGGAACGCTCAGGCCTCTGTCTCAATGTCTTTCTTCATTCATCAATTCACTGCCCTCTCACAACAATCTGCTCAAGGTGTTGGGAAATTGGGGTCAGAGCTGTGTTTGACGCATTGCCACGCTAGGTTCTGTTAAATAAGCCTAATCGGTGCGCATCTCGGGTCAAGTAACGTGCTCATTCATTGAGGATTGCTGAGAGTAAAAGTAGCCCAACGTCCTTGATATTTATGTTTCTATTTACGTCACTCTCTAGTTTTCCGTCCCTGCCAGATCATTCGTTTCCCTTCGTTTTATGTGACTTTTCTTTCTCATTCGAGTATCCCATTAGCATTTTCTATCTTGTGCTAAGCGTTATGCCCATTCAGTCTGTTTGCCCATAGAATTTCAACTCTTCAGTCACCAATCATGAGGCAACATTTTCTGGCCTCTCTCATATCATTTTGGAGTATTATGATAATTGGGACCTTGGGAGGGTCCGACGAATGGGGTAAAAACAGGCAAGATCTCATTGACACCGGGGCATGCCTGCTTCAGCTGCAAACAAACGCAAGCCATCAACTCTATGAAGCACTGAGAGGACGTCGAGATACTCGCCAGGATGAGAAGGCAAGAGCTTGTAACAACGGCCACGACTGTGACGACTATCGAATTGATGACCGTGGGAAAAAGAATCATCGCCTATGTACGCCGAGTACATTAACTATTCGGAAGGAATGGTGAGTTAACACAATTCCTTCTAAAACAATTCACACGCTGATTTGAAAAACCTAATGTTTCTTTGCCTAGGCGGTTCTTGTCCAAAGCAGAAAGGAGGAAATACATTGAAGCTGTGTATTGTCTTCAATCCAAGCCATCATTGTTTACGGAGGAAGAAGCACCAGGCTCCAAAAATCTTTTTGACTCGTTCGCTGTCGTTCATATTACCAAAACCCCATTCATCCACGGAAATGTAGGTTTTTGGTATATGTGCACCGTCTCATAGTATCCAAGTGCTTATAGTTTCTAGTTCAACTTCCTCGCCTGGCATCGGTACTTCGTCTGGGCATATGAGAAGGCTCTTAGGGAGGAATGTGGATATCATGGGATTAGCCCGTAAGAATGCCTCAATCTCACCTAACTTGTGGCCCATTGGGGATGTATGTACCCATGTTTTGACCTTTCAACAGTTATTGGGAGTGGGGATACGACGTCTATGATCCGCAAAAATCTGCTCTCTTTGATGGCTCGCCTTATAGTTTTGGGAGTAATGGTGCTCCATTGGCAGAACGAGACCCAACGTACCGCCTACCGCCTCCGCCACCATTTCCAAAAGTAGAGGGTCGCGAGTTTCCAGCTGGAACTGGGGGAGGATGCGTCACGTTTGGTCCCTTTTCAGACATGACCACCAATTTAGGCCCAGTTGGAATGCCCGGGGGCGACCTAACCAATCCATTGCGCTACAATCCCAGATGTCTGATGCGCGACATGAACCCATTCATAGGCCAGCACTACACCTCTTTCAACTGGTCGACGTGGACTATCGAGGAGAGCAGGGACATTGATGAGTTTCAATCTCGTCTTGCCGGGGCGCCAGGCAATGAAGACCAGAAAGATTTTCCGCTGAACTTCTTCGGGGTGCATGGCGGTGGGCACACGTTTTTGGGTGGGATGACTGGACAACGTATGTGTAGTACTCTCCCACCCCATATTTTCCGATGCTCTAGAGAAACTAACATCGTTATCCTCCAGACTCAGACTTTTATTCTAGCCCTCAAGAACCAGCGTTTTTCCTGCATCACGGCCAAATTGACCGCCTCTGGTCGATCTGGCAGTGGTTAGATATCGAGAAACGACGGAATGCAATCTATGGAACACTTACACTCGCCAATATACCTCCTACCAGGAATGGAACTTTGGACGACATCATCGATGTGGGACCACTTGCACCGCCAGTGCCTGTACGAGAGGTTATGAGCACAATCGATGGGCCGTTTTGCTACTTTTATCAATAATCCCAAGATCACCCATAGCCCTTAGCTTCAATGTCTTTTCAATAGTTGTCCGCTCTATATATACGGATCCCTAGTCTGACTTCGTTTTTTGTTTTGCACGATTAGGGGATGCCAGACTCGACACATTTGTCCATGAAATGATTTACCAGAAGCAGGTGTTGCAGGGTTAAATAAAGTAGAATAATTCATAGAAGGGTGTACATCTCGACATAAATGTTAAATTTTTAATTCACATTTTGATCGGACAAGACACAATTTTCGTTCCTTTTTTCCAAAGACAACGCGTCTCTGCGATATTTATCACGTGGTTTAAACTCACGCGTCCTTAATTGGCAATTAGGCGTGTTAATCCCGGCATGCAGCTTCCCGCACGCGTAGTAGGAGATTCAACCACCTCAGTCAATCCCAAGCAAACCTGGCGTCTGTGAACGAGCTCGTTTCCGGATATGCTTCAGGAAATAATTACGATTCCACTACGACCTCCACAATGAGCTCAACTATGCTAAAACCTCCTCAAAAACGAGTTCTCGGCGATGCTACCATCAACCGTCACAATGTACTGCCGAAGTCACCCAGTACCGCAAAGAAGCGGAAGCTCGAAGCTGAACAGCCCACTATCGGAATTAAACCGTCCTCGCAGACTGGCAACAGGAAACTCATTTCCTCAGGCCCTCGTCAATCGCAGCAGAAAAGCCAGTTCGAGGAGGAAGTCTTGGAGAAGCTGACGCAGGACATTTCAGGACTGAAGGAAAACAACTCGGAGAAAGACCAGCAGTGGGCTCGGCCAAGTTTGGATAACTTTGACGCATCGCGAGACAATCTTTGCTTCCAGCAAATTGAAGCGGAGGAAGGTACTATAGGGGGCGGAAAGCAACCCGCGGTTAAGCTTTTCGGGGTTACTGAGGTAAATTCATTTTAAGGCTTTATGAATTTTCTTTTCATTCTAACGGGATCCTATTTTTATCTAACTAGGCTGGCCATTCGGTTCTCTTACATGTTACGCATTTCCTGCACTATCTCTATGTGGCTGCCCCGGTCTCGTTTGCTCCAACGGACTGTGAAGGATTCAAGGCATATCTCGAGCACGAAATTGAGATCCATCACCCAGCTATACATTCAGTACAGATGGTAATGCGAGAAAACCTATTCGGCTTTCAGGGAAACCAGAAAAGCCCCTATTTGAAGATCACAGTGACTGATCCGCGACATATCAACAAATTGCGAACGCTGATTGAAACAGGCAAGGCGAATTATCGAGGAATGTGGAGAGCCGATGCTGATGGGATATTGACCTTTGATAATATAGAATATATTTTACGGTTTATGATTGATACAGGAGTAAGAATTCCTTTGCTGGCCTCACTTTCTCCAACTTTCTTTCTGTTCGAGTTTGCTCTGGCTAATTAGTTTTGAAGATATCGGGCATGTCTTGGGTAGAAGCACCGGCTTCCAAATACCAAATCCTCCCGATGGTCGAGCGGATGTCAAATTGCCAAATAGAAGCTACAATTCATTACCGTGACCTCATTGCCCATCCCAACGATGGCGAGTGGGCAAAAATGGCACCACTCCGAATCCTTTCTTTCGATATTGAGTGTGCTGGTCGCAAGGGTGTGTTTCCCGAGGCCAATCAAGACCCGGTAATTCAAATCGCCAATGTCGTTACACGTTATGGGGAATCAAAACCTTTTATCCGAAATGTGTTTGTTTTGGACACATGTAGCTTGATTGTCAATACCCAACTTTTGGAATTCGACACTGAAGAAAAAATGCTGATGGCTTGGAAGAACTTCCTGGTGGAAGTTGATCCAGATGTTATCATCGGATACAATATTGCTAATTTCGATTTCCCCTACCTTCTTAAGCGCGCAGAACATCTCAAATGTTCGGGATTTCACTTCTGGTCCAGACTAAAACATATCCCTTCTCGGGTAGGGGACGCAAGATTTTCAAGCAAGCAAATAGGAAATCGGGAATCCAAGTCTACTAACATTAGCGGTAGAATTCAGCTTGACCTCCTTCAACTTGTTCAGCGGGATTATCAGCTGCGAAGCTACACCCTAAATTCGGTATGTGCGCAATTTTTAGGAGAACAAAAAGAGGATGTTCATCATACAATGATAACAGAACTTTTCAATGGATCCCCGGATTCGAGGCGACGGTTGGCTGTTTACTGCTTGAAGGATGCATACTTGCCCCAACGACTTATGGATAAACTCATGTGCCTTGTCAATTATACCGAAATGGCGAGAGTTACTGGCGTGCCTTTCAATTTCCTCCTTTCCCGTGGACAACAAGTCAAGTTTATCAGTCAACTATTCCGTAAGGCTCTCGAACAACAACTGGTTATTCCCAACTTACGGAACGAATCAACTAGCGAACAGTACGAAGGAGCAACAGTCATCGAGCCTATTAGAGATTTCTACGATGTTCCGATAGCTACCCTTGATTTCGCGTCTCTATATCCCAGTATTATTCAAGCACATAACCTTTGTTACACCACTCTTTTAAAAAAGTCAACCATCGACGCACACCAGATGAAAGAAGGAGAAGACTATATCGTGACACCAAACGGGGATAGATTCTGCACGTCGAAAGTCCGCAAAGGACTCCTGACTCAGATCCTGGAGGAACTTCTTGGAGCGAGAAAGCGTGCGAAGAAGGAGCTTGCAGTGGAAACGGATCCGTTCAAAAAGGCTGTCTTGAACGGACGACAACTTGCTCTTAAAATCAGCGCCAACAGCGTTTATGGACTGACTGGCGCAACCGTTGGTAAACTGCCATGTTTGCCGATTGCCAGTAGCACGACTAGTTACGGCCGCCAAATGATTGAGAAGACTAAAGAAGAGGTAGAGGCTAAATATACCATCGCCAACGGGTATTCTCACGATGCTAAAGTTGTGTACGGTGATACGGACTCCGTAATGGTTAAGTTTGGAATGAAAGACCTTGCAGAGGCGATGAAACTTGGCCAGGAAGCAGCTGATTATGTTTCATCCAAGTTCATTAATCCCATAAAATTGGAGTTCGAGAAAGTGTATTTCCCATACCTCCTCATCAACAAGAAACGCTATGCTGGTCTCTATTGGACCAGGCCAGACAAGTATGATAAAATGGATACCAAGGGAATTGAAACAGTCCGCAGAGATAACTGCCGTATGGTGCAGACGGTTATCGAAACTGTCCTCAGGAAAATACTCATTGATCGGGACGTTGATGGTGCCCAAAGGTATAATCTCCAGTTTTATTTTCTTTTTCTTATTCCCTTTGCGCGGTTTATTAACCTTTAATCTCTTCCCGATAGTTATGTGAAGGATACGATATCTGATCTACTCCAAAACAAAATCGATATGTCTAAACTCGTGATTACGAAGGCCCTCTCTAAAAAGGATTATACAGCGAAACAAGCGCACGTCGAGCTGGCAGAGAGAATGAAGAAGCGCGACGCCGGCTCTGCCCCAACTCTGGGTGATCGAGTTGCATATGTCATTGTTAAAGGTGCTGGAGGATCAAAGAATTATGAAAAATCGGAAGACCCTATATACGTGCTCGAAAACAACATTCCAATAGACACGAAATACTACCTCGACAATCAGCTCGCGAAACCTCTCACACGTATCTTCGAGCCCATCCTTGGCGAAAAGAAAGCCGGTCAGTTGCTCACTGGAGAACACACTCGATCCATCTCAGTCGCAGCCCCGACATTGGGTGGCCTGATGAAATTCACTAAGAAAACGCAAACCTGTATGGGTTGCAAGAAGCCCCTTACCGGGAAAGAGGGCTCTGACGGCGCGGTTTGTCAGGATTGTCGCCCGCGGCTCGGTGAGCTGTACACCAAAACTCTAACTAAAGTGTCTGATCTGGAGGTGAGGTTCGGGCGCTTGTGGACGCAGTGCCAGCGATGTCAGGGCAGTTTGCACTGTGAGGTTATCTGCTCAAGCAGAGATTGTCCGATATTCTACATGCGAATGAAGGCGAAGAAGGATGTTGAGGATGCTGAGAAGGAGTTAGCGCGCTTTGATCACGACCTAGGGGCCTGGTGAGCGAGTTGGATATGGGCGGTAGTGTATTTCTCTATTTACTGGCCGCTTGGTTATGTGCCTGCATTCGCATTTGGAATATGTCATGCGGGAATGACTTGCTTGGTTTTATGACATGTATAGGTTGTCGAAAATATGTAGGGACCCTGGTTTTTCGCGTCTGTTTTCTTATTATTTGTTTGTATGATCATTGTCGTATTGTTGTTGTACGACTACATCTCATGGTAATGGCACATTTTTCTATTCTCTCTTACCTGTATTGCCTTGTTCGTTTCCGTTATTATCTTTGATCATGGCTCCATAGTCGTCTATCCCCAATATCCTTAGTATCACTGGCGCTTCTCCCCTCCGAGACTTTTATCATGTTCTTTTTCGCCCACCTTGCTATTCTTGCGTGTCCTCCATTAGGTATCTGTGTATGAATGGTCCATTGCACTGTACATGCTCACCGATGGAAGCACCGTTATACCCCACATCCCAAAAAATCAAGTAGTGACTGATTTAATGATATGCAAAAATGACGACATATCTGTTGTTTCCCAAACGGCTAGTTTAACATTCTCACCTGAAGCTAATTTAAACTTAACCTTTTCATGGTGCATAATTTTCTGCCCCTGCAATATCCTCTTTTTGTCATTCTAGAAAACATGAAACCTAAACAAAATGTTTGACGTCGTTCAGAGCACGCAGTGGATGGGTTAATTACATCGATGAACTACCTACTACCTGAGGGGTCATGTATATACATATAGATGTAGCGATTGTGCTGTACTTACTCGAACTACTGTTGAAGGAGCATGCGCACTTACATTACCTGCTGATGCCAATAGGAGATGTTTTTTTTTAGCCCAATAGAAAGGGTTTCTACACACAGGAAACATCCGGCAAACCAATATCCACACCTATATATCTTTACAAGTGCTCTCCAGCCATTGGTCATTGTCACTGGTAGGAAGAATCAGATATTTGGGAGAATGCGCGTCTGAAGAAATAAATTCAACAGAGATAATGTCGAATCCTAAATCCTGTCAGAAGCTCGCTCAGTTTTTCAATGCCACCCCTCGCTTGTGTGCATACATAGTAACGAACCCCTGAACATTCGTGAGCTTAGCATGCGCTAAACTGGTTCCCGAAAAGCGAGCACGCTTACAGCTGATTGGTCAGTGCAGACCTCACTTCAACTCCAACCGTGAATCCCACCAGACTTGAACTCACAGATAACTGCCCGCAACACTGTCATGGCTGACGAAAAATACGGATTGTTAACGATTCGCATTATAGCCCTTCGACAGCGAAATGCCTGAACCACAGAATCCCCGGTCGAGTGGTCATTTTGTATCATGGCCTGAGGTAAGCACAGAGTTCCAACTGCCTGCAAACAATGACTGTCCCCACACACATGAACATGACACGGTCTCACTGACAAGTTACTATTGCTCGCCACTTTTCAGATATTTTCGCAGCATGAGTCAAATTTGAATCGACACCTCCAAATATGTCTTATGGTAAAGCAGCATGTTGTCCAAGAAAGCCCATCCGCCCGAGTCCTGTCGTCAATGGTGGATCGAACGCAAGAGCTGCTCAGGCTGCTGGACGACCTCAGAATTGAATTTGTAATGCCACTGTTCCAGTCCTCGAGTTAGGGCGACACTTTTTGACATATGAAATCGTATTAGATGCCGCAGTGTACTGCAACCAGGATCCTCTCGAGCAAATCTCTGAATAGGGTCGAGGAGCAAAGGACTCTGAATAAAGATGCAGCATTCGTGTGCCACGACCCTTCAAATTCACAGTCAGCTACACTGAATGGAAGTACTCGACATTCTCATGATGGATCAAGCGCGGCTGCTGGGACGCCGATCCCTCCGTTTGTGTTTGACAAGCGACCTATACCGTGTCCCCTCCCTCAGCATTTAGGGGGTAGGAATAAACGCACATCGGATTATGAAGGCGGAACTGGAAATAATGACGAAATTACTGTTGCCTTGCCGTCAAGGAAGCGGCAGAAGTTTTGCTCAGCTGAAAACGGTGAGGCCGTTGATGGGGACAACGCGTGTGCAAGCACTTCAAACCGTTTCGTCGAAACTGAAGATATCTCGGCGGAGGTCGAGGCGCGACTTAAAGCAAAAGAAGAAAACCGACGACGTAGAGCGGAGAAACGAGAAAAGAAGAGGAAAAGAAGTAGCTCTGGGTCAGCTTCTGGGGCGTCTGGACCCGACCGCTCATCGCAGCAACGAACCAAACGATCCAGGGTGCATTATGGCGCGGACGGAGAAGAGCTCTCTTCCACTTGTCCAACAGACGTACATATACCGAGACATGAAAAAAAGAAAACCCATCGGCGATGTCCATGAAATCTTAAAGGACAACGAGGGAAACCACGGTGGAATAATGAACAAAAGCCGAGGAAGTCACGATCCAAGCTTCGTATGGAATATATACAGCGGCGTATATGATTCCTATACTGTCCTAATCCTATGTTGGTCTATATTATGTCAATATTATATTGGACTCTCTGTCTTCAGCCATTCCGTGATGGACAATTCCACGAAAGCCAACCCCTTGCTCGCTTTCTTCTCCAAGCTGTCCTGCTCTCGTTTTCCCTCCTCGCACGGGATGGCGCTCTGTCCGTCGCGCCTTCTCTCTTTACTTTCCTTTCCGAGCCTAGTTTATAACAGCTCCTACGAGTTGTAAGAGCTAACGGACTCCAGAAAACAGGTGCTGTGGAACTTTATTACTCCGCAATGATTAACCTAGGTTCGTCCCTGCTGGCGGCGAAGTGATGATGCGCCGTTCTCATTTTTACACCATTCTCTAAGGCTTTCTTGCTGGAGGCAAAATCTGACCAAACTTTCCAGCCTCTTCTATAAAATCCCCTTCATCTACTGCTGGTCCCTTCCTTTCTTCATCTTTCTTACAATGTCCGTACGTCGCTCATTGCTCAAATCGATAGAGTTACGTAATTTTGGCCCTTTATACCTTTCGTTTCTGGCTTCCCAGACCTACTTTGCGTATTTATACTTCTCTGCGTGAAAGCCTTCGCCACAATTTTGACTTCCTTCTGCAAAAAGGTGGCTCAAATTCCTCCAACACCCATTTTATTCCCTACATCTTTGAAGCTCGAGATATCAAACCCGTTTTTATACTGCTTCTTTACTTCTGGCTATCTTCCGGCACAGGGGCATTTTTATCTCTCTACATCGAATTTCCAGCGGAGCAACTTCAAATATCGCCATATCTTACAACACTGAACGGAGTCTTGCCAATTAATCTACTCACCTTAGCCTTCTTACCTTGTCCCAACAACTCTCACCAGCGACTTTGTTGATTTTTCAGAAAACCTCGAACGATTAAGCTTTGGTAACGGCCGGCCAAATATCCCAGCAGCCTTTTTAAGTGTCAGCGGATCAGACTCTACCTAGTTGATATACTCGGGTAGCTGAAGCTCCAATGTGGTGGAATTCCAACCTGTTTGATTCACCACAATCTTTCCGAAGCTCCAGCGGACATTCAGCAACTTATTGAAACCTTGTCGATCTAAACATCACAAAGGAGGGATATATGAGCCTTCGTTTTTAAACTCTCCAATATGTCACCCCACAACGGTGGAAGCAACCAAATTAACAACTTCGAGATCGTCGTTGAGGGTGTGTGTTCCCTCCTATTCAATTTACCTCTTGTTATCATTGACAAGTGAACTGACACCCCTGATTTAGATTTTTTCATGGAGGCTGTCCTAGGGTAAATATAAACCCTTGGCGCACTGTCCTCCTGTTGGTTGATCGTTGCCTGAACCGCAGTCGTCTCTGTAGCAGTGGTACAATCGAAATTCCTCCCAGAGACTACTTGCCGAAACCAATCGAAAACATGGATGTGCATGAAGGTCTGGAAACGGGCTATACTGGGCTGGGAGAAATTGGACTCAATGACACAATTTTCGAAACTATAAACGACAATGCCAGTTTCTTCAATATGTCATTTAATCCGCCACTCGTTCCCAAGGAGAGATACCACCAGGCATGCTGCGATACACTTTACAAAGAGCATTGCGATATTTCCACCATCTTTATAGACCTCACCTTGGCGTCCTTTAAGAATGTGGCAGAACCACGCCTCACTTTGGCAGACGATATAAGTCAAGCAGTGTCAGAAATGCCGACTCCCAAAAGCTGTTTGCAGGAGTCACACCCATCAAAAACTCCTCCACTGCCTTTTCACAACCCCAGCTCGCCAACTCGCCCAACATGTGGTCCAGCACCTCCAACCACTCCTCCCAAAAAGATTGGTCATCAACCAAGAAATTCCTCTCGAGGAAATTCTCCGCATCGTCCTCAACATGGTGAATGCGGTCGAGAGAATCCGCACGTTGGCTCTGAAAGCCGAATCACAAAGAAATACAAAAACCCGCTTACCGCATCGCTTAAACAGTTTACGAGGGAACTGATCGAAGGTCCCGACGCATTGAAAAATGGGTTGTGCATAACACAGGAAGCCATGCCCGTCAAGCGCATGAGCTATGTTAAACTTTTAGAGAAAGAGAGCAAGAGTTTTGCACTAAGAATTTGAGAAGGATAAATGTGGTGGTTCCCTATTTTTATTTATGGCCCGCTATCGTATGTTTCGTTCGCTTTCGCTGATCCAGTTTTTGTTTTATTGTGAGAACTGGATTTTGGAGGGGCTAAGGCTGCTTGGGTTGGACAACGTGAGAAATCGCCGGGCCACCTTGCAAACGCTAAATTGCACTGCTGGGTTTGGAATTGATTTTACAGGGATGTTCAATTGTTTTTTTCTCCTTTCCTTGTATTCCTCACAACTTGCAATCATCTTGTACAGAACGCGCTTGTTTTGCAATATTTAGAAACTCTGGTGGCTGGGATGTTTTTCACCCTTTTCTAAATTGTAACTTAAGGGAAATTTTGCAGAATGGACTTCCTTCTTTGCTTTTCATACTGGATGTCAGTACTGTCAAATCGGTAGTCGGAGCAATGAATGATCCAAGAATTTTGTATCCTTTGTATGGATGGCAAGAAGTCAAAAGGCGCGGGTCCTAAAGAGTCCCATGCGCGTAATATTGTAAAAATACTTGAAAAAGAGGTGGCCAACTAATCCTATCGTACATTGGGGGTTATCTCGGTCGAGTATCACACATTGCTCTGGTGCCCAGGGAGATGAGAGTGCACGTAACTTTCATCATCAAAGTGTAGCCATCTCTTTTCCACCACAATTTCCTTTTACCACTTTCCACACATCAATACTTTTACAGTAGGCGGATGAATAAAAGACAAACAGAGTCAAAATAAGGATCATCATGTTGGAGACGTCGCAGTTCGAAGAGTGGATATAGTACTCTGCTGCTTAGGGGGATAGGAGAAGAGCCACGGATGCTCTGTGAGCTTGAGGTACCATGATAACCAGATCCAGCAATTGAGAAAGCGGAATAGTACATGTTTGTACACATACGATCTTCGCCTCTTCATGCTTCTCCCACTCGTCAAAAGGACTCGAAGTCGACCTCTCAGCTTACAGAAGTAGTTTCGAGCCCTTTCCAAAATGAGAATCTCCGAAACTCCATGTCTAGCTCTTGTGACGATAAGGCTGAAGAGATGTCAGAACACGACGAGGAAAACGACCCGATGGTTGGGATTTGACAATCGTAGCAGCGCATCGTCTAGCGAATCCCCTCTGGATGGACAATGAGAGACATAACCTGAAAAATCACCTTAAAGGTTCACACCCCGCAAGAAAATCCAAATATTCATCTGCTCCTACTTCCCTTTTCCGTTCCGCCTCCACTTTTTACCTCATCCTCTTCACCCAACTCACCATCCTTCTGGCCCCAAGTCACCACATCCCAAATATGTTCCTTGATCAAATCTCCATACCCCTTCCCTTCCTCTAGTGCCTTCTGCTCTTCCCTGCGCCTCCGTTCCTTCCACCCTTCCCTCTCCCCACCCATCCACACCTTTTGCACAATACTCATCTCCTTCTCCTCCGCTTGTCTCTGCTTCCACCTCTCCAGCTCCTGACCTACAATATTCCCTTCCCGCATCTCAGCCTCCCGCACAGCGCGCAGCTGTGCCTGCATCGCCTCTGCCTGCGGCGTAGGCAGGTCGCGGAACACAGTCGGCCGGTTCTCGCCGACTGTGCGCGACCGGAGCTGTCCGACTATACTGCTCCCTGTGTGAATGGAGGAGATGCGATTTGCGGACACGAGGAACGCAGCGCCAAGGCTGAAGGTGTAAAAGTCTAGTTTGCGCGGCGGCAGAGCGATGAAAACGGGTGATGCAAATAGGAAGGTATAAGCGGCGAAGTTTTTGAATTTCTCATAGTCGGCTTTGCGATCGCGGACGGGATGGGTTGCTGTAGTGGTGGTACTGGAGGATGATTGTGGTGCGGAGGAGTCGGCCGGTGCCATGGCCTGACTTCCAGGGAGGGATCTTTTCCCCTCCTATGAAGGGCTCAGTGAGATCAAGGCGTAGCGGGATATGGATTTGCTTTCTTGTTACAACCAAGGCTTAAGCGCTGTTGTATTGTTTGCTTGCCGGTCTTGGTTCGCGGAATCGGGAGTTAAATGCTAGTAATAGCACTATCTTGCGGACTGTCCTTTTTGTGAAAGAATTGAATATTTATAATTGGAGAGGAGGTAATGGTATATCGGTATTTACAAAATGCCAATTGGAAGACTCAATCTTTGAGTAGATTTTGTAGTTATATTTGGTGGATAAAAAGAAACAGGCATGATGTAAAACTTTTTGTAATGTTCTAGATTGCCCAATTGGGGATAGACAAGTCAAAGATTCAATCCCAGGAGCAATTCTGTTCTATAAAAGTAAAGCAAAAATTCGCCGGCATTAACTATCAGATTGAATTCACTTGAAACAGCAACGCGGATTAATACCAATTATTTCATAAATTTCTTGAGCATCTTCCTATAGTCATTGAAAGGATTTTTTGCGTCCAAAGTCAAATCAACAACCTCATCCAATGATTATTTCTCCTATTATAGCCCCTAGAAAATAAGAAATGCTAGTATTTGAGTAACGTATTTAATTTAAGTCGCTATTTCGGAACTTCCATCAGCCACTCATCGTCCTAGAACGAGCCATATAAATTTCGCATACCCTCCCTTTCCTATGTCCATCTACGAGTACTTTTCCCGCCAGCCAAACCACAAAGTTGCTTTTTCATCTCTTGTTTCGCGTCAACGGAGAATACGGAATCGATAGCGATAAACCATCTACTAAACGGTGGGTGCGAGCTTCTAACTCTCAATATCCACACGCATGTTTGGCCAAAGTCCCCCCTTACCACACAACTTTCTTCCAATCAATTCCAGTTTGAGATGGCAGAACGGTTCGATACCTGATAGAGCCATCTTCATTCTCTCCGGCTGGCTCGATCAGTCCGGCGGATATTTCATCCATTATGCGGGCATAGTTCTCGTCCTTATTCACTTTGCAGCGCACCGTGGCGGATTCGCAGTGCGCTGTCAATGCTGTGCTAGTTTTAAACATGCGCAAGCACCCGGGACAGCTACACGGATGAGAAAGGCACTCTTGTTAGGGCTTATTCTTAATTTCCCAAGGAGGTAATGTTGGGCGAAGCGAAGGGGCAGGTGTGCATAAAGGTGTATATGGGGGAGACAGGAAACAACCAAATAAGTGGATAGGTTACAGATGGTGAAGATGTTCATACCGGAAAACACCACCCATATGGATACCAGACTTAATGTGGCTCTCGAATCCTTTCTCACTATCAAATACCTTATCACATACACATACCCACTTGCCCATAGCGGGACTGAAGAACTTAGAAGGACTCCATGGTTCCTGTTGGCGTTTCTCGACAGCCCCGCCTGTCCGAGGAATAGGCGATGCGGCAAATTTGCTTTCCCAAGTTCCCCAAGTTTTCTCGGATGCCTTTGATGACGTCTCGTCAAAATCGATCAAAAGGGCTTTTTTGTCGCGCGGGGTTATCTGTTGGCCGCTGTTGCTAGTGCGGAAACTGCTTCTAGATCCCTCCTCATCACGGCAAAATCCGGCGTCAGAATACGTCGTGAAGTCTCTCTCCTCCGGGTCCATCTCCACGTCTTGCCCTTCTCCGAGGGTTGGCCAGAGGCTCATACCGCGGAGTTGCACAGAGGCCGTGTCCCATCCACCACTGCTCCCTGTGGCGGCCGGCTTACTGCTCGCATCCAGCGTGGACATCGTTTCATGCCTATCTAGGAGAGAGAGGCCAGTACCACCATCCACGCTCGAAGTGATAGATGAACCAGGAAGCTCCAAGCCGTTTCCAATAGGGTCCAAGACCCGGGACATCACGGTCCTGAGAGCTTCCTTTTTGACACGCTGTTCCCTATACCGCTCTGCAGAGAACGACGGACACTGGTCGTTTTCTATATGACACATGTACGCATGGGCACGGCTGAACTTGGCAGAGCAGAAGTGGCAGACCATCTCTTGGTTGGCCCTATGGAACTGTTTAAAGTATGAGTTGCGCGTCTTCAGGGGTTATAGGAAATACATGGAATCGTAGTAATAGACAATGTGCATGACAGCGGTGGGTAGGAAATGGAAATGACAGCCGATTAAGTAAAACTCGATAGATACCACAAGCAGCAAAGCATCATACCTGAGTAAAATGTGTGTTCTTGCCCCCCTCGCTTTTAAATTCTTCTCCGCAGCAAGGACAGACAATATGGCTGTTGCTCTCGAGTTTATGGGCGAACAATTCCCTCTCATCTTCGAAGTCCAGGTCGCAACGCGCACAGTATTCATGGTCAATGAACTGGATTTTGTGTTTTCGAAGTTCCTTCTGAGTAGCGAAGGTACGGTTGCAATTGTCAAAGGTGCAGACGATTCTAGGACTGACTTCTTTGGAGTCCATGTCGGGGGTTTTTGTCGTTAGCTGGCTGGTTGATGGGAGGTGGTTATATCCTTCGGTGATGCTGGGGAAAGAGAGGAGAAATAATGTTTACAGAAGTAAAGAATAAAGAAGAACGAGACGGAAGCAGATAGTGTTCTTATAGCTTCTTGTTCACCTGAGCCAGGGATCCTCGACGGCAGGTGAATGTTTTATCTGATGAGTAATGCGAGAAGCATCCCACAGCTCACTATCACTACCTGGGTTATAATTAAATGGGTGTATCATATAAACGGAAATTGATATTGAGCAAAATTTCTTTTCGATGTTTGTTTGCCCATCCTATCGGTTTAATCATGGATAATAACAAAGCAGTATTTCTCATTTGGCATTTTGCGTACCTATCAGCTAGTGATCCGTACTATTACCTAGCGATGACTTAAAAGCCTTAAATCAAGAAATAGGGTGAATATTTTTCAGCATAGAAGATAGGATCAAGGTTTTATATAATATCGCCGTCCTCCATTTACCCATTTCCATTTCAAATCCCGCTTAGAATCGTGAATACGGAAGCCTATCGTAGTGAATTAATCAGCTCAAAAAGCACATTCTATATCCTACGGCTGAAATGGATAGATCCAAAAAAAGGTCCCACAAACGTATAAAAAATGATAATAGAATTGCACATACCACTTCCCCCTCCACGTCACGACTGCCCAATCATTTCCATCCTTATCAGTCTCCTTCTCAACCTTGGTCGAGAACGAAATCGCACTCATAATTCCATCTCCAAACTTCTCATTCATCACCGCTTTATATGCATACCCGTAATTCTGCACAATCTCATACAGACGATAGATCAAGGGGTCCTTAGGTGGGAAGGGGACGGATTTGCCCCGGTCCGGGAACCCGCTCAGAAGGAACTCCAACTGGCCATAGTTAATGCCAAGGACCTCGGCCAACTTGTCAATATCTTCTGCGGAGGCTTTTGCTTGTCCGTAGAAGATAGCTGCGGTGGCTACTTCATTCCGGCCAATGTGGGATGCGATTTTCTCGAAAGAGAGCCTCTTGTCGGCTTTGGCTTTGAAGAGCACTGCGGATGAGGTGGGGAGGTTAGGATGTTCGGAGATCTGGGCGGAATAGGTTAATCACCTGTTCACCGGTACCTTTTTCCAAGGAAGATACTTTACATCGAGAGTTGTGAGGTTGATATTGGACATGCTGTATCGTATGCTGCGTGGAGATTCACTGATTGTATTGTCTGTGGTGCGGGATGGTGTGGAATGTCATTAGGTCTGTCGAATTGACGGGCTTTCAGGATCGTCTTCCCTGTCTCTCTGCAATGCAAGCCACAAGGAGGAATGCCGGACATATATAGGATCGAGACCAAGTTTATGACTAAGAATTTCGTAGCGATTATGCGGCGCAATGACGGCTCAACATCCTTCTCCGAAGCCCACCTGGGCAGTTGAAAGGGGCGCGGGGTTGCTTGGAGATGAGGGGTAGCGAGTGAGGGGAAGAGCACACGGCAGGAACTGGGAGAAGAAGCCACACTAACATACCTTTATACGAATGTACTGTGCATGGGATAGGGTTCTGCTGAGGGGAGTCGAACTCCAATTTTGCTGATATAAATTTTGATGTTTCAAAGCAAGTAGTTATTTATGTAAATCCGCTGCAAAACCATTTCTGATCAAGCCTGCACAATTCACCATGACGTCATCCCGCTTGGAGCTTATTTTGATACGGTTATCGCAGGATATCTTGGAGAACACACAGATGTCTTGTTTATGGCGAGATTCAATGCGGAGTTATTATACCCAAATCAATGCCATCTCCTACACTTCACACTGATGTGGTGCAATCCCCCAATCCTGAAAAATATATTGACCCCCGCTTGGACTGAGATATTCCCATTGGGATTGGCTTCGTTTCAAGCTTCCTGACAGAAGTGCAATTGTCTGCGATGGTTCCGTCCCGCTCCGCAAATATGTACCCATCCCACAAAATTGAGGAGGTGCTGTACGTCAGATAAAAGTCAAAGATACTAATTGGATTTTGAAATCTAATAAATGCCCATCCATGTTGCCTTCACAGCAGGTATCGATGCTTAGCGTTAGGCGTTCCCATAGTTTACATTGTATGTCTGGTCCCACACCTTGCTTTTCTTCTCCTCAAAGCCTTCCAGGTAATCTGACTGTATTCTCCCTTCCATACCCCGTAGCGCTCCCGCCCGTGCGTCAACAATCGGGCTCATCCACTCCGTCTCCGTTTTGCCCTGGGCCGAACGAACCGGGAAAGAAGCAGCGCCTAGCCCCGTCGGCCTGCTGTTCACATAGATATTTTCCCATCGGCCCTGTGGTACGACATATGTCTCATGAAATATAGAGACATGGGGAGTGTCATTCACGACGCTCGACCAATATTTCACTCCCTTAATGTGTAACGGCCCGTGGGCGTATTTGTGCAGCGACTCGAAATCCCGGAAGTACATCACGTTCATAAGCTCATTACTTGTTGTGTCCTCTGTACTGATCCAGGCCGAGGAGCCTAGGTACCCGGACTCCTCGGCAGTCTCTCGGAGCTCCCGTACCATTTTAGAGAAGTAGTCGGCCAATTTTAAAAACACAGGATCGAAGGTTCCAAGGGGGTGACTGGACTTCGCTCCTATCAAGAATACGACGAGGGGTCGCTCGGCAAAGGTCGAGCCAAAGGATCCGTCCGAGCGAGGCATTTGGGCCGTAAATTTGGTGAGAAGTACATTTGAGAGGTAGCGGTTCTTTGTCCAGCCCAAGGCCATGAGAAGATTGTTACCGAACCGGTAAGCAAGAACTGCGACGGCTGGGAGGAGAGAAAGATAGCCCAACAGAGCAACAACCACGCCTTGGATCAACCCGCCGACCAGAAGCCATGTGGTGATAGTGAAATTGTCGCGGATAATGTTGGTTCGGCGGTTTTGACTGAGCGTTTTTCTCAGTTGCATGTACGATGGCGTTTTTTGTGGTGATGAAAGTGGATGAAACGACTTTTCGGCCATCGTGTTGTATTCTAGGCTTGGTCGAATGGATTTTGGGATTATTATAACTTTAAGCGGTTTGTTAGCCCTGCAAATAGGGGGTGTCAATGAAGCAAAGACACAAATAATTCCTTCGTTCCTTCACTCTGGCAGGAATAACCGGAAGCAGTCCGTAATTAGGATCTTTATATCCATTCCACCAGGACCGGAGCTGAACCCTCAGGGTTGAAGGGCTTCTAAGCATGTCACATCGCCAACGGAGGTATTTCTGACTCAACATTTAAAATCAAGACCGAACATCGACGGACTCAAGTAGGGCGGTGGGGAAGGAGCCCGGCGCATCCATACAACGCTAGATATACACTGGAGATGATAAATCTGCTACAAACCAATTGACAAGTTAGACAAAGTATTCGGGGCTAGTAACCATGCCACCTGGGCCAGGGCCATTTGAACTCCAGTCTCGAGATTTCCAAAAATATTTCAAGCAAGACCAAACGCTGAGGTTTCTTCTATTGGCAGAAATCTTGGGATCCATATAATTTCACATTTGGCGCTTGGAACTTCGCATGTAAGAGTGGAGTTCATACCAAGTACCTGTAATCTCCGCCTCAACATCAGATAACAGGGCGATGAAGAGAACTTGCTCCCTGTGGCGATATCTGTATCCGGGGAATAAAACCGGGGCAAGTTATTTGGAAATCCATCACATCAAGATTGTCTATCGAGATAAACACAAGTATATCTACAAACGTCATCCGCGCGGAGGTCATATTTAACACCAGCGTATGAATTCCCAAATATAGTAGCAATGCTGGACCTTGAAGCTCATCAGTTAAGCAAATTCTCCACTCTGTGTATTGGTACACACCTTGAAATATGTCTAGGCTAATGGCCTCCTTGGAGCTGCATGCGAACACACCATTACTAAGGCATTCCAAAAATTTGTCAGACAAAAGCGGCCCTGCTTGGATGCTTGGCTCCTGGTGGAGAAAACCAGCAAGAGGTCGCGATGTTGCGCTTGACGCTGACTGTGATGAAGAAGCTGCGGAAGCTGGATTCTTTAAGTTTTGTAGGGTTGCGAGTCCAAAAAAAAAAAAAAAAAAAAAAAAGGCTGGGACGGTACGGTGTCACATTTGTTGAAACAAGAGGTCGAGGAGTTGGGGGTTTGGGCTTGTTCGTTGACTGCCAAGTTAGCCTGATCGGCATAGAGATATCCACTTCGACTCTGATGGCTCCATATCGGTGGCTTGGAAATTATGTACGGTTCAACGGATGTAGGGAACATCGCAGGATGAAACCTCGGTATCGAGGATTATGCTCCCTGGCCGTACATTGCTCTGTTGAAAACACCATCAACAACGCACGTATATGAGATCTCCCTAGGAGTCTCAACGCATTGACAAGAATACATCGGGGAAACCAATCCTTATTAATTTTTCTCACCGCCAGCGACTACCTCTGCAGGAAGGTCACCATGAGTACCATCAACCAGTTTTCGCAGTTTTCCCTGACACATAATCCCTTTTAAAAATTGCACCAAAGCCTCTCCCTCTCGCTTCGCTCCAGGCTCATCCTCTCCACGCCTATTACTCTGGCCCCCAATCCTATCCCGAACCCACACGTCGAGGTTCCTTAATCCTCTGACCGTCAACATAGGCTCCAGCCACTTCGCCTCCGTCGATCGATCCAAATACTGCGCATCGTAATTCATACAAAAGCCAAGCTCCACCAAGCCGTCCATCCTACTGCTCACAATCGCCCAAAACTCGTCCCACGGCTCGTCCCACAACGTATATTGTTCGTACGAGGCATAACCGGTCGCACCAGGACGTACCGGCGCCATTGTTAAACACGGCAAACCAATCCAGGTGCTCCACAACCGCTTGACGAGCGCCAGATGGTGAGGTGACACCATGTGCGCAAAGAGGATCCAAGTCTTGAGCTCAGAGGCTTCGAAGCTGAGTTCTGAATAGAGCACGGCGGCTGCCTCGTTGTATAGTTGCTTGTTTGCGTATAGGATGGAAGTGGGTAGATGGGCGAGGGCTGAATGTGGCGTCTTAATTCTTGACTTACATGTATCATCGCAGTGAGAGATTTTGGCCAAGGACTCGCGTATGGACGGGATGGCGCCGTCGGCTAGGGAGAGATGGGGGCAACAGGTCCCGTCAAGGTGCGGAGTTGACTGACGGCAGCGAAGTAGGTAGAGGTTTTCTTTAACATGGAAAAGGTGAATGGCTTGGTCACAGCTAAAGAGAGCAAAGTAAATTTGGTTGCGGATCTCTGGCGGAAGGGAGAAAAAGGGGAAAGACGATTGGCCATTGATTGGGCAGTTGTCATGGTCGATTGAGCGTTTTTGGCGCTTCTTGCTTGTGAGAAGTTTATGCGAATGGAGGCTCTCGAAGAATTTACGCATTATTTGGCTCAATATCGTGATTTTGAGGTGTTGAGCTGCGGGAATGTTTTCCTAAGGACGCATGGGCAGAATAAAATAGTTGGGAGCATCACCGATCTGCCAAGCACAGACATGACGGCAAATGGGTCTGTGCTGCTGAAGCTTGGCTGGGATTTCTCCGAGCATCTCACATCTTAGCCATCCTGGGTTAGGATGAGGACTAATGTTGTTAGGGTTCACCAAGAGTAATCTTCTGAGAAATTGGAGGAGAAAAAACAAAGCCCCTCCTCATAGTGTTTATGCTGATTTGGTTTCAAGGTTTGGAGCCACAGAAAGGTTTCCCGCCAAAAACCAAAACTCAGCTCCCGCTCGCCAATTTTATCCCTGGATGGTTGGAATGGTGCCTTCTTGGCGACTATCGTCCAGGGCACATAACGAGCACAGTGGACGATGAAATAATCCTCTTGTCAACGATTTTCATAATTGCATCGCTGATGCGTCCGCAAAGCTCCCTCAGAATGGCAGATGAGGGCATTAACCTTGCTCGTCCCCTTACGAGAACCGGCTCACAAGTACTTTGATTGACTGTGAACACAGCCGAAGGGCGGCAGTCCTTGAGAGTTTTACTGCTGAAAGGCCTTGACCCCCTCTGTAGCAAAGCGGCGGAAAGAGGCATAGATATCCCACACCAAATCCAGGCTTAAGATCGTTCGTTGCCTGCGCGAATCCCGAATCCCGGCGCAGCTGAACGTCGCAACTTGATTGCTGAGTGCAAGTTTGCTTGCCTGATTATGCAGCAATTTTATGCAGTAGGCTGGGGGAGAAGGTCTGTGTGGCTGGTCCACTGAAGTCCGCTGAGGTCCGCTGAAGTCTACGAAAGTCTGCTGACGGCTCTGCGGACAACTCATTGTTAGCATGTTCCTCCGACTCTCTTACCCGGCAAACGGGATCAAGGAAGACGAGATGCATCAAAACCGAGCGCTGTGAGTGGACGGTGACGCCACGGCCTTGGTGGCTGAGCAAAGCCACATGGGTCCCTTCCCCCACTTCGCGTGTTCCACCAGTACAGGATAGACATAATCATCCGTCACATAAAGGAAACACTCTCTTCTGTTCGCTTCTTGGGCCATGCTCGAGGCTGCGTAGGTTTGGAATCGGAGATTCATTTCATTTTTATTGTGAGAGTTATCAAATAAAATTTCAAACAGCGCAAGTCGAGCGCCCTTCTTGAAAGCCCTTGCCCCGCACTACTGCGCAGTCAGCCGCAACCCAACATCAATATGTCCGGAAAAGAAGACCCTTTGGCCTACGGGCATTATGGCGGACAAGGAGAGTCTGAAAGAGGAGGAGGGGAGGGGGGAGGGGAGAGGAGTCTCCTAGGAGACACGCTCCACAAGTTCCGTGATAAATACAAGACTTACTCGGGCGGACAGCCCTCCCAGCAACCATATCAGCAGTCGCACTACGATACCCAAGGTGGCTATCAGGTAAGAAATCTGGAGATCGTCTTTGGAATGCGTATTTTTATTGTTCCGCTAACAAGGTTTCAGGGACAACCCGGCTCCCATGGCTACGGACAACAGTTTCCACAGTCTCAGCAACCTTATACCGCCCCTGGCCAACAACCATACAGTGAACCTATCCAAGGCCAGAACCCTCCCTACCATCAAAGCAAACCACCAAAGTCTGATATGGTATCGGGGCTTCTCGGCAAGATACAAGGAATTGGCTCCGATGTAGCACAGAAACTTGGCTCTACTCTGGATCCTCAAGCGTATGCCCAGTATGGCCCAGGCCCATCAAACTCACAGAATCGATTTGGAAGCTTTGCACCGCCCAGGGAGCACTGCGATGCCAAGTGGTATGTCGATGGCTGTGATTATATGTACGCCGTCTCTAGGGCGTTGGAGAATGCAAAGGAGTCGGTTTGGATCCTCGATTGTCAGTGATCTACACACATCGTTATATCATACATCCCTACATCTTTTTACGTCGATTAATTATTTTCGATTTAGGGTGGCTATCTCCGGAGCTATATTTGAGACGCCCGCCTTCCAAAAATGAGCAGTACAGACTCGATCGAATGCTGCAGGCTGCAGCTCAACGCGGGGTGCGTGTCAACGTAATTGTGTATAAAGAGGTCACCCAGGCCATGACCTGTAAGTATTCAATCTTCACCCAACACATCAGCAATGTCGGTCGGGTTTACACAAATATTGAGATAATGAGCCAAAACTTATTCCTTGTCGTATGGCAGTATCGTCTTCTCACACTAAGCATCATCTGGAGGATCTTCATCCAAACATTGCCGTATTCCGCCACCCAGATCATCTACCTGATCGGCAATCTATCCATTCTTCTGTTATAGATTCATTCAAGAACTTGACTCTCAGCGCAGCCGGCGTATCCAAGCTTTCCGGAGATGCTTTGAAAGGTTTGTACGGGATGAGTGGTGATGTTGTTCTTTATTGGGCTCACCATGAAAAGCTTTGCATAGTTGATGGGAAGACTGCGTTCATGGGTGGACTTGATCTGTGTTATGGCCGTTGGGATACCCATCAGCATTCTATTTCTGATGTTCATCCTAACGACATCAGGGAGACCGTGTTCCCTGGCCAGGATTATAACAACTCTCGTGTTCTGGATTTCCAGGATGTGCTTCATTGGGAAAATAACACGCTTGACCGCAAGAGCAACTCCCGCATGGGCTGGTCGGATATTTCAGTTAGTTTGCACGGGCCAGCTGTTGAGGACCTTCGGAGGCATTTCGTTGAGCGATGGAACTTCATTTACGACGAAAAATACAATGTCCGTCAGGATACGAGATACTCGAAGCTGGTTCTCTACGGAAAACCGCTGCCAGCTGGCACCATTCCTGGATCACATGGGCAACAGCAGCAACAACAATATGGACACCAGCCACCTCCTCCAGGTCAGACCCAACAGTACCCCCCGCCTCCTCCTGGCCCTCCACCGTCTCAAACCCAATATAGCGGTAGCAATCAATCAGGGCAACCTCAATGGGCCGCTCCACCTCAGCAATCGCAGTCCCAGACGCCATATTTCCCTCCCCCTCCAACTCAAGCTAGCCAGCATTCACAGACTCGTGGGCCAGAACCTCACTATGACCAAGGCTATCAGCAGCAGTTCCAGCCAGGCTACCATCAGCAGACTGACCAGGATCGCACTCTGACTTCTGAGCTCCGTGGATTGAGAAATGACCTTGGAAATTTTGGCAACATCCTTCGAGGTCAACTTGCTGGGCAGGTGCACCAATATCAGGATCGTTATTTCTCTGGTACTCCTGGTTCTACTGCGGGGCCACCGGCGAACATGTCTTGTCAGATAGTCCGTAGCTCAGCAAAATGGAGCCATGGTATTCCAGTAGAACACTCAATTATGGATGCATACGCCGCTATCATTCGCGACAGCGAGCATTTCGTATACATTGAGAACCAGTTCTTCATCACAGCGACTGGTGATACCCAGAAACCTGTCGAAAATAAGATTGGTGCGGCTATTGTTGAACGGATTCTTCGTGCTGCGAGAGCAGGACAGAAGTACAAGATGATAGTTGTTATCCCAGCAATTCCCTGCTTTGCGGGAGAGCTTCGTGATGACGCTGCTCTCGGGATTCGTGCGATTATGGAATTCCAATACGCTTCTATCAACCGTGGAGGTCACAGTATTATGGAACTGATTGCCAAGGAGGGACACAACCCGATGGATTATATTCGTTTCTATAACCTTCGCAACTATGACAGGATTAACGCAAGCGCAGAAATGAGAAAAGCTGAGCAGAAAAGTGGTATTGACTACCAGGACGCCCAAAAGCAGCATGATGACAAGGTTGCTGCGAGCAGAACTAGCGCGTTCGATACTACTACGGCCTATCAACCATACCAGCAGGCTGCACAGCAGGTTTCCCATTCAAGCGGATCTGGTCGTTGGAATAGCGTAAGCGAGTGCTATATGCTTGGTGGCGAGGATATTCGAAAAGTGCCATGGGAACATCCTGGCGATGTTTCTGAAATTGATGCCTTTGTCAGCGAGGAACTCTATGTGCATTCAAAGGTTTGTTACCCCACATTTTTTCAAGCTTGCGACCTACTTTCTTTGTTTGGCCGAGTGACATTTCAATGGCTGTGCTAATGGGTGTCTGTAGGTTTTGATTGCCGACGACAGAACGGTCATCTGCGGAAGTGCCAATCTCAACGACCGTTCCCAGCTGGGCGATCACGATTCGGAAATTGCTGTCATCATCCAAGACCCCACTCCTCTGGAATCATCAATGGACGGGAAACCGTACCTCGTGAGCAAATTTGCGACTACCCTTCGACGCCAACTATGCCGAAAACACTTGGGCTTGCTTCCAGTTCAAGATTATGAGAGGTCAACTGCTAATTCTGAGCCAGTGGGCGTGCCCAACTCTTACGATATGAACTCACCAGAGAATCAAATCGTCATCGACCCTCTATCTGACACATTCCAGAGCCTCTGGAATTCCCGCGCAAAACAGAACACGGAGGTCTATCGTAAAGTTTTCCACGCTGTGCCCGATGATAAAATCCGAAACTGGAACGACTACAAGGAGTTTTTCGAGTATTCCTTCCGCAGTCCTGTCGCGGAGGAGAAAAAAGATAAAGAAGGGGAAACACGGGAAAAACCATACTTGATAGGCCATGTCGTTCGCGAAGATTTTCCAGGAGGAGTACAGCAGGTCAAGGAGGAGTTGAGCAAGGTCAAGGGAACGGTCGTGGAGATGCCCTTGATGTTCTTGATAGAAGAGGACATTGCCAAAGAAGGGATGACGTTCAATAGCCTTACGGCGCCTCTCTACACCTGAAGTCATTACCACCTCTTCATTTGATGCCTTGTGGATTTTTTTCACCTATCAGTTGAACGTTTGTGATATTTGCTTCTCTATTTTTATGTGATATGTTCATGAAATTTCTAGCCATATTCCTGTTATCTCACATGCTGAACAGATTTGGGCTAGCCGCTTGTCTCCCAACATGTTCGAGCCGCCATACAACGAGATAATGTTGGTATACCAGTTTTTGCTACGATAGCTGATGTTTTTTTACCTTGGTGATTATCCCCCTGCCTCTGAACTACTTATGATAAGCAATGGAAATTGAATGAATGACGAATGACGTACATCGTTTGGATGGAGTGCCCGAAATTAGTTCTACGCGATCCCCACCCCCACATTCAGTCAAAACAAGCCAAGGCAGAATACGTTGCCAGAGATTTGTGCATATCCATTCTAAACTCAAGGAAGTCCCTACTGCAGACCTAGACTCCACAAAGCTCTCCGCATAAACTCACATTCAGTGTTTCGGAAGCCATGGAGAAATGCTGCGTTCATCAAGCCTGTTAATGTTAAAATTGAGAACCTCGTAATGGTGTATCAATGGATTCACAAGCACACAACATTGTACTGTTGCGTGGCCTGTGACTGAAAAGTCTAACTTCACTCATCGCAAACATGTAGCACAAGGGAATGTGGGCAAAGACTATATATAAGTATAAGTAGCATGTTTTATATTGTTCTGTGCAAGAACAATACTAAGCTGAGTTTCCCTTTTTCCCTTTCTTGCTCCTTTATGCTGAAATCTAAAATAAACCCTGGTTGCACACATTCCAGTCTTTGGTCTTTGTTTGCATTAAGTTTAGCGTGAGGTTGGACTAAGACGTTTCTAGATTAGTGTCTGCAGGTCACTCCGTTGAGGAAATTCAATTTCAACGACACACATCGACCAAACCAAACCAGCACATCTCCTTGAACGAGGGACTCTGACGAATGGGCTCCTGCTGGTCAATGGCCATTTCTTGCAGGAGTGGAGACTTACGGGGATGTTGGGGCTGAGCTCCGCCCGGGCTTTATCGAGGATGACGAACAATGAAAATGCTATGCCCCGCCATACCCCGATGTTTGTCCAAGCCGTGCTCCGTGCACCCAGAATCTGGAGAAGGGCTTGTGGGGGAATTATGTGATATCTGGAGGAACCGGGGAATATCAAGAAGCTGGATGAAGGTTAAGATTGATGCCGTGGAGCAAGAAGCGGGCATGCAACAACCGATGCTCCTAGAAAGCCCATTCCGCTCCCGGAAGTCAAGACTTGAGGGGGACATGCTGCCAAATGTCAAGAGATGCTGAGCCAACAGGCTATTACAAAGCGTGACTTGATATGCATATCTGCCTCTTCCTATGCAGGGGAGTATGTTTGCAAGAACCAAGTTGGTATTCCTGCACGGCGGGCCCTTCTTTTTTGCTGTGACCCATGACGGGTTTGATAGGGCGCCTTCTTTCCTATCGCTGTTTTCTCTTGTCCTTCATCTTCCCACTGTTGGGCTTCATTCCGCGTCCTTTGTCTGTGCGTGTATTATATGGGGCGATCGTCGACTTCGCGCTTGGACCAGATGGATGAATCCTCAAACCCATTCCTGGAGCTTAATGGTTGAAAGGAGCGAGAAGCCCATGTGAGCGCATGTGTCTGCAATGGGCTTAGCTCTTATTTTCGTGTCTCAGCATCTGGCTGGCAAGCGAGATGGATTTTTGGTCTCTCCGCCCTTTGAAAGGGTTGTGGATCCGTGGGGTCCCCCATTTCTGGGGCCCGAAGTCAATCTGGCGTACTATACGCTGCAGAAACGTCGAACTTATGATCAAGTGGGTACGTAGTTCTCAGTTTGCGGACAGCTGCATTCTAAATAACTTGGAACTGCATATAAAATATCTTACCTGCTGGCTGAAGCACCTTCAGGCAGGACTCGGTGGATAGAATGCATCACATGTTTCCTTCTATTCATTTCCTTTTCACTGCTTTTTCTGAACCTTCGCCATCCGGGAAATTTGATGGGAACTCACCTGCTTCCGTTTTCTCTAAGTTTTGTTATGATAATTTTTGGTAATCACTTTATTTTAGCGCCTAAATCTCCACGGGGGAATATCTTCGACTATGGCCTCCACGAGCTGCAAAATTCCGCAAACAGTCTAATCCACTGTATTCTTTATCTCTTTTCCTTTTCCTTTTCCATATATTCACTTTTAGTTTCTTTTAAGCTCGTTTCAGTCTCCACTCTCTTTTTCCGTTTTTGAAAAGAACAATACTAAGGCGAACAATACTAAGGACTTTTCCCAGGAACACGGCTCTACAGCCTAATTTCCCTATGAGCATTCCCCGTAATTCCCACATCGGGCTTTCCACTCTTGGGTCGATTATCAGATAGTGTTACACCATAGAGGGTCGCTAGCTGCGTGTATTCGCCTACAATACATGATGCCACGACAAAGCCACGTGCAAGTGACTGAAAGCATGATACACAATACGACCAACCCCCTGGGGAAATTACAGTTCTCGGAATTCTATTTTCCTTTGAAAAGATCCCCGAATTGTCCTGGGTATCCCCATACAATTGTAAGGGTTCGCTGCTTTCACTGTTTGACCCAGCTCCATTATCCAGGCTTCAGAATGAATATATAACTCTATGTTGTTTCCTCCCCCCCCCCCCCCCTCCCCCCCTTCTACTTTCTACTATTTACTTCATGCATCAGTTCCCAGAAAGTCTAAATAAGAATCTCCCAATATTCCAACTACCATACCTCGCAAGGGAAATACGATTCTCCTCAAACTACCAAACAACTTTCAAGCAAAAATGTCTCCTGATACCGTCAGCATTGCCCCACCAAAAGCCCCCGAGACTGGTAGGAATTACTTCCATGTCATGAACGCCGTTCCTCTTCTAAGCCTTAATGCTGACCAGACCATCATTTTCTAGGCCCGGTCTTCGTCCGCAACAGCGGCGGCCAGTGTATTGTGATGTAGAATATCTACATCACGATACGTGGCATCTGCCACGGGGGGAACATTTTACAGAGTGCTTCGACCTCAGTTACATTGATATTGAAAACGATCAATTTTTCTTACTCGCTCCGTGGATCCAGAGTTCCTCCAGTTCTATTTAACATTGCCCCTGTTATTTGCATGTTTGGGAACATATATGCGAAGTTTTCGATCAAGAGTGCGTGTTCACATTCCGAGAAGCGATTGTGGAAAGGGGGATAAAAGCAGCCAAAACTACCAATGGCCGCTACTCGCTGCTTTACTTGCGACTAGCACATTTTCTCTTTACCTCCTCTTCTTCGGATGAAAATTACGCAGCCAACTATCGATCTTAACCTCAATGCCATAACGACCCGTCGCCGCCAGCTATGATACTACTAGAGAAAAAGGCAAATAAAGGAAAAGAAAGGAAAAGAAAACGAACACGACAGACACTCTCCCGAACTCTGCTTCTCAACAATTCACAACTGCCCTTTTCGTGTTGAGAGACGCAATGCTCCTGGTATCTACCCGGATTTCCTGATGCGGTCTTGCCTTCTTCACGGAGTTGTTTTCGCGAGTACGGTTTCTATATCCGCGCAAATCAAATGTATTTGATCTTGGCATGGAGACTCTGTGAAATCTTCCCGCTTCCCACTAGCCTTCCCATTTCTTTGTTTATTATTCTTGACGTTGTTGATGTGAAAGTCCTGGTCATCTCCCCCTCTCTTCTTCCCCCCTCCACCCGGCCTCCACCCACTCACCGTTTTTTCAACCTGGTCAGGCAATGCCAGTTATGTTGTGATGTTATCCCTTCGTTTTTCTCAGTTATCAGAACGTTGTACTCGTACTTAACATTGGATATGTACCGCTTTCTGGCCCCTTCTTCCGGTACCTTCTCCGACATCACTGTCACTCTTATCGGTCTTCACTCGCAGAACAAGCCCATGCAATTCCGCACTTTAGTTTGTGCTGTCCGACTAAGCATTCGGAAGTAGCTTGGGGAAGAGAGTGCTAGGAAGGGAAAAAAAAAAGAACAGGGTGAACATCATTGGTCATGCATGGACGGATGGGGCGGGTGTTGGATACATGGGGTTTAAAAAATTGAAATGGGATATTTTCTATTTTCTTTCTTCCCTCGCCTTCGTTTCCCTATGTTCTGTCCAACTCAGCCGGCCGCCATAAATGCAATGTGTATTGGTTGCAAACCCTTATTTCTTTTCATCAATTTTTGTTTCCATTATCATTCTTTCTCGGATATTCCATGTTTTATGATTTCCATTTGGCAAATTGTTATCGCCATTATTAGGCCATTTTACGACACTCATTATACCCTGATCCACTATGTATTTCTTCCCCCAATATGATGACTTCTACTTGTTTTTTTTAACTCTGGGACTTTTTGACTATTTTTTCGCCATGATTTTTTCTTTCTCACAAGGGATAGGCTGAGAATATTGGACGGGCCAGTTCCCCTTTTTTTGTATTGTGCTCTGCTGTGCCTGTGCTGAGCGCAGCGAGTTCAGACGACATATACATTACATAACATTTATCTATTCAACCACTGGTGAATGTTTTCTTGTTCCTTTTGCTATCAATGATACTTTATATTTAGTAGTAAAAAGTGGAATTAAGATGAGAGTAGATGCAATTTTACATTAAATTGGGTGAGGGGGGAAGTTTTCCTTTCCTTTCCTTTCCCACGTAGCTCTCTCTTCCGGCCTTTTTCATAACTTCGTATCAAGGTATCTTGAGGGTCATTGAAATCATTAAGAGGAGAGATAGGGGTAACGCTTGTATAAGGGAGGGGGGATAGTCGCCTCATTTCCGCACTGTATGTGGTGTATTCATATCATAATCTATTAAAAGAAACCACCCCAAACGTAAGCCCGTCTCATGGTGTATAGGGCGGGGGTTTCTCATCGCCAATCCGCAAAGGGCTAACATCGGGAAGATCCTGAAGCACAAACTCGCCCTCCTCATCAGGGTCGAGTAAACTTTCGGCAGCACTCGAATATGTGCCGGTGGACGGCGAGCTGGGACAATCATCCTGCGTGCTGATATGTGGTTGGTTTTTCGAAGGGAGTGGAGGTGCTTGACGTTGGTTTTGGTGCTGATCGCGTGTTAATGTTACTGCTGCTGCTGCTGCTGCTGCTGCTGCTGCTGACTCTGCTACTGGTGCTGCTGACTCTGCTGCTGGTGTTGGATCCAATGAATCGAAATTTGGCGGTGGTATCTGGGGCGGGTTGGCATGCTGGAAGCTCTTGCGTAAGTAACTGAATACCTAACTTGGCACGAGGGGGAGGGGGGTGTAAAAATAGGTATGTAAAAATATGTATCTATGGAGTATGCAAGGAATATGCTACACAAAGTCCCAATTTTTTTTCTTACCATAAAATTGCCCTGGGGGGGACAGATGAAGCCACTGGCTTCTCCTGACGATATCCCAACCAACAGCACATTATCACCCTGAGCGCCAGCAGACGCAGGAATCGGAACAGGATCCTCCATACCTCCTTTTGTTCCTCCTCCTATCCCAATACCTCTCTCCTGTCCACACTTTTCTCCTTCAGCCCTTCTAGTCCTCTCCCGCTCCCTCTCTTTCTCCCTCTCCTCAATCTCCGCAAAATTCTTTGCCTTCAAAACCACCCCTTCCCCCTTCCTCACCTCTCCAACGAGCTCCCCATCCTCCCAAACCCCATTCCTCAACCACAAGCCCGAAAACTTCCCCTTCGAAATCTGGCACCCCTCGATATCACAATCCTTCAAACTCGCATCCTCAATCGTGCTCTGCGAGATTTTCACATTGTCGAGCTTGCTCCGTTTAATGGTGCACGGCAATGGGCCAACGATGGAGTCGCGGATATCGCTTTTGTCGACTTCAGTTTTTGCGATATTCGTAACCGGATTTGGCGTTGTGGTGGTAGTGGGGATGTTATTGTTGTCGTCTGGCGTGCACAGGAATTCAGACCCACTCAGCTTGGAATGCGTGATGCGCCCCGTACCCGATAGTGTTGACCTGCGCAGGTGCGAACCCAAGATGTACTCTGCGTTTGACACAGTGACATGTCGCATGTTGGTGTGGTCGATGTTGCTGCTGGAAACGGTGCTGCGGGATATATGACTGTGTGAGAGGGTGCTGCTACCTTTGCTGCTGCTCCCCCTCTTGCTGCTGCTGCTGCTGCCGCTGCTTTCTGCATTATTGCTACTATCTAGATCTGTTCTTGATCTCTGAGATTTCAAAGTTGAGTGCCAGATGGATGTATGTTGGATTGTTGTTGAACTGTCCAGGTCGTCTAATACGAGATCGTGAAGTTGGGAGTGGCTGACAGTGGGGTGGTATGCGGAGTTGTTCGCGGGAAGGATGGTAAGGAATGTTACAGCGCTGTATCTTGCTGTTGGGATTTTGGAACCTGATTTTGACTTCATGGTTGGAATGGCTATTGGATAGGATGCGAAAAACAAAGAAGAATGGATCTGATGTTACCGCGCATCTACGGCGGACGAGGTATAAAAATAGTTGAAGACGGCTGAGATGTTTGCGTCGGAATGAATGATCCTCGTGTTCGGGAGTTAGTGATCCCTGCAATCGGAAACGCCACAGTTGCTCATTCAAACATCACTTTAATTACTACGCCCTCTTCTAAAGCGGGAGGACTATAATATCTTTTAGGTCCTATGCTGTGGTTTCCTTCGTCAGCCATTGCACTCCTCTTAAAACTCCTATAGTGTGTACGTAAATATCTATATTTTGTAGAGAGCTCAAATCGTGGAAGCAGTTAAAACCTCTGTTATACCCGTATCTGTATGACTAGCTGCCAAATTTAAAAGAAGCAGGTTATAATACAGAGAGTTGAGGCGACAGACCTGGACAATAAAATGAACCCATAAACGTTAAGAAAAATAAACTAACAACTGACAAACTTGATGAAGAAACCCAACTAGCAAAATTTGGACTTTATTGGAGTCGTTTGTAAGCAAGATGATACTCGAAAGTATTCAGTTGGATGACCCCTCCTGCCCGACGTTTACCAACAAGCCAGCCGAGGCATCTTCAATCTCCCCAATGATATGTAACATCAACTCCGCTGCACCTTGGCCAACCTGCTCCGCCTCGTTGCCAATCTCCATCTCAACCCGAGCCTTGATCTCCGCGTCCGTCGATATCTGCTGCGCGAACGTCCTCAGCGGAACGAGGAACTTGGACTCGAAGGCCGGGTGGAGTTCCTGTATCTGTAGCTGTTTGTAGAGGGTTGCGGACTGGGTGAGGAAATAGTACAGATTCAGGATGGCGAGATGGTAGGGAAGTAGATGCTGCGTAAATGTCAGCCAGGTGTTGATGAGGTGGTCGGTTTTGGCGGTCCCGAGCGAAAGCCAGTCATCCGGGATGGGTTCGTAGATGCGTGGGAAGAGGATGGCGAAGTGAGTGGGGTCAATGAAGGGGTTTTCTTTCTGATCAGGGTGTACGTTTGGCGTTGTTGCTGCTAGAAGATCCTCCTTGAGCCATCCTATTGCTGGTTCTCGGGCGTATTGTAAATCCTCGTCCTCGAGAATTTGTCGGATGAGATTAAACCGGACGACTGGGTCGGGGTTGCTGTGAAATATTGTTGACGGAACGCGCTCCATCCGGCTAAAACTGCGGAAACCAGGCGCACGGATACAAGCCGTGAGCTGGATGATGAATTGGGTAAATTCAGTTTCGTTTGGAGGAGATGAAGATGGGTTAGAACTCGCAATGACGGCCAGCGAACAGAGCGAATCGACCAGAGCTTCGGGCTCTTCCATCACAACTGAATATGGAGATTCACCTTCGCCGAGGAAATGTGAATATATGGCGGCAAGATCAGGGAAGACTGGAATAGCTTTTACTGGCTGGCCTGACGAGAGCAGTTTATCAGCCGCAGACCGCGCTGCCAGCAGCAGGAGACAACCGTGTCTTTGAAGGTGGATATCTTCCGCGTGTTTCGGAGTTTCTTCAAAGTCTAGAGGAGGTGGCTGCTGGTCACCAGGCTTGGAAATGATATCCAGCAGTTCATTTGTTTCTATGCCAAAATCTCGTGAAAGTGCCTAAAGACAGGGTTAAGGAATTAATTAGCATCATGAGAAATCAGCAATAGGATAGAAAAATAGCGGGCGCTAAGGGATTCAGACAAACATACAATAATCTTCCCAACGGTCATATCGCGCTCTTTCAAATATTCCTCCTTCCCAAACGCCCCAATTAAGCTTAGAGAGGAGTGCATCTGGTTCCTAGTATCCAGTTTCTCCTGTAGCCGAAGTGCCCACTGCATGCCAGCAGGCGCTGCATTCACGCAATGTAGAAGGTATGTTTTCAAAAGCTCAATGAGACCAAACTGCATAAGTCTATTGATCAAAGCGCTTTCCTCAGACCCTACAGTTCCGGGATGCGATTCAGCTTCGGGATCCGGCGCAGCAGTCTCTTGCGTACTCTGCGTCAATAATATTGATTCGCTCGTATTCCGCGGCGGGAGACGGGGACGTTTCTTTCCCGCTATGTCTCTGAAGAATTCTAGCACTGCGGCTGTCGTTTCCACAGTTGGGAATGCAGTGTATGCTTCCAGCACGGCTTGGAGGGAGGTAGCAACAAAACGGCTGGGGTATCTGGTCTGGATGCGGGAGTGGAGGACTGAGAGCATGGAAAGGAGACAGTTGAATTGCAGGACGTGGACGGGCACGTTGGAGGTAGCCGCTGATAATTTATCGTCTGAATTTTCGTCGTCATCGTTCATATGGGGTTTCTCCTCCAGTTTAACCTCTCCAACGGCTTCACTGAGTCTCCTGTCGTCCTCTCCGTCCCCATCATCTCCATCCTCGTCCTGCACGGGCTCCAACTTCATCAATGAATTACAAACCCGCAAAATAACCTCTCGCGGGTTCCCTAGCCTGGCCACATCCTGTAGGCATTCTTGAGACGCCGGCATCATAGGGAGAAGCAGTTGGACCAGGTCCCAGCCAATATTTACCGTCAGCTTTTCATCTTGGAGAAGATTGTGGAGAATCGGCAGGCGTTCCCGCGTCAATTGGTATTCTAGGATGGTGAGATAAGTCAGGTAATCTGTTTCGGGTGGGAGGGCTTTGACAAGAGGGTCATCTCGTTCATCAACAACCATGATGGCGGTGCTCTGGAGGGCGAGAAAGGCTGTTCCTATGCAGAGCGCATTAGGAGCATGGAGGTACAGAGCTGAAACAGATGTACGTGTCAGCCGCCAACCTCACTCAATCACGGGGTAGATAAAAGAATGGGGATTTACGGATGCAGAGTCGCAAGAACTGTAAAGCAGTAAAGATTCTTTCCGTCCAAGCCTTAACATTCAAAACATCTAAAATCTTGTCCCGGATTTTTGTTCCTTGGTTAAATTAAGGTTGATCAAGGGATGACGTAATACCAATATCGGAATCTTCCCCACACTGACGCGCATACATGAAAAGGTATGTAAGAAAAATATCAACGAAAAAAGTAAATGAGTTGATATATCTCTCCTCACAACGTCAAACTATTATAGCCGCCATTAGAGCACCCCAACCAATCCTCGTCAAATCTTCCATCCCTATACCCAAAAGCCTATTCGGAACAAGCGCCTCGAGAGCAACCTCATCATCTCTATCGACTTGCCCACCTTCACCGCCAGAGGCAAGTTGTCCGGCGTGACCGCGAAAATACCATTAAACGGGCTCATATTCGTAGTAGCTACCTCTTCGTTAGAACAGCCGTTCGTCGTCAGGAACAACTCGCCATTTTCCAGATAGGTCTTGGCACCCTCGGCAAGCACTTTCCCCAACAATCGCACCCCAGCTGCACCAGCCTCCCAATGCTGAATTGAAGGTTCGGGTGATTTGGATTGGGGTGGGGTTGTAATTGCCGCGCGTAGGCGGTCGGGTCCGGCGAGAGATGAATGGGTAAGGACGGTCCTCCCTGGGAGCTCGGGTAGGGGTGAAGGTGTACAGTTTTGCGCCGGGGGTATTTGGGATTGGAGGTTTGGTAATAGACTTGCCTTGCGACGAAGGGATCGGAATGGTGATTTACCTAACTTACAATCAAAGACTCCGAGGGCAGTCCAGAAGCATCACATTCGCTGAATTTCCAGAAACAATCGATTGGGCAATTCTCGCGCTTCACTCGGGCTCAATTAAAGAAATGTCACAGTTGAGAGCGGCCCATCAAGCGCGAGGTTTTCCAATGCCTGAGATGGGACATATCTCGAGCCGCTAACACATTGCTGCCCGCAGCCCTACAACAAGTTCAGTTATTCTATTTTATCAATATGTAAGACCTATTGATAGAGTTCATCTTGTCGCCATCAAGAGAATTAATTCATTTCCCTCCAGCAATGGCACACCAAGGGCCTCCATGCGCTGATGTTCACTCGTTGGGGCCAGCTCGAATACTATGCACGGATGTCATCAGTATCGGCGTCTTGAACAACTCCAAGACGCTGCAACGCCATCTCATGTCCAATTTGGAGTACTCTGCACATGTTATGGAAGATCGAGGGCCGTTTCCCCAGTGGTTTTTGTTTTGAGAGTCTGTTCCGCCCCTTGCTGGCATTCTTTGGTTTGAAACTTTGGTTATTCATTGCGGTATGTAAATATACCCATCATTGGGATTCCACGGACGGCTGGCTGGCGGCAGGACACATTATTTCGTCCAACTATGACTTGGATTTCGGGTTACACTTACAGTGCACACATGGTTTTAAAAAAGTTGAACGCTCAAATTCTATCACCTCATCTAAAACACACTCACTTCACACTAACTTCATACTCACCATCTCAACAAATGCACCACCACCACCACCTCAACACTGAGTTAGGGATTAGGATTAGAGGTTAGAGATTAACAATTAGGGGTTAAGAGTTGGGATTCGGTTAGGATTAGGGTTAGTTACAGGGTTAGTTACAGCCTGAGAGAGATGATATAAGCCATTTCATTGTGAGTTCTTCCGATGTGTGTATCAATAATATTTCATGGTAACTATATTTTAGTTGGGTGGTCTTTGATTGAGATGTTTACATCACTGCATGCCCCAAGATTTATAGCCTTTCCCTTAGATTTGAAGAAGACCCTGTTCAAATGTCTGACTAATCAAGCACCAGGGCATAACTAACTGACGACTATTTTTTGCTCTGGAGGCTCAACTTTGACGACACCTGTCAAAAAAATCGGCTCTCTTTGATAATTATTATAATTTAGTGAATCACGGTTGACCTGAATGATGTCACCAGTCTTCTCTGCCGCTCGATCCGTCAATTCGATTCCTTTCGCCTCTCTTGCTGTACTATGGAGGTCAAAATCACAGTGTCTGCTCGGATGCACCGGCAACGCGTTTGGCTAGGGGAAAAAAAGGTTTCCAGCTGCAGCTCCAATCTTTGAATCCACCGCGGGATCAAAACAAACAAATAAACACCAACAGGATTTCATGATAATTGAGTTTTATTACGGCATCCCCACCAATAATGGCCTGCGGCAGGATCGGGGTTCCGTGGGTCGTTTTCCCACAATCATTGACAACCTTAATCGTTCTTGAGGTTTGGTGTTGATTGGCCGTGATGCCGGGGGATCCGTGGCACCCGTGGTCGCCAAATAATTGAAAGCTCAAGGAGCTGTGTTCTTCAGCGGCAAAGAGAGTGTGTGGGGTAGCGGCAAAAAAAAACATATATATATATAGTCAAAAGACGGGGATTAGAAAGATCGATCACAAATCGTTCTGGGTGATTCGGCAAATATTCCCGACATCTGAGAAGGGGGAAGAGATCCCTTCCTCTTTTTTTCATCCTCCTAAGGCTCTCTCTGTTCACGTTGTCCGCTATAGTATTCTCTCTTTCTGCTTCTTCTCCCTTCTCCGTATGGATGCTGCTTTACGGATGAATCAATGATTCTCTTCTTTTAAGCTCCCTTTCTCTTTCTTCTCTTGGTTCTGTCTCCTCTTAACCGGAGTGGTTGTTGTCTTTCTCTGCCTCGGGTTACTACCTTGTTGAACCTGGTACACCCTGATGTGAGTGTTCCGCAAAGAAAGAGAAGAGCCTCGATTCCCCCGTGATCTTGCTATAGCAAACCTCTTCATCTTCCTCCCCCGCTACCGCATTCCCCGCTGTGGCTGCTAGGAGACACAACTTTGCGGTGCCGTTATCCCGGGCAGTGGCAGCGGCCTCAAAAGCTCCGGCAAGGATAAGAAAGAAGCAATTGCACCCACTCTCTCCTTCCCCTACGCGCGCACCACAACCCCAAAACGATAATGGCGACCGAAACCCAACACTTCACCTCCACCTCTCCTCCCACCTTTACCTCCTCGCCTCTGCGCAGTCAGCTCACTGGATCGCATAACTCTTCCCGTCTGCAATTCAACCACCTAATAAAAACCCGTGTCAAATCCGCGTCCGCTCCCCCAGCCTCAGCCGCAGCCTCCTCAAGCTCAGACACAACATCAATGTCAATACCATCCTCTTACCCTTATGCGCATCCCGTAGACGACCCCGCCCCGATCCGACACGACAGACCCAGCCTCCTCAGACGGTTCACTAACCGCCTCCAGCTCGCCTACTACCGCTACGAAGTCACCTATGGCATCTACGTCATGACCCCCGAGGAGAAATTCGTCGCCAACACCTTCCTGCTTGTGTTTATCTCGCTGCTTCTCTGGGGCTTGTTTTTATATTTCCCGCCCTTGCTCTTCCAGAAACTGAGCCGGCTAGCGTGGATTTTGACCGGGGCGGGCATCGATGGCGTGAGGGAGAGAGTGTCCGCGGAGTTGAAATTGGTCAATGGCAGTACTGGTGCTGGTGCGGTTCCTTGTCTCGGCGGCCCTGGGAGTACTGGAGTCACCATAGCCATCTCACCAACAGCTTCTCATCAACTGTTACCGCGGTCTTGAGTGCAAGAAAGAAAGAAAAAGAAAAGAAAATCTCATTTTTTTGCTCCACTATGAAAGGCGTTTGCCCTCTCTTCTTCCGGTTTGTTTTTTGGTTATTGGTTTCTTGAACATTGCATTCCTTGGTTTTCCGGTACGTTTTCTTGGGTTTTTAACGTGAAATAACGAGCCAATGATGATGACTTGCAGGCCAAAATTTGCCTGCAAAAAATATATATATGTATATTTTTAATGAAGGCAGGTATTGCTGACAACAAGATTTGTTTTTCCTTTTGATCTAGGATCAGCATAACAATATTATTAATAACGTGTTTTCGCCGGTTTTCCTCGCGTGTGTCACCCTTGCGCTCATACATGTGTGTGCGCCGTCTACATTGTTAGAACGGGGAACAATTAATAATTGCATTTGATTTAGTCTTTCCTTGTGTGTTCTGTGGTGGCGGTAATTTTTCTACTTGGAATTGCATACGTCAATTGTGGATGAATTGGTTGGCTTACATCTACCCTGGTCCTCATTTCGCCTTACCGGTCTCTACGTGATCGAAGTGGTTGGAACCCGCCCACGCTGTTTGTGTCTGACTTTCAACAGAAAGAAGACTATATCGTGCGATTCACGCTTGATATATGGATTTTTTTCCTCTCTTCCTTTTTTTTTCGTTTTTGGCCAAGACGCACAACACCCATTGTATAGATAATTCGTGGGCGCTTCAGATCCGCCGCTCTACTCACATGGATTCCCAGGTCGATTTCTTCGAGCTATGGAAGGTAGAGATGTCGATTTTTCCAAAGTTTTGTCTCACACTAAGAATTTAAACTGAAATCTCATTCCTAAGTGTAAAATATATCATCAGACTCTGGCAGTAACACAAAACATGAAAAGGTGAATTGCTGTAAAGTCCTTGTCATCTTTGTGTACTGGTAAAACCAGACACGGGCAGGCAAGGTTTAACCACTTCACTAAATGGATCACACATGATAATAGCTAGTGCTGTTATTGGAGTCAGTACTTTATATATAGTCAAAGCCCCCAGGGAATGCCTAGGCCCTCCCAACCTGGGGCGTGACACTCTGATTCAAACTTCATTTTGTATGTTTATGTATGCAGATAGGACATCGTCTGATTGATCTGACTGCCCTTTCGCTGTTTTCTTTCCACATCATGCTTTTGTTGTCTGTTCCAAGTACCATGTATGAAAAACAATGTCAGAATTCATTCAGATACTTTTTCAGGGTCTTTGACACCCATTGCCTTCAATACAGTACAGATATCACTGCTTGCTTTTGCTGAAGGCAATCTCAAGATAGAGACTGTTGAAGACAGGCAAAGAAATACGTGCCCCTGAGGGATCTATATATATCGAGCATTGATTGCCAGTTAATCTTGAACCACCCCCATCAAATATGAAGAGCTAAAGATTAACGCGAGAAAAAGAGAAATCCTCTCCAGATTGGAGCTCATATTTACGCCCTATGTTAGCCCTTTTAAACATCAAACCTTTATCCATATATCCAATCCTTTGATCCAACACAGTGTCCTAGATAGAAGGAGAAGAAACGGCAGCAATCTCCAATCAAAGAAAGCAGCCTTGGAAGGCACAGGAAGTGGCAACACCGTCTGCACACACAGATATGAAATAGTAGAGCTCTGAGTACCAATCGAGGAAGTATTCTTCTCATTCTTCCTGCTTTTTGTCGTCATAATGAGCATACTCTTTATTCCGTGGCTGAGTTGCTCCGTACAAGGTACAGGGTGCATGCGGCCTGTACTGCCCCTATTTTACACAGTGCCCAGCAGATCTCAGGATGCAGCTTGCTCCTATCCTGTGGGAGGAACAAGATCTTCCCGTTGCGCAGACAAATCCTCCCGCAATTGAGAAAGCGCAGTGGTGTTCAGCTTGGCAGCTTGGCAGCTTGGCAGCACGGTCCGGCTGTGGCTGTTCCAACTGGGTGCGGCTGAGGCAGCCAACGACAACAAAACTCCCGCATCCCAACTCCCCTAGCTATCCAGGCTATCCTGTTCTCACCGTGCCACGGCCAATTGTCGCCCCTGTTCTGCCGTGGATCAGCCACTAATGAACCAGGCCAACCCCCATTCCTCCAAGCAACAGAGCGGTGCTGTCGTCAGTGTTTCGGAAAGTTGATTTCGAAACCCGCCTCCTTCGAACGAACCCATCACTTTTTGTTCCTGCCGTGTCCATCCCCCGATTCCTGCGTCTATCTCTCCGTTTTACTACCCATCGCATTCGTTTTTTCATCGCCATCTCCCGCGCACTCCGTCCAGCGCTCTCTTCCGGGAGAAAGGTGAAAACAAAATCCGTGAGAACATGGCAGCGAACGACTTCTACCAGCCTTACACCTCAGACCATTCCCAACTGCAACAACAGCAACAGCAACAACACCAACCCTTAAATCCCGACAGAACGTCTCCTCCGCCAGTCTGGTCCAACCAAAGTCTTCCTCCACTTCGCACGCCTTCGCCATACGGTGCGTATGGAAACCCCTATGACCGCGACGGTAGTCAGTACAATCCCCGCTCAGACCATGGCTATCCCCCTTCCCCTGGAGTTCAGAGTTTCGGAGGAGCTGTCGGCGGAGGCATAGGCATGACGGGAAGGCCGCATGGCACTGATTACTACGCAGACGATATCCCTCTCAAGGCCAATGCTCAGCCAACCACTGGTGGACGACCGGAGTGGATGGATCCAGATACCCATTACCCCCTTGAGCGAGAGAGCCAACGCGTGCCACTGAACCCAAACCCGACAGCGAGACACTCGAAGGGATGGGAGAGGAAAGGGAGAAGGTGGCTGAAGAAGAAGATACCATTTGTAACGTACTTTGTTACCCTGGTGCAGGTTGCTGTGTTTATTGCGGAGTTGGTTCGGAGTGGTAGGTGGTTTTTTTTTCTTTCTCTGTTTGTACTCATCGTGTGTTTTCATTTTCATTTTCATTTTTTCATTTTACTTTTATTGACGATTCCCCAGCCCAATTGACAGGATCCCCAATCATGACCAAACCACAGTTTAACCCCATGATCGGCCCATCGCCCTATATTCAGATATACATGGGTGCCCGATACGTTCCGTGCATGCGGAACGTGGAAGGCGTCCAAAACAACCCAAATGCCACGAACGGCCTCGTCCCCTTCCCTTGCCCAAATACCACAACCTCAGACCCCTTTGCTCCCGAAAACCTATGCCCTCTCTCCGATCTCTGCGGTTTCAAAAAGACCAACAAGGTTCATGATCCGACACCCCAAGGCAGCCTTGACGATAAACCAGAGCCAAACCAATGGTTCCGCTTTATCGTCCCCATCTTCCTACATGCCGGTCTGATCCATATCGGATTCAATATGATGGCCCAACTCACCATCGGCGCAGACATGGAGCGCACAATCGGTTGGTGGCGTTACGCAGTCGTCTACTTCGCCAGCGGCATCTTTGGCTTCATCCTCGGTGCTAATTTTGCGCCCCCCGGCATCCCCTCCACCGGCGCCTCGGGGAGTCTATTCGGGATCTTCGCCCTTGCTTTTCTCGACCTTCTGTATTCCTGGAGTAGTCGGTCGAATCCCGTCAAGGAACTCCTCATTATGCTGATTACGGTCGCCATATCCTTCGTCCTTGGCCTCCTACCCGGCTTGGACAATTTCTCGCACATAGGCGGTTTCATGGTTGGCTTGGTGCTGGGCATTTCTGTTCTTCGCTCACCGGATAAGCTGCGCAGGCGCATCGATTCGATAACTCCTCATCACGATCCCTATGACCCACTAAGTGCTAGCGGGGCCCTAGGAGCCGGAGCTGGGGCCGGCGATGCAATTGATAATCCAAAGACGGCGTTCATGGTAAAACAGCCTGTGAAATTTTTCCAGGGGAGGAAGCCGCTCTGGTGGGCGTGGTGGGTTGTTCGGGCGGGGACCTTAGTGGGGATTCTGGTTGCATTCATCCTGTTGTTGAATAACTTTTATAAGTATCGGTCGACGTGTGGGTGGTGCAAGTATTTGTCGTGTTTGGTATGTTGTATTTTTCGTTTCTTCTCTTTTCATGCCTTTCCTTCCTCGCTACGAAGCTGGATATGATGAGTTGTTATTGCACTGTGTGTATTTGGTTATGGTGCACTGCTAACTTCTCTCTATCTCTATCATAGCCTATTGCAGGGAAAAATTGGTGCGATGTAGGGAAGCTCGGTTAGGAAAAAGAACAAAAATCGACCACCCTCGGCCAGCTACCTTCGTATCTTACCAGCCTGCCTCTCTACTTACCCCTCTGTCTTGTATTCCGTCCCGCCTTTTCTAACGACCGACATGCCTCCCAGTACCTCTCCCAATCCGCCAAGTTCCTAAGAACCCACATGGCGAAAGATTTCTTCCTTTTCTTTGCTTTACCCCTTACACTTCTGTTTACCCGGCATCTACATAGAGTAATACCATTTTGTTGATTATTTATCTATATTTTTTTGTTGCTTTACCTTCATTTCTTCGGTGTATGGCGGCATAATATCCTTCTTCCTTTTAAATCTTTTCTTTTCTCTATCGAGAATCCGTGTTGTTTCCCTGTCTTGTTATCTGTCTCGTTCTATTATCTTCCTCGTAATTTGGAGGATGGATACTCCAATTTGTTTCACCCTTCAGCTCCTTTCGCTGCCGTTTAATGGTTGGTTTGTTCAGTACATAGAGATTTTGGCGTTAGCTCGTTTTTCCCCCTTTTAATTTTTCTTCCCACCTAGTATATCTGTCGGGTTGTGCTGTTTATTTCACTCCCACCCGGTTTTTAATTGTTGCCTGAAATGTCTTCACATTTTAATATACTCTCATGACACTCACTTGCTTTTTGTTTATGCTCTGGGTGGGTTTTTGTGGGAGTAATTCATCTTTTCTTTTTCCCTTCTCCCAATCTTTCCCCTACCCCCCCCCTTTTTTTTTTCCAGCTGGCAGTTAGAGCAACGAGGGACATACAAGTATATCGTTAATGATCACCACCTTTTCCAGGTCTTGTTGTCTGTGTAGCTAAATTCTTCCTCTGCGCATCGTAATCCACTATTCATCCGACATAATTAACAATATATAAAACAGCGAATGGACGACACTACATCCCAACCACATACTCCCTCTCCACCCCCTGCCCCTCAATCCACGGCAAGCACGCCTCCCACAACCGCCTAATCTCACCATCCCCGCCACCAACCACCCGCTCCCACGCCACCCGATCCCCGCGCTCATACCACGTCAAAAAAGCCACAAACACAAAATCCGCATACCCGGCCTCCGCGCCCTCGAAGAACGGGCCCCCGCGGCCCCTCAACATCTGCCGCACAACCTCCACATCCGCCTCCACGCTCTCCCACGCCTGCCCCACTCCGCGCTTATCCCCCGCCATCGCCTCCAGCGTCACCCCGAACATCTCCTCCCGCGTCCGCCGGAAATACGCCGCGCCCCGCTCGTCGAGGAGCGCGGGGATCTGCGGCACCAGGATCCGCCGCGTCGCGGGCACCAGGGCGCTGACGAGCTTCATCACCGCGAGCGCGAGCGCGTGGCTGCCGGCTGAGGGGAAGAGGGTAGGGTGGTCAGGAGCCGGAAACGCCCCTTCTAGGTGCAGGGCGATGGGCCAGCTGTCGTTCATGACGCCGTGGGGGTTGGCGGTGGGGTGGGCGAGGGTGGCTGGGTGGGCGATGGCGGGTAAGGGGTACGGGAGGAAGTTGGTGCTGCCGGGGAGGGGCGGGACGGAGAGTGATTGCAATAAGGGCGCGATGTCTGGGTAGGAGATGAAGGATTGGGTGTAGGGGATCTTCTTGTAGTTGAGGACGAGGCGGGTGCGGAGGGTATTGGGGGACCAGGATTTGAAAGGGACTGTTTTGTGAGGTGGGGTTAGTTTTGGGTTTCTTCTTGTCTTCTTTTTTTTTCCCCTTACGGTTTGTTCTGAAGAAATTCAATGGGTATTAGTATGGAAAACTGGTATGCATACTTAGGAGTTTAGAGGTGATGTCAAAGAAATGGACGGGGCTGTCGTTCGCCATGCTTGTGTTGGTTCCTGCTACTCAGGTGTGAGGAGTAATGTACTAGTACTATTCAAAATCAAATCCCTGATTGATTATACCGTTAGCAGGGAGGTAAGTACGTGGAAATTGGCTGAATTTGAAACGACATCAGGTGGGCGCGTATATCTGGACGGCCGTATGTGTCTTTCTATCGTGGTTGGGTCTCGGAGTCGCACTTTTAGCTCTCAGATCCTACATGATATATACACTAACCGCGCAAAATTGGGCAGCAACCGGCTTCATGTAGTATTGAAAGGCAGAAGCAGTGCAAATCTCGGAAGAAAAGAGAAAGAAATAAAGAGAGAAAGGAAGAAAGATCGAGAGTTGAGCCAGGTATATAATGCTCCCCTAGCCTGGGTGATTTGCCCAGGGCTATTAGGGCTCAGTTTTGGGATGCTGGATATCAATGGCCTTCACAATTTACAACACGATACCTTGAAACTGTGCACTGTGTGCGAAGACTAAGTTGGAACTGTTTTTGAGAGTCTGGGTTCTTCCAACATTAATGCGAGAGTTTATGGTTGCAAGAACGTGCAGGCCTTGCTATTCCCAGCTGTGCTTTAGAATTTAGTCCAGTCAGCTTTCTAAAGCTGCTCCTTAAATTGGCTGCCTCATGGTATTGTAATTGATGAGTCTCCGGTATCTGCTTTAGATACTCTGTGGGTTTTAGAAACTTTTGGATTGATTTTTTGTTCTAACTTCCGAGCTGGCACTCGAGAGGCAACTCGGCTGTGCACATATCCATCCTGTTGACTAGTTTTGACAAGCCAGGATCGGATAGACCCAGAGATCAGAAAGCAGCCGAATCATGGGTTAAGGGGAAGCGTACAAGTAAACAGGAAGTAATCGATGTACCAGGTGTATCCCCCCTTTACAGGCTCGAAATGTACTTCAAAATCACCAATCAGTCGATTGTAAGTGGTAACTTAATGTGAAGGAAGGTTTGGAACTGTCAATTTCTTGTCTGTCAAAAGGAGGTTGACCCCTAAGTTCGAGTATAGTAGCAGACAAGATTTGAGCAACATCCTTCTTCGAATTACTCGAAACGTAAATGTCATAGGTTAGAGAATGTTCGTACTTGAATGTCCATACCAAGTCCGGATCTCCTGGGCTCGTGGAGGCCAACGAAAGAAGAAGTATCAGAGTAACTTCCAGAAGCTCGAAGTTGCTGGGTTCAATTCAAGGGAGATTCCAGTCGTCATTTTACGCTCAATCGCATTTTGCTTTATTCGCCGCTGAGCTTCTTTCTATTAAAACAAGTGGGGACACCACGCAAGGACGGTGATCGCGGATAAGAGAACTGTGCCGGAGGATGGACACGATAGTGAACGGGATACCAGTTGGGATGACTTGACTTCATCCGCGAAGCTCAGACTAAATAGGTTGAGTTGACGACTAGTCTCGAATATGGATGATATATGACGCTATAGCCGTCTAAAGAGGAGAATCCATGGAGATCAGGTGAACACAAGAGAAATATCAGGGCCAACAGTATTTCCATCTGGTATAAGTATAATCCAGAAGTTCATCGAGATACAAAAAGAAGCCCAGGAATGCCGTCAGCGTTGCGAAGTTACCCTTCTACCCTTGCTGGGATGATGTGTGTTGATACAAAGGCAGAGGCGGTGTGGCTGGTGAATACGGTAACTAATTTATTTAATTACGAGTATTGCCAAGCCACTTACCAGCTCCAAGCTCCAAGACAACTCCGAGACAACGACAACGACAACGACAACGACAACGGAAAGCAACTTGGACGTACACTCGATGGATTCCATATTCCCCCGATGAGATACATATATTCTCCCTTTTCGATTTAGGCGGAGCCTTGACAAGATGGAGGCGTTCTCCGCCCCAGCTCCCACGAGTCCTCCGCTTTCGCCTTCGAGGAGGAGGTGCCAGGAAGTTGCTCGAAGATGTGAACGCCTATGCTGTAATATGTTCATATATTTCCCGTTGGCATTCGTGTACGGACTTACGACATGGTCTGTATATGTGGAAGCAAAGATAGGAATGCAACCAACAAAAAGCAGGTGGATTGGTACGTCGTGGAGTGCGCTTTATCTTGAGTGCACCTAGCAAAACTCCCTTACCTACGGCATGGGTTTAAATGCACTTCTCTGACACATAAACCAGGTCCTGCAACATCCGTTCTCGGAATAATCCTTTACATCCTTTTAAATTCTTCGTATACGATTGCTGTCTTCACAGATCCGGGTTCTCCGTTGACGGGGCCTCGGACGAATAGTCGCGGAAACCGACATATGTATAGCTCTCTTCCCACGACGGAAACATCCGGCTATACAAACCTGACGGTGAGCTCGGCGGGTGGTAAAAGATACTGCAAAAAGTGTATGTGCATCAAACCTGATCGCACCCACCACTGTTCGTCATGCCAGCGCTGTGTTCTCAAGATGGATCACCATTGCCCTTGGCTAGCTACGTGCGTCGGGTTCCGTAACTACAAACCGTTTTTGCTGTTTTTGATATACACATGTTTATTTTGTTGGGTATGCTTTGCAGTTTCTGCAACCTGGGTTTGGACAGAGATATTGAATGATACTCGGTATATCGAATCATTCGGTCCTGTCGCCAATGTTCTCTTAGCCGTCATAGCTGGCATAATGGGCCTGGTTTTATCCGCATTCACAGGTTGGCATATCAACCTTGCAGCACGAGGTTCCACAACGATAGAATGTTTAGAAAAGACTAGATACCTCGCACCTATCCGCAAATCTTTTGATCGCCAGAGGCAGATAAGAGCGAGCCCCGTTAACGGGCAGATCGACCACCGCCTTAGCCACACACTCCATAGCTATGGTCATCAATTCCTCGACGCACATGCCAACGCTATCCCTGGCGTGACTCGTGCGGAGGAAGGTGAAGAGCGAAGTTCGCCTACCATTGCACCCCGTCAATTCCATCCCGATCACGTACCAACAACATATGCCCAACACCAACATTTATCCCCCGCACAACAATCCCTTTACCACTCCTATGACGAGTTTGAACATGCTCGTGAGAGAGCGCGATATGATGAATACTTAGATGAACAAGACGGAGAAAAGCTCCCTCACGCATTTGACCTCGGATGGCGCCGCAACCTCATACATCTCTTCGGCGAAAACCCCTTGCTTTGGTTCCTGCCCATATGCAACACCACAGGCGACGGCTGGCATTGGGAAGCAAGTTCCGAATGGCTTGAAACAAAACAACGCATAGAGAACAGGAGAATACAACGGTGGCGCGGGCACCAGCCACTGGACCAACTGCATCCACCTACTGCCCCGCAACCCCCACGATCTGAAACATGGCAATCCTCTGGCGATATGTCAGCTGGAGGCTACAGCGATGTCTCGCGGCGTCCAACCAATAACGAAGATTTTGACGATAGAGGTACTCATGTACAGCGTCCTGACACGGGGCTTTCGATGAAAACGCTGCGGCCCATGTCTCCCCGCCCCGGCGCGGAGGAGGTAGTTTCAGAAGACGACAGCACACCCCCTAGCCAGTCGAGTGGGCGAACTAGGAGTGAAGGCCAGGATGAATGGCACAATTGGGACTAATGCATTGCTGGTTTATTATGTTTCATTTATATATTGATGCTTTTCCTTGAATGCTTGCTTGTAACTATTTGTCGGGTGGGGAAGGATGGCGTTCTAGACTGATTTTTTTTCCAATGCGTCATGAATATTGATGGTTTAAGCAAGTTTTTATTTCTTTATTCATTTTCGTTGTGTATCTCTTGACTGACTATATCTTTGATCATGGACCACACTGTAACTATACATACTATTAGGAGCCGCAGATTTTTATGGCGACGGTTTCCTTACCGGAACTCAATTTTTCCATCCCTCCTTTAACGGCCTATCTAATCCCCAGCAAGATATCCAGACAACCGACGACGCTGTTCAGTTTAAAGGTAGATTTTGATACTAATAACGCTATAAAATAAGCTATACTGCATACACCTTCGCATGCGTCAGTATTTGTCTTGTACAAAAATCACTCCATGGACAATAATACATCAATCTTGCATATGAGTAATTAAAAATACACGATGAGCCCTTCAGCTCTGCACAACCATCCACCACCACTCCTTCACCGCCCAGCCAGACAAACCAGCAAGCCTCTCAACGACACCAGCTTCCTCCATCCACTCCAGAACCAAAGCTACCTCCCACTCAGCAATATGAGGCTGAAATATACGGCTGATGCCTGCTGCGCTGAGGCCGGGGCGAGCAGCAAGATAGCCCACGACCGCCGCAATAACCAGGTCCCAGAGCATCTTGACAAAGTTGCCATGGATATCGAACCAAAGGGGGATTTTGCAGAAAGGGGGACTGGTGGAGGGCGGGAAGTCAGCCGGCATATCGCCTCTCGGCATTCTTTTGGGGAGCTGGACGGGGTTTCCATAAACGTAGCGTTCGGGGACAGGGAGAACCTCGACGTCGAAGCGAAGCTTGCCCTTGTCCATGAGGCGCGTCAGGTAGCCGCCATCCGTCAGCCCGTATTTATCCCTCGGCGGGTTTTTGGGCCATATCGTCACCCTCCCCTCGGCGAAGAGGTTGATAAGGACGAGGATATCCCCGTCTTCCGCGTCATAGTTGACAGCGCATTTCCCTTCCAGATGCAGTTGCGTGTCCAGGATGGTGGTTTTGAAAGTCGCCGCTCGTTTCAACTGCGTTGCTTCAATGGCGCGTTTGCGGCCAAATGTATGCACGAAATACTCTGTCACGTCGTAATTGCGCCCTGGAGTAATTCGACCCCTATTTCCCATGGAGATCACTCGTTCAATGATGAGCGACTGTATCGCTTGCCCAATGAGCTCTTCGCCAAGGCATTCAAGAATGCGCCGCGCCTCTGCTGAGTTATACGACTCTTCCGGCGTGATCACATTCGCCCGTACCCAGGTTTTAGCTACGTTGAGGCGTTCAGTTCCGGGCCGTTGCCGTTCATGTCTCGTGCCAGTCCTGGCAACAGGGATTGCAAAGCTTGTACCAGCTAGCAAGGCTTGTTTTCGAGGAATCGTGGCTGGGGCATTATGTTGGTATAGCTCGTCAAGCGTTTGAACCGGTTCGGGACGAACGTCAAAAAGGCTATCAAATTGCCGGTGGGTAGCTGGTAAGTTTGGAAGATTATCTGAACGGGGGGCCTCGAGTTTGTTGCTCGCCCAATTAACGATCCACTGCCAATCATACGAGGTAAGGTCGGCATAATCGATACGTGGTACCTGGTCCTTCTCGTATGCTTCTGCATATTGGTCTTGAAAATCACTTTGCATTTTCGACATTTGAAGTCGATTTCTTGAAATGATCGCCTTTCCACGATCCGTGATAAGCTTAGGGTCGTGATCTGGGAAAGCTAGCGTAACGAGCTGCCAGTCAATCATTTTACCCTCAAGTCCACCTGCCAAAGTTCGAACAACGACCATCGCAACAGTGATCTTTTGTACAATGTCGCCAGAGAGGATATTGATGAGCTTGATTCTTCGAGCAGTCGGGGCTGCTGCTTTGGAAGTTCGTTTATCCGCTTTTGACTCTTGCATTTGCTCGAGTCGTCGGTTGAAGGGTAGGTCGAGGCGCTTCTGACCACGAGATGCGACTTGACGACCAGATGGACGCGCTGATGGAGTTACTCCGGCGGACGATGATGCGAGGATCCGAAGTGAATTCTGCGGATGTGGTCTTGCTCGTCCCGTCGATACTTGTGAAGTTTCACTGGCATCGAATCGTACAGAGCCGTCCAGAGGAGCGCTTTGAAATGGGCCAGGTATCCCATGGTTAATGTATCTCCATCCGACTCTCTGCGAATCGAATAGCTCAGGGTGCCTAGATTCCCATCTGCCTACTGCATCAATTTCAGAGAATACCCTGCTAGAAACAGGATCGGTCAGATTTGACGATGGGGGCTGCCGTTTCTTTGTCATGGAAAGGATATCTCCAAGATTTCGTGGTAAACTCATGGCTGTCTGGGCCCATTGGGGCATCGTCGTTGTTTTGCTACGCCCTTGCATATCAGATAATATGGTTCCAAATGTGCCAGTTGGGGCATGGAACGATTGGGACGGACACAAAATGATTGTGTATGGTAACGGCCTTGGTATTGATGGGACGTGCTGCCGTATTCCCGTTTCCAGGCTTGGGTCTTGCATCGTTGTTAACCAGTTCAAAAAGGAATTTGCAGGAGACCGTCGCTTAGTACTTCGAAGCCGTTCTATGGGCCCCGATCTTGGTTTGTAAACACGGGTATGTCTCATTTCAGGAGGTCGGGCCTTCACCGGCACTTGATGTAATGTCACAGTGACTTCTTCTTCTATCTCCGGGAGTTTTCTTGCGGGCAGTTGTGTGATTTTGTGCGACTTCCTTATTGATGGATCAATATCAGGGCCGGGTGGGAAGTATTGCTGGGGGTCGGCTTCTAACATTGCCCTCAGCAAATCCACAACTATTGGATCAGTTGCAGGGATATCTGGTTTCGCAATGATGGACTTGGTGACCATTAGCCCTTTGCTGTTCCTCCCGCTGAAGGTTAGCTGGCGGAGCTTCCCACTCTCAGTCATATATTTCACCGCATTTCGAAGTGTGCGAAAGTCGGGCCTTTCGGTTTGTTTGGTCTTTAGCCAAGCAGTAGTGAAAGGGTACCACAACTCAGTGCCGTATGGATACACTCCGTCGGCGCTCTCGACCACATCCATGACAATCTTCCTTCGAAGAAACGCAATGGATCCTCCTTGAATATCTGGCTTCTTAGCTTTCGTTTTAGCATTTGTGAGTGATATGGTTTCAGAAGCTTGAGAGGCAATATCTGTGGCTTGTATTGTTCTATTTTCCGTATCCTCGATTTCCATCCTGGGCTGGGAGGCTTCCCTACATGTATTGTTTGGTCCGGGTACATGCTCCGAAGGAGTAGCGCTGGAGGATTGGGGTCTGTGCGATCGTAAAGCTTCTGAGGGTGTTTCACCATTACTCCCACTCGGCATATGTTCAACCGCTTCAGGCGATTTTGATCCCTCGTAACCCACATTGATATCGCCAACTTTCTGTGTTCGCTCACGCCTAGCTGCTACGGGAGTCGCACGTTGCCCTGTGGTTTGTGGACCTTGCACCGGCTTGTCAGCTTGTGGAATAAGCCTAATTAGCTCTGCTGGACCAGTTCTGACATCCCTTCTAGGAGACTTGTCGATTTCTTTCCCTGGAAGATCTTTTCTGGACACTTGGCGACTTTGTTGCAACTGAGTATTCCTTCTTTTGGAGGGGGATTCGCCAGTCTGAGCGGGTATCGATGTTTCTTCATCACCGCCCATGTCAGTATATTTCCTTTTATTGGATTGCGGTGGATTGTCGAGATGGTCATGGGTCCCCGCGTCAACACCAGGAGGAAGAGTTTCTTGGACATCGGCATCCTCACCCGGTTGCAATCGATCAGTGAGTCGAGATGAGGGCATCGCCGTGGACCGAGAAAGTTTCGTTCTCGAGTAAGGTGGTGATTCGGATCGATTCGCAATGCGCTCTGCTTGATTGACAGCTACAAAACTAGGTTCCAAATCCTGTGTAGCTTCATTTGGGGAATCTTCAGTATCTTGCTGATTAGAAAACCACTCAATTTCCTTCAGCTTCTCCGATTTGATGACAGCAATACGACTTCGACCCGGGCGACCCCGGGCTTTTCCGACTGGCCGTCGCTTGCCTGGTGGAGTGAAAAAGATACCAGGTCCAGGACGTTCGAGTAGGAGGATGCTGTATTCGGTCCACGTCTCGTCGAGTCCCTGGGCTTCCAACTTCTCCTTCTCCGTCATTCCAGCATAAGGATCAACATATTCCTTCATTTTTCGCTGGCGTTTGGATGGTCCTCCAGTTTTTCCTTCATCCAGAACGTCGTCCACGACATCTATTAATCGACCAAAATCTGCTTCAATTGCTCTCCGTTTCCGCCCTCGAGAAATGGGAGTCTGCGGTGCGTCCTCTTCAGCACTTGATGAACCTGCATCTAAACCGAAGTGACTAGAGGCTCTTTTGGGCTTTCCGCCCAACATCCTCCCTCGGAAAATTATGGCTTCTGGATAATTAGTATAAATCTATCTCATACATATCAAAGTAACCAATCACGTACCGCAAGTGCCGTCATCACGTTTTTGTACAACAGGATCGTACATTGTGAGGGTGTAATCGGATGGTTTCGCAGCCTCAAGGCAGTCTTTAAGTGTTGCATCGCCATCATTCAGCAGGTTCGATGGTTTCATATCCACAGGGAAACCATGTTCATCTACTTGGAATGTCGCATCAATGGGAGGAATTTTAACACTAAATTTTCTCTCCGTTGAAAGTTTCACCGCCTCCCACGAAACCTGGCCGTCGTGCACCAGTGATCTGAAATTGCTCAAGGAATAATGGATATACATCGAAATTGTACCCCGAAGTCCTACATCTCGAACCACAGCGAGGTGTCTAAGGTAAATCGGTTGAGAAACCTGCCAAATCTCAACAAGCCGACTCACTGTATACTCGATTGGCCGCTTGTAAAACGGGCCCATACATGCGACGTTGATATCCTTGAATAATTATATCAGTTTGGGCGGTCAATGGATAGAAAAAAACGCTTAAAGCAGTCTTTTCAGCCCACTTACATGGTTAGTACTTCCTTCTTGACCACTCTTATGTACGATGTCAAATATTAAATTTGGCAAAATCTGATCCGGTGTCCATCTAGGTACAACCCGTCCCATCTGCTCTAAATATTCAACTTCAGGTGTGCTGGCAACGTTTCCCTTAACCTCGGGTAGTCCATCTACCGTATCTTGCTGGCCTTGGTCCTGGTCCATCTCAGCAGCATCCATGTCCTCCTGCTCCAGGTATGATATCAGAGTCCGACTGTCTTCAAGGAAAAGCCGAAGGTCGTTTTCGGTGAGTTCCCGGATTAGCATGACAGATTGATGTCGAGTTTTCATCCTATCAGAGTATTGAGATACTGCTCTGACACGACGGACACAACCTATTCTTTCCAACTTTCGAATGGCCCTTCCTAAAATCCGGGCGCGCCAGCGATCCTCCATTCCAAGTTTTGCTTTCAAGTCATATCGTGTAATGACCTTGAATTCTTTAAGGCATTGAAAAAGCTTCTCGAGGAGAACAGGGAAATCAACCATATTGGTTAGCTCACCCGGTTGGGAACTTGCATTCTCCCCAGACAGCCCATCACATTGCTCAGCTAGTTTTGAACGGACAAATTGACGGAGTGTGCATAAACTTGTACGAGAAGACTTATACTGAACAGCTTTTTTCTCGATGTATCCTTTCTGGCTTAAAGAATCTGTTCGCTTGGGAATGGAGCGCTTGTCTTGGCCAGTCAGTTTAGGTAGTTCTGGCTGCATAATCCCTCGCCACTTTCGGGAAGCAATGACAGATAGAAGAGCGAACTCTAGGGGAGGAACCCTCGAATGGTCGAGCTCATGCCCAGCGATAGCAAGCCACACTCGCTCTTCTGAAACATAGACGCGAAGTTTCTCGTCTGAGTTTGGCTGTATCTGCGTCCCTGCGGCAGCGAGGCCGCCATCTTCTGGTGGTAGGGCATTTTGAGAATTGGAATATGGCTCCTCTGCAGCGGTTTCGACACACCGGCCTTCCACCTCATCCAGAGTAAGGTTATTGCCTTCCCTGTTCTTGCCAACAGAAACCTCTGGGTGCCTGGTCAGCCAAACCCATGCTTTCTGCTTGAACTTACGGTCAATATTTGGAATGCGGCTTGTAGTCCCAGCTAGTGGAGGAGGGCGATCACTTGGGTGGATAGATGGATCATAGAAATCATCAATAAAAGCAAGCACATCCGCAGGAGAAGCACCTATATTGAGATATTAGCTCAGGATAGGTCTACCATGCGCCCAAGGCATCTAAGCATCTGAGATACTTTCATCTCAGGAACCATCAACGACATAGTTTATGGGTAAAACTCATTTGTGCAAAACAAGTGAAATTTCGTTGAAATACAAATTCATACAGTCTGTATACATACACATTTCCGCCACGGTGAAAAGGGGGTGGAGAAGAAGATACGCACCTCGCTCACCACAGAGCGATATCTCCGCAAGCAAAAATTCAATAAGGTCTCTCAAGCTCCGAGCCATCATTACGCTGTGCCCTTTCTAGGGGGATATTTTAGACATCTCTGTGCATTTGCCGACGGCGGGATTCGAACTTGCGGCGTTGAGGCCGACGTGGTTGGACTCATTTCCATTTCCAACTCGAACCCTGCTTGTGGATTATGTAATGGGCCGGATCTAGCCATCCACGTGATGTGTGTGGCTTCAACATTGGAACTTGAGAATTCGAGAGTTTGAAGCGCAAAGACCAGTCCAGGCAGTTTAAACAGACTCGTATCCCATCGCTCCATTGTGATGTGGCCCGGGATGTTCTGGCTGGAAGGTATCTTGCTCCGGGCAATCCCGTAAGCAGGCCACTAGTCATGATGCTCAGCCCGTGTCGACGAGGAAGCGCAGCGCCGCGCCTTTTCTACCAAAACTAACTCGAGACTGGCTTGCGACTCCTATGTTTTGGATCTGCCATCTTAAAATACTCGTACTAATGAATGATGACTCAGTCTGCCGGTAACCCCGGAAGCGAATTTCCCACAGGTTCAATTTATCTGCTGTGTGCGACAATGACCAATCACTACGACTCAGGCCGGCGGCGATATCAGCGCCTTGCAGTGGCGATGATGTCATTCCCTGAGATTTCTGCTGCCTCTGCTGACGGAGCATATCTCCAGCCTCTAAAATATTGTCGGATATGGCATTTCAGGCCCTTGCATAGATATATATACGGCAATTCGCTTGCAGGCTATTTCAACGTCCCTGAACTTTGCTCAACGCTATTCCTTTCCTTTTCTTTGCTGCCTTCAAAGTGTTATTGACATATCCACCCGTTATGGACCACGGGGAGTTGAAAAGTGCACATATAACTTCCCATTAATGGACAAACCCACAGTTCGACCAGCTCCAGGCCCGCCGAATCTTCCCTACTCCTTGCGGGATCGTAAATGGGCCATCGCGTTTTTCTGGACTCTGTTTGTCATTGACACTCTTGCCCAGCCGTTAATACTCTACTTCACATTGTGGTATCTTACCGACCTGTCTCACAATTTAGGTATTTAAAAAAAATTTCCATTTCTCAGTCAGAAGAAACCTGGGGTATCTGAAAACCTGTCTAACGATGCTTTCATTTCTATCTATCAGTTTTTACGATTAGCACGGCTGCGTTGGGCGGAGTTGCTGTCGCTGAATATTTCTACAGATTTTACACTCTGTATAGGAAGGGATCGGTCGTAAGGCCACTTAATGCCCGGCGATCATGGGTAAGTGGTATGGATATCGCCCTTGTGCTTCATGAAACTAACGTGGTATACGTCTTCAGCTGGACTTCTTCCAGATCAACTTCACCATAGTATGGCTTATCCTGGCTGTTGAGCTAATTATGTATGTTATCATCCCTTCTCTTGAATGCAATGGCATTTGTCAGTTAGCTAACCCGCTGCCATCAGCGGAACTGTGCAAGAGGAGCCATTTAGTAAGCATTGCCTCCATATCGTTCTGCCTGTGCAATCTGACAATTCAATCTGACACATGGCTTAACTTCTTAGTTCGTCTCCTAGCAATGCCCTTGCCTACAGTTATGTTCTACTTCGGGATAGTGCATTTGACGCTCGACATCCTCCGCGCTCAAGGATACCAAGCGCCATTCCGCATATCTTCCACGCCCAAAGGCTCCGTAATGCCGACCGCGTTATACGTTTTGATAGAAGATATTGTTGCGGTGGATGGCGCGGGAGGACAGAAATACCGACGAGCGCTGCGGAACAGATATCTAGCAAGCCCCTATTTTCGACAGATGCTCTTCGAGATGAATTGCTTCTGGGGAGGCGGATCGATTATCTTTGCCACAGTTACGACCATATTAATATTTACAACTCCAAGAGATGTTGCCTATGTGGTTAGTTCAACTTGCAGATTGTTGAATTGCCCGAAAATAACTCGTTGAATACAACAAGTAGCTGACGAATAGTTCTTTCTCTCCTGTCCGCTTATAAGCTGGGATGGAGTCTCCCACTCCTTTGGGCTGGAGTATGGACCCTGATTACGATTCCCTGGGTACAGGGAGATCTGCGGAAGGAAAAGGCCGCCTGGGCAGAAAACGTCACTCTAGATACAGAACCATACACCGACAACATCCTGGGTCCGAAGCCCAAAACCCGCCTCCTGTCCACATCTGGCCGTCTATTTTCCATGCGCCCTTTTCAAAAGCCCGGCTCGAATAACACGGATGAGACAGCGAATCCGTCTACCATGAGAGAAGAAGTTTGACTACATGAACTTTCAGCGCTTTTGCTATCTGCTGTGCATATATATATAGATATACATATATATATGGAAATTGCATTTCTTAGAAATACGAATGCTGTATTTATAAAATATCCACTACTCTAAACGTCAAGCCAAATATGTTTTTCAATCTCATCATTCCCCATTTTGTGCTGTAGTAAGTTGCTGCTTGATATTCACTGACTTGGGCCTGCGGAATTACATGCATGTTGATCGAGGTTTTGCTCTCATGTAGATGGATGGCAACTCCACTTACCTTTTGCCTGCAGCGTCCCCAAATTTTTATGGCTTATGATTCAGATATCCGCATGCATAGTTACTATTAATCTGTAGAAATTGATTTTATTTTATTTATTTATTTACTTTTTTTTTTTTTTTTAAATAATCCGGATACCTCGAGAATGTTAAGGACGGGAAAATTCGAGCATCATAACAAAATTTTTTGGCTCAAACAAATCGACCCCTTGTTTGGGTAAATACTATCATACGTAGAATGACTGGGAAATTTAGTCCGTTGGCCAAAGGGAGAAATGAAAATAGCATAAAATAATCTAATCATTATGTAAATTCAAAAATGGCTATGTATATACATATTCAGTTCAACGGAGGAGCAAGCAGTAACACAAACATGAAAAGAAGGCCGCAAAAGGGGGAAGAGCAATGTCCCCAAGTCCATATACAAAACAACCGACATGATATGCTTATTATGGTAGCCACCACAAGTTCGAGGTGCGGGAAACCAACGCAAAAATGAAAAGAGGGCAACGAATTATTTTTTCTGACGCGCAAAGAAAAAGCATACGCTGGGGTTCGCTTGGCACATGGTCTCATCGCTTCTAAAATATTCCTTCTCCGCAAGTTTCTTCCGTAGACCTCTATATGATAGAGAAACGAAAACTTTATGTCGCGTTGTGGGTGTGGATCTGAACTGAAAATGAAACTGATATACAGAAAATGAAAACAGAAAACAAGGCCGCCAACACTTTGTCAGAAAAATGACAAGAGACAAAATAGTAGTAATGAAAATTAAGCAAAATACGCCAGTTAAAATGCATGCAGGTATGTATCAAAGAATATAGGAAAGAATAGATGAATTAAAACAATGTCTAGATACCCACCAAACAACGTACAAAACCTCGGCTAAGGCCAACAAAAGTGATCAGCTTGGGAAGAATAGAAAGTTCGACAGTGAACACGTCAACACAACGATGGGTTTGGGACACGCCATCACACGTTGTTTTTGATTATCGGGGTCTCTATGAGAGATTTTTTATACTTGAATGGGATGCGTTGTATTGGAAAGGAGTTTGCGCGTTGGGGAGATTCATGAAAACGCATGTCAGCTGCAGATTGCACCTAACTGAGTGCTTTGTTAAGAAAATATGGTGACGCTGTGGAGCAGAATTATTGATCTCAATGACGATCTGAGAAACCGATTTTGTTTTCAAGTGCGGCGGGGTTCTCGAGAACCCACCAACTTCCGGCCAATATGTGCCAAAGAGCTTTTCCGTCGTCTAGGCAAGAAAAGACACAAGACGCAACAGGTCAGTTTCTTTGAGCATTTTCCAATATGCTATGAAACATCGGCCAAAAAGCGGAAACATGCTAAAACTCGGATACGCAAATTCGCAGAGGAGTGGAAATCACCTTTCGGCCAAAACATCACCATCATCCACATTCCCATTCGGTTGGTGTAGTGAACCATTATCGCTTGTAAGAGGCCTCAAAACTGATTCGCGGGATAGGTGGCAAGCCTGTGCATGGATCTCAGTAACTTGATTAGCAATGTCAATAATCCAAGGGACTGAGGGTGGTGCATACGTCATTCCTGGGGTCAATATTTTCACTCCTGGCCGACCGGGAGTCAGATGCAAGGTTGGGCATCGTTCCAGATCGGGCCAGGTTAGTTGCCACTGAATTAGAGCGGCCAAAGGGCGAGGAAGTTGAGGCAAATGAACGACAAGGAGGAGACTCTGATCTTTCGCTTGTGGAGCTGTGACTGATGATACTGCCTGCTCCATCTGACGAGGGAGCGGTAAATGGATTTAGGAAACCATCGGATACGCTGAGAACCTGGGACGAGGAGGCAAGTTCACGTAAGCGTATTTGTTGCTGCTTTGTCGGGCGGTGATGGGATAGTTTGTTGCTGAGGATTGCGGGAGTGTGAGAGATGAGCGCTTTAATAACGTCCTTTTTAAGCCGTAAAGCAAGGTCTAGATTGGACCAAGTCTTATTACGATATTCAAGCACCGGAAGCCTAAAGACGAAGTTATGCACATCCTCTATATTTCGTTCCCCTTTTCCCTTATAACTCAGGCAAAGAACGACATCGTTGATTTTAACATGAGCCAAAGTCATGAAGTTAGAAGCGCGGGAGAGCATCTGGGATAGGTCATCGGAGGCTTTATCGTTCTTTGTGTTGGAAGATCTGGTTGAGGACCTCGCCAATCCGAATTTCTTGGATCTCTCTTCCGTCCCGTTTACACTGTGTTGACTCCCTGATGATTTGTCATTAAGATGCCTGCTCACCGGGCGGAGATTATCAGCAGATGCCTTCCTCGGGATACGACTGGTCGTATGGCGAGAGGTTGACCGTGGCCTCTCACTTGCAGTTCGCTGCTTGCGAGGATTTTCGTCGTGGAGGGGCGTCATTGCGAGGCTTCTGGTTCGTTGCGACGGCGAAACCGATCGGCGATGATCTGAGAGCATAAGGGTAGGTTTCAAACGGTTCTCCATAGCGCCGGGGCCTAAAACAAACGATTGAGAATCATCTGCAGAACTGCTTCCATTGCTGCTGGAAGGAGTAGCGGGTTCGGCATCTTCTTCCCCACTATCCGATCCATCCTCTTGCGGTCGCATGTGCTTTATCATAAAAGGCGAGAAAGCCCCATTCTCAAACGCATTGGAACCAATACCGGGGAAAATGTATTCGAACAGCTTCTTTCCAAGCTCCCTCTCTAGCTGGACTTTTAAAGGGAACAAAGCCACTTCGAAGTGGTTCAACACAGGTATTCCAGCAACGGCTTCGAGCATGAACCAATCGACCCTCAGCAAATTGTCGTCCTCATTTTTTGGCGTTTTTCTGTGCTCATCCAGGTAAGGAACAATCATTTGTGGGTAGATTGCACTGGGCAGAAGATTAAGACCGTAGATCCTCTGAATCTCTATTGTATTGCGATTCGATCCATCGATGTTGTCAGTGCGCGTATACGACGCGTTCCGCAATTGGAACTCCACAAGAGGCTCTTGGGGGCTCATCATTAGATGCCACACGAGCTCGGACGCTGATAAGGCCCAGTGCAAGACCCCACTCGACTGGGACAAAGGTCGTTCGTCGTTTTTGCGCTGTGAAGTGGTGATGGCTTTCATGATGAAAAACAATTCATCCTCGCATAGCGCTAAATCCCGTTCTAGTGCAATGCGATCCTGCCATCCCTGAGAATCAAGATATTTGGCTTGTATTTGGAACATGCTTTTGATTTCCTCAAGTTGCCGTATCCTTTGCTGCAGCCGGCTCACAATCTGGGGAGCACCTCTTAAATCGCTGAAATCTGAGGCGAGCATTATTTTTTCGAGCTTCTCGCTTCTTACTTTCTCAAGCGGCTCACTGAATAGTAGCAGATCGAGGACAATGATGTACATGGAATAATACTCATCCGAATCACATATCGCCCGAACATGAGAAAACTCAACCAAGATTTGATCCATCCGTTCCTCGCTGCAAGTGGGAATTCGAAGATTGCTATCGTCATCCTCGCCACTCGCAATCTCCTCATTATATTTCAATCTCAGGGTATTGTACTTGTCATACCGGAGGCTTGCGGAGGTTTTCTGAATAATTCTTGAAAAGCCGGATGGGTCTAGGTCGAAGTCAAACATGCACTCCAGAGATAACCACGGCGGCCATGCGGACCCTGGTGCGTTTCCATACCGATTACCAGAATATAGATGAAGATGCTTGAACAAACATTTATGGGTGGTTACGAAGAACTGAGCACTGTCCATATCTAGAGTGAACCGACGTTGTACCAGGCCGGAAACATCATCTGATACACAATGTTTATCCATGATCGATACAACTTTTAGCTGCATGCCCTTGGCCGTAACGAGAGCAACAGCCTTCTTATTCTTTTCACTCTGTAGCTGGATTTGTGGCGCAATAAGGCGAAGATGGTAGCTGTTTTGTGGTGTGAAGTCTGCAGCAATTTTCTTGCCACATGCACTTGTCGAAGAGCGATGATTCGTTTCATTCGGCGTCGAGTCATCAGCATTAACAAAACGTTTTGCATCGTTAAGAAGTTGTTCGATGCGATCTTCAATAGAAATTTCATCGTCTTCAGGCTGTTCCTCAGATTCCGGTGGTGATGTAGATGTAGATGGAGGCGGTTTGCCTGCCTCCCGTGACCGCATCTTTGATTTTCCTTGTTCCTCTACAATATCTAGGATAAACCTCACCGCTCGTTGAGACATGTAATAGACAAATCCTCGTCTCTGGCTGACCTGGTGAATGTAGCGAAGAATGATATTTCGGAGAGAGTTGTTCCACTTCAATTGAATATTGTGGATAGTGAAGCGATTATCGAAATCACTAACGAACTCATCATTCGGTGAAGCATAGAGGCCGTCGATCTCCGCATCGTCGCTACCGTGTTCAGATGAGGCCCAGTTTAGCGTGTCTGCAGCCAGAGTTGTGCGGCTATGTTCGGTTCCCTGACCATTCAGCACCGCGTCACCTGAGAGTTGTTTCTGAAGACGCTGTAACCTGTCATCTAAGAACCTTACCCGCCTCTGCAGTGATTCACCTTGTTTAACGAAAAGCTCATACTGGCTCTTGAGGCCATCAGCAGCGTGGCTATCCCGAACAACTCGCAATTCTTGTTCTCCAATCATCCGGTTATGAGCAATAATTTGCGCGTCAAGGCTAGCAATGCGTTCCTTGATCAGCTCCATTTGTACTCTCCGCGGATCATTGTCCTCTGACATTACGCAATAGTGTGACGGCTCGTCTCCAAAAGGGCTGTATCCGGTTTCATCGACACCAAGCTCCTCGTGGTCTGTTTGGCGGAAATAAGAGAATCGAGGAGAGTAGGCAAGAGGGAGGATTCGGGTACGAGGGTTTGGCTCTGATGGGATTATCCAGTCGAGTTCTACGAAATCATCCATATCAACCCAGTTGAAGTCTCGATCCGGTATGGTAAATCGAGATAGGTCAACGGGAGGGGTTGGTTGCTGAAAAGTAGACAAGATGTGATCCTCAGCGGTGATATCTGCTAGATTCGTTCCAGCAATAGCCACTGACACCGCCCTGAAATCCGCAGAAATGAAATCCAACTGTGCCCGGTTGATTCGCATGGCACTTGCTTTCGTTTGTTTCGAACGTCCTTTAACCATCACATTAACTAACTCCCTCCGTTGATGAAGATCCAGCATAAGGCTGTCGAGGCGAACTTTAATTCCAGTGGCAGACACCATCTCCTCGCCATAGTCCTCAGCGTCTTTATGCTTGTAAATATGCGCCACAAATAATGGGGAGAGGAACAAATTATACTTAACAGTAGCCAAATGGCGGCCAAACTTCTTGCTTGTTTTGGTCACACCGGGCCAAAGTGGACCCTGCCGAACAGGTAATGACATAACTCCAGAAAACAAAGACCACCAGCTAAAAAAATGTGTGAAGAACCTTGGTGTCAAGTGGACCGTATTGTAGCTAGTTGATGGTTCACGGTTTGATACAGACCAAACCCGAGTTACTGGTGCCACAATGGCAAGTGACAAATGAATGTGGTTGCTTCTGAATCCACGGAAAGCATCGTAGTCCATGAGGTCGTCAAGAGGTATGTATCGTGGATTCTTCAGAACAACCTCATAATGCGGCTTGAACTCAAACGACCGTTCCGACGAGTTGATATTCCGTTCAAAAACAAGCCCGGATAGCCACCGAACATTTCCAGAGAGTTTCATGATAACCTTCTTGAAAAGAGAGATATCCTTGGATGACCTGAGCGGAGTACCGCGAGAATCAAGTGTTGCCTCGTATGAATGGCGAGCGTGGTGGCTGTAGTCTGGAATCGCGAGAACATATTCCCCACTTGTAACGGCCATAAGCTCTCTGGGGTCATCTCTCGTGTATATTTCCAATTGCACATCTTTGCGCCAGCACATTACAAAGCCAGCACCAAAACCGGTGACTACATAAGGGTCGCGAGAACCTGCACCACGATATCAGTAAACAACTAAGAGTGAAAAATGCCCAGCAAACAGTAAACATACCTTTCAGTCGTAAATGAACATCACCATCCCCTTTCCAAACAACATTTATTCTAGAATGGAAACTTAGGCGTATCTTATCCCAGAATCCAACACGTTCAGAGGGGTCAATCTCCGGCTTTGAGAAGCCCTCGATGATTTTCATCAGATCCTGCATGACAGGCTGATATGACATCCCCCAAGATATGCTAGTTGGTAAATTAGTATTAATTTCAAAGATCGGATCTGAGTAGGTTTTGATGGGAGAAACCGTTCGTCGAACATCGATGGAAAAGCCAGGGTGAGTGATGCCATCGGATCCTGTGTTTGGCGGCACAATAGTAACCATCACATGGCGTGAGGACTCATAGTCACGGAATTCTTCGGCAATCACGACATCGGTCCGCAGCGACCAACTTGGGAGGCGGGGTGATTGACCATGGCGGAGGGCAGGGATGTGCAGTAGGTCAAGAGGGTAGTCTCGAAGAGTTGCTCGTGCTTCACCCATTTCCAATTGAATGTTCATGGGGATCAATAGAGAATACTTCATGTCCAAGGGCATGCCTTTTCCTATCCTATGCAGGAAATGTGGATATTCATTCGTAGGGAAAGAAGGTTTATCGATAACGAGATGTACGTCACTAATCAGGGCAGATAAGAGCCCAGGCCTGTCGGGGACATTGAGGATATTTTCGTCGTCTTTAATGTCTTCAAGAGGTTCATCTGCACCCGAAAACATGTTTCTAATTTCTTTGATCGCAGTGTTTTGGAATCGCATGGAAGTATCAATTCGAATTTTCCAACTCCGGGAATTATGTTCCTGTAATTTAAACAGGGCTTCTTGAGTGGAAACTTTGAACGAGTCCGATATTGACGGGACGCCTTCGGGGTCATATCTCACGGTCCGAGTCGGTCTCCTTCCCCTCGGTTCGGAATTGCCGCGGGGTGGCCGCCCATCAGCGCTTTTACTCCTCACTTTCTCATCTCTCCTTTTTGAGCGAGCCGTGGAACGAGGCTCCGGAATGCCATGACTCGACTGCGTTCGGTATCGTGAAGATGCCTGACGCTGCTGGAGATCCTCCAGTCTTTTGACTTTCATATGGAATGCTTCCTCTCGAGCCAGGCGTTGTTTCTGTTCCAAAAGCCCCAGGCGGTAAATACACCCTAATTTCCATTCGAAAGCATCATCTTCCAACTCAAAAAGTATAGCTCTGCTGCGAAGCGATATCCTTGGCACGCGTTTCGGTCCCTCAGGGTGTTTTCCCAGGACATACTCGTTCGTCCTTGTTTTGAAGCGATGGTTCAGCTGTTGAACAGATTTTGCAGTATTGATAAAATTATCGAATATCCGATACATTATCATCTGATGTGGTACAGCGACCCGGATGAACTCGGTGGAAACATCGACAGACTTCTCTTCGATGATGGTTCCATCTGGCTTCCGTCGAGTTTCCCGCAAACCCCCTCGAATGTTACTGACACTCACAATTCGAGCCCATGTGCTTTTTATCTTCGGAGCTTCAGCATGGAGACGAACAAGCTGTGATCGCATAAAGGGAGCAGACCATCGATGACGTCCAGCAGCAAATCCATAAATTTGAAGCATCATAGGAGGATCTGCTGGCATGGTAAATTTAATCTGGATCAGAGATGCTTTTACATCAATGGTAATAAGCTCAGCCGATTTAGGTCTAACGGGAATGTCGATGGGCTCAACGACTTTCACCGCACCAGGTAGGTTACCCGAGGCTGGCGCTTTGGATGTCTTTGGACGTAGAAAGGCATCCCGTAATACACAAACGGCTATTCCAACAGCGTAGTATCGATAAAGGGAACAGTCAAGGTATATCGCTTTGACTGTAGAGTTGATATGAAAAATTGGCCCTTGTAGGTCGCTTGACGTGCTTAACGCAATTTCAAAGCGGGGAATAGATAGAAATGATTCCGGCTCCATGAAATCTGCGGATTCCATCACGAATCCTTCAAGACCACGAACATGGAATGCCAAACGTCTTCCATCGGCTTGGCAATGGTGAGACTTTCGAAAAGAAGGAGAGGTGAGTCGGAACGCATGTTCATCTGAAGTTGTAGAATGGCTCGGGGTTCGACGTTTTACTGATCTTCTATGCGGCTCTGACTTTTGGGATTGGTAATCGGCCGTCCACCCTTGCAACTGTAGAACGGTACCACGCGCAGTCGTCCCGATGCTATTATCAATTCCAGCCACTTCAACACTAAACCCTGAAGCCTCAAACTGGAACTGCAGAAGCCATGGAGGCAGGCGCCTAAGAAGACTTGGTGGATTGGCATCGAGAGACGAGGGCAACTTTGTCAGTTGGATATGTGAATGGAACTGGTCAACCACCTGATGTACACCACGAGAAACTTGCCCGCTAATCAGATGGATGGAAAATGTGTTTAAACTCCCGGATGCGACGACACAAACTTCGGGTGTTGCGTTGAGGTGGATCTTCACCTCCATCGATTCAGTATTTAATAGACGATATTTCGATCCAGAAAAGGTTTGGTAATAAAGTTGGTGCGCGGCCACTCGGTATATCGAAGACAAAGAGTAGTGGACTCCTTCTTCCGCAGAATGTGACGATTCAATATCTAAGGAGATGGAAGATATGGAGGAAATGAGCAAATTGTAACTATGATCCTGCCCGGTCTCGGGAAGAGGAAGAACAAATCGAAGCACAGGTTCATGAACTGATAATTTGATACTCGCTTTGGGTAAAAGACGGGAAATGAGGATGTGATTGTTTCGAACCTTCCGTCGGGAGCGCGGTTTCCTCTTTTGCAGAATATATAGTATTTGGGACAAGTGTTTTGGTTCAAGATCAATGGAAGGGGATGTCACGACAAGATTGGCGAAGAGAACATTGGTGTTCCGTTCAGCAACGCCCCTGTTCTCGGAGTACGACACAGCCTTGGAGAGCGAGGTGGTCTTAATGGTAGTTGTAGCCATAGGGATATAGAGGATCTTATCTGTTTCTCCCATATTGTCGTCGAGCGAAACAGACAATGAAATAGCGGCAAGCAGAGCTTGGTGGGCTATGTCATCTCGCTGAAAGTACATGCGATGGGCCGGGCGGTTGGGATCCATCCGGTGAAAGTCAATCCCAATTTCGTGAGTGACGATGTTGAGATAGAGCGGCCTACTGCGATGTATGCTCTGGACAACCTGAGATAGGCGGAAAAAGCTCAATGCCACCTGTATTTCTTGTATTCCACGCAATAATGAACTGATGAATTCCCTCGAATCAGCAACGGTCTGCACGATCGATCCTTCGCGGCTACCTGGTTTATCGAGCTCCTCAACGATATCCGCAAAGGATATCCCGTTATCTGATGGCTCACCAGCAGCATTCTTTGCAACAGGGAAAGATTTCTTCACACTCGTCGCCAGTTTCATCAGGTCATCGTACGGAACATGTAATCTCCCCGCTTTAATGGCAATGGAGACATCCCTTAGACCTTCCAAATCCTTATGGAGAAGGCCGTGAATATTCAGGCCAATATTATCCACGATTTCCACAGGTTCGCATCCATTGGCAGCAAGTAAAATATTCCGGACATTAAAAATCCATTCCGCAGGTCGCTGGTCCCCGTGCGGGTCCTTCTTATGCCGAAATAGCTTCCCCCTTGCCATCATTTTCTTTCTTGTGTCAACAGCCATTGTGAGCCCTCCGACATGGATCTCTCCGGCATCCACGACCTTGAGAGTTGCATCTGAAGCCACAACATCCACTATAGCCAGCCATTGTATCCGGCTATGTAGACGCTTGATCCAGTCCTTAACTCTGGTCAATCGCTTCCACGACTTGCTCCGCGTCTTGTGGCCAGGCCCAGATCGGGATTGAAAACCTTCATTGAATACATCATCCTTCTCCGAAGTATCAGAGTCCTCGTTCTGGGAGGTCTGTGTTCCATCATGGCTGCCACTATTAAGAGCTTGGGCATCGATAATCACAGCCAATTCCTTCAACTTCAAACTGACCCATGTCGGCTGCGCAAACGAAGGTCGATGGAAGGATAAACCCAGCACGCGGATGCTTATTTCAACCCCTTCCTTCGGCGAGTAGGCAATGCGGCGAAGAGAGAAGTAGCCAATGCGTTGTATGGAGATGCCGGTCGCTATTCGGATAATGGCGAAGAGGATGAAGGAAAGGAGGTAGAGAAGGAGCAGAGCTACGAAGACGGTGGTCGGACTCCAGATCGTCATGACGGATCACAAGTGGAACAGCACCTTGCGATAGGCTTGAGTCTGTTGGACAAAAGCTTTTTTGGCATGACATCGAGGAGGCGGGGTTTGGGGGGAACGGAAGGTTATCTAGATCAGAAACCTCGAGCCTAGCATGAAGTATGGACGGGAAAAAGAAAAAGGGCGTCAGTACCAAAGTTAATGTACAGTAATCAAGCTCACATAGTAAGCCCAAATCCGATAGACCGGGCTACAAGGGGGGGGATAGTGCAAGTCGTGAGGAGGCGACTCTGGTAACAAAGGAAAAGTGTTGGTTACCACTAGCTCGATGATGGTTGGCTAGATGTTTGGAGATGAGCAAGTTCATCGTCGGCGTCCTTGCGAAACAGGAGTCAAAAACGACGACAAGGAAATCTCTCAACGAGGTACGGGCGAACTGAAAGGTCAAAGGTTGAGATAGCAAAGCTAGTGATGGTTCGAAGCATTCCAGAAATCGACGGGTGGCAGCTGCGTGGTTGGCCTCTGTCCGCTCCTGTAGCGAGCCGTTGTCGTGCGAGCCTCCTGCGGCTCTTGTTGGTTGGAGCTCCGCCGGCTACGGAGTTACTGAGCGCGGTGAGCAGTTAGTCACAACAGATCCTTGGTGAGCACACCAGGCCAGCCACTAACAAGGCACGGGATAGAGTTAGCTGCCCAGAACCATGGTTTGCTTGATGCCACATATTATTTGGGAAGACATCTTCCTTTTTGGAATACTGGCCCGTCACCGAATAACTTGCTTTTTTGTCCGCCATAGTCTAGTGTTGCGCTTGGGAGAGCCCAGACGCTGACAGGCATACGCCTCCTCCACCCGGTGCAGCGATGGCTGAATTTTCTGAAGGAATCCTGGAAATTATACGGAGTACTCTGTGTGCATATATCATGATCGTTCCTGGTTTTTGGCCATCGGGTCTTCGATTTTATCTGCAGAGTCTACCCCCGCAAACACATCTTTCGAACAACGTGTAGCTTACAATGTCGGTTTGAGCTAGTGACATATCTTATCAGGTATTGTACAGTACTTTGTAACCTAGGACAAAAAGGTCCGACATTGTTTTTTTGTAAATGAACCCGTCATAGAATACAACATAGGAATTCATCTCACGATGCATCCAGCCTCCTGAGTCCTCAATGCGGCGATCTTGTCATCAATAACCGCAATCTCTGCATCAACAGCCAGCAGTTTCTCGTTCAGCATCTCTATATACTCCTCATCTGGTAACGGTCTCAAGAGCATCCATTTGGACTCCAACATACGCTGGACCAAGGGTTTCTGAGGTGCAGTTCGATCCCTTGATAACTGCCATCTATCAATGACATCATATGACTTCTGTCCGAGGAAGCCTGCTATTCCAAATATCACCGCTCCAGGCATAAATCGTCGGTCTAATATATATCACATCGTCAGAGGTAAAACGCAGGCCCCTCAGTTATTTTTTCTTTTCTTTTCTTTTCTTTTCTTTTCCTTTTTTTTGTTGACGACCCTAACTTACGGATAGAAAACGCAATTGCTCCTCCTGATAACCCGCTAGAAACTGAGCTTGCAAACGCGCGTTGCCCGGCTGTTGGTTTGTCGTTAAATTGAATTCTGAGGATATTACTCCTAAGCCCTACACAAAATTTCGATACCTTGAGTTATAGAACAATTTTAAATGAAGGTGAAAATAAAGTCCCTTACACCATGACGAGGTTCCAAAGGCAAACCAATGGATACCAGCTGCGATCGAATGGATCGCCGGGTTCGGTGAGCGTAAGACGCCCGTAATCCCGCCAAATATGAGGCCAGAGACACCTGCATATGTAAGATTGGAATTTAGAAATAGCAAAGCGAACATGCGGACATGCGAAATTCGGCGAGAAGAGTAATAAAATCGTAAATCAAATATATATGGGATGGGGTTGGGAGACAGGGCAAAGCATGCAATAAAAACACCGCTTCCTTTTCGCAATATTGAAAAACAACCGAAAAAAAAGTATAGAAACAATGAATGACATAACAACATTGAAAAGGATAAAAGGGAAAAATGTTTCACCAACCACTGAATGCCCCAACTTTCAGAGCAGGCATGACTGTCCACACATTCTGTGCCTGATCACTCTGATCACGGCGGATGTTCCCATCCATCCCACTCATCCTCTCAACTTCGACTCCCCGAAGTCAGCCGTATCAGGCGTATGTGGCGTATGTTTGGCAGAGCATGAGATCAGATAATGATGCTGGCCCTTTTTATTTTGTTGGGACGTGTGAGAGAAGTCGTCCTCAGGCGAATGGAGTTTTTGATAAAGGAAAACAATCACGTGATTAAACACCTGATTGGATCTTGACCAATCACCTGGCTGGATAGCCTAAGGAAATTTTTTTCACTTTTTTGTCATTATTTTCCACAATAAAAATTGTTACTGTTAAATAGAGGAACGTATGAACCTGCATGTTTTCAATTATCATCTCCATTCATTATCAAATAGTTTAATATTTTTAGGACGTAGTAAATCATTATCATATATATTTGGGTATATAATGAATGATACATCCGCGGGTAACTAGTTTGCACAGATTACTGCCTTCAAGGGATTGAACTACCCAAAACCATATCACGAACCCGACCAAATAAATGTGTTACCCCGCAGACGACAAAGGTCCAGGCCATTTTCCCGAAGTAGGTTGTCTACATTGGTCCAAGGCATAAGTATCCGTTTTCATGGAAGAGAAAAAGGCGCTCTCTTGTGCACATACGCATCCAGGGCATTTGGTCTCCGGACAAACCCAAATTACCAGCGAAAATAGCATTGGACACTTTTTGATCCGTCTTGTCTCCGGAAAAGGGCCTATTGTGGTGGTGTATTATGGCTTGCCCAGCCATACAATTTTATCTTCGCGGCGTTGGAAGATACAGGAAGATGGCGGAGAGAGAGTGTACAACGAGCCTCGGTCAATGCCAGGCCAATTTGCCAGTGGCTGTGTCGGGATATAATTTCCATTCGATTTCCCCACTTCCAGCAAGCAGCAGTTTAAATTTCCCATGCGCCGTTACATTGTATGAAGTCAAATGTAGGCACCACCAGTCCAGTTGGACTTCTAGGCGGCATATTTCCGTTTCATATCAACCCCCATTTCTTCATATATATACGTTGAGAATAAACGATTCCATCAAATTTAGGGGGCGGAAGCTGTCTCCCTACTGGTGCAGTGGGAATGTGGCCCATATATTTAGCGGAATCGCGCTGGGATAGAGAAGCATTTGTGTTCCAGATCGAGCGTTCGATAAAATCTGCGGGAAATGAAGGTTGTTAGCCAGGGCATAGACAGACATTGCAACGCATGAGCATAGCACACGGAACACTGAAACCCGTATTATATATCGGCTTCCGGGGGATTTCCTGTCGGATGTTGACTTTTATAGGTTTATTCCGAGACTTTCAAGTTCACCAGTTTGAACGACCTAGGTTCGCTTTCCTTCAAAGCGGCAAATACTCAATTAAGCATCAAATAAATGATTACACCCAGCTAGCCATGATAAAGGTTATGGCACTGAGATGAATACGAAGCGCAAATTTTGTTGCATCCAACAGGAGTTGCTTGTGTTGGAATGAAGTTTGCATAGCTCGGCTCTCCCGCTTAACGCACTGAGGCTGACTTTTTTCCTTAGCGTCGTCACTAAAATTTATCCTTCCCAAAGATCCAGTCCAATTTTCCCCTCTGTGTCTTCACACGACGAGGCCGCATTTCGACCAGACAACACCACCCTATCCGGATCTAATCATTGCCTCAGTGATTCTCCATCGGATTCTCTTCCTCATCGCTGAAAGATTCTCCGATCTTTCAGCTTTTTCCGCCCTCCAGAGAGACGCGCACATATCTTTGCGCGTTTCGTTAACCCAAATCGCCATCATGGGTTGGTATCCCTCTGACGGCAGTTATCGCCATTATAATACTGATAGTGGATGGCATCAATAAGTCTTGCAATAATGGCTAATTCGTTCGCTGGCAGCTCCCGCAAAACCCAAAGCGCAGAAGATGTCCGTTGGGACCTTCTTGGCCGATGAGAGTATGTGGCCTCTACATCCTAGTAATTTCTGGCTTACGGAATACTAACCGTAGAGCAGATTTTGGCTCTTGGGCCGATGAGATGGATCAATTCCCTCTGCCTGGTAAGTCGCGATGTTTAGTTCAATTGTTTCGTTGACTGGTAGATGCTGATTTTATCTTCCCATTTAGCCGGTATGAAAAAAAAAAAAAAAAATGATATCCCCTACCTAGCCCTTTATTTTGGATGACAGCCTTTGGAAAAGGCCACATTAGTGAGGATGTGTAGCTAAGAGCCGGCAGTCCCGGAACCTCGTTCTAGCTATGGCGGCGAACGACGTACGGCAGGTGGATATGGCAACGATACAGGTAATGGTATGTAGATAAATTGGCTCACGGTGTCCCATTTTTGAGATCCTGACAACTAATACATTTGTACGTCAAAGAACGTGATCATCGTGGGTACTCCGTGAGGGAGGAGCTTCCCCTGCCTACTCAACCTCCATATACCGCCCACATTGGGAATCTGTCCTTTGAGGCAACGCAAGCCGACATTTCGGACCTCTTTGCGGACTGCGAAGTGACGAACGTGCGAATTGTGGAGGATAAAATGACTAGAGCTCCGAAGGGCTTCGGTTATGTGGAATTCGCTACTCTTGAGGGCTTGAAGAAGGCCCTCTCGTTTCAAGGAACTTTCCTCCAGGGAAGGAATATCAGAGTTAGCGTCGCGGAACCTCGTATGTCTAGTACCACCTACCTCGTGATACAACCAGACTTTACTAACAATCAATCAGCCAAGGAGAGACAGGATACGAGAGACTACAGCGATTGGTCCCGCAAAGGACCCCTCCCAGATGCGCCTTCGCAACGCCGAGTTTCTGATCGTGCGGGTTTCGGACCGAGAGGCCAGGATTCCATGAGTGATGCCGGGGGAGACCGCCCCGGAAGACGTCCGTTTGAGCCTGCAGACGGTAAAGTTCGAGATTATGGCAATTGGGAACGCAAGGGACCCCTCTCTCCATCTCTCCCCACCGCATCCCTTGCTAGAGAAGGTGGCCGCCCGAGGAGCAAGGATGGACCACAGTTTCGCAGAGCATCCCCCGCCTGGGGAGAGGCTCGCTCCCAAGATGGCTCGAGACCACCCCGCCGTGATTTCCACGAACGACCGGTGGAAAGGGCACCAACCGCTCCTGAACTGGATAACCAATGGAGGGCAAGGATGCGACCAGATGCCCCCCCTCCCAAACAAACCCCTTCCGCTCCTGAAGTTGCTCCAGCGGCAGCGCAACCCGCACCTGCACAGCGACCCAAGCTCAATCTACAAAAGAGAACAGTGGAAGCTGAACCCGCATCCCCAACTACCCCTGGTGACTCCAAGTCGAGTCCTTTCGGTGGAGCAAGACCCATTGATACTTCCGCCAGGGAGCGAGAGGTCGAGGAGAAACGTCAACTAGCACTGCGACAAAAAAGAGAAGCAGAGGAAAAGGCAAAGGCTGAGAAGGCTGAGAAGGCTGAGAAACAAAAAGCTGCCAAGGAACAAGAGCAGCAGGCAAAAGAGCAGGAGGCTGCTAAGACTGAAAATCTCAATGCTACCATCGCAAATGGCTCTAAAGAGGATGATGCTGGCGCCCCACAGGCCGGAAAGAATATTGAGATTCTTCGTAGGTCTGGAAATACGGAAGAGACTCCGGCGGCTGAGGGATCCACAGAAGCAGGAACTTCGGGTGAGAAATCTGAGCCCCCCAAGGAGCAACCAAGGGAGCAGGCTCGTCAGCAACTACCTAGCAAAACGAATGGGAACTGGCGAAATGGTGCTCCCAGGTCTCGCGGCCCTTCGCACGGCCATGCACCACCTAGGGGACCTCAGGGTCAGGCAAAAGCCCAGCAACCGAAAGCTGCCGCTTCGGATCCTGCAGCTTCCCCTGTCCCTGCGGAGCCCGAGGAGGAGGGCTGGAGCACCGTGAGCAGCAAGCAGCGCAACAACCGACGCGGAAACCAGACCCGCGGCTAAAAAAATGTCCATTTTCTTTAACCTACTCTATGGCATTAGATACGAAAAGGCGTTTGAAACACACAAAATCACGAACCTCATACACCTTATACATGATGCAACGTAGCTTTCCCCCTTTTCAAGCCTCCAGCTAACACCCTGGGTCCAGCCCAGCCCAGCTTATCTTAATCCGGCGCGCTATGTACCATTGCTCTACAGGTTCGGGTATTCCATTGTTCGCCTTCTTTCCTTCCTTGATCACCTCTTATCTTGTCCACATGCTTTTCACCAACGAATCTGTATGAACCGGGATATGTGTCTACCTCCTTTGTCTCTGGCGCTTCTTTCTTTCTGATGAAACCAAAAGAAATCATCTATCAGCTTGGCCGAATTTTTTCTCATGGGTTTTCTTTTTACTTTCTTTTTATTTTGGCTAGCTAGCTTGAAGGTGTTTCTTCCTCGTCTACCCACTACGTTTTTCAAAAACGCTGCTCGCCACTTGTCCCCCTATTCTCCAGATATGGTTTTTTTTCATTTTCGTTTTCCTTTCCTTTCGATCATGAAGAAATCTATTTGCCGTTTCTCTTGTAATTGTCTATCTCGTTCCATTTCAAACTTCCTTTCCCTTCCCCTACCTACCATCTCTGTTTATTAGGCTTGGTAAAGAGTTATTTCTCACAAGTGCATTTCGTCTATTAACTATGTTTCCCAAAGTTGGGTCCTTGTTAAATGACGTGAGTAATTTTTTCTTTTTCCTTCCCTTCCCCGCCTCCTTCCTTTTCTTACTTCACTCTCCTTGATTTATCTTTCCCGCCTCGTACGGCATGGGTATGCGGCGTGGGATTTTCTTTTCTAGAAATAATATATCGAGGGGCATAGAAGGGGGGAAACCCAGAGATTTCTTCTTAATTTAACCCATTTTCCATTTTCTCTCCATCCATCATGTGTAACCCTCAAACATCACATACATACAAGACTCACAACAGCCGAATATGTCTGCTCCGTCCTGTCTCGAGATATCGAATCTGTGTCCAAGGGGGGCATAGAGTGGAAGGAAACCTGGAGAGACAATAATTCTAGCATGAGCGGAGTATGAGGGAAACAAAAGGGTAAATGATAGGAGGAGGAAATGGTATTTTGACAACTCGTCCTCACACGAGACTGTAGATACCTGTGTCCGAAACCAACCATTCCTAATCTAACTTACCTAGCAGAACTGTTTCTTTCGTAAGAGATTCGTCGTTTCCGAGAAGATAGGAGGTTTTCAAATGGTTCTCTTGTCTCATTTTTTCCTTCTTGGCTTGATGGCGCTGAGTCCCAAAGTTTATCCATTCCCTCATTTCCACGGCTTAATGTTGATTTCGCGCAAAAGGTTATTTATTTCCTTGAGCACTTTGATTACTCTCCGCAATTTTTTTTCTTTAAAAAAAAGGGGGTGGGGGTCCCTTTACTCTTCCTATAATTTTTGCATCTCTACCTACTATAATAAATTTGAGCTATCCCAGCCGGACTGATGGCAAAAACTCATAGCTCCTGGTAGCCGAGGACATAACTCAGGCCAGCTATGGCATGAAACCAGTTTCTCACGAGATATGCAAATTGAAGCCTAATGCTCTGAGCCTGGAGAGGAGGCCACCAGCAGCTGGATTCAAAAATACCAGTCAGATGCTCTCCTCTCATGCGCGGATATTTATATTCTGGGCTCCACAACAAAAATACCAAGGAAGTATTTCTACCCGCCACAGATAGTGTTTACATGGAATTCTTACGACGAAAGGGAAACAAACAAACTGCTTTGCGCAGTTCATTAGGAAGCTATATAGCGCCCTTGACCGACCATTGGCATCAAGTAGCTGACTGCTGGCGCAGATATCATAACTTCAACTTCATTCTCCGCCGCGCGACAAGGCTATGAAATGTTCATGCTTGGTCGCTTTAACCTTCATTGTCCATGACCTCCCAAGGTTCCTTGGAAGGTATCTCCTTATTCAAAATACGGGAGACATATATCCTTACCCTGACGTTTCTTTTTCTCCTGCAACTGGGTCGGGGACGCACACAAATCAAATCCATCACCGCATCACTGTTTCTTATACAATTTACCTCAACCGACGCTTGGGGATCAAAATGCAAAATTATATATGTAATTGGTTAGTGGGACTTGATTCTGTTACCAAAATTCTTTGTTTCATAGACAAAGTCAATGAATGATCTTGCCTAATAACCAACGCCAATATTATTACCATCTTCCAGATGAGATTAAACACATTTCTGATATGCAAATATATACATGTACATTTGGCGGCTCTAGAGTGATTGATGGCAGTGCCATGCGCACTCGTACCTAGTTCCCAGCAGAGTCCACACGGGGCAACAACGCAGCAGCTCACGCCCCCTTGGGCTGCCAACCCTCCGCCGGCATCTCGAAGCCCTTCGGGTCAAATCCTGGAGCGACTGGCGGTTTTGTCAGACAGAACACTTGCCATCAAGAACGAGAGGGTGTTTCCTTACCAGTTGTCCCCACAAGTGTCCAGTCTCCCAAGCTCTGTGCACTCTGCCACTCCCACTTGCCCACCACCACTTGCGGCTTCTCACAGTTGAAAATGTTCGGCCCGAGCACCACTTCCTTCACCGGCTTGCCATCGTTGTGCGACAGAGACATCTTTAAGGATGCGCCTGCATAATAATGCCAGACCTCCGGAACGTCGATACGGTGCCAGTGGGATGGACCGGCAGATCCCTCGAGGAGGTAGTATATGGCAGTGCTGGCAGAACGGTTGTTGACGGAGACCGGATCCCGGAAGCTTTCGACATAGTAACCTTTTTCGACGTTGGGGATGAGGTCGAGCTGCTTGACGACCTGCTGCGCAGTGTAATGCGTGATGGGAACTTGGGGTTTACAGCCGCCACAGCCCGAAGAATCGATTGACGGCTTTGGGGCTGCTGCTATAACGGGAGACGTCAGGAGAGCCAGGATTGCCAGCAAGCTGAGCAACAGGGGGCCAGCGCTGAAGTGCTTGGTGGGCTGGTGCATTGTGCCTTTCAACATATACGAAGAATTGTTGTTTGTGGTGTGCTGGCCAAATGAGAAGTGTGACAAGCCGTGGATTTTATCCGGATTTTTGAGAAATAAAAGAAAAGAAAGCTGCAGCGAAGTAGGTGAACCTTTCCTTTTTTATTTGCAGGTAATTAATTGTAGATGGACATTCCTTCAGCTCCGGAGACTTTTTCTACAGTGTCTCCATCATCCGACACATTTCTCCAAATTACGAAATTTAGCATCTTCGCTGACCGTCCAGTTCGTCGCTCATTCGCAGCACAGCGCGCGGATGTTGAATGCCTTAATTTATTTGGTGAAACAAGGATTGAATTAGTTATTACAAACAGTTCCTGCATAATTACACACAGCCAAGAGTCACTAAATTTTTACAGGAATAGTGGATACACATCATTCCATACAGAAGAACGATATCTCGCCGTCTCATGCACCTTGGGCCTCTGATATAGATCTTCAAAGGGGCTGAACTGTGCCTGGGCTGCAGGCTCCTGAAAGCTTGTCAGCTGCTCTAGTGTGTGATCTTTTATTTTAGCTGATGGGTTAGGAGTTCATTTTTTTTATAACTATTCATTGTAATAGGAGCCTGCAATTTATATGGAGATGCCTCTTTGTTGGTACACTCAGTGATTTGGCACGTTATTGTAATGATCACAGATATTTTCAGATGCTGGAATCCTCAAAGAGCCTAACGTTATCTAGAGTACTCTGTACAGATCTGTAGAGAATTTCATGATACCGGTCAGCTCACCCCTCAGTATGTTCAGCGTCCAGCATCCGCGATATCGTATTATTTTAAGTAGGTGCTATGTGTCCCATCTTCGGGTGCTGGTTATTTTGTACCTCTGTAATGTAGTGTATTGACTAAGCAACTCCTCAATCCCTAATTAATCTTTTCTTCCTCTTCGAGAAACGAACGGGTAACTTTAGCTCCATGCTTCGGTAATTTATGCAGGTTGATTGGGCAAAAGTCCAAAGAAGGACGGGGTTAAGCTCGAATTCCGGCATCCAAGGACACGGCGGAATCGGACGGATTGACCGATCCTTGTATGGTGGAGAAATTTCTCCCCGACAGCGCCGGACATCGATGAAGCACGGTTTTTTTTTTAGTTTTCAGTCTAAATCTTCTGACGCGACAGAGGATTGATAAACGAGTCAGTATTATCTACGAGTAGTTATCGTCATGATTCTCTGCTCACCGGCCATTTGCACTCGCCAATCAGCCTGATATCAACAACCTCCAGCAAAGATACTAGCCATGGTGAGGTCTGTTAATGCTTCTCGCCTTCAGCTCAGCGAACGGATCTCAGCGGCTACGCGTGAGATTATAAGAGACAGCTCAGACATCGACATAGAATTATCAGCTGGTTGAACTTAAAAACAAGACTAGTAATTCCATTCCTCGACGCTTGGGTGGTTCGCTTCCTGAGATAAACTCCGATCCCTGAGGCCCGCTCCATGGAAACCGGTACACCGACAACGGGCCTTATTTCAAGTTGAGGAGCGAAATATCTCCATCCCAGCAGGACCACTGTCGGTGATGAACACATTTCCGGTGCAAACAAATACGGAATTCTATCAATCAACTTGGCTTGCATCACTGAAGTTTTTTTCCCGGCCGAAAAGAGGATAAAAGTAAATCCACGTATAGAATTCACAACAAATTCTTTACAAAGCATCTGAGAAAAAGCTGTTAGTATTATTTTTAGATTTAAAACCCATTTAAATGAATCCCAACTATCAACTTCATCTATTCAACAATCCTGTATCATCAGAAGCGATGGATATATTATATCTTTTGTCTCTTGATAGATCTGAATTTTTATATTCATATATCTAGCTTATATATTCAAGTACAGTTCTTTAGTTAGAGACTGAACCATCCAATTCACGCCCATGGATAAGATCAAATTTATATGGCAATTCCCATTACTCAAAGTTGTCAATCCAAAAATGCAGTTTTATGGAACACTGGAATAAATCATAAGTCAGGGTATATTTTTGACTGTAGGTGGGCAATATCTGATAACATTGATCTCGTTGAAATTTGGAAACCTGGGCCAGTGTTAAACCAAGAGGAGCACCAGCCAGTTCACCGAAAACCTGTCCTCTTGTCTCAACCCGACTCACCCACGAAGACCAATTGATATGGCGAATGAGGAGAGAGGCTGTGCAGGTAGTAGGCTCGTAAGTCTGCATTTTGTTCCTCGGCAATCTGCCGAGCTGCCTGCTTCAACAACGGATGTGCTTATGCTCTGTATTGTGACATGATTCTCAAATTCGTCCCATAGGAAAACTGCCATCTCATCCTGATATAGAGTCGGTTTTCTCCTTTAAGCGTTCACAAAGGGCTTCAAACATGGGTTGGGTGATACTTCGCGGGCGTCTGACACCATTGCGAGGTGCACTAACATCTCCGAATGCCTCCAGGTTGCGACGGATGCGAGTTATGGTTCGTTTGCTGCAGTTAGCGACAAAAGGCGATATCAAATCTATTGAGTGATTTGCTCTGAATCGTATGATGAATCAGTTCGAGTTGTGGGACTTTCAAGTTCGCAGGCATCCTTCCTCGATGTGGGCGGTAGTTCTTTGGGAAGCAATGTTGCGGTGATACCGTGCACGGCCCGATAATTACTCCGGCATAGATGAGCACTCTGAACCTCCTGCGCACACCTATCCCTATCCAAGCAACAATGTCGCCGCACAGGCGTCAGTCATCTCTTGAGGGCATTTTGGATTTTCCGGAACCCTTCTCGCTGAGTCTACAGCAATCTGATTCTGCAAGGAGTCTCCTTGATATATTCATCAAGGACTATGGCCTCGAACGAGCAACAGAACGGGGTTATAAGCCTGCGAAATTGATACACGCCACGCTTGACTATATCTCTTCAAAAGACTCATTCTTAACTCTTTTTTTCACATTTCTACATGAGAATTTGGCTGGTGTTACGTCTAATATTACGTTGGCTTTATCATACTTTGAGGATTTCAGTTCTTGGGATCCAGCTACGCGAAGTGATGTGAGGGGTGCTCTAGAAGAGTTTGCGGACTATATGGTTACGCAGTTCTTTCTTCCACGTGCGTTTGTGGTGTCTCCTGCTTGCAATCACCTTCTGACTCAGACAATTCAGTTAGAGCCTCATCTGTCAAGACACCGCAACCAACGCCCACCTCGTTGTCCACAATACAAGCATCGACCGCCGCAGGCACAAAACAGCGCATATCTGTCTTGAGACACAATTGCCTTGTCCGTGATCACCACCGATGTGTTGTGACCCGGAAATTTGACATAGCGGAAGCTAGAATGCGTCTCGCGAGGGACAAAAATTGCATGGATGATGATGGAAAGCTCCTGGAAACGGAGCGACGTGATAACTTCCAGTATCTGGAAGTCGCCCATATATTGCCTCATTGCCTCACAAAGGTTGCTTCTGGGGATGAAGATCTGGTACGAATGAACCCTGCCGTGCCTAGGGTTTCGTTAACTCACCTTAAGGCCGAGTCGAAGAAGAATGTACTCCGGATTCTGGACATGTTCGATCCAGGCATCACTCACCTCATTGATGGCCCAAAGATCGACAGCCCATCGAACTCTGTCACATTAACACTTGATAACCACCGGCGCTTTGGCGAATTCCAGATATATTTCGAGCCGACAGGCAGAGCCTATGAATATAGGATTCATTCCGCCGAGGGCGGTTTTCTACGTGATCCTTTCTTCCCTGTCACTCGCACCCTGATGCTCAGTCCCAACCATACAATTGACCCGCCGTCTCCTCGGCTTCTCAGCATTCATCGTGCAATCTCACTTATCCTCAAACTCAGTGGCGCTGCTGAATATATAGATCAGACTCTTCGAGACTTAGAACAGGCGGCAGTGGAAGCGGATGGGTCAACCCATTTGGGAGATATTATGATGTTACGACTTGATGGCTGGATAAACCAGTTAGCTGTATTTTAGTTAGATTTAAGTCATCATTTCATTTCATTTCATTTTTTGACTAGCTTATTCAACCCGTGAATGACCAACTGAGACTGAGGTTTCACAGCGTTTCGCTGGTTTCCTGCACCGAAAAGCAGGAAAAATGCGAGTCCACTGATTGCTTTTACAAGCCCATCCCAGTTCTTATCATCGCGAACATGATGTTTCAATAACTAAGGCACTTCATTTTGAATTAGATTCTATAACTTCTAAATGTCATAGTGCATTGGCAGAACTTGCACTGGAGGCCTTCTGCACAGCAATCAGAGAACTTACACTGATCTTAAATTGATAGTCTCAAACAAACTCTTCACAGAGAATCTGAGAAAAAAAAAGTTTCTACTTATCAACAACACAGAAATGATTTGCTCAAGATACAATCTTTGAGATAGAATTACTTCATTACGTCATACATAGACTATTTCTATATCATCTTAAGAGATTAATTTTTCAATTTTCTGTTGATTGATATAATTTTTATCTGAAAATATATGTAGTCCAACCTGAGAGTGGTTGCTACGATCTATCCATGGATCTAGTGGCTAGCGGCAACCTTGGAATATATAGTTGGAGGGATTAGATTGGGTAATTTGTCCTATGGGGATGGATACCAGCGGTGATCGAGCTTTTTTGCCCCAGTGATATAATGAGACCCGATGAGCTAACTGTTGGAATGGATTGGCTCGTCCAGTGGCCTAACACTAGCTAATCCTAACCGTCCCGGGTACTTAACTAGTTAACTTTTCGAATTATCGCGCTGTCAACTCTGCCCTTCGCACTTTTGCAATATTTCACGCTCACCGAATCCCAGCAAAGGTACGTCCAGTGCATCTTTTTACTTCTACCACGCTGGGATCTCTTCGATCCCTTCACTCCCTTCCTCCCACAAACTCCCACTGAATAACAACAACGCAGTGGGAAGAAACAGTAGCTAAGCCATTCCGCACAGCCGACACACTCAATCAAACTACAGCCATGCTGATCACACGAGGCTTCTCCCTCACCAACTTCATCATCGGGTCCTCCGCCCTCTGTTTCCAAGTCTTCATCCTCTACCCCTGGCACAACAAACTCGAAAAGGACTTCGAGGAGATGAGAGATGCCCACATCTCCCTAATGAAACAGAGTGAGAAAAACCGCACCGAGGAACTAAAGGCCATCCACGAGCGGCTGCAGAACATTAAACAACCCCGCGGGTGGCTCTGGTAATTTTTTCACGAATCTCGTCGTAACGAATTTTGTCCTACGTATGCTAGCCGACTTTGGCTCGAAACCCCGCCCTCATCCTCAGTGAAAAGCGCGTTTGAGAAGGAGATTGTCCCAATATCAATCAACCCATCCATCAGCGCATCAGCGCATACGCATGCGCGAGCTGCTCTTAACGCATCAGTGCCTTTTTGCCGATCCCACCCCAACCTTGCGCGCTATGTTCTTGACGGTTTACTTTAAATAGATCCAAGACGTCGATCGAGGACGAAGCCAGCAAAGGATGCTGCACTGCTGAATACTTTTGAGCGTGTTATTCTTTTCTATCATCATTTTTCTCCATTCCCCCTCCCCCCCGGGACTTTGCAAGCAAATCTCGTCCAAACTCTCTTTTTCTTTTCTTCTTTTTCTTCGTTATTACTCGTTTTATCAGGCGCACCAGAATCCAGCAGCAATGCCTTGCCTTTTTTTTTTTTTTTCATGTTTGGTACTAGAAACGACATAGATGTTGTGCAACGTAGAACAACCCCCTTCCCCTGTGGCTGGCAACGTTGACGATAGAAATGTGCGGTTGAAAATACGAGTTAAAGACACAATTTTCTCAAATATATCTCGATATTAAATCCTATGTATGCCCCAACCCAGCCTGAAATCTCACTCACACCAAAAAATATCACAGTCTTGATTGATCATTCGTTTTGCCATCCTGTAGAGACGCAAGAGCATTTTTGCTATTTGTGAATGCTATACATAGAAAGGAATTGAACTGTTTTTGATCATTCGACAGCAGAAATTTGACCTCTACAGAGTTACTACTTCACCAAGCAGATCCCCAAAAATCTCCGAGCTGTTCGGCGTTAATACGGTTTGGCCCCGAGTTAACTTTTCTGGGGCAAAGTCTCGGCTGAGCGCTTGGCACAGCCAGTTTGCCAAAACAGGTGCGCTAGTCCGCATTATGACGGGTAACGTCCAGATTACATCGATTACTTATTATATTATATTTCTCAATCTATCCATCAATCAATCAATCCCTTGCTTCCATTTCCCGCAGCTGATCATATATCGTTTCTCCCTTTTCATATCGCTTGACTGACTCTTCGAAAGTTCATCAGCATCAGAAGAAGAAGAATCTGCAGTGCAGGTAAACTACTAGTGATTCATGACCAACACTGACGTACCATAAGTGGCCGTTGTGGGCAGGTGGTGGCAACAATAAAAGAAGAGGATCGGGATATATGTCATTTTATGGGTATAAACAGCAAATCGAAACCAGTAATATGGGTTTCCGAGCGATCAATTCTTAACCGAGGGGGGAAAAAGGTGGGGAAATCCAGGAGCAGAGCACCAGGCTATAAGGAAATTTTACTTTCGGCTGTACATGGAGTGTGCTGCATTGGGGCAAAAACAACCCAGAGATGATAGGAAAAGAGGCTCACGATAGGTGAAGGTGTGTGTCTAGAAATATAAGACGAGGATGGCTGCGCATCAAGCGACATAGATTGCAAGAGGAAATTAGCTCGGAATAAGCGGGAAGCCGACAATCGGCGAGATATATAAAAAAAATAAAGGAAATGGGTTAGAAAACGAAAGAGGGGGAGGGGATAGAGCAAAATCTAGATAGGTAGCTGAATGTACAAATAATAATTGGAAATAGAAATGAATCTACAGCGTCAACGCTATACAGATAGGAGTGCTCCAAGAGACAAGGGGATATTTTGAGAATATTGAAGAAAAATAGGGAAAAAAAAGAAATAATAATAATAAGATCCCTTTTTGCGTGAGAATGGGTATCAAAATGCAGATATACATCTTTCACAAAACCATGCTTGGGCATGGGCATTTAATCCTCCTCCAAGTAGAATTCTGGATGCCATTCCTGCCCGGGATATGCCGTGCTGGACATGACAATTTCTTCACTCGAGTCATCTCCGGGAACTGGCACCGGCAATTCAACAGGCTCAATGTGTTTGCCGGAACCTGCCATATGTTGGGATGGTGGATGATTATTATAGTTCCGATTTTGTGGAATCTTGTTTGGAAATGATGGGCCTTCTGGAGGTGGAGAGCCGGCAGCAAACTTGGTTGCGGCGTCGGCGAGGGGATGCTGAGCCGGATCGGGAGACTGGGTTCGTGCGGCACGTTGTGCGGGGACATGTCCGTTCTGGAATTGAATAAAGGACATTGGGCTGTGAGATGGCAGTTGAGTATTGTTTAAATAGGACTGAGGATTCCCAGGTGGTGTCGCATGGGCAAGGACAGTGGTATGAGGTGGTAAATTGGTATGCTGGCTGTTACGACTAGGCTGCACGTTGTCCTGGGCATAGTGTTGCGAAGTCATTGATCGGCGCCCTCCAGGTTGGGTTACTGGTTGCGTTTGGGGCTGTCTAGTTTGCTGCTGTTGATAGTCATGTGGCATTGAATTCGAGTATCTACTCGGGTATGTACTTGAATACGGTTGCTTTTGCTGTGGAAGAGCTGTGACTTGCGTTTCATATAGATGTGGAGAATACTCAGGAGTGTGGGGTGTCTGGGTGGTGGGCTCTGCTTGCCTGGAATGGCGGTTGAACAAACCCTGAAAGTATCATTTTGTTACAAAAGATGTCACTCAAGACAAAATTAGTTTCGGATTCAGGTAACTTACAGCAACTTTTGGCATGTTCTTCTTTTTCATGTTACCAGCGTTCTGAGCAAGACGGTTGGCACCCCTGATAAATTTGCCGTGAATTTTCATTTTCGAAGCCGGAGATTGGTTGCTCGGCGAAGTAATGGATGGGTCGTTGGGATTCGGCATAGACAGGGATGCGGCGCGTTGGCCCTCTTCCGATTCGATTGTGCTCGCGGTTCTGGTTTTTGAAAGGCCTGAGTCAACTTTGAAGGACTGGAATCGATTGCTCCAGCTCTTCTCATTGGGTTGTCCGGAAGCGCTTGAACGTCGATCAGTTGTCTGACGGGAAAAGGTCACTTTAGACATCAGGTTGGCCATAGCAGAGCCTGGGCGGGTTTCCTCCTGCACGGTTGGGGGCCTCGATGAAGAGTTCCCTGAGGGTGAGAAGTAGTCGCGTATCAGCTGAGTTGACGAGCGCCCCTCTTTAACAGGGGCAGCAAACTGAGCTGAGGGGATCCTTGGAGGACTGGTAGGTCGAATACTAGGAGCCTGCCTTGGAGCGAATGGGTTAATAGATGGCTGATCCGCTGGCTTTCCCTCTGGGATGCCAGAACTTGATTGACGTTCTGCCCTTTCACGCTGTGCAGTGGTGTCCGGCACAGGAGGAGGGAGGTGGGGTTTTTCTGTTGCAATATTATTCACGTAAGTGGATTCGACGGTAACTGGTTTTGACTGGGATTGGATCTGCTCTGCATGCTGGTTCCCAGCTTCCTGTCTCGTCTTGTCTACGGGGTTATAGTCATCTGGCCGGTCGGTCATTGGTTTGTCCTCGGGAGGCAAAGATGGTAATGACTTGGTTTTAATGGCTGGTGTTGACGGTGGACTCTTTGGCTCTGCTGAAACCCGTTGCGCAGCTTTATCAACCCCGACATATCGGGGCTCTGTTGACTCTCGTCTGGAGGATGAGGCCGCATCACTACGATGGATATAACCTTCCACTTGTTGGGCGGAAACGGTTTGCTGTGGTTGCGATGGCTGCGAATAGCGACTGGTGTTTATATCGTTCAGTAGCCCGTTCGAGAGACTAGCTTCAGGCGTGGACTTTGTCGACATCCTAACCCGCGAAGCGTTGGAGGGTACCTGGCCACGTTCCTCTTCATTACCCGATGGTGGCAGGGGCGGTTGGGAGCTCCCTTCAGCGTCCAGAACTGATTCAGATGCTGGGGTTGGCGACATCTTCCCTTTTTTGCCAATAGTGATTTCGCGCGATATAAAGGTGCGTAATTCGGAAGTAATTATGCTTGCTTTCCGACCGATGACTTTGACAGCTCGTGCTTCCTCAACTGGCGGGCTAGTATAGGTTGCATAATCAGACGGCATAATCGAAGCCCTGTTATCAATCATTGATAGGGCCGCGGATGAAGTTGGCCGTTCCTCCACGGAGTCGGTCGGACTTTGTATCTCATCTTGCAATTCCGGTTGCACTACTGGTTGTAGTTTCGGTCGAGCTTGCGGTTGCAACTGATCAGGAGCTCCCTGTTGGGGTTTTTGTTCAGGTGCCTCCTGTTGTGGCTCCTCCTGCGGCTCTTCGGGCTCTTGTAATTCGCGTTGAGGCTCTTGCGGCTCTTGCGGCGGTTGCGGCGGCTCTTGTCGCAACGCCTCATTTATGCTTTCGTGTATCTCCTTAGTCTTATCCTCAACTCTCTCGTCAACCTGCTCTTCCACCCTAACCCTGGCCTCATCATTAGTTTTCTCTTTAGCGTCCTCTTTAGCCTCAGCTTTATTCTCGTCTTTAACCTCCTCGTTCGCCGCTCCCCGCACCGTCACCTCTTCTTGCACTTTCACCGGACGCTCAAAACCCACATCCCCAGCCGACACAGTGACTTCCGTTATCAGATCCACATGACTGACCCGCACCGGCTGCGGCTGCGGCTGCGGCTGCGGCTGAGGCTGCGGGTCCTGCATTTGCAGCTGCACCTGTTCTCGCACATTCCCCCCCCAAAACCCATTCAACATAACAGGCTGAGCATCAACAGGGGACCCAGCCGGCGACTCCAGTGTGCCAGGGCAACTATTCCTGTCCGTCTTCCGTGCAGGTTCTAAAACCATCGATGAGGTACCGTCTCCGATAGTGTTGGTAATGCCGCTTAACGTTACCATCGTTTGCGGCTCAGAAGACACCGAAGCAGATGGCGTTGTCATCGTTTCATGTTCTTCCCAAGTCACTGTCATATCGTTGGAAAATGACTCATGATCCAGCTTTAGCGATAGCAGACGTGGTAACGGTTTGCCAGCAGCATCAGCCGCGGCTGCAGCGGTTTGCTGACCGTTGTATAAAGCAGCCTGCTGCTGTGCGTCGAGGCTTGGGGTAGAGCTCGACCTGTGCCGCGACGAGAAGGCTGGGCGGGAGTGGTTAACCTACAAGATGGCGTGAGCGCAGTAGAGTTAGATTTCGGCGAATTTTTCTTATCTCAAGAAGAGGGCGGAGAGGGGCAGAGATGTTTCGAGAGAGAGAGAGAGAGGAGGGAGATATTAAGAGAAATACAAGTAAGGTGGAAAGATATGCAAGATGGAGTGGTTGGAAATAACAAATGTGTCATATAATCTCCGCGCACATGTTTAATCGCGGGGTCAGAGCTATGGGATCCTCAATACAGATTGATTTGCAAAAGGCAAATTTGAAGCAGAGAAAAGAAAAAAAGAAATTGATAATAAAAGATATATATAGGAAAGTAGGAAAGTAGGAAAGTAGGAAAAGCGATACATGCTCAAATTGAGCTCGCAAAACGCGAAAACAAAGGGTAGACAAAAGGCCTTGCCACGCCCGAAATTCGAAGAATAAGTCAAAATAAAAGCCCTTGTTTGACCTCCCGACGGATTGAAATAATGAGAAAAATAATAGAACGAAACTCCGACGAACAATGAGAATGGTTTTCAAGTATCTACCTTATCAGTACTGCTGCTGTTGCGGAATTTGCTCCTCCCTTTGGCAAAAAGCCCTTTTGCTGCCCCCCCAGCCTTTCCACCTAGTACACCAGCGGTGTGCAGCAAATCCTTACCCTTGGCCTGAACCTGCTGCGTGTTGATTTTCGTGGCGAATTGGTTGGCGTTGGATCCATGTCGTGTATTTCCGGCGGCGGATGTCGGCGTGGTCATCGGAGATCCCTCGTGGTGGGACGTTGGGAGAGAAAGGGGACCTAAAGAAGTGAGCTTCGGGAACTTATTCCGCGACGTGCTAGGTCGATGCGTAAACGTAGTTCCCGGTGGGAGGCGGCCATTTCGCTGAGCCAAGTCCTCGTGATCGGGGTTTGAGCTGGCTGTTGCTTTTATCCAGGATGATAACCCTGTGTCCATATCTGCGAATTGCTTCCTCGTCCTCTCGAATGTTTTAATCTTGTCGCCGGGCTTTTCTATGGCCATTATTTGACGGAAACCGAGCAATTTCGGATCTTGGGTCGCTGGGGGGTGAGAAGCAGGCTGAGGATGAACAAGAGTACTAGGGGAACTAGCAGCAGGCGCTGGCTGGAGAAGCAGACTGTCAGGTGGTTGAACTGACTTGGTTTCATGTTCTGCCACATTTTGGCTAGGGATTACTTCAGTCCTAGTGGGGCTTAGAGTGAGAGCCGCCTGGCTATAAGTCGTAGATGCGCTTCTCTCAGGGTCTTGTTCATCGTGGCCTCGACTTACGGGTACCGGACCAGTTGGTGTCTTTTCTTCCAATGATGGCTGTGTCGTATCTGAAGCGGTAGCTTGATCAATGGTCAATTGCTGATGTTCCTGCGGGTCCTGGGTATTGTCCTCAACGGACGATTCTTCCCAGGAGAACCGTTTCTTTAACGTTTTGGCAGGCTCTTTCTGGCCAGAAATATCGGAGTTGTGCTCAGAACCAAGACCCGGGAAGCTTGGGGCGACAGGAGTTGATTGCATATCAGGGGTTTGTGGAGGTAGATTAGAAGGTGAGGCGGCGGTACCTAGACCTTCCGATGAAGGGTTGTCAGGTCCAGCTTCTAAGCTAGGGTTGGAACCGCCACCTGCATGTGCTTGTCCCTGAGAGTCAATCGAAGCTCGCGGAGTCAGCGACCGCATGATTTCATCTCTCAGGCGATCATTAACACCCAATGACACATTCTCAGGGCTAGACGGCGAGACATTTCCTGGTGCAGGCCGATCGTATTGCGCTAGTGAAAGTCGTTTTTCTCCACTGCCTACATTAAGCGCCGAAGGCATTTGGGGACTCTCGACCGTATCAAGCGTGACCGTAGGCGACTCCGTAGGCTGCTGAAGGACATCCGGGCTAGCTGGTGGTGATGTACGCTGGTCGTCACTTTTAGGTACTGTAGGCGCACTTTCTGGGAATGATGATTGTGCCGCTGCTGCTTTATGGATATTAAAGTCCGATGCCGTATGAGAAGGTAGAACATGGGGTTTTCCATCTTGGGTATCAGACGCTTTGGCTTCATGTGTGCTAATTGCGGATACTCCATGAGCAATAGGCTTTCGAGCAGGGCTACTTCTAGAGCTGGGCGGGGACAAACTCCGCCTCTGATGATGTTTAAAATCCGCAGGTTCTTTATCAACGGTTGGGGATTGATCGGTGGATGATGGTCCTTGGGCATGTTCATCTCCAAATCTGGAGACAGGTTGGGACTGAATTATTGGGCTGATCACGGAGGTACTGGCACTATCTGATCTGAGGATGCTGCCTGATGTTGTGATTGGGGCTTCAAGGCGTGCATCGAACGCCTGACGGACAACAGAGCGGAAACCAAGAGACGAGTTATGATGTAATTCAGTGTTATCGGCTCGCGGTTGTTGTTCTTGTCTCTCTTCGTTTGGTCCGCTACTATCCTGGCCTTTTGAAGTAGATAAATCTCCCGTCGGCCAATCCGCAGGTTCGCAAGTAGGAGGCCCCTGGACAGGGAGTGTTGGAGAAACTGGCGTCCCCCCACCCGGTGACTGGGACCGGTTCTCCATCGAATGTGACTGCAACCCGTCACTCTGATCAAGGGATTGCTGCAGCTGGGGATTTCCTACAGATACAGGTACTTTTGAAGCAATGTCTGCTGGAGTTGCAGCCGGTAATGTTTCAACTGGTACTCTAGGAGTAGTGTCTTGATCTACTTCCTGGTTCTCCTTTCGTCTCTCTTCCTCCATACGTTTGTATATGTCAGCCGGGCGAATGAACTGTAGAGGTGTCGGGGCCATGCCGTGGTCTGTACTTTGCTGCGCAGGGATTTCGTCCTGATTATTTTGCTCATTTTTTTGGTTCTCGAGTGGGGATGGCTGCTCAGCTTCATCTGGGATGGTAACTAGTGGAGCCGCAGGTTCTTCATTTTCATATCCATCGTCATCACCCCAATCATCGCCATCGTACGAATAGGACTTTGCATTTACCCATCGTTTCGTTTTCTGGCGGTTGACATTTGTTTTGAAGGAAGGAGGTTGCCCTGTCGATAATCCATCACCACTGCGCCGCCATTCCACCATAATAACCATTAGTCCAACGATTGTCTTGCAGCTTTTGGAAGAAGTAAAGGATTTTGAAAAAGATGGTTCGTATTTTACCTCCCACCAGATAAGTTTGTCGGCGAGTACCCTGACATGACGGACGGAATGTAGGCGAAAGCGAGAATGTATCAAAAAATACAGGAGTAAGGGACCCTTAAAAGGGCCCTCGCTTCCGTGGAGAAACAGTTCAGATATGCGGATCAGCCAGTTTTGGCGATAAAAGAAGGTTCTGCTTGTCAATTAAAGGGGTTGATAGTGAAGTGAAAAGAACAACGACTGTGCAGTAAGCAGGCGACGCAGGGTGATGCCAGGGGGAATCGTGGGAAGATTGCGCAAGATAATCCGGTTAAACGACGCATTCGATGGCGTAAACAGTGGCAAGTATGCGCTGCAAAACGGAGTCGTTAATAATGAAAAGACAGCAGAAGCAAATGAAGCAGCAAAGAAGAAACAGAACAAGGAGAAGAGAAGCGAAGCGAAGCCCAGGCTGATGCTGGCCACAACCAGCGAAAATGTCCACTGTCCAGGATGCAACAAGTCTCCGCAGACAGGAGATTACTGTCGTTGCTGTCACGGCGGATTCGGCGGGCGCGGGTGTCACGTTATTTCCTGGTTGGGCATGGTCAGGGTTCATGACTAAGCCCAACAGGGCTAACTAACGGCAGATCATGGCTGAGGATTGGCTGAGGTTTGGCTGAGCCGGGGGTAGCAGCCAACACTCGGCTATTTATAGTGCACCCGACTGCAATGCGCACCCTGGCCTGTGGACTATCCCTGGTGATCCTTCTGCTGACCAGTGATAAGTAACAATTCCGGCTGACTTGGAGGCCAAAACGCGGGTTGGAGGGCGTCGAGTGGTGAAACAGCACTGCTAGGGGTCCTGGCCAACGTTGGCTGGCGTATCGCAGTAGTAACGGTCTTGAAACAGGTAAAGAATCCAGGGTGACGTATTACCAGCGCCGGTGAAACTATTTCTCCGATATGTCCCGTGACCCAGGGCTTCTTGCCAGATTTGAAGAAACATTTGAAGGAGGCGTTGATATCTGAAATGCTTGATCCCTCCGCCGATTCTCCGCACTACCCAGATCGATACCTTGGAGATCCAGGCTGCTCGCGAGAAAACCAACTCCATGTTCCATTCTATCTCGCGAGTCGTATCAGATTGCTGCGAAAATTAGGAACATCAACTCGACAACACGACGATTCACCTTGACTGTCAACTCCGCAGGTGAACCCCCTATTCAACACCTCTAGACCATCCCCGGTAACTCCACTTTCCGTCCTTCACAGCTGCAATACTCCTGACATGAAGGTCGCGCACCTGTCCATTCCCATCCCGCAAAATTAAAACAGTCTTTCTCATCTACGATATCGCTCGAGCAGTAATGGCGGCTGCGATGTCCGTCCAGGACCGAACTCCTGAATTCCAGTCAATCCTTACACAGGCTCGGAAACGCTTAGCCTCCTCAAAGACCAGTTCCCAGCGTCAATTTTTATTATCAGACGCCCAACGGAGTGATTCAAATGCATCCCCTCCTAATGGAACCCCAGCGGGGGGCAAACGAGCAGCCCGGTCAGAATTTGCGAGGCGGGCTGCTGAGATCGGCAGGGGGATCTCGGGGACGATGGTTAAATTGCAGAGGCTAGCTATGTGTGAGTCTATTATCTTGCGGGGAATCATGTTAGAACTTTGCTATCTATGGTGCATATGGGATAAGTTCGGCTGACTTGGTATCGGGAATAAGTGGCCAAGCGCAAAACCCTCTTCGATGATCGACCTGTTGAAATTTCAGAACTCACCTATGTCATCAAGCAAGATCTTGCTTCTCTTAACTCCCAAATCGCGTCTCTGCAAGCCCTCACTCTCGCCCAACACCCGAAATCATCACGGAGTAAAACAGACCAAGAAGGCGAACATAACGATAACGTAGGTTTATCCTAGTTTTCTAGATTATAGTGCCGCTGCTAATTGTACATTTTAAAGGTCGTGGTAATGCTTCAAGGCAAACTCGCCGACGTCGGCGCAAACTTCAAAGAAGTCCTCGAAGTCCGTACCCAAAACATCCGTGCCTCCCGATCTCGAACTGAAAACTTCGTCTCTTCCGTCTCTTCCAAGTCACAATCCGCGCTCGACCCCCAGCGCTCCGATTCCCCCCTTTATAATGCGCCACGAAGCCGAAGCCCGGCACCCCCGGGTTTCCAGCCTCCTAATTCCTCCGACCTCCTTAGCATCAGACCATCTTCTTCCTCCGGAAGTCCTTTCGCCCTCGGCCGCAGCGGCGGGACCCAATCTGACCAGCAACTGTTGATGATGGAAGAGGCACAATCCCCCAACTCCTACATCCAAGCGCGCGGCGAAGCCATTGAAGCCATCGAGCGCACGATCAACGAGCTCGGTGGCATCTTCGGTCAGTTGGCCACGATGGTCAGCGAGCAGTCTGAAATGATTCAGCGCATCGATGCCAATACGGAAGATGTGGTGGATAACGTCCAGGGGGCACATAGGGAGTTATTGAAGTATTGGTCTCGGGTTTCGGGGAATCGGTGGTTGGTTGCGAAGATGTTTGGGGTTTTAATGGTAATATTTTGTCCTCACCCTATCACCAAAATCGCTTTTGTGCACTCATTACCCTTTTGGATTCTTGAAAGTTCTCAATCACGCTTGAGAAGAATGGCCTAATTTTCCACTGACATTTACTAACATTGGCTACAGATATTCTTTCTCCTATGGGTTCTAATATCAGGCTAGCAAGCAAGGGCCTAGGGCACCCTGTAAATTATTAGATCTTTTTGCATGTCGTGCGGCGCAGCACGGTGCGGTGCGTTCCTTTCCATACATAACTTTTACTTTTTGTCGAGCATACCCGTGGGCGTCAAGGTTTCCACTTTCCATTTTTGCTTCAAACGAGACCGGCTAGCCTTATTCTTGTGGTATATTATTTGGTTAGACATATATGGCTTCGGTGGCCATTCATTCTTCCCATACAGCTTCTTTTGTTTTTACACTTAACAACCCGTGGCATATCTCCTTACTCTCTGCCGTTTTTTTTTTTTTTTTTTTCCCGGAGAAAATTGCCGGTGAACCTGAAGGATAAAAACCCTTCTCTGCTGTCCACTTTGGTTTCTCTTCAATCAACCTATCTACATAAATATATATATATATATATATATACTATTTATAAATCGAATTTTATTTACCCTTATTCTCTCATATGCAACAACTCCTGATTTAAAATTCTCTAGACTAGATTCCAGCCTGTTTGGGTTCTCATTTGGCTACACTAAAGTATGTTCTGTTTGCCTATATTTCAGATACATATGCGTCTACATTTCAGGCTCACACAAGCTCTTTACTGATCAATGGAAAAGCCCCTTTAAATTAGTGAATTTATCCCACTCAATCCTCATCGCTTCAGAGCCAAAGACTTCTCGTTCTACGGCATGTTTTCACACAACCGAAACAAATAACCAGCGACATCCATACCCTGTCGCCAATGCAAAGACAGGTTTATTCAGGAGGAGGCTTCGGAAAGGGCGCTGACCAAATTCGTCCAAGGTGAAGGGAGCAGTCGCAGCCAACACACCAGAGGATGTGGAAGTCACAGTTGTTCCCACTTTATGTCCTGCGCCTACCGATATATGATAACCGCGTCTTTTATTCTTTTTCCTCGCCTCTCTCACCCGTGGCGAGTTGCCACGTTCCGTCATATCTCCAGACAGACAACTGGTAAACCCCAGAATTTGGCATTGATCGATGCAGCAGCGAGTGGTTAAAATTAGAAGACTGATAAACCCTACATGAGGAAATAGTTGTGCAAAATATATCAACACAAGGGCCATCAAAATGGAGATGGGAGAAGCGGAAAATAATCAGAGAATGATTTCAGATTGGGGATGTTGAGTAGATAATTCTGCACACACACACATCAACAGTCTGTACCACAATGATATATTAATTGATTCTCAGACAAAGGATTGGTATTATTTAGTAATGTAAGCTATATCCTCCTACCCATTCTCATACTGTTCAGCAGGGCTATTACTTCTCTTCCACAACTTGATCACACGGCACACAGATCTCCACTCCCTAGGCATGGTGAGATACAACACACAGAATGCTAGCATGCAGAGAGAGATAAATCATACAGAAGCCAGTCATATCTTTGACTCTGATGAGAGTAGTGACGACCATCATCCTTTCGTATGCACTGCATTTATATCGGCAAACTTTTGGAAAGAGTACGCGATGATCCCGTGCGCGGGTGATCTTTTTGGGAATTAAGCTAGATTGAACAGCATCAGTTGAATCCTCAAAATCGGGTGTGCCAACAGCTGCAGCTCTCTCTCTCTCTCTCCTTGTGGTGAAGTTGAAGTAGCGTTCTCCAAAAATGTTGGCTTCCAACTCGTTCGCACCACAATTTCTGGCTGGTTGGAGGGTTTCTGCTAGGACTCATATGAGAAGACGATTCAATACTGGCCTGGATGATCCGGCTAATTTACAGTGGCGTAAAAGACGAGGCAGACAGACAAGGTGGGAGGCTCTGCTTTGGGTCTTCCAAAACTAATCAGATGGTCGACAGCACAAGCAGCGGGAATGTCATCGCCCTCCAGTATCGCTCGCACACAGTGGAAGACGCATGCTGATAGGCTTCTACAACAGCTTGCTTCGTTCTCCCGGTTGAGTTGCAGTAGCTGCCGAGGGTTGAGGCGAAGTACGGCAGTGAGTCTTGCCGTGAATCGAGATTCGATCCTATGTGTAACATGGGTGCTTGAAGACAACTTCAAACCTTGGGACCAAGGTCGTTTCCTTGGAAAGACTCAATTAATTCGGTTTCTTTTGGCATAATAGCTGCGTTAATGAGAAGAGAGAAACAGTATTTCAGTGTGAGGGACAGGCAGAAGTATTTTGCTGATTTTGCTAGTTCCGGGCCGCGTTGACCTTGTGTACGCAATCCCTCACTCGGCGCTGACAGCATTCCGGATTTCCAAGAAACTGCCGGGAAGATTTGTGACGGGGATGACATAGCCTCGCGAGGTGCATCATTGAGAACACATGCTCCCAACAGTCACCTTGGCAAGCTGCCCGTTCGCTCAGGAGCTGCTTAGCTAATGAGGCCTAAACGAAATTCTACCGAATGCGGCTAGTGCAAACAGATATTCCGTTGACCAGATGATGTCTCGATACGCTCTGAAGGCTTCAATTGCACTTTGGGATGGGAATATATAATCTTTCGAAAGGCAGCCATGGCTCGGGCTTTTGAAGATGGGTTCTTTGTATCCAGAACATTTGTTCCTTCATTTCGTGTGGACGATCTAGATATTGTCAGTCCTAGTACTTGTTTACTTCGAGTGGCCGCATTATATAGATGATTCGATTGTTCAATCAATATACTAGTATTTATTTCGTTTGATTATTGATAACATAATTCCCAAGTCCGTTGCAATGGGTGGACCTGGTACCGGTACGTCTCGATTCATCCCGCAAGATACTAGGGAAGAATACCATGGTCCTCAAGCCAAATTCTAACTTCGCTTTCACAGAGGGTTTCAGCTTCTTCCAGTATAAACCCGTAAAGGGGCTATCCGCAGTCTTTGCTGTTCTCTGGCTTGTTTCTGGTCTTCTGCATCTATGGCAGAACAATATGTATGAGAAAAAAAATAAAACCTCTTTTCGGCCTTGACGTCTGTTCTTAGAACCGACTTTCTGACGCTCTTCGAACAGGCGATACAAAACGTGGAGGATGGGTCTGTTGCTCCCATGGGTCTCGCTGGTCTTCGTCGTCGGCTATATCCTCCGTGAGATAGCAGCTCATGGCCTCTACGGGAAACTTGACCTTTTCATCGCAACATCATGCTTTTTGTTTTGCGCCCCGTGAGTCAGCACCTGGTCCCCTGCAATGCCATTCGGGGGTATTAGTAGTTTTTGATTCGACTTCGAGCGCTTTCTGACTCTTTTTTTTTTTGCAGCCCTATATTCCTCGCAATAAACTCCATCGTTTTCGGCCGTGTACTGTACTATGTTCCCTGGCTATCGCCGATCCATCCAGGTCGCGTGATATCCACTTTCCTTGGATGCGATGCTATCATCGAAGGCCTTGCCGGCTCTGGCGCATCCATAGCCTCAAACCTCAACCACAAGCCAGCGACACTGAAAGTGGGTGACATCCTAATCAAGACTTCGATCCTCGCCCAAATCCCGATCTTCGCCCTGTTCGGGGTCCTCGTCGCCTATTTCCACCGCCGCTTGCACAAAGCTGGCATCCACGAACCGAAACTCCGGAAAGTTCTGATAACCCTCTATTTGTCGTGCGCGTTACTGACGGTTCGGAATGTATATCGCGCTGTGGAGACCTTCGAAGGATGGGGGTCTGCTGTGGGACGCACCGAGGCATATTTCTGGTGCTTCGATGCAGTACCCATCTTCATCAACGCTGTTCTGATGAACGTATTCCCGCCTGCCAGCTGTCTCCCCCGGTCCAACGTGGTTTATCTAGCCCGGGATGGAAAAACAGAGCGCATCGGCCCAGGCTGGGTCGATGATAGGAACTTTTTCCTGACTGTTTTTGACCCCTTTGATATTGGCGGAATGGCAAAGGGAAAAGACAAGAAGACTGCGTTCTGGGAAGATGACGGGATCCCGTTGCCTGATCAGACTGAAGCATATCGCCGTGTCGAAGCTTGAAAATTTGGAGTTCCGAAACGCGAATAGAGATGGCATCACCACATTAGATCACCTGGAATTTTCTTTTGTTTTGAGTTTTTACTTCTTTTTCTGGCCTCTTATATTGTATTTATTTTTGAATCCCTAATTGCTTGTTTCCTCTTTCCCCTGAGATGAGCTGGAAATGAAAAATGATGGGCTTCAGTCAACACCCCTCTGAGAAGTTGTCAAAGTACAAAGTTCGGAAGCCCGTTGACATTGAAAAAGCGGGGCGGGAAAAGTAGTTGTCACTTTGAGGAGCTTATTACAGAGTATTGCACAGTACAAGAGGAAGAATAATACCCAAGGATGGCGGTATTGATAAGTACTGTCAGCAGTTTGCTGCTCTGAACCCCTTAATAAATAAACAGTAATTACGCTGTAGTTACACTTCAATGAGAACCCCCCATGCAAAGTCCCCGCACTTGCCACTAATGTCCACGATTCCCTGAATGGATTCGACTTGCACGAAACTTGGCGAAATCACGTATCTGCATTAATGGAGGGGAGTACGAGTTTATTCGCAAGCTAAATTGTTGCTGCGTCAATTGAGCAAGACATAGATAGCATATGGGTATGGGGGTGGTTGGAGGGAGAAGAATAAAAGGGGCACCCCATGATGACTCCGCACTCCAGCTCGATGGTAACTAATACATGTACCCTCGCAGCATTGATTGCAAACCCTGGGATCAACCATTAAATAACGATGCTGTGGTGGTTTTAGACATTTATTGGTATTCGCCCAACCACCTTATCGACATTGAGTAAGCTCTACAAGCCGTAGTTAGCATCTGTAACACATCTCACCTCTTTATGGAGGGTGAAGGTGCATGTACGGAGGACAATCAATACAAGAAACAAAATAGCATGTCAAGAAGAACTTGTAGGGAAGGGTTCGACATCACAATTCGTCTTTCGTCTCTCGCCTCTCCTGAAGCTTATCTCTCCGTTGGCCATTAGGGGTCTATTGATCCCATCCATGATAATATGTCACAGCATGTATTGTTTCTAACAGGAGGCAGACGCTGGGAACTGTATGTAAATACACATACCATACGGTTCTGTACCACAAAATGACCCGCTGCATTGTGCCGTTGCCAAGCCGCTCCTAGCCGTATGCGTCCTGTCATAACGCCGCCCAACTGCTCGCAGACCCGAGGTTTCGTCTCCTCCGCAGACATTCCTGTATGTAGACTTCCTCCTTCGTACATCCAACAACCTCCAAACCTCCTCCTCTCTCTCTCCCACTGCACCTTCGACCGTCGACTGCCACCTCGACACTCCTTCCAACCCTCCGGCCCTCCGCTCTCCGCCCCGCCTATCCCCGTCTCCATTCGCTCTGCTTCTTGTCCCCGTCTGTCGCCCACTGGTGTGTGTTTTCGTTTCTTCGTTCGCGGGGGAAGCGTTGCCCTTCTGTTTTGTGTTTGTTTATATCGGCTCCCGTAACACCACTCCCGCTCAATGTTCCGCCTATCTTATCGCGACTGCGGCACTGAAGCCTCCGCTTCTGGCTAATCGTGTTACCTTCTTCTCTGCATCGATCAATTCGTCTTCGCGTCCATGCGTTGTCGCCCTTTCATCCATTCTCGATGGTCCATATATTTGTCTCGTGTCCCCTTCGTATTCTAGATCGTTTGTCTCTGCACGCCTCGCGCAATTGGCCTCGACAGAGATAGGTCCCGCCCTTTTTCCCTTCTCGCACCAACCGTTGGTGAAGCGTGGCCGGATTTGGTGACATCATGCTCTTACGGCCAGCAACGCCGCTCACGGTTCTCCTCCTCACGGCGTTTGTTCTTTTACTGCTTTCTGTTTTGTCAACACCAGTGGTCAAATCGATCCCTATCGCGACTGTTGATGATATTAAGTTTGGTATTTTTGGGTATTGTGTGGGCAGCAATTGCTCGCCTATCCGTGTCGGGTATACTTCGAGTGAGTACTTCCAGAATATTGTTTTATTTTATTTTATTTCATTTTTTCTTTATATACTTTATATATATCTATATATTTTCTGCTTCAAGATTTTTATTTGAGGCAACCCCCACGAATATATATTTTATATATGCTGATCTGGTTTTGCAGATGGGCTGTTCAACGATGCGTCTCGGGATGAGGATTTTAGCCTCCCGTCAAGCGTTCGCCATTCGCTGTCCTCCCTTCTAATCGTCCATCCGGTTGCTGCATTCCTCACTCTTACCTGCTTTGGCTTGGCAGCGGCGGCCCATTTCCATTCTCCATCTCATTCACCTAGATATCTGCTTGGGCTTCTCATTCTACTCCTGCCGACCCTCCTCGTATCACTCCTTGCATTCCTTGTCGATATCCTTCTTTTCGTGCCTCATCTAGAATGGGGTGGGTGGGTTGTACTTGCAGCAACCATTCTGATTACCGCGAGCGGGGTTCTTACTTGCGCTATGCGACGAACTCTTGTAAGCCGAAAAGCTAGGAAAAAGCGAATTGCAGAAAATGCAGAAATGAGTGGAGAGAATTTCTATAGCCGCCAAAATGCTATAAAGTTGGATCCTCCGCCAATCATAACGGAGCAAACCGAAGCTTCTCTGCCCAACATGACATCGCCAGACTCTCTGCCAGCGTTTGCACGCTTCGAAAGCAATTCAAGATCCATTGATGATGACAAACTGCTTCTCAATGATGGCACTCCAAGTAGCACTAGCCCCGATGGCGGAAACACCATCCGTCTCCCTGGTGACAGACGCAGCCCCGGGCCATATGAAAGCAGACCGTATAATTCTCCAGTAGATGAGTACGGCAATCCTCTTCCACCGGGAACTACCGGCTTTGGACCACCTCAGATGCGAGGAACGCATTCAGATCCCAGATTACGGAATCAATATTCGAATAGCAGTATGGGATCCCAGCGCGGCCGTGGATATGGCTATGGCCCACCTCGCGGGAGGGGTGGTTATCCAATGAGAGGTCGAGGCGGTCCATACTATGGCCCAAGAGGGCCACCGCCGCATGGCTACGGGATGCGCGGCAGAGGAGGTCCGATGGGCCCGGGAATGATGGGTAGAGGTCGAGGACCGCCTCCAGGCTACCCGCCGGAAGTATTGGATGAATACCGCGCGTACGGGGCGGCTTCTCCTCTTCCAGGTGGATATGGAGACCCAGGTAGTCGCTCTGACTATGGTTATGACGGCGCGCGAGGCCCATCTCCAGTGGGCCCAGGATATATTCCTGCTGAGATGCAACCTGGGTTGGGCGCAGGTCCGGTAGCTAATCATGGACAAGATCCCCACAATCCAATGGATAATTCTGTCGCTAGGGATTACACTGGTCTTCACCCGGAACAAATCAATCAACCTAATCCAAGCCCTCCAAGCGTACACAACGAGCAAGCGTATGTCAATCAAGATTCCACTCATCACAAGACGGACACTAACTTGATAATTACAGAGAATATATTCCACCCCGGGCGGCATGGGAACAAGCTTTACGAGAACCTTCCCTTCCAGTGATCGAACGCCAATCTCCGAGCCCACACGGCCAAGCACCAATCCCGCATTCCACCTCTCGCGGTGATTATTATGAAGATGTTGAACCCCGTTTCGCCGAACCCAATGATTTGCCCCCTGCACTCACGCCTGGCGCTCTTGGTGAGCTACATCCAAGTTCATCTCTTGAAGATATCCCCGAGGGCGCGCACTCACCAGCAGCCAGTGAAACCAGCCACTTCACCTCCATATCCCAACGCGGCGTAAACCCGAAGTGGCGGTCTCCGGAAGCTGAAGTGAGACACGACAAGCAAAGGCGACAAGATTTGCTGCTGGGCAGCAATCCCGATTTCGAACTCCCCGTTGGGAGAGGCCGGGGTGGGGGTTCTGGTAGGAAGAGAAAGCCAACGGCGCCTGTTATGCCGTCCATTCCAGCTACCCCGCCACTGCTAAACAGCGGCCGGAATGATGGCGGTGGCAGATATCCTACCCCTACGCCACCTCCGTGATACTCAATTCCTTTTAGCACTTCTACGATTTGGTCCTGGACTGGAGCTTTCATTTTGGCCTGGGTTTTTGACACCGGAGTTTTTCCTCCACCCGATCGTCTGGGTCTTCCCATATTATCACATAACAAGCTCCGATTGGATACTCTGTCATGGAGATATTATAATTTCCTCGGCTGTTTGGATCGTGCTGCCAAGCCTTACATGCCTTTTGATGTTACCACCTTGTAAAATCACACACGGGACGCTCAAAATACTCCCGAATGCAATCCCCGTACTACAACACGATTTATGTGTCATATCATCTTGCGCTCGATTTGAAAATATCAACCTACCAAAACTCCCTTTCCTTCCATAAAAGCCGTGCTACGTTTTTCACTTCGTGGACATTGTTTCGCCTTTATTTTATTTTATTGCACTTGTACCATTTGATCATCTCGCAACCCCCAATGCCGGTTCATTGTGTATATCTTTCAATCAGGTTAACAGTGAACACTGCATTCTTCTGCATTCTGTTGTATTTTGTATCTTTTTATTTATTTATTTATTTTTTTTTTCACCACTTCAGTCAACCTTTCTTATTTAGGTCACTACCATGTGGCATTCCAGCGGATATCGAGGTAAGTGAGAGACCAGGATACCTTCATATTTCTTCCTCCTTGTTCCATATATGTATTTCTGTGCCTTTCCTCTCAATTCCTCTATTTTGTTTGATATCCGTTGCACTTTCGTTGGGAAATTGAACTGGCGTACTGGCGATAGCTATGTGGATCGATGATTTTCGATCCTTTGTTTTGGGCTTGGTTTTTTTTTTTTCTTTAGCCGTTTTGTATCGATTTTTCGTGGGGTTTTTCTTTTCTTTTCTTTTCTTTTTGTTTTTCCATTTCTCCTGAACAAATTGAGACAAATTGAGGGTAGGATGGGTTGGAACAAGTGCAAGTCCCACCTGTTTTCCTTTATTTTCCTTTAATCCATTGATGGTTGGGTTTTGATTTCTTCTGTTCTTTTCATTCCTCCCCCACCTTCTTCCCTAGACTTCCCTTTGTGTTTTCGTCCCTTTGTCCTTTCTGCGGGAAATAGTCCCCCACATTGCAATGTGCATGTGGTTTCATTCACATTTAGCTTGTCATTTCAGAGACTTCTCTATACTGCTAATTACGCTTTATCGACAAATCTTCAGACTCGATAAATGACAAGAAGATGGGCAAAATGGTTGATGCTGTCTACAATGCAATTCTATTCAAAGGAAAAGTAATGATTTCTCCCTTTCTCCCTTATTTTTCTGAATCTTAGAATCCATTTTATGTATAGTGCATGTAGCTCACCATTCCACTTTGTTTTGCTGAATATGATGTGTGTTCTATTAGCATCAACTAGCACAACATCATCTGAAGCTTGATTTTTTTTCTTTTTCTCCTGTCTACACTAGGTAAAATAACCATATGCCTGGGGTTCAGCGACCTGTGAATTCTCTGAGAAAACGGTGGAATATTTTTCAGAAGCTTTTGAGCACAATAACACTTGAGGCGTCATCTCATTTCTTCCATCCTCTTATATCATCGGTATACTATCGTGTGTATTTCCTATTGCTTCCTGTTTTTTTTTTCCCTTTTCTTGAATGAGGATGGTTCTAATGCATGGCCATTCATTCCATCGCCTCTCCCGCATGTAAAACTTCCACTCTCAGTGTGTTCTAGGCTGTTCCACTGTTTGAGGCATCCAACGGACGCTACCATATCTATCCATCTACTTAAGCAATATAAAAGTAAAGCCAGAGAAGGCGATTCCGCAGTGATGATGTTCAAAAATACAGCAGTCACTCTCTCCCCTCCCCTCGCCTCCCCCTTGAAGAAAAAAGGATCCCGACAATTTCACAGCGCGCGAGAAAAGAATAAAATAATAACCCTCCAACAGCCGCGAAGATGGTCGCCAATACAGACTTGACGAAACACCTAGCTCTGATAGAATGTGATGGTGAATTCGGAGCCACAAACGGCGAAGAAAACGTCGCGCGCCTAGAAGCGCTCCGTACTACGCCACTGTTTTCTTCTGGCATTCATACGGCCATGAACGTCCAGTACCAGGAGGATATACTGCCCCAGTATGCCTTAATGGGGATGCGGACGACTTCATACGATAGAGCTGAAGAGGGAGATACCCCCGAAACGCATGCCAGACGATCGACGAATCTGGTGTATGCCAATATCAACGCGCCATGGTCGACGTTTATCTGCGGCAGCCAGGGAAGCGGCAAGAGCCATACGCTCTCATGCATGCTTGAAAATGCACTCCTTCATCCGTCCGAGACGGGGACGTTATCATCCCCACTCACCGGCCTGGTCTTGCACTACGACAAGTTCACGGCAGTAAACACGGGTCAGCTGTGCGAGGCGGCATATCTCTCGTCGAAGCTGCCGGTCCGTGTGCTCGTTGCGCCGAGCAATTTTGGGCATATGGAGAAGCTTTATGCGAACATACCGGGGCTGCCGGATGGGACGTCAATGCCTAAGGTTTCGCGGCTATATCTCCGCGAGGACCAGCTGACGTTGGGGATGATGAAAGATTTGATGGCGGTTAATGACGAAGCGACGACGCCGCTTTATATGGAGGTAAAAAAATTTTTTTTTTTCTTTCTTATCTGCTCGAATGTTAATACTGTTTCTAGCAGACGAGACCATCCTGTTCTAACAATGGATACTAATTTTCTTTGTTTAATAGATCGTCACAAAGGTCCTCAGGGACATGGCTGAAGAGTCGCCTGGTCGACGGGGGACAAATTTCAAGGAGTTTAAACAGCGCCTCGAGCAACAGGGCTTGAACAAAGGCCAACTAGGCCCGCTGAACATGCGGCTTGATTTACTCGAGTCGTTTCTTGAGCAAACTTATAGAAAGCCAGCTCGAGGACTTGCGGTAGGAAAAGGAAACAAAGGCGAAAATATCTGGAACTTCCAGCCGGGCTCCTTGACGATCGTTGACTTGAGTTGCCCATTCGTGGACGAAAATGATGCGTGCTCACTTTTTAATATCTGCTTGAGCATTTTCATGGAGCGGCGGAACGAGGGCGGGCGTGTCGTCGCTTTGGACGAAGCCCATAAGGTTAGACACAAATTTTCAATTTCCTCCAACTGTTCTTGCTGCTATTTGCTTTGCCATGTACTTTTCCTCCTTGATTCTCAACAGTTCAACATGCCTTTAGTTTTTGACGACCAACAGCCGCGAAGGGGGTAATTTAACCGGTACCCTCCTGTCACTGATCCGCCAGCAAAGACATCTAGCCACGCGGGTCATTATTGCAACCCAGGAACCAACGCTCTCACCGAATTTACTAGACCTGTGCAACGTAACCATCGTTCACCGGTTTACTTCCCCTGCATGGTTCACAACACTGCGTGCCCATCTGGCTGGCGCAGCCAACGATGATAGCAAGCGTAAATACGGATCCGATAATTTATTTTCCAGAATCGTGGCCCTAAAAACCGGGGAGGCTCTGGTATTTTGCCCCAGCGCGATATTGGACATCGTATCGGATGAAGGGTCGGAAGAAGGAACGTTACAAGTAGGCGAGTCCGAGCTGCATGGGGTATCTGCGTTGAAGGCATTAATGGTTAGAGAGCTGGGACTGCGATATGTCCGCGTGAGGATCCGTAAACGGGTCACTACTGATGGAGGACGAAGCATTCTTGCTGAAAACTCATTGTGATAATTGCTGTGGTTTCAGGTGAAGGAGTTCTGGGTAGCTCGGCTGGGTTTCGAAGCTTCTCTTTCTTCTTCTTTTGGGTTCCATATCTAATTGGTAGGGTGTCTAGTCTAAATATGATGTTTTGTTGATGTTAGTATCGAATTTCGTCACATACTTAACTCTGGACTTAGTCTTCTTGACCTTCGGCCGGTGTCGATCCCATGTTCTGTTGAATAGGCTGTAGGATAGGGCATAGGGCCGTGATATGGAAAAGGTATTTGCTGGATGTATGCATTCTTTTCGGCGTCTTCGGAGATAGTCTTCCAACCGCAGAAGGACGAATACTGCTGCGATCTCCTACACGCCGTTCACAGCTCTTCTCATGCACCAGCTTTTCGCATTGTAAAATGGACAGCGGAAATACCGTTTCACATATTCCCGCATTAAGAAGTATGCCTGTGGCGAGACTTCTCTTAAAGAGCATGTCGCCTCGAAACGGTCTGAGAACTATGCAGCATGCCCTTGACAGGCCTGGTGGTAATTATCGCCACCTGCTCTATGTCTTCTTCCTGTTGCGTCCTTTGAGGTTCATACCCGTGATTCAATCGTTAGGCATTTGAAGCTTGCTTGTACTGTACCAATATCCTCTAGTTACCGGGATCCTGTTGATGCACCGCAAGCGCTTCCAACATCTGTTCTCTCGCAGAGCGATGGCGGCTTGAACTCCCCACGGAGGATTATTGGAGTTCGCTGAACCTGCAGTGGTCCCCAACAAATCACTGTACCGAAGGTTTCCGTGTCTGTCTTCTGTTTATTCCAGATTCTTTTGCTGAGTGTATGCGATCATCTGCTTGCTAGAACCGCCATTGTGTTCCTCAAGCAAATTTGAAGTTTCCCATCTGTCAATATTTCACAAATACTCTTGAAAATTCTCCTCATCTCATCTTGACGGCAATGTGATTCCGGATTATCAAATTCTTGGCTATGGCAGGTCCGGGCTGGTAGTCCTTCGTGATGGAGAATGGCACTGGGAGATAGGAGTACCACCAACGACGATGTGGACATTTCAATATTGAAGTCATACGGCGTGAACAAGAGGTTTATCGATGTATAGGTGGTTGCGATGGCGTTGTCCCCTGTATCAGCATCTCCGATACGACTATTGAACTTGCACCGATGGAAAAGGGCCACTTACGCACCTACTTAGAGCACAATCGACCCCCAAAGTCTCTTCAACTTTCATGGTTCCGTGAAATACGCTGTGGCCTCGCAAGTACACATCGCCGTTCAGTTATTGTGGCGGGACATTGCTAGTCGCAATTTCCTCCATGCTTTCGGATCTATCTATCTGGTTTTGCGATTTTACGATGTCGTCCGTTTTACCGCTTGATACCAACATAAAGGCTGCTGACGACAATGGATACTCAACCCAGACGGATATTGGCCTTCTAGGGGCTGTAATCTATGAGATTGTAACTGGAGAGCGCTGTAAGTTTGGCCACTTTAAAAGACCTGCCACTAGAAGCTTGTAGAGCTACTTGGCCCCTAAGGACGACTCTCCTAGCAAACAAAGTATCTGGCTTGGCCAGATCATTGAGAAATGTTGGACAAAAGGTGCATTTCAGAATACAGATCGCCTGTCAGAGGCATTCGATTCCATCAGCCTGGACAATCGGTCTACCTAACGAAATGAGATATTCAACTGCTGCAAGCCACGGATTACTCTTCACGGCATCAATACAACCGATCCCCCAGCTTGGGGTCATCGTAGGTATTATTGCAATTCTCACTACCTGGGTTGGAGGATAGTCTTAAGTACATTTGGTGTTCTTCATTCAGGTTTGATACAATAATACTCTCTCTACTCACCAGAAAATTAGCTGACAGATGCCGCAGCAGGTCTTTGAAGATAGGCCAAATTTTCAGCCAACCGAGCAGAGTGTTAGTTGTCTTACTGATAACTTCGGCATTGCATTTCGTCAGCTTCAACTGATCCGATGAAGGGCTTGTAGTCCCGGAATGGAAATAATTGGAGTACACGATTCCCCCGCTTTTGGGACCTTACTTCTTCATTTCGAAAACAAAGAAGAAGAAAAAAGGAAAGAGAAGGAAAAAGGGACAAGACTTCTGTCTATTTCTCGCAATCGCCTTTAACGGTATACCTACCTATCAAAATCGACGATGCTTATACACCTTCTCCTCCCTACCAGAGTATTATTAACACTTCCATGACAAAGAATTCCATGCTCTCGTACCTTAGCATCGTCCAGCACCTTCGGACAATTGGGAAGCTCATCCGGGGTTGGCCAGTGTTTGTAATCAAAATAGCCATGTTTATCAATTTCGACCATACCGCGATAGAAACCAAGGTAAGGGATCTGGATATTTCTTGTATGAATATATCCACAACAACTCTCCGGGAATGGGCACAAGCGAAGACTTTTGCTGGACACCGAAGCTATTCAGCCCGGATTTGATCTGTCGGCGGGGATAGCTAATGTATCTATGGGAAGGCCAAGCCCGTGGAAGCTAATATGAAGGACTTGTGCAGTGAGTACGAGCTTAACTAATACCCTATTTTGTTCAACGCTGTTTTGTCTCTTTCTGCTTTTGTCCTTGCATTTATTCCCTTGCTTTTTGAAACTGGAATTATTACACGTTTTCTAACCCTTTCTTTGACGGAGAAAACTCAATGATATATAAATTTACAGTTCATCTGTGATTCATTCATTGTTCTACTGTCACTGAACTTAAACTTAACATAGTCATCGTTGAACATACTCTATCTCACAAAGGAGTCATCTTTTTCAGTTTTGCTTGATTAAACTGTGAATCAATATTTCATATAATTGTTTGCTGGGATATTTCAGTGATATATATTACCACAGACACTTGATATGTTATTCATGGCTTTAACAAATCTTCATATCAACTTCTTCATTGTTCATCAGCTTAATCGAGATGTACGCTTGTGCAGCTCTTTTGCCTTCCTCTCCCATCCCCCCCCCTTAAAGGTATATTTCTATTTTACTCTTCTTACTATATATTCATCAACATATCATGGCCCCCTGCAATTTTTTGATTACATTCGTTACCCCAGGGTGTATCCCAAAGAGTGGGACATTGTCACATCATTTAGACAATCATATATCTAAGTACACCACGGACACAGACATGAGCTCACTCCGTTCATCGACAACTTCATCCTGCCCGCAGCCTTCGCCTGTTAAAAAACTGTCGGCAAGGGCCGAATCCATCAGTTTTGTTTCTGTTACCACTACTCTCACGGTTACCGCGGGAGCTTCCCCTCGTGTACCCATATCAAGCAATCTGCCATCAAGTTCAACACATGCAAGTTTTACGTCAACATCTCCACTATCAGCTCCTTCATCATCACCATTGACAGGAATAGCAAAAACAACCACAGCTGCTGCAACAGCAATAACATCCATGCCCCCGGATGCTACAGGCTCTGCGGTAGTAGTCAGCAAATGTCCTTCACTGAAAGGTGTACAAACACCAATTTTTGTCCTGCTCATCATTTTAACAATCGCTGCTGTCATGCTATCTCTAGCAGTTTGTCGGGTAAAGAAGCGTCAAAATTTCTGTAAGCAGTGCAAAGAAGTTGTCCGGAGCCAAACGCTTACAAAACAAACTCCTACATCGCACGACTATGGGGCACAATTTCCTCCAGGACCAGAAACCCAAACGGGTACGACGGAAAGGAAAAGGGGCATGGCTACTTCCGCCATGGGTTTGAATAGTCACGCTTGCGATGCACCGCATGGAATTCCTCAGCGGACGTCAGTTGGACAAAAGAACTTGCGGCAGCTTGACCTTCGAATTACTCCCATGGCCCTGAGAGCCCCTCAGCTCAACTGTGAACGCCCTGAGCCTGATACAACGAGCCTTTATACCAGTTGCTTAGTGAGTGATGGTGAACTACAACGGCGACATGCATCGATCTCTATAGCATCTATAATCGATAAGTACGCTCAAATCCCCGATGACAATAGATATCACAATTTTTTCCAAGTAGCGGAGAACAATCGCATTCCAGAAAATTCACAAAATAGGGCGTGCGATGGAAGTTCTTTTGGGGGGTTTCGAAGCGGAAGTTTGTGGTACCGTATGCAAGACAATGACCCGGCGGCAACTAAGGGTCCCATAGTACCAGGCCCCTCGTGGAAATACCCTCAACGTAATGGGCCCGGAGATGTAGCGGACTGCTCGTATGGGCCTTTAATCGATCCGTACGTTGAAGCCAGGGAGAAGCAAGAATTATATCTTGGAGTTGAAAAGATTAGGAGTTCCGGGTCTGCTTCTTCATCTAGACCGTCTCTTGATGTTAAATATCAGGAGCCATGGACGCAGAAATCTGAACATGCAAGGGAGGGCCAGCAAACCGAATCCAGTTACAGCCCTACAGACTCGTCACACACCAGTCAACCCAGCTTGATGACATCGTCAACATCCCCATGGCCGGCGAAAACTAGAAATGTTGACGATCTCAGCCCAAATACTGTTTCTAGGCCGGTCAGAGATAACAATGTGCCTTCCGATACAACACAAGGTTCAAACGACAATCTTAGCAGAATGTTGAAGCGTTGGGCACTTCTTGATCAACAGAACATTGGTCTCGTTGATCGGGTTCCATTTCGATCTTACTCTGCGCGTGAGAGGCTTCATGACCATTTAAATGGTAAGTTTAAGCCCTATACGTTGAACGTCCGACGGCCAATATCAATACCGCTTCCGGGAACTTTGTCGAGATTATCCCCTTCGGGCGCTAGTGGAGCTGAAACCACTGACGATGCACTGTTACTGATGCCAAACCAATCTCAAAACAATCTGACACAAGAAGATCAAACGAGTGGTTCAGCTCACACAGAGGATTGTACTACAAACGGTGGATATGTAGAGAGTCCTGATGCTGAGGTAGATGGTCTCCATTCTCGCGACGTGTTTGGTAGACCTTGCCTCCAGCAGCGAACATACAGCGAAAGTATTTATTCGCGACCCACTACGTTACAACCGGTCCCAGTGGATTGGAGGTCGGGAAATGAAAAATACACCGGCCAAGGGTACTCCAGCAGCCTGCGGCGTTATCATCAGCGATCCTACGGAAGCTCAAAAGCTGGACCTAGTCAGCCCACGCCACCAATGCCATTCATTAATGCAGCCGTCAATGAAAGTTGCGAAGATAACACCTACAACAAGTTAGATAGTCGACCGCAAATAGTCCAGAGGAAGAAGAGTTACTCTTGCCAATTTTACCTCGGTGAGCCAGGTACAAATCATGATAATGCTCTCGGTCGCCATTCGCGTAAAATGAACGCTCTTGATGATATCGACAGTAATTATGATGTTGGCACTCCTATAGATCCAGGACGAACTTCATTCCTTCGTGGATTTGTGGATATATATGGGGGAATCAGGAGAAGGAGGAGGAGGAAGAAAAAGGGAAAAATGCCGATCGTTGGAGAATGTAGGGAGAGCAAGACGAGTTTTCGGGACGTGAAGAAATTTTTTCAGAACTAAGGCTGGCAACGATTGTTGCCTGCTACTTTGCCCAATGTGCTACAAACTGGACAATCTGAACACAATTCATCATTTATATCATCTCTAAAGTTTTTTTAAACTAGAATCTGGGTAATCCTGCATTCCTTTAAATGTTGCACAAATCAACTGATAGGTGTGATATAAGGTCGTTGTCTCTCGCTCGGTAATTTCTGGACGGGGTGGTGTGATTTTGGGAATGCGCGCCTCATTCCCTCGGTGGTCTCCTCCTCGACAGGAACGGTTCCATCAGTTATTCAACGTGCTATGGCACCTATAATTTGCATGGACAGTACTAGTATGATATCGTGAGATATAAGCAGCCTGTGTCCGAGGGGCCCTTCCCAGATTGGAGAAGAAGGATAATTATTATGGGAATTGCCACATTGATATCGCTTTGAGTGGTATATTGGAGTTGACGAATTTATTTTTAGGTGTTGCTAACTAACATAGGTAAGTTTACCTGTCTCACTTGCAGACGGCGGTGGATGGAGGTAGATAAGTCATAGTGACTGACTCGCTTACGTTTCCTAGAGATGGTCCGAGCTTTGGGTGAAATAAGGTTTGGGTTTTGTCCCGGACCGCGGTTCACTGATGTCAAATAGGACTAGTTCACAGATTAGGTCTTCCCGTGACCGCGGCGGTGGTCTGTGCGGAGTTTACCACAAACGACAATGTTTATTGTTCTCACGAAGGATGCGCAGCTTGGAAGGACTGGCAATCCATTGCAATCACTAGTCCTCCGTACAGGTCACATAAACCCAAAATTAAAGCGGCACAAAGCAGTCACAAAATCGTGTTTGTGAACACACAAATAAGCGTCTGCCACGGTGCGGGCGTGGGTGGCTGGGAGGTTGCGCCAGCGCCCAACGCCCAGCGTCCCCAGCCCCGCCAGGTCACCAACCACATCATAATGTCGGACGGACCACTTAGAGCTTCCATTAATACCAGCATTCCTCACCGACTGAGGTAACTTTCTTCATCATGAGCCTCTATCATGGATTTTTTTTCAATGGCATTTTGATTTCTTGATTTCTGCGTGCTTGCAATTCCAGTTTGCTTCATTTACTCCAGTGTAACGACCCGTCATGCCCCCTCAACCTCCTGCCAACTTGAAAGTTGTAAAGTGTAAGATAACACATACCATATCCCTGCTAGGTGAATTTTCATGCTGACAGTATTTTGCATAGCTAACCAGCCTCAATTAATTCACTCCTCATCCCAGCAATCCATCGCCGCCTCCGACGACTATTATTCCTTCTCAGATATTTCCCAAGCTTCTAATCACAGCAAAGTCACAGTTGTGAGATATGCAACTCCTCCAACTCGAAGACCTTCTCCATCTCCGAAAATGCCTTCTCGAAATGTCCCAGACGACGCAACAGGGCCAGATAACAGCAGCGCGGTGACACACGACCCGGAACAGACCTCCAAACGAAATCCTGCCGCGCCAAATGAGAGTTCTAGGATGACAGAAAATGGAACTCCATCTCCTGGCGTGGATGATATGCCATACATTAGATTTGCCATTGATCAACTGACTCGTGATGAAGAATTACTTGGGGAAGGCCGACACGGCTCGGTTGTCAGTACCGAGTATCCTGTTGAACGCATCATCCCAGATGAAGGCCTAGGATACTACACCTCTGTCACTCCGCAGTCTGTTGATCAGCCAAATAAAGAACCCCAGATACTAGACCGCCCCGACTCGCCAGGTAACGTTAGACAGTATCCCCGGTCACGTCAAGCGCTAGACATACTGACTGAACCGCATAGTTTCAAATATCCTAAACCCAGTAACGCCTCCTTCAGAAGCCTACCAATACCCACAGCTTGACTTTGTTCCTTTTTCTCTCAGATTTGTATCACTTCTCTCGTTAACAATTGTCTGCCTCTCCATGATGGCAGCGCTCATATTTTGCATAGTCTGGTCACAGCAACATGCAGGCCTGTGGGCTTACGATGGGCTGGGTGGCTCGCGATACTTCGTGTTCCAATTTCTACCACAGCTACTCGCCATTTTAATCACACTTTGGCTGTTTGTCGTGCAGTCCGCCGTGTATCGAATTCTTCCCCTGACAATGTTAGCGTCAGGACGTGGATCCGAGGGTGTGCTGCAAAAAATTCGAATCCTGTCTCACAATTTCTTGTTGCCGGATATATCACTCTTCCAGCATGGCGAATGGCTGACTGGCATCTTTCTCGTCACGGTATGGGCGGTTAATATTTTCACCGTTCCTCTGCAAAGTTCGCTGTTTGTGGCTCGTTATTACGACCAAGTCGAAAGATTTCAATGGGTGGCTACTCGTGGTGTGGCCGGAGCCTTGATTACTCTTTATGGATTGCTTGTCGTGGCATTGCTAGGGCTTATGTTCCGCTTTAGTTGGCGAGAGAGTGGGCTTCTGTGGGATCCCGTGTGTCTTGCCGATATCATCCCCCTGATCCAAAAATCTAATGTATTGGATCAATTCTATCGGACCGAAATCTCGCAAACTGTTGAGCAGGATCTCCTGCCTCGCAAAATGCGTTTGGGATATTGGTCCTCGGATGCCAATTCCCAGGACTTTCTCTACGGCATTGGCGAGGAATACGCAGCGGCGGACAAAGCGTTTTCCAATCCGAAACGGCAATCTGAAACCTCTTTTCCTAATCATGCTGATAGCGAGCGACAACATCTCAACAGCAAGGATTCTTTTGAAAGGAATATACATTCTCCGTTCGTTCGATATCGCTGGACAGCCTGGTTTCTAAAAGATTCATGTGTGGTTGGCTGGATCGTCATCGCAAATGTCCTGATGATTGCTTTCATCGTTGTCACGTTCGTAAAGCAGCCCATCAAACAAGGATTCGATCCTCTCTTGCCTACATTACCATCATCAGCCGGTTTCTCCTCCTCCAACTTCCTGTACAGCTTCATTCCATCTCTGATTGCAACAATACTCTTCCTCCTCTGGCAACCAATCGACCAATACTTCCGGGCTGTCCAGCCGTTTTGCGACCTCTCATCGCCCAACGGTGCCCTTGCCGAAAAAAGCCTCTTGCTAAACTACCCATCCTGTTTGCCATTACAAATCACCGTCCTCGCCCTCAGCGCCGGCCATTACAAAGTCGCATACGTCTCCTTCATGAGCCTTGCGTCACTCGCCATTCCCGTCCTCGCAGGCGGCGTGTTTATGGCCCGCTTCTACCCCGAACAGGATCAAATCCGTATCTCCACTCTACTTCCAGCATACTACACCCTAATGGCTTTCGTTATCATCTATGCCTTTTCATTCCTTGTTCTTTGGCCGCGGCGCAAACGCTACCTTCCCCATGCCATTTATTCGTATGCGGATATTATAAGTTTCTTGTACCAAAGTCCTCTTCTCTCGGATAGGGTATTCCGCCAACCAAGGACAAAGGCAGATTTGGTGACTAGAGTGGTTATAGCGCCACCGGGGGAGGGCGAAAAGGCGTTATATGCGTTTGGCCTATACCAGGGTCGCGACGGGCAGGAACATCTTGGGATCGATCGGCTGCGGAGGGTTGGACAAGTCGAAATGTTTGTTACGCTAGATGACAGTGGTGGAGTCGTGTGATATTTAACTACGAATTTTTTTTATGGATACGCCCGCTGATTTTTTTGGCGTCGAAAATCGTGTGATTTTTTTGAAATCGCATTTTTCCTTCTTGTGTTTTTATTTTGGGTTTGGTTTCTTTCTTTCGGGATTGGAAGTTGCGCGTAACTGACCCTCCACATACAGCGATACGACTGATGATGACGAACGATATACAATGAATGATGTGAAGAGAAAATTTTTGTTGATGATTTTATTTTCCATACTTCTCTTATGATAGACGAGCGACGGCGCGATACTGCGTATTCTCGAGGAAATTTGCCTCCTTTGTTTTTGTTCCATCTAATTCTTTTATTATTTTATTATTACATGAGAGTAAGTTTTGGTGGATTGAGAAAAACATGATTTCTCTCCATCAACATGAACATAAACATAGTTTACCAATCAAAGACAAACTCAATAAACAAAAACTCATCACATTTATTCATATCTCATCTATATTAGCAAGGACATATTAATAAAATCATTTTTAAAGAATAATAACTCCTGGGAAATGAACCAATAACTCGCTCCTCTTTTCACGGGACAGGGGGTACGATGACGGCAGGCCAGAGGCGGCCTTGGTCTTCTGTTTCTGGACGTTGGTTATCAATAAGCGGCTGGCGGTCAACTGCGACATACGAGGTTTCAGTTTGTTGGGGTGGAACCATTGAGAACCGGTCAGTGTTGTCCTTTTGATAGTCTGTTCGCATTTGAGGGAAGTGGGTGCCTGGGTGGAAGGTGGTAAGAAGGATGGCAGCGATTATGCACATACTATTTATCGTGGTGGCTGTGGTTAGACTGTTGATTCCCTCTAAAGATTACGTAGTAGCAGGGGAAAGGGGCATCTGGATGGCAAGGAAATATGTAACATACACTCCCTCTAGAATAACGAATGAGATTTCATCTTGCATAATGTGATTGGACCAGCCTCCGGCCATTTCGGCGATTCTGCAACATTTTTGTTAGTAATAATTGAAAAAGAAACGGGAGAAATGGAGAGCAAGTGGTCAGAAATATTGTAGAGAGACAGGCATACCGGTAAGTGCATCGAACAAAAATTACGAAGAACGAGATACCCAAGCTAATAAGGAACCTCCTGAATTTTGTGTTCGCCCACACCTTCTGAGACTCGATGGACATCCGGCGGCCATCATCGCCAAGCAGGCGCCAGAAGAAATGTCCAGCCATACCACCGAAAATTATCAATGTGACAACTTGCCACACAATACCAGAAAGCATGATTTGCGCTCCCCTGTTCTTGTCTGGCTCTGTGTCCCCAGTTGCTGCGAGAGCGCCACCAGCACCCTGGAGTGAGAGAGATAAGACGTCAAAGCTGATGAATATCCAGGTGTATAGCGACGGCTTTATTATTGAGAGATGGGGTCCCAGGGCGAAACATAGATGTTTGAGGGTGAGATATATGGCGGCTGTGAAGAATGACGGTGCGATGATGAGAGTGCATATCTGGATTTGGAAACCATTTGAGTCCCAGGGGTTTCTGTTGAGAACGAGGCGACCGCCGTATCCTGTTAGACAGTAATTCAAGAGACAGGAGTCAGCCATCTCCTTGTCCAATAGGAGATATAATTGAGCATACCTATGGCTTCAGCCACGCAGCCCAGAGACATTGCAACTCCGAATGAGTATGTCTTATGCTTGTAAGTTTGCCAAACTGCAACAAAGAACAGTACGCCAAAGACAATCACGCATATCAAGTTGACTACTGGATTAGGTTTGTACCCATAAATAGTCGCCTCGACAGGGCATTCCGGAGTTACCTCCGTGCAGTGGCTATATTTCCCCATCTTTGCTGCCAGAATGGTATGAAAGGAGGAATTGAAATGACAAAAAGAACATAAGCAAATAGGGATGTTCGATTTGATATTCAGAAACTGAGGAACTCTGGAATGAGGAAGCATGCCCTTAAATAGAGGAGGTTTAGATACTCTGTAAGATCGTTGCTGAGGAAGGAATACAAAAATAGCTCAAATAATGGGTGAAGAATTGCTACCGCGAACGATGTCAAGCTTGACAGCCCCAGCCATAGCACGGCCAATAATTTTACGCCCGTATGCGTCTCGAGGCCGAATCTATCACTCTGTAGGCCTTTTGGATCCTGAGCTGGTCTTATCTCCGGGATGAATAAGCCAACTATTAGAGACAAGCGCGCTTACAAAGGAAGCTCTAGAAAAGCTCCATAGAGCTATCCTAATCAGCGACTCTTCGTGGGAGACCCGCATCCCCAGTACATTAGGGCTCAATGTCAATTGGTACATGTAACTAGTAGATCAACGATGATCTTTTGGTTCGTCTTCGAGAACTGACACAACATGGAGCCTAAGTACTGGTTAGTAGGTGCATGTAGCGTGAAGTGTATGATAAAGAGTGGAGTGCCGAGACGCACCTTTAATGTGAACTGTTCTAAAAAAAGAGCAAGATGAAAAAGAGTTTCCCCAAATCATCAAACGACATCGATGCTCTGAACAATTGACAACCTATAGCTTATAAATGCGATAAATAATAATATGTGAAACCAAGGTTAACAACAAATGGAACGCCATCCCCGCCCGCACCATTAACTCATCGAGATAGACACAGTGCTGTTTCTTTGGTTTCAGCGCAGGGAGTGGGCAAGCACTGCCAAACAGTCAGCTCTGGTACAGGGCTGAGCCAGGTCGAAGCTTGGGCATTGGCTTGCCAAGGATCCCGCCAAGACCATGGCTGGGGGACGATCGACAAAGTGTGAAACTGCCAGCGATTTTTTGAATTCGACGTTGTTCGCCTTTTCGAATTGCAAGGTTAAATCTGACATCTCGTCCCGTCAATGTAAATGCGTAGATCCGGAGAAACTTATTCACTGGCGCAGCTGAGGATTGTACCATTTCCACGGCGCGAAGACGCGTTTGAAAGCAACGGTGTTCACAGGGTTGCATTGACGATTGAGTCATGCCAAGGAAATCTCGTGTCGATTTGGCGACACCCCTCTTCGCGGGGGAGCCTTTCAGCAACCTCTTCGATACTTTATATCACTTATCTCCTCCAAAATTTCGAGTTCTTTGCAGCCAATGGATCTAAGGTAGGCTAAAAACCGCTGATCCCGAAACTGCCACTCGAGGAGGAAAATTTCTATTCAAATAAGTTCCGAATCGCGTTGAAAGCTTGGGTTGCTGTTTCGCCAAAAATGGAGTACGACCCAGGAAGGATGGCAACTGCTGAAACTCAACATGAGGCCCAGAGTTCCAAAATCCCACTTGAAGCGAAAACAGAGAGGTTGTTCATCCGACGATTGATTCCCGAACTCGATTTAAACGACCTATTTGCTATCCGTTCAAGGTTGGATGTCATGAAATGGAGGTAAACTGGCCGTACTTTTACCTGAACCAATTTGACCTCCTCCCGCCTTTCACATGAAATTTTGTTGCTATCCAATTTCCATAAATTCTGCCGATTCCTTTTTCTATGCACGCCTTTGTAGTTAGCAGGAGGCAGGTTATTTGTCTACCCTTTCTTTCGCTCAGTTCGCGCTGATATTATGTGTCCTCGCCAGATGGCTTTCGGGGAGAGGCGAGGAATGAACTTGGTATCATTAGCGAACACAACACTCACATGCCAACAGTTTGACTAGAACACCTGACGCCGATATCGCCGCCACGAAGGAGCATCTTCGTAAGGTCGGCACACCTGAAAACCTCATTTTGGCTGTGTTCGAATATCCCAACACAGAACGGGCGATAGCGTGCATTGGCTTCTACACGAATAACGGGAATACCAGTCTTGGGTACATCGTTCATCCTGACTGTTGGGGTAAAGGGTATGCAACCGAAGCCGCTCGGGCTGCTATCGACATATGGTGGAAGTTTCTCACCAACCTTCCACCAGAAAAGAACAACGACGGAGACAAATCACCTAAGAATTATTTCGTCCTGGAGGCAATTACTGATGCTTCAAATGTGGCCAGCAATCGGGTCTTAACAAAATGTGGATTCAAAAAGGTTGAGGAGGCTGCAGACGAGCTTGGTCCTTGCATCATGTGGGAGTTGCATAAAGAAGCGAAGTTGACTGATTGACTTGTTTTGTGGACGAGTGTAGCCAGGGACAAGTGCCAGGGAAATATGGTTCCATCCATATATTCCTTCTGTCGACCCACGTATTCTGGGGTTGGTGAACGTTATGTATGGTCCATTGTTTGTCGGATCGTTGTTCGCGACAGAACTTTGCAAGAACTAATAATCCCTAAGAATCAGATACCTGCCAAAATGTTTGGATCTTTTCCCCGCTGGTTTCACGAGATGGAAGTAGTTGTAGAATAAGCGATCTGTTAGTGAATACTAGTAGCTGGGAGGAGTCCACGCTACGTCCAGTAGTAGAAGTGCAATTCCGGTATGGACCAGGAGTCAAAGGTGAGAAACTGTGGCCAGATACGCTAGTTGTGGCAAGATGTTAACTCCGCTATGATAATCCGACGAGAGCACTCATGTTATACGTCCACGATGGTGTTAGAAGCGCGGTTCAGCGTTGGGAGTTGAAAGTTGCCTGTTTGAGAAACCTCGGCAATAAGGTTCCACGCCCAGCGCTGCGCTAGCCTTGATCGGGTAAGTTGATATGACTCTTGAAATTCCCGCTCAAAGTTTAAACTCTCAATTGACCCGGGACATTTGCTCACATAAATCCCACAACCACAATCGCCAGAAGAACACGGCGATGATGATGATGAAACCGACGTGAACAAAAAATATACGTCATCCGTCTGCTTCACATCATATATCCCAGGTCCGTCATCATCGTCACCACCACTGCCTCCACCGCTGGTATCAACAATGGCTGGCACCAACGGCCAAGCTCCACCAACATCACAAGCAGAGGCACTCCAACCTTCCAAAAAGCCCCTCATCCCAAACTCCACAAAACTTCTTCTCGGCGGCACCGTTTTCTTCGCCTTGTCATCCCTCATAACCCGCCGCGCCTTTCTGCGCAAGCGCATCAGCACACTCCCGCCCACCTACACCAGCGCCCCCTTCCACCGGCCATCCGCTAACGGAGGCCTGGAGGCTCTCGAAGCACTCAACATCGCAACAATAAATGTTGCTAGCGTTGCGATGATTGGCGTCGGCGCAGGCATGTACGCGTTCGACATTGATACCTTGGAGGATTTGAAGCGGAAGGTGAGGAGCGGGATGGAGCTTGATGGCTCCGGAGAGTCGGAGCAGCAGGTCGAGGAGGAGTTGGAGAAGTGGGTTGCTAATGTCATGAGTTGGAAGGCGGGGAAGGAAAAGAAAGAGAGTGAGGTGGAGCGGAAATAATGTCAATGAGAGGGGCAAGGAGAGGTAGAGTAGGAATTGAGCTGGGATATTTACGTCAGTCGGGATGAACGGAGAGCCGGTGTCGGATGTGTTGGGCAAAGTTGGAGGTTATATATGTCTCGCGCGCGCTATGTTGTGATACGGGTTTTCTTGCGAGATGGACGACGACTCGATACATTTCATTTCTCCCGAAGACTCGAATGAACTTCCTATTCCCTACCTCGATTTAGATCGTACGGCACTCGAGCTTGGTGTCATGTCAATATAAAATGGCATTCCGATTTTGTTCCTACCTTGGGACTACGCTGCCAAAATCCCTATTGCCGATATTTGCGGCTCCAGAAGAGGGATGGAATACATTTCCCTCCAGTCAGCAACACCTATACGAAATTCCACTGTATCATAGAACTTTGGTTATTGTTTATAAAATAAGACGAAAAGACACACACATATAAATAGATGTCAATATTTGCGGGAAACTCGACCCGTAGGAGCTACATTATACATGGCATAATGAAATTTACATCCCAATGAGGCAAAAACACAGAACAAGAAAAATATAACAGGTTTCTATGGAGTAGTAATACAAGGAAGAAATGTGCACACGATACCACCGCCTAACCCTCCTTCGACATCCTCTCGTACCGCTCACGTGCAGTCTCCTTCGTTTTCTCGAGGAAATCATCATACCTACCCCTTGTATTCATTCCGGCTTCCCGAACTGCATCGCCAAGCTTGCCTCCCTGAGCACCCAGCCCAACGCCTTGGACATACAGATCAGTAGCGATGGGAGCTGTCATCCCAGACCCTTCCGCGCCAAGTCCTGAACCAGCAGACCAGCCCATTTTGCCGAGAAGGGCTGCGCCCTTCGACATGAGAGGGACTGGTGCTGTTTCCTCAATTTCCTTTTCCACTTTCTTCTCCTTCGATTTCACCGATGCCCCGAATGCTTGACGTCGTTCCTTCGCCCGGTCTCGATACTCTGAAGAGAGCTGTTGTTCGGCCTGGTCCCGTTTCTTCGCTAGTTTCGCCAAAGCTCTGGTCTTGAGCTCTTCATTTTGCATGTTCTCACGATGAAGCTGACTGAGTCTTTCGTGTTTGTTCACTTCCGCTTCTGTTTTAAACTGGCGCATGCACAGATAACAACATTTACGGTTAAAATCCGCGTAAGACTGTGTTGGTGCAGGAGAAACAGAAGATGAACCACCTTCTTCACTGACACCCTGTTTATGTTCGCTGCCCGAGCTTCCTTCTTTTGCTTCCTCACGCTGAATACCATGTAGTTCGGCGTGGCGGTCGCTCCAAAACTGTAAATGACTCGGAACGGCAAGCTTCTTTGTGCTAGGGATTCCTCCAGCATCCGCTTTTCTCTTCTTCGTCTTCTCAGCCTCCTTGACGGGTTTGGGATTCTTGTCAGTCGGTGTGGATTTTGTCGCTCGAGATTTAGAACGGTTCCTATCTGGATCTTCCGTCGACACTACTAACTCCGTTGCATAAGCATTCTCGTCCCAGTATGCTAATTTCATGGAAGGGTTGCCAAGTGGGCTGAAGGTAAACCGATCGGTGCTGGCTGTAGGGTTTATGACGGGAACGAAGACGCCAGCGTGGATGTAACTAGCTAAAACAGGTTTCGAGGAAATTGTGAATGTTTCGAAAGAGTTATATCTAGTAAGAGCGGCTTGGGCATCCTACTGACGCGTTAATAGATATGAAATCAAAATATTAAATTTATTTGAACTAGAAGCAGTAGAGGTACTTACTTCTACTGTTGCAAACTCCGCAAAACCATACTTCCAACTTTCGTTACTTCGGCGATCTCGTATGAGCAACACACGCCGTATTGAGCCCTCGCGTGCCCCTATATTGGCATCTCCCGTTGTAGAGGCGACCTTTGCTCCTTTTTTTGCAGCAGGAGGTGCATTGTAACCATCTGACCCAGACGATGGTTTGTAGAGTTTTGTTACGCCTTTAGCAAGAAGTTCCTCGGTAACGGACGCCTCTAGGCCTCGAAGAAGAATAAACTGGGAAGGGGATCCGTCGGGAGCTACATCGTTGTCACCATGATTCGCAACACGTGGAGGGTTGGCTACCCCAGGAGGAAGTTGAACAAAGTCTTCATCTGTCAGCCGTAGACCTTGTGAAACTCGACACTTCAATAGACATACCTGCTCGAACTGCTTGGCATCTGAAACAGCGTTGTCTGGTCGCGTAATTGACTATGGAACACTAAAATTACGCGCCAGTTAGTTAAGAGCCATCTGGTAGAGACGGAATCTAATAACTTACCATCTTGCATGTCCACTCTCCTTCAGCTTTGATTCGATTGCGGTCTTCTCTTTCTCGACTATAGGCTATTCTAACCCTCGTGCCACGTTCATTAGTATGCGATTGATTATCCCCATAGAGGTATATGGTAGGAAAATTGCGTTCCAGGAATTCACGAGAGTCATCTATTGTGGGGAACCGAAGAAAACCCAACTGGCGGGATATCTCTGGAGAGAAAAATCAGTATAGTTTACAAAATAAAATATGACCATCAATCACACACGTACTCGTTTGGCGATCGCGGATGACGCGAACATCCTCCAAAGTCCCGACATGGTAGTATTGGGTGAGTTCATTCAAGATCTATTACAAGAAAGTATCGACCGGAATGATGACCGGCGACAAGCACATCTCAGCATCCTGTCTTCCAAGAAAAGATGAGGAAATCATAGCGAAGCCAACTCATGTCAAATGGCACTCATATCAAACAGGGGATTCAGATTGCTGTGCATTGCAGTAGGGAAAGGGAGGAGTAGTCGAACGTCGTCTTCATTCATTTCTACTGGCAAGCCTTCCATCATGATCTCACGGCTTTCTTGACCGTAGTAAGGACGTCGGGGCCCACGTTGGCTGCGGCTTCTGGATCGACTCCGACTTTTGCTGCGGCTTCTACTGCGACTGTCATATCCAGGAGAGCGGTATCCCTCACGGTCACGATCTCTATATGACGGCCTTCCACGGTGCCGTGGAGGGGACCAAGAGGGGCGTCGGTGCTTGTCTCGCTCTCTAGGTCGGTAATCCCTAGCCATTGGAATTTCGTCATCCCGGCCGGGATGCCTCCTATCTGCCGCTGGACCACGAGGCGGAGTCCGAGAAATGTCTTCAAGCAGTAAACAGAAATGAAGAAATCAGCACAAGCTCAAACGAGAGATGAATCCATTTATTCGCCCCAGTGCGCGAAGTTGATTTTACCATGCGGAGGAGAGCGTGTACCGCCTGGTGAGCCGTGTCTACGGTCCCTGGATCGTGGGACAACATGTGGTGGGGAGCAGGAGCGGGAGTGGGAGCGAGACGTTCTGTCATCATACATGCGGCCATTCCACCCGTTGCGGCGACTTGACTGATTGTAAGGCTGGGCACCGCGGTGCCCTTTATCCCCAGGGGTATAGGAAGACATATTGTGATATCATGGACAAAACACGAAGGTTTGGAAAGGGAAGAAGGAGATGTGGTGTCCTCTCCAAGCTCAAAGGAGCCTCAAATGGTGGGTTGTGGGTTAGTCAGCAGTATAATCAGGTGATTTACCAAGCTCTCTCCAGGGCTATGTTGGGGGTTTGGATTGGTTCGTCCTCTACTACCAGCATGGCGCTGGTGTGATCGAGCTCTTTTGCCCCAGTGGCCTAACACTCTACACCAGCGGCGCCGTGCTCCGAACTAGCCTCAACGAAGCTTGGAGCGTTGGTAATCGTACCAAGGGCACAATTATGAATACGACATTTCTCAGAGAGTGAAAGGGGCCAGCACATAACCTCACCCATCAGCGCATGTCGCTATTAGCGAACCAATACAAGCAATTGGCTACGTTACCAGTTATAATATGTTTTGGCATTGTTGTTGCAGAGATGGAATGGATAGTAAGGTTGACGGCATGAGTATAAAGTAGCAAAATCGGACCATTTCTTAGAGCCTCCCACTATCTATTTGGCAACCGCTCACCATTTGATAACAACTTAACCCACTCTGGCGGGATCCAGTTGAGGTTTGTTACCCAACATCTCGTCGACTTCGGCCAATATTTCAGGAGTGAGCTTCGGAAGCACCTTCAGGCTCTCGACGTTCTCGACCACCTGCTCCGGTCTCGACGCGCCCGTGATGACAGAACACACGTTGTCATTCTTCAAGCACCAGGCCAGGGCAAATGCTGATACTTTGCACCCAAGTCGGTCGGCGATTGTCTGATTTTAGATAGCGTCAGATATCACAACTACTATGAAGTTCCCATTGCCAGCAAAGGCGAGGAAAATTTTTAAAATAGGGAGTAGTAAATCCTGAGTTCAAATCAAGAACATACCTTGAGCTTGGCCACTTTCTGGATGTTCGCATTCCAAGCCTCGTTCCCGTAGCCTTTCCTAACAGATGTGGTATCTTTATCAGTGCTGACCGCAATTCGGGTGCCCTTGGGAGGCTCTGCCGCCGCCTCGTTGTATTTCCCGGTCAAGATACCGCCCTTCAGGGGCGAAAAAACGGTCAATCCAATTCGACACCGGGCTAACACTCTCTGATATTCTCCTTCGACCTTCTGCCGGTCGATCACGTTGTACAGCGGTTGTTCAACTATGGGTCCGATTAAACCGAGAGCCTTGGCAACTCCAGTCGCTTCGGCAATCTCGTCTGCTGACCACATAGAAGTTCCCCAGTAGAATGCCAGCCCTTTTTCAATAAGGTAGTTGAAAGCCCGAACGACCTCTTCCATAGGCGTAAGTCTATCGGGACGGTGGGCGAATATAATGTCGACATAATCTAGCTCCAGACGTTTGAGGGAAGCCATTGTTCCTTCGATAATATGTTTTCGAGACAAGCCATAATTGTTAATCTCTACATCTCCATGGGCGGTACCAAAATTGACCTTGAGATCACCAGTTAGCGGATGGCTACACATACATATGACGGTATTTCATGGGGCAGAAAATACCTTGGTGCTGATGACTAGATCGTTGCGTTTCCATTTAAGCTTTTTAATGACCTTACCCATAGCAATCTCAGATTCGCCGGCGGCGTAGCTGGGGAAATAGGGGTTAAATAACGAACCACCCCTGTATATCAGAAACATATTGTGAGTAGGGGGAATAATTACCTCTCTGCCGTGTCGAAAAAGTTGATGCCTAGATCATAGGCCTGTTTCATGCACTTCATTGTTCCCTCTGGAAAAGAAGAATGAATTAGCATCCTGAAGTCAATTCTAATATAACTGTGCTATATCTCTCCATAAAATCAGGTAATGAAGTCATTAGCCCCCTTTTACCTTCATCTACATGTCTACCATAGCTATCGGTTCCATTAGTGTAAATTCTTATTCTCAGTTGTGTTTTAGCTGGACATACGTCAACCATCCTCCTAATGATATCACGGAGACATGGAGTCCTGAATTGCCCACTCTGCGGTAGAGCATTTTACTGGTGTTTGGCTCGGCCATGGTATTTTCTGGACAACCCTCAGAAGGTGTGCAGAAGGGTCGTGGTTATAGACCTGTATCAGCCAAATGGCAAAGCTTGTTTCTCAGTGTTAGAGCAGTTGAAGGGAGAGTCATCCGCGTGGGAATTGCTTGTTGTTGCCAACGTATTGCGGGGTGCATTGCCACTTTATTAACCTCGACCCACCGCACAGTAACCCATGGACATATCGTATAGTCCGAAGAGTCGTAACCAATCAGAGAGCCTTTACCCGGAGTGCCAAACTTGAGCTTAAAGAACTGAATAGTTGGGTAAATAGCTTGGAACTTAGATTCCTGCTGAGGAGTATGACGAGAAGCATATGGGAAACCCTTAAGAAAGGGGAAGCAAAAAAGGACTTGATTACAAGACCGCAAGAGCTCTTCTTTTATTCACTGATTGGGCCCTGAATGTTCGCTATTTTAAATACATAGCCATTGCTTTCTAAGCTTTTTAATATCCTAATTGCTCGATTGTAAGCCGTGTGTTTGTGCTTCGGCAGTTTATACACATGTTTGGATAGTGACATCAATTCAACGTGAAAATAAGAAAAGGGGAAGTAATATGAATATAATACAGGAAGGGAATAAGTGGTATGTATGCCCAAACTCCGGATGCCAACTCCAAAGCAACGTAATGTATATTAGAAGTGGCATAATGTGCATATTTAGCTATGTGGTCCTCCGTTGTTAGGCGGGTTATGCTCCATAGATCTAAGAGGCCGCTGTCAAAGTAAGTGTGATGTGAGGGAGGAAACTTCAATGAAAGTTGTTTCCTTTTCCCCATATTACTATTCCTCCTCGGTGTTGAGAAGCTTGCCTTCCCTCTTCCAGTCCTTGATATGGTCGACAATAGTAGATGCGGCGGTTTCAGCAGTATCTTGGCGGCCGATACATTCAACGAAGTCTCCATCCGGGTCTACAGAGAGGTCAGCGTCAATTATTTTCAACCTCATAGAGGCTAAGGTACAGGGTTCGCCGACAAAGGCCAGGAATAGGACATACCCATCAGGTAGAAATAAATGCTGTGGTCAACTAGATAGTCCTCTCCCGGCTTCACATTTTGTGGTGTGCTGAAATACACACGATACTGTTTGCACACATGCTTCACCTGCTCGTACGTGCCTGTGAGTCCTATAATACCCTTATGAAATTCCGCCAGATACTTGCGCAGCACTTCGGGACTGTCGCGGGCTGGATCGCAAGTAATGAACACGGGACGGAGGACAGATTTATTGTTTGATTTGGCTTTGACGAGATCGATTATCTCGGCCATTTTGTCGAGTTCGTCTGGGCAGATATCTGGACAATGGGTGAAGCCGAAATAAACCTGGAACAATGTTGGAGAGTGAGAAATACACGCTCATGAAAGGCCCATCTGTAGAAAACGAATGGAAGCGAAAAATAAATGGGAGCACCCACGAAACTATATTTTCCTTTCAATTTTTCTTCGGTAAATTCATTTCCATCCAAATCTTTTAGGACGAAAGGTCCACCAACTTTCGGCTTGCCGACACCCTTACTCATCTCGACAACTCTCTTTCGCTCAAGCCGCGCCTTCTCATAGCGAAAATAAAATATCATAGCCACGCCTGTTGCAACAAACAATGCGGCTGCTTTCCATGAGAATGGTCCGGTTGAAGCGCGAGCCTTTAATTGCTGTATGGTTTTGGCTTTTGGGCGGGGGGAGGACGTGGAGAACGAAGGAACTTGAGTCTTCGACCATGTCGATAATAGAAACGAAGGTGATCTAATCCGAGAACAGGGAGAATGTAATGGCCTTGAATTCGAGGAGTATGATCTGCTTGGCATGTGCTGCAAGCTTGGGAGGGTTGAGGATGATGCTCGCCATGGAGCAGGAGATTGGAAGCTGGCATGCTTCGTCCAGCGAAGGACCAATTTAGTGTGTCCGAAAGCCATATTCGTGTTCATTATTTTTTTAATCTCCAATTGACTGTTTTAAATAAAGAAATCAACAAATTTTTGTTCAGCAATTGGCGAGTTACTCCAGACGATAAAATCCAATGTCAAGATATATCACATGATTCAATGCTATAACTAAACTAACTTCAATAGGAAGCCATAATCTAAGGGATTAACTATTGTGGGATTGCTGGCTCGTTTTCTCTCTGGAATTGTACATGTAGGTCATTAATTCTGCCTCCCATGTAATCTTAAATAGAATAATATATTAGATGGTATACTCGCACAGCTTATGTCTAATGAAAAACAAAAATTTTCAAACCATTTTCCTCTGAATAAGCAATAACGATATATTCCATTCTCCATCCCTCACGAGTGATGAGGAGAAAGGGGAAATACAGAAAATACCGTCGTCATTTACCTTTCCATGATGGGGCTTCCTCAGGGCGATCATATCCTATGCACTAAAAGGGGGGGGGGGTGTGGGTATCGGAATCGTTAGGGAAATTGATTAAATTGGACATCAATATATCAGAGCATGCAGGCCACGTAAAAAGAATCGTACTCGTACAGAGTACAGAGAAAGCAAAAGCGTCAGTCACAAGGACGTACGATTGGGGGAAAAAAAGTGCAATACAAGGAAACAGTCATGAGGGGGAAAACAAAGGTAAAACAGCTTCAATCAAACAGACGCTCACACAAAACTTGATACAGATCTATAACGACTCGGATATTAGTCAAACATGAAAAATGGAGTAACGACGGAGTAAGGAGTAAAGTAGCTGATAGCTTTACACGAGATGTGGTAGAGTGCGGGAAATGCAAGTTCCGGTAGGATATGCGAAGATTCTAAACTGATGTCGAGAAGACGAAGACGATGGAGGGGAATCGGAATTGGTGGCATGGAGACCGTTGAACACAACAAATGCGCTTTCTTCCGACTACTGACCACCGCCTAATAATTCCATTTTTAAGCAAGTTTAATTATGTTCCCCCCCCCCCCCCCCCCCCCCCCCCCCAAAAAAAAAAAACCAAAAGTAAAAAGGATGTGAGAAAAGAGAGTGTGTGTGTGAGCCCAAAATTACACCCAAAAACATGCTCGGGGAGGTGCTCGTTCACGGCTATCGGTTTCATTTATTATTTTAATGCATACCACGACTCGCCTGGCTCGCACGACTCGGACTCGTTCGACTTCTCTCATCCTCTTCTAAAACATCGCTGAGCCGTGTGGGGTGTCGATGACGTGGTGTCACAGAATCCCAAGTCGACCCAGAACCTCCTCCTCCCCAGCCAGATCCACTGTAATCGACGCTAGGGTCGTACCCAGCGCCATGTGTTTCTTCAGGTGAACTACCAGGTGGTCCGCTACCGTATTCAATGCCAGTCATTCCATCAAATCGCTGGCCAAATTCGCCTTCAGGCATACGTTCCATGTTCTCATAGTCGTCACTATCGTCGGAGATGGTGCGGGGATACACAATTCGACGATCCCGGTCCTGTTGGTTCCGTCTGTAAGCCGCATCGGGGAGGTCATACTCTTCTGATCCAAGGTCGCTTCCGCCTGGCTCGCTAGTTGGTACATAAGAACCCTCATCGGCGGTGTTGGTCTTATGATCGCTTCTTTGGAGAGCAGAGGATTCGTGCTCATAGAATCGCCCGTGTGTGTCCTCAGCGAGGTGAGATTGGCTATATGGGCTGGAAGACGCAGCAGCTAGTGTTTGAGTAGTAGCTATGCGTGCGGTGGACATAGCCGCTGCAGATGTTGGTGGCTGTCTTGGAGGAGAGGATCCAATGGCATGATGTGACGGGAAGCCATGTTCACGTGTGGTTTCGACGAAGGGGTCTGTGGCTGTTGGAGATGAGACCTGGTTGTCATACACATAATGTTCGGAGGGCTCGGGAACGTCTTGTCTCGCTTGTCCGCCCATTGATGTGGGTCCAGGGCCGCCGGGGTAAGGGCCTTCTCTTGTTGGCGGACGATTTGTACTAGTCTGTCTACTAAGCGCAGATTGCATCATTGGGACCACCTGCACACCGCCAACTATAGTCGGCTCACCATTTCTTAAAGATACTGTCCGGTCGCGTTCTTCCTGTTCTCTTCTCCCAAGTTCTTCCCAAGCACGCCTAGCTTCCTCTTTCGATATTTGCAATTCACGGCGCATTTCCCGAATTAGTTCCTCAGCCCTTAACTTGTCAGTCTCAACTTTTGCAATTGAATTTGTTGCCTCCGCGCGAGCCTGACGTTCATTTCTTAATAGTCTCTCCAGATCCGCCTGAACCTCCTGGGCCCGTTCCTGTTCGGCACGCGTGTCAAAAAACCAGCGCTGGAATTTTCGTTCCGAGGATGCTCGCAAGCGTTGCAACTCAACTACAGCATGAAACAAGTTTGCGCCGGCTGCAGAAAGGTCAGTTATTTGCCTTGACATCTGTTGGTTGAGGGGGTCGCGGCTGAGTTCATCATTATTTTGCTCCAACCGTCGTATCCAGTATCCAGTCAACCCTTCCCAATGGGATGAAAGCGTCTCCCAACGTTCAAAAGCGTGCGGAAATGCAGCCCTTTGTCTACTTTGCTGTTGTTGAGACTGTGTCTTAGTCTGCTGACTTGATTGAAGGGGAGGCTCGGTCTGCTGGTTCTGAGAGATTCTAGGCTCTCCGGGCTGTGGAGGCGCTTGCGTAGACATGGTTTGCGGTCTGGCCTGTGATGAGGAAGTAGTGGGCTGCACAAATGCTCCGGTTGTAGCCCGGGCAGAGAGCTGAGAAGATGCAGGAGCAGGTCGCTGGTGTTGCTGGGAAACTGACGGCCCTCGTTGACGGGAAGTCTGAGGCTGCTGAGCTCCATCTCCTGTTAGACGCGACTCCGGCGCAGTAGCTTGTTGCCGCGTACCCGAGGGCACGACTGGCTGCATAACGGATGAAGTGCCAACTGGAGCGGAACCTGTTGGTATTCGGGAAGTGCTCAAGCCGCCAGTTCGATCGTGCCTTGAACTTTGATCTTGCGTGGTGACTCCTCCCCCTTGTCTTGGTTGACCTGACGTGGGTTCAACGGCAGCGCCAGCAGCCGGGATATGTCGCCCCGGTTGGGGGAACTGTTGAATCTGCTGCTGTTGCAGCTCCTGCTCCTGCTGCAATCGCCATTCTGTTTCTTGCTTGTCTCTCTCCCTTGCTTCCTGCTCCGCTTTCTTGCGCGCTTCACGGTCACGGCGTTGTCTCATAATATCAGTTGGGGTTCTAACTGAACTGGGTGGATTCGATTGACCAGCAATGGGTCCTGGCGCAGGTCGGGAAGTTCCATTTTGAGGCCGGCCATTGCCCGTAGATCCAGAAGGCACGCTTCCGCCCACTAGCTCTGACATTGAGGCGTTAATCTCGCTGAGGTCTGGGGTAAATATGAAAGGATGCCGAATTGCCTCTTCCAACGCCCAGAGAATAGCAGACGCAGTGCGCGATGAGATGCGGTTGGTTCGCCGGGGCCAGAATGACTCACCACTGTGTTGCAGTGAGCTCTGGTACGTTGTGTGATATCCTGCAGACCGTGCTTCTAGGGGTGGGCTTTGGGGTACGGCAGCGCGACCAACTTCAGGTTCCGGCTCGACTGTTGCTAGCTGCGTAGCGAACCTAGCAATTGAGCTTCGACGATGGCCTAGGGCAGGAGAAGCGGTGCGAATATCTTCAAAACCGGAGCTCCTACGTAGCCGGGGAGTACGAGTCGAAGAGGTGGATGAAGCAGACTGAAGAGGCGATCGCTTGGGTGATTCAGAATGATGAGGAACAGGGTGTAGCTGCTGGCGCTGCCGTGTGGGCGGGGACGTCAACGTAGACTGGTCGTAAACTTCGTCGGTCTCGTCAAAAGATCGTGGAGCTGCCGGAGACAGGGTTGAAAGCGGCAAGTTTGAAGGAGGATAGGTTGACAACGCGATTGTTTGGAGGCACAACTGAGAATATTATCCTTCCCAAAAACAGGTATGGAACTTCTCAGTACCCTGTAAAACAGTAAATTAAATGGCCCGCGAGACGTTTGGAGAGAATAGCACGTCCAGGATAAGCAGACACGCTGCCAGTATTGAGCGGAGGAGGTTGGTAACTTTTTTCCGGGTTGAGTGAGAGAGTAAGCAAACCAAAAAAAAAAAAAAAAAAAAAAAAAAAAAGGTATGAATAAAGTCACTAGAGAACCAGAAAGAACAGCAGAAAATGGAATGAAGATGGCTGTGAGAGAGACGATGCTAGTGTTGTTGTGTTGGAGTCGAATGCGGTGGCTGGTCGAGCGAGCTTGCAGCGCGGATTTAATTCAGATGGCTGGTGAGCAGAGCTCGTTGGACGGCCGAGACAGCATGGCTCAGGGCCATACACAGCTCAATTGGATCAGCGCCGCAACATGGAGACTAGATCACGCACTCGCGGGACAGGGCAGCGCGTAGGAGGTGTTGTGTGTTCAGAGAGTTGTTTTGTGTGCGAGGACGAACGACGTCCGATGGAGGATGAGGCTGGTTGCTGCTGGCCGGATTGGGAAATGCGAGGGATTGCTTTTTCTTGACACCAGACACTCAACCACACAAACAACTTTTTTGACAACTTCCGCTCTCGACGAGAAGATCAATTGTTCGCCAGAGCAACAAAGAGCCTAATACCCTGGGTTACTGCGAACCATCAAAGAGAGATATTCCTAAATATCTCCGTGACTTTGGCAGGGGTTGTGGATCAATGTCAACAGCCAGCTGGACTTCAAATAATTTCACTCTCGTTAGACCATTTCCTTGCTCTCACTCTGCTGGCTTCCATGTAATACCTTTTCGATATTAAGCAGGAACGGGGAGAGTGAACATGATACTTACCCGCACACCGCAGTAATCCACCACACTGTCGGCAGCAGCCAGCAAATTTGGGCGCAAGGATCTGCCACAGGACAGACCCGTACACAACAAAACCAGACCGGGCGTGGTATGCTCATGCGATCCACCAGGTTGACCGCAGAAAATTGAAAACCCCGCTGGCCAGGACGTTGGGAGTCAGGTTCAATTTCAACTTCCTGTCTTTTCGCACAGCCAGAGTCGGAGTCTCCACACGCACCAATCCACCGCCAGCATCAAAACCATCCATATTTAGGTCATTTTGAATGCTTGCCCAGGAGCCATGCGTACTTAAGCTAATGCGTGCCCCAGGCCGCCAACAGTACTTCATGTTGGCGGTGGACCAAGTCAACTTGGTTTTTGATGAGCTGGCAAGCTCCATCCGGCACAAAATCAGAGACATCCCTGTCTGAGCGTCCCTTGCCTGTTAAATTTCCATATCCATCTTGAGCCATGATTGTCACCACTCCAGCTGCTCTTAATGCCCGCTTCGCGGGGCGCCTCTTAGCAGCCAACCTCGCGCCCGTTGCAATTTTTATCAAGTTATCAACGGAACGCGAATTGTTTATGGAAGTCGAATGGCTCCATGTTTTAACTTCTTCCAAGGTTCTCTCAATCCATGGTTCGGCTCAGTTGTCAGCCTCATCTTCACTGTCATTTACTAGTATGCAAAATCTACTAATGCTCCCCCCCCCATGGCGGGGCAATTCAATATTGAAAATACTATATTATGCATTGATTGATTCTGAGTTTACCTCTTGCATCAAATATAAACCACATTCAAAGCCAACTATGCAGCCTTGTTCCTTACCATTTGTCTGCGCCTTCGGCACGCCTTCTAGTATATACATTTTACGGGCAACCCAACTCCCTTATCTTCAACTTCATCACCCGTTGCACTCAAATCTAGATTTAGACTTCCTCTCGAGAACTGAGCACAGCCGATCGCGAATACACGTCTTTTCACAACTACATATCTAATTCTCAGGTTTTATTCGGCCACCACTACTTACGCATGTTCCTTGCCCTTCATTTTACATTCCAAGGAAGGATATATCTGCCTGGTTATCCCTTGTACCCCTCTCTATTCCAAACAAGCCCTGGATATCCAACCTCATCAACCGAGTTTCACGGATCTCAGCTATGTGAAGAAACCCATCTACTCAGGAGTCCAACACTCCCGATCAAAAACGTTACTTTTGCTCTTGGTGACAGGCCTCTACACAGAAAGAAGATTTACGACATTTCGAGCAATCATCGAACACAAATATTATCATCTGGGCCGTTGAAGCCAAACTGGGAGATTCTACATAAAATATAATCTCAATAACTGGCCAAACGTCATACCAAGGTTCTAGGGCAAACGTCGCTCCACGTGTCCAGGTCGACAATGATGCAAAGCAGACACCCGCCTAATGCTTATCTTCGTCACTAGCAGTGTTCCGCCACGCTTTTCCTAGGACACCATCCAGTTTTCTGATGATCCTAGATCCAATCCCACCATTTCTGATAAATGATCAGCCGTCTTCAAAACTATTCCTACGGCTGGACAAAATAACCCGCTGTTGTTGTCCGTGTTGCTCGGAATTGTCATTCTTTTGCAAGTTCTTGAAGGTCGTCCATTCTAATCCAGCCATTTCGAACAAATTCTTTAAAACTCTTACCCGTTCAACATATGAATCATAAATATTTGCGGGCTTGTATATCCCTCAAAACCATAAGCTACCAAGAGTCGCCATTTAATTTTGAAACCCAACTAAACCATGCCAGACCTCGCTGCAGAGCCCTCCTCAACGAGATTCAGGAACATTCTTGCTTTCTCATTCAGGTGTTGGATGGTAATTAATATTTAGATTGGTCAATGTCGGCTATATGGTTTTACACCTGCCACCAACACATATATTTACACTTGGCACTAGGAACTGTCCAAGATGAATTGAAGAAAACGGGTTCGCTAATAGTAATCATACCTGGATGTTCATGTCCAACCGTTCACTTTGGTTTCGTTATCTCTGTCTATATCGACAAGATAATTTAGCTCAAGGAGATTAAATAAAAGTCATGTTCTAAAAGGCTGTCTTGCATTTTATCCCAAATATAATGGTTTCCACTCCGTCACTGCCTACAGGTTAGCGTGAAACTTGTACACCAAACCGGGAGAACAGAGATGAAGGGATGATGGCTTGGGGAAATGAAGCCGAACAAGGGAAAATGTCACGCAAAATGAAGGAAGGAAAATTAAAAAACTGTTGGGTACCTTACATACCGGTTCTGGACCAATTTGTGATTCATATTGCCTCGCCCGCAGCAAAAAATTAGTCTTCTAAACCTCCTCAGCCTTGGACACCTACTCAGTGAGAGATGTGATGGTGAGGCCGTAGAAAAGGAAGTACAAAGGGCACTGCGCCGGTCCCGAGAACGATTGAAAGACCGTTTCTGCCTCTGGAGTTGCGCAATGCACCCATTCGTGTGCCTTTCGCAGGTCGAAGATGCTGGCGCCAGGCTGTATATCCCTCCAGCCCTCCCCCACCATGGCGCCCACATCTCTCCCCAAAGAAATCCAATGCCATAAAACGCCCTTCCGGCTTGAGTTGAGGGATACAGAGACCAAATCGCTCACGCACATGAACAATGTGGATCCCAATACCCCAAAAGAGTAGGGCTCCTTCAACTGGCCCCAGCCAACAATTCCCTGACCATCCCTTCCCACCTCGCTACAGCCTCATCCCCAGCCTTCGCCAACCTCACACAGGGATCTACCCATTCTCGCTCACCCTCATTACCCGTCTGCCCTGCTTCCCCACCAACGTCCGTCACAGCAGCACTGAAAACATTTTGCACAGTCAACTCCTTCTTCGCCGTCTCAAATAAAGCTGCTATATCGCCCCATGGCCCATTCCCCTGAGTGTCTTCGTCGTCGCCACGATTGCCGCCGCGGCCAGCACGGCGAGTAGCGGATGTCGCCGTCGCCGTCGCCTTCACCAAGCCCTCCAAAACCCCCAGCACAGTCCCAATGCGCAAGCCCAATTCCGCGCCGACAGGGAACCCTGCATCAAAACCTCGCTGGACATGCTCACCCTTCGCGACGGAAATGCCATCGCGGTAACCTGCTGTGACGTGCTGGCGGCGGAGGAAAGGTAGGTCGGAGGGCTCGCCGTCCAGTCGGTAGGGTTGGACAACGCTGTTGTCTGGGGAGTTTTGAAATGGAGGTGAGGCGCTGAAGATGTCATCCAAAACGGAGGGGGACGGTTGTTGGGGTCGCAGGTGGGAGGGAGAGGAAGGGGCGCTCGTTGTGGTTGAGGATTGGGATGGCGGGGTAGAGGAGTCCCGGTCGAGGGGGGACGGTGGACGGGATTGTTCCGAAGGGGAATGGGATACGGCGGAGCTTCCCATGGCTTTCTGTTCTCCTGGTCTATCTTAGGAAGGGAAAAACAAAAATGAGGAATTTGTCTTCCCATCTGGTTGCGAGATAGTTAGTCTCAGCGAATTATCATAAAATCGATGGAGTGGAAATTCTTATCACCACGTGACGTGGACCTCAGATAGGCGCCTTTGCGAATGTAGAATAGTGCATGCACTATATCAGAAGTCAATGAGAGGCTTTGATCATTGTTATTTTATATCTGAGTTTAACAGTGTTTTTTTTACTAATTACTAGTATTCTGTATATATAGAACATGAAATTGAATACACATCAGCAATAATCTGGCTATTTACAGTGACTGAGATGGCTGAGTGACTGAGTCTCCACAAATACCCAGGTTATTCTCCCTACGGTGCCAAATAGCCTCAAGAGTATCATGGCGCAAGTCGAAGCTCCGGCACCAAGCTCATGGTGAGGTTCTTCGGCTCGCAGCACGTGCACCGAGGTCGTAGTCCTTCATTTTAAGATAATGATAACCATTCTCTACTCAAGCCTCCGGTCCTCGAGGCCCTGGTCAAGTATTCATGTCGCGCCAGACACACTTCTTACAGCTATCCACTTCGTCGATATTACCTAGTGCCGCACAATCATCAGCCTGATTCGTTGAACATAGTAGCTCAAACTTACTCATGGTTAGGCAAGGTCGGTGTCGCTGCAGGGGAGAAGCCAGTGGTGATGATAATGTTCTTGACATCCATTCAATAATAACCCCGAGGGATCATTCCAGCGTCAGGCCTCAATATCTTATCATTCTCTCCAAGTCAACCGCTCAGGCACCAGATATGTCATTCCGTCAAGTTGAATCTCTCCATCTTCGCGCACCATCTTGCTCGCCGTGGGCTAATCACTTATTAAACCAAGGGTCATCTAGAACTTGTCTCGCTGACGCTCTTGCAGACGGTTCAAACTTCAATAACTTTCCAATGATTTGCCCCAGCCTCACTATGTCCTCTCTTGTGAGATCAGGACTCTTCAGGCCTTCAAAATACACTTCTTCCAGCCATTCCTGCAAGTTGGACCCGGTGTTTTCTGTGGCTCTGCCATCCCCTGTGTTCATTGTATCCCATATCCCTTGCCATCTTTCAGGTATATCATCACTTGCCATCTCTCGCATTTGGCCAACAAGAATTGCGGGTGTTATAAAGAAGGTGTCAAAAGGTGGCTGGCCTGTGAAAAGTTCAAAGAGCTGTTGTACCTATCAGTTTACTATTGTATAGCATTTAGCCTTGGATGATTTCACTCACCATGCATCCCATGCTCCACAAGTCAACACGATAATCAATGTGATCTTGAAATATCACTTCAGGTGCCCGGACAGATAGAGGTGTGTGTAGTGTTTGAGGAACTGCAGAAGATAAAAACGATTCCCCAAAGTCAATTATTTTGATTGACTGAGCTGGATTCCAAGAATGCGTCCGATATGAGGTGGGCTTAACAATATATTCAGGTATGCCAGGCTCCAGATCTTGCCCATCACTTCTTTGAACATAGCCAATTTCTGGTTCTCCTAGCATCTCAGTAAACCCCTCTTCAGTTACATCGTCCATGCAAGGCATAGTGAAGGCCAAATTGCGGGTATGCAGATCTATACTAGGTGAGAATTGTTCAAAATATCCTCAAGAGAATGACCTACCTCCATGTCCAATATTCTGTTGGTGCAAGCTATCAAGCCCAATAAGACTCTGCTTCGCAATGGCCTTGGCGAGCTTCCCAGGGAGTCTCCCATCAGAAAAGTGTGCATCAATTGTGTCCGGAATATCAGGCCCCAGAAGCTCATAAACTAGGCATTTATGACATCCATTTGGGCCCTCTAGATCAAAGTTATCAAGCATGTGCACTGTATGTTTCAGACAAAGGTGACGGGATGCCAACTTCTTCATGATTTGGAGCTCTTGCATCTCCCCACCATGGTCCCTTTCTGCAACAGAAATTTTGACAGCAACATAAATCCCTTCTCTGCAAACAGGCAATTTGTTGGTTAGCTAGAACTACCAAGAGTCACACAATTTTATACAACCTTTGATCTCTCGCAGCCCAAACTGTCGAGTAACCTCCCCATCCTAGTTTATGTAGCACTTTATACCTCCCAGCTTTCAGGTATTCTCCCAAGGCAACTGGGTGGTAACCGCCTTGTCGGTAGCGATGAAGTGGCTCAGCGTCCACGGGGGAACTATAGAGGGGCTGGTCCATCTGACTCTTGTCTGGATAAGTAGACCAAAGCCGTGAGATGCTCCTCAAGGGGACAGTACGTCTCGATAGTATCCAGGCAATTGCCATTAGATTATGTAAAACTGGACTTGTCTGTGCCTATTCTGTCAAATATTATCATAAGTCCAGACTTGTTGTGAATATCCGATGTGCCCAGGAAGGAGTGACATGGCAGCAACTCACAAACAATAGCCAATCAAATGATCTATATAATATAAACGCCTAATTCAACCATAGGAAGAACTATAAATTAGTGGCCTACTGCTCTCCGAAGATGTATCTAGGTCGAGAAAATATATTATATACAACCTACGATATCTAACCATGAATTGAACGAGTTGATGATTACACGAACACTCCTGACCACCTAGGAAGTACGTCGTAAACTAACTAGATCTTACAAATTATGGAACGAATGATTCTATTAGTTAGTTGAATCCTATTCTAAACAACTGCCAGCTTCTCTGGTACTTCTTCCAGCCTTCGGGCCTCCTCCTGTTTCGCATCATTGGCAGAGAAGTATACAATGCCAGCAGTCCATATGGCCATTGCAATCGAGCAAGCAATCATAGCCCACATGCCTTTCTATAAAGGGTGTCAGCAAATCCTGGTCTCGGATACAAATCAACCTTTTCACCAAAAAAAAAAAAAAAAAAAAAAAAAAACCGGAGATACATCTATGGTGACATACCGTGAACCAAGGCGCTTGGTCAGCTGAATAGAACAGCAAAGCCCACCACGCATTAACCACATTGCTCCCCATATTCATACTAGCAATGACAATGCTACGCATCGCATCGTCCTTGTAGCGCATGACGTCATTCGCCCATGCGAAGAACGTTGCCTGACACGCATACACGGAGCCAGCCCAGTAATATGCGCCAAAGATCGTCGCTGTGGACGACCCGGGGGCAAGAATCATTGCCGAAGTAGCCACGCCAGTAATGCCAATCCAGAAGCCGACAAGGTATCTCTTGCCGCCAAGGAAATCAGTCAAGGTCGCCCAGAAGAGTGTAGAGATGATGCCAACCGCTGGCACGCCGGTGGGATAGTTATTTAATTGCGGGACAGTGTATTTATTGGTCGGGTGAGATTTCATATACAGGGCCAGTAGGGCGTTGGTGGAGAAAGACTCGGTCTCTCCTGCAATGACCCAAAGCATGACGAAACCGTACCAGTGCCAGGAGGAGAAGATCCGCTTGACGAAAGAAAGGCTGATTGGGGTGCGCTCGCGGAGTGGTTCAGGAACGCGGGAGATGGCAAGCGCGCGTTCGTCGTCGTTCAGATACGGGGCGTTGGTGGTAGCGGGGGTGTCGGGGAAGAGGAATAGACCATATAAGGCAATAGGGACTGTGATGAGGCCATCAACCTGGATTTGGAGATGTTAGCATATGTGTTTCTACGGACACAGATTCCCCAGTGCTTCGGGGTGTGAAAAGGAAAAAGAGAACTTTGTCAACCCACAATAAACAACCATCTCCAACCAGCCATGCCCCTAGCACCGTGGAGCGACTTATGAATACCGGTCTGAATAAAGCCACCAAACATGGTCCCGGCAAGGCCTGAGGCAGTGAAAATACCGCTTCTCTTTCCCAGCTCTCGCTCTGTGTACCATGAGCCGAGAATATAGTGGGTGCCAACAAAAGTGCTGGACTCAGCCAGGCCTAAGAAGAAACGGATGGCCATGATCGACTGTGGGTTTTTGACAGAGGCAGTAATCATGGTCAAACCACCCCAGAACAACATCATGGACGGAAAAAAGATTCTCGGCTTGAAATGGATGAGGGCTAGGTTGGAGGGAACCTGGCCGAGAATGTACCTGTACAAAATTGAAGTGTCAGAGTAAGAAGAAGAAGAAGAAGAAAGGAAGAAAAGGTTAGAGAATTAGCGAACTATACCCGACGGTAAAGATTGTGTTAATCAAATTGAGCTGGTTCCCCTTAAAATTCAAATCCTCCTTCATTCCAGAGACATATGCATTGTTCAAGTTTGTTCGATCCAGCTATAGATAGTAGTAATTCTTAGCTCTATGCTTGTCCATCAATTTTTACATTTAAACCGATATCGCGACCCCACAACAATAATTATTATAAGTTTATCTGCAAAGAGGAACAACATCGGTATAGAGAAAGATCGAAACTCACGTAATTGGCAAAGTACATAAGACAGCAGAAAGTGAGGATGAAGAAGTCGATCTTGCGGAGAAGCGCAGCCTCACCAGGCTTGCTTTCTGTGCCGCGCAGATACTGAGTGAACTTCCCAGCCATGATGGCGACGGTAAGCCTGAGTGAGGCCTAAGATAGTAGAGAACTATATTAGGATTTCTTTGGCGATGGCAGTTTTATAGCTACCGGGGTGGACCTTTCTCACGGCCTCGAAGTCAGAGCGACAACGAGCAGAGAGGCGAAGCTCGGAAGTTGGGAGCCCAAAGATTAAGGGGGGCCAAAAAAGAAAACTAGATAGTGCTATCAAGCGAATAACGACACAAAATCCTGGGGAAAGAAAGGGCGCGTTATATATTATCCCATCAGAGTTCATCCAGCCCAATTACCCTCGGCTGTGTCCGCACCCTTCCTCATATCCCACCTGCTGGGGTGTTGGAGCGTCTGGAGCTAAGGAGAGAGCTATCTCAGAGCTGTTTATCATTGGGAAAGACTTGTTAGAATGCCCAGCTCTAGCTCTCCAAAATGCCGGAAGCCAAGGTAGGGGCAATTTTTTTTATTTCCTTTGCACAGCGGACAAGGCTTAGAATGGCTTCGTCAGTTATCGACCTGCTGCGACGGACATTCGCAATATGCATGGCAAGATGTATGCTGTTGCTGGATCCAGTGAAATCAATTTCCACGAGGGTGCAAAGAATCCCTCCAACTTCCCCTCTACCGCTCTATTCTCCCTGTTTCTTCATGCGACACCCTTGTGTAACTCGGCATGAGATCGGAGGCCAAATTCATGTACGCTGGCAGTGGAGGAGAAAACACGGGCCGCTTGCGAGCGCCTAGCCATCCGAACGCGGACTCTCGTACTCCTGGTTCCCCACAGGCACACAAAGATGGGGGGAATCGGATTGTCAATTCGATTATTCTCTCGGGTGTCAGTTGGGTTACTCGACGGGACGACAAAAAAAAAACTTCCGCGTGCCATGTGCGTTTCTCGGATCGTGTCAACCACGTTTCACCTCGTTGGGATCCGCTTTGCTGAGTTGCAACCACTCGGCGACAGTAGCCAAATCATATTCAAAAGAATTGGTGTCGAAAGATCCATCTCGGCGATACGCACACAGCGCTTCTGTGCGGTGGGGCAGATTGGGAATGGGGAATGGGGAATGGGGAATGCTGAGGCTTGTCCCAGCCATCGATTCTCGCTCCCAGCCAAGTCCCTTCACCGAACCAACGCCACGAATAAAAGCAAAAGCAAAAGTGCTGAAGAGGGCGAAGAGAAAGACATGATTTTCCCTGCGGCTTCCACCACGAGATTGAGTAATATGCTCTGCATATGTGGTCTTTGGCAGCGATGGCGTGGGGTTTGAAAGGGTTGCTTCTGATCCCATCAAAATCCCCACATTTATTTAAATAATTATTTTTACCCCAGTCAAGGCCAAAACTTCCAGGAACACGGTGCGGAGCGGAGGCGGAGCGGAGTGTACTTGTGTCGGTACTAGTAATGTATGGTTTGCGCTGTATAGGCCGCGATACTTCTGAAGGCTACATGATATATCTCTGTTCTATAAAGTGGACTACTGCTGCTTATAAGACCGAAAGCTCTAGCAGCTTGAAGAATCATTAATAAATCAATCTCCATTATATATAGACTACTCTGTACTTGGCTGCGAGTTGCTCATAAGACCAGTAAATCCGTATTCTTAGAACGCTTGTTATATTATGTCAATAAATAGTAGCAAAGGCTTATGATCTATTAACATACGAGCATCCAACTCCAATAGACAATTTCATTTCCACGTTCTTTTATAACCAGCCGATGTATTTTGACATAAACCTTCTCTTCTTTTCGTTTAAAAACCATATATCAACGACCCCCGTGTAATGATTAACCAGCGAGAGGTGACGAGTGGCAAACGAGCCGGAAACCAGTCCATTCACAGATCAAAAGCCCAATAGCCGAGGAATTGCACTTCATTCAAGCAAGTTGCTATGATGAAGTTTCACGGATTTAACTACTGCCGATATCTTGGTTAAAGTTTCTTCCAACGCTCAGGGCAGTTCGCCCAACTGCCGCCGATAACGGCTGTCTAAATTAGTTTTCTTTCTCCTGCAGGGCCAAAAGGCAAAAAGAGATAACTAAGGGGAAAACCAGAATCACTGTTAGTACCCCTCATCCGCCACACAAAATTTGGCAATGTGGGGTTCTCTCGTCGGCACAAAATGGGCGCCATGGTGTCCAAGCCAACACCCAAGGAAACAGTCCATCCACGCTGGTGGACCAATTGATGGGATCTTCTCCATCCACTCAGACGAGTGAGCGTCCTTGCTACCATCGAGCTCTGCCGGCGCCCCTTGCGCGAGAAGCCATGCGGGTGGAGAGGCTGACTTTCCAGTTGCTTCGGCGTAGCCAAATTCATGGCAGTGAGGAGCAATGGATGACAGCAAAATATTGAGATTGCCGATGTTGACTCCTAGCCCCACGGTTAGGGTTTTCTTTGCTTTTTCCTTCATATCTTGGGATATGCGTGTGGCTGTTATTTATCTGGACGTAACTCTCTGTTCTCGTCCTCTTGTTTTAATGTTCTTTTATGAGACAGAAGGAGCTTGTTTTATGCTCTTATATACTTTGCCTGTCCAATCTATCCAATACTTTCCGTGTATAATACCATCGAAAGTGGAAGGAAATTTTATATCTCCAAAAAGGCAAAAACAGAAAAGAAATGTTGACTGAACTAACCTGGGAAGCTGTCGGTGCCACAAAGCGAGAAGAGCTTCTCTCCTCCATCCCGCCAGAATGGATCATCCCAGCTGATATTTCCCCTCCACACTCCCAGACCGACGTCACCAGCTTTCCTCAAACATCGGGCTGGTTTACTCCCCCTGAATTGGAGATCACAGGCTCAACAGCCTCTGAAATTCTCGCGAAGACCACGACGGGCATTTGGAGCGCTGAAGCTGTGACTCGCGCATTCTGCAAACGTGCTGCTGCCGCCCATCAACTGGTATGCCACTGTCAGGAGAAACACCAAAAATTGGAGCCTGCGTTCCCATACCTCATTATAATGTCGAAAGTCCAAAAACAGCAGCTAACACTCCCAACCAGACAAACTGCCTTTCTGAAACCCTCTTCCCAGAGGCCTTAAGAGATGCAAAGGCGCTCGACGCTCACCTGGCCGCTACCGGTAAACCGTTGGGCCCCCTTCATGGCCTCCCGATCTCTCTCAAGGATAACTTCAACATTATCGGCAAGGACTCGACACTGGGTTTCACAGGCTGGGTCAATGACCCTGCTACTTACAATAGCATAATGACTGATCTCCTGCAAGACGCGGGCGCGGTGCTGTATGTCAAGACGAACGTGCCGACGGCGATGATGATTGCCGAGACGGTGAATAATGTGTATGGGCGCACGTTGAATCCACGCAATCGACTCCTGACGTCGGGCGGATCATCGGGCGGCGAGTCAGCTTTGATTGCGTTTGGCGGTAGTCCTCTCGGTGTTGGGACGGATATTGGTATATGCATTCCCCCCTCCCCCACTGGCCCTTGTTTGAATATAACACAATGGAGCACATGCATGAAACTTAAACGAATAATATAATAATAACTGCGAGGATAACGCCAAACTAAATGACAGGTGGCTCCCTCCGAATCCCCGCCGCCTGCACTGGAATCTTCACCCTGCGCCCCTCCTTCGGCCGTTTCCCCAACTTCTTGACAAAATCCGGCCTGGCTGGTCAAGAATCCGTCCTGAGCGTCAACGGCCCAATGGCACCAACCCTCGACTCTATCAAGCTCTTCTCCTCCGTAGTGACAAACAGCCAGCCTTGGATCCGGGATCCTAAGTGTATACCGATTCCATGGCGGACCGTTGAGCGCAAGCAGCGCCTGAAACTGGCCGTGTTGTGGGATGATGGTATGGTCCGACCGACGCCGCCAGTTCGCCGCGCACTGAGAGAGACGGTGCATAAATTGCGAAGGGCTGGACATGAGGTTGTCAATTGGGAGGCAACGGGACACAAAGAAGGGAACGACATTTTGGTATACCCCACAACCAAACCCCCAATACCCTCCCCATCCCCCGTCTCCTCTCTTTACTTTCTCACGATTGGCGCCATTGCGAATGGAAACAGTCGAAATAGGCCATATTTTGTTAACCTTTTCTCCATGCTAAAAGGATCGCTTCTTCCTTTCCGACGGCGGCAAGACCGTGCAGCAAATCCTCGCGGCAGCCAAAGAACCCATCCGCCCCGAAATGGACCGGTACGACCGTGCTAAGGACGGCGGCGTGCAGGCGCTGTGGAAACTGCACGTTGAACGCAATAAATTCCAGCAAGAATACATGGAACGGTGGAATGCGTGCGAAGGACTTGATGGATTGTTGAGTGAGTTGTTACACCAAACAATCCCCCCACCTCAAGCAGAGGACGAGGAAAAATAAACACGACCGATCAGGGAGAAAAAAAAAAGCCATAGTCTAACAACTCTGAAATGATCCGCCAGCCCCAACAACTCCGTTCGCGACCGTTGAGCACGGCCTCTTCAAGCACGTCGGCTACACGGGCGTATACAACATCCTCGATTATTCATGCCTGTCGTTCCCGTGTGGCGTCCACGTTGATGCCGCCGTAGATGTCCCCACTGTGAATGAGACTGCGCTCAGTAAACTTGATGGCAAGGTGCAGAGCGAATGTATGTGTTGCCCCTGTTGCTCTCCATCTCTTTTCTTCGCTAGGATGCGCGTTCTTCTTCTATTCTCAACCCGAGCGACGAAACAAGCTAATGGCTACCGCAAAATGTGTGCAGACAACCCCGCCGCCGTCCACGGCCAGCCTGTCAGTCTACAGCTGGTAGGCCGCAGGCTTGATGAGGAGAAGGTGGTGATGATGGGAGAGGTTATCTTGGACGCGCTCAGGGGGGCGGCTGTGAATGGCAGTGGGAGTGGGAAGTCTCAAGCATCGTCGTCTAATTTGTGATTTTATCATGATAATGTATTTTCAACTGTCATGTTTTCCTAGAGGTCACTTTCCATGCTCCGCACAGTACAGTGTGTATACAAAGTGATCAAGTTCATGTTCCGGCCGAGTTATATGTAGGTACGGTGGCTATATATATATATATCATAAAATTATATCATTTTTAAATTTTATATCTCCTCGCTATCCGCCCTTCCATTCCTCTTGTTTTTACAGTAGTCTTTATCAGGTGAATTTATTTATGAATTCACATACCATGGCTTCATTAGCATTAGTTATTGAAAGAAAATATAAATGAATGAATGACGATATGAAAAATGGAGATGAGGAAGCTGTTTTTATCGCCGGTACCTGAATATTAAGGGTTAACTCACTGCTTGGTAAGGGTAGTGGCAATTAACCAGCCTGAACTCATCTTTGCTTCAATTCTTCTTCAACACTTACATTTGCGATTTGCTACATCATACATCCACTCTGATAATAAAATTAGCAGGTGGTGGTGGTGGTGGTGGTGGTGGGTGATTCACTGATTCATATATTTTATTTCATTCACCACTTATCTCGAATCTAAATGCGAGAAAGAACTAAGTTGAAATACTAATAAAAGAATAACTTTTCTCCATTTTATTTTGTATATTGCTCCGAGGGACTTTGTTAGATAGGGGTGTAAGGAAATTAGGACGCGAGGGGTGGGGTGAAATCAAATTCAATGATTTGATGCGTGATCTTCAAAAACAAGGCACGCTCACGGGGTAGAAGGGGGTAAATGGGGCTTGTGGAAGGCGGAAATAAAAAGGGTAAGTAGGAAATAGGGGAAACAAGTAAATAGAGATATGGCAATTATCCGCAACCCAAAACGTAAGCATGTTAAAGGAGAACATGAATGAAGAAAAATAAGACGGAGACGGAGAGGGAAGATGACATGGGAGTGAAAATGAGATGAGGGAGGAAGAGAAGCAGAACAATCGTACGACACCAAAAGCCTCTTCGTCAGGGTTTCCATCGGGGGCAAACTTTACTCTGTGAATTTCAAGGAGGGGCCAGGGGGGAGGAGAGATTTTTCAATCGGCGGCTGTATAGATGTGAGCCAATCAAACAGACATGTTCACCAGCTACACCTTTTACAGTAGAATAGGCAAGAAGTGAAAGAGTTACAACAAATAGATTGAACCGTAAGGGAAACGTTGGGGAGAAAATACTGATGGAAATACGCCGGTGTATTTAACATGCTTGGTGAAGGTAGGGGGAACCGGGAAAAATGGAAAGGGAAAAATTGAGTAAACTCGATAATGTTTAGTGTCTGATAAAGGGGAAAGACAAAATCAGCCTGATAGAGATCGGGGAGTACATGACGGTGAATCTTGTATAACGTGGTGTAGTTGCAAAAATTTCAGCATGGGGCCAGCGGAACAGGAAGGCTATGTTAAAGGGCGGAAAAAAATTAGAGGGCTAAATGTGAACCATCAGTCAATCTCGTCTCAGCTCCAATGTAGCTGAAAGAGAGTTGTCCAGAAAGAAAATCGTTTATCGTTTAGGAGTCAATTCTGATCGTACCATTGTCTCAAGAACAGTTGAAGAGGTATCGACATGATACAAGACACTTTACATATCCATACTATCTATCCCGTTGGTGAAGTTGAAGGATCCGGTTGGTTGCTGGCTGGTACCCAAAGTGAAGCCTGCCTGTGTCTGTTGGGGTGCAAGTTCGTCAATATCAGCACCAGTCTCGTCTTCATCCGAGAAGTACCGTTCAATGATGTTATAAGCTTTCATGTAGATCTCCTCATTCGCGTTGTTCTGGCAGTCGTGGATCTTTTCCATGCCGCCAGCTTCTTCAATGAAGAGGGCATAGCGATTCACGCTGGGCTCACCCATCTGGGCCGCTTCTTTATCCATCTCTCCAACCTTCAAAATATTCTCCAGGCCGTCGAGAGCAACTTGAATGATCTTGTTATCTGGGCATGCAAGAAGGTCACAAAGTGGCTTAATGCATCCTTGAGACACGAGATACCGTATTTGGTCTGGTTTCTGGAGACCTCCCGATGTGGCGTTTGAAATGGCCCAGCAGGCTTCTTTTCTGGTCTTGAAATCGCCGTTCGACAGAAGGTTGATCAGCGGAGGGATGATGTTGGCATCAATAACAGCCTGGATTTGGGTAGAGTTGCCAGCTGTAATGTTGGAAATAGTCCAGCAAGCCTCCTTTCGGATACCGTCCTTGGTGGAGCTGAGGAGAGAGAGAAGGGCGGGAAGAGCGCCACAGTTGATGATCACTTGGGTCTGGACGTCGTCACCAGTGACAATGTTGCCAACAGATCTAAGCGCTGGGGTCTGGACAGATGTGGAGGCATGCATCAGCAGTTCCACCAACCGACGAGGAATACCTGCTTCGATCACGGCCTGGATTTTGTCGTTCGATCCGTCCGAAAGATAGGAAATAGCCCAGCAAGCGTCGATCAAGACCTCGTCATCAAGCATGTATACCAATTTAGCCAGAATGGGAAGAGCGGGAAGGATCTAGAGTGTCAAGCATTAGCAGCTTCATATCAGCAATTAAGGGGTTGACCGCAGGAAGGCAAAGATGGTACGTACCGTTGGCCAGTCAGGTTGGGGAGTCTTTCCACGACAGAAATTGCTCAGCGTCCATGTAGCATTTCGGAGCATGCTGAGTTTGCGGCCATCGCCAATCAAGGCAAGGAGAGGACGAAGAGCTCCTGCACCAAGGACAAAATCACGACATTGAGGACTATCACCAGCAATGTTACCCAGCGCCCAAACAGCCTGTTCCCGCACGTCGGGTTCGTGGCTACTCAAAAGCTCAACGAAAATAGGAACAGCGCCAGCTTCGATGACGACCTGGGTTTGCTGTGCTGATCCGGAAGCGATATTTGTCAACGCCCAAGCAGCCTCAAACTGGACTAGAGTATGGGGTGAACGCAGGAATTCGACGAAACGGCCAACGACTCCGGTTTCAATAACGCGCTCGATAGGTGGATTCCGTTCTTTGGAAAGAAGTTTTCTGAACTTGGTGGTAGCTTGAATCTGCAAATCGATTTGATCGGAGAAAACACCCTTGACCATCTCTGGGAGCTCGACGTTCAGCTATAGAAGAGTGATCAGTAAGGTCATTCTACTACAACATCTGCCATGGGGATCTTTTTGAGAAAGCAAGCCGTTGTGCCATTGCACACTCTGGATCATAACATAGCTGTCTGTGCGCTAGAAGATCCTTGCTGTGGGCCAAAGCTGGGTAGCTATAGCCACCAGAGGCACACGGAAGGAATAATAATACATTGACAGAAAAGAGCCGAACTATGCGCCAAGCGAAAGAGCAAGTAGAATATCATGCACATACCTCACTCTCAATGGTTCCACCCTCCTCATCACTATCTTCAGCACCGAGCGCAGAGTCTCCACCCACACCGATACCGCCATCGCGAGTCTGGATACCTCTCCGCTTTGCGAGGTTCTCTTCGCGTTTCTGTTTCCGAATCTCAACTTGTTGCTCCTCGCGGCGACGACGGAGCTCATCTGGCTTGAAGGAGCTCTTCGCCTTGAACTGGGTGCGACGGTGTTCTGGGATGTAACGCTCCGCCATGGTTGATAGTAGGAGGGGGGAGGGGAAACAGAGAGACGAAAGACAAAGCGAGAGCGATCAGCGGAGACACTCTGGGCTTGGATAAACAGGTAAACAGCTAGAGGAGGCGTAGATGTAACTCTCAAGCGAAAGGAGGAAAGGGGAGATATGTGGGATATGAAGATTTGATGCTTGGGATAGATTGGGGCCTGTTTGGGTGGGAGAGAGAAAAGGGAAGATTGTGCTGAAGAGGGGCTTTTCTGCTTTGGGGCGGCGGTTGCTAGAGGGAATGACTAAGCAAAAACATCACCTCTTGGACCTTGCACAACATCCGTGGATGTATATCTGCAAGGGATATCGATTTACGTCCGCCCGCCTGTTTCCATATGCTAGTTTTATATAAAGTGAGCAGGAACAGGAATCTGTTTGCCTTATATCCTGAGTCAGGAGACCATAAGCTTCCCGTTGTGACTGATAACGCGACTTGAGAAACTTCTCCAAACCATGAGTGACTTTCGCACATTTTGCGCGTCTAGTCAAAATGAGAATTGAATTGATCAAGTACCAAGGCCATTCTTAGAGATAACTTCCGTTTGCTGCCTGCAAGCACTCCGATCGTGGTATTAATCTGCTCCGCAACACCTTGTTGCTGATGCTGGAACACGAACCTGTGTATTGACAATACAGCACAGGTTCCCCCCCTACCTTTGGGAAAGATATATCATCCTATGGTTGCTTCATTGCCTATCCTAATACCGTTCGCTGGATGCCCAAAGTGTTATTCTACCGTTCGACAGTGTTATGTTCCTTGCTTTTCTTTGTTGAGTTGTCTACTTCATAATGTCTTCGTCCCTTCCCCGAGGATTTGATGATATCCAAACGGTGAAGTCTAAACCGGGCAGGGTGGCGAACGTTATTGCAGTGGTAGTAGACGCGCTTCCACCGAAATTGTCCGGAGGAGATTCATACACGTCTACCTTCACACTTAAAGATCATGACTTCAGCGGTGAGACATGGAACGGCCTCAAAATCCGCTACTTTCAACGTTGCGAGTCAGATCTACCAGCTCCTCAACAGGGGGATGTAGTTCTCTTACGACAAATCAAGGTCCGTTTGTTTCTTCGGATTTGAATTATGAGTCCTTATGGTCGCTGATAACCTTGACAGCTACGGCCATATCAAGGGGCCGTGATTGGCCTCTGCACCCAGCTGGATTTTTCTCCTTGGATCATTTTCAGACAGGGGTCCAATCCCAAGGTTTCGCCGCAAGTAATTATGTGCCCCGGCACTCGAGAGTTGATGACGACTGAGAAATCATACGCTCTCTCCCTGATCGGCGCAGCGAGCACCACAGCTACCAACAACCAGCCCGTTCAAGTCCGGCAAACCGTAGCTCCGGCCCCACCCAACCCAGTAATCACAAAGCCATCTATCCAACGCGGCAGGCCAAAATTCTCCTTAATAAGAGATTTGTCCTGTGGTACATTTGTCGACCTCGTCGTCCAGGTGGTGAAAACTTACGCTGAAGATTATCAAAGATTTCTCCTCTATGTCACCGACTATACCCAAAACAAGCAACTTTTTAATTACACCGCAGAAGAAGGCGGCCCCCGCGATGGCGACGTGTACGGCTACACGTCACGCTCCAGGAGAACTTGGCCTGGCCCTTACGGCCAGATGACCTTGCAAGTTACTCTCTGGGAACCACATTCGTATTACGCAAGACAAAACGTCAAAGAAAATGATTTCGTTTTGCTCCAAAATGTCAATATCAAGATGGGGAGAGTGAGCGGTGCAATGGAGGGCAGCCTTCATACAGATCGCCGCTTTCCCGAGAAAGTCCAAGTGATACCAATCAATGACAATGATTCCGACGAGGATGTAAAGAAGTTAGTGAAGCGAAAGATTGACTACTGGAAAAGAGTAAAAACAGAGAATCCCGGTTTTCGTGGCAATGACATAAACAAGCGGAAAGCGACCGATAATGATGAACAGCAACGGTGTCTAACCAAGGCCAAGAAGCGACAAGCAGAGCAAAATCGAAAGCAAGAAGAGAAAATAAAGTGTGATGAAGATCAACCAGAAATAGAAACATCGTTTCAGGAGAAGCGGGATCAACTAAATGCTTACAGTATGTGCCGACAGCGCATCGTCCACTTGATCCGTACCTCGAGGGGTGAAAAAAAGAAAAAAATTCAATACTAATAATAAACGCTGACATTCAATTTTGTAGTTCGCGCAAACGACCCTTCAGTACCCTGTCGCTCAATATCTGATATTCTATCTAATGAATCCCACATGAATATCTCCCCTGATGGGATCAAATACCGTCTTCCCTTCCAAAATCTCCGCTACAAAGCTTCTGTCCGCGTTGTGGATTTCTTCCCTCCCAATATAGAAGATTTTTCCGTACAGTACGATGTGGAACGTGCCATGCTGTCAAACACCTCAGACACCGAAGGTAGCACATCTAGCATTGGCGATAACGAAACTGACAGTGGTAAAAGATGGGAATGGAGATTTTGTCTCCTGGTTGAAGATGCGGGGCCAGGCACTCATTACAACCGCAGCGGGCCACGAGAACGCATGAAACTCTATGTGGGGAATAACGATGCTGTATTCTTGCTCTGTCTCGATGCTGTGAAGTATGACATTCCCACTTGTTTTCGTCTCCCGTAAATTACGCCAAAACAGAAATGCTCACCAGAATATCTACAATAAATTTCAAAATAGTCTCCGTCAGAACCCTGCCGTTCTCTCCGATCTCCGTGAAAAGTTGTTCATTCTCTGGGGTGACCTAGAAGAGCGCAAGAGGGCCATTAATACCGCCGCTTGCAACAACAACAACAACGCTGGAAGCAACGATGACCCCAATCCTGATCTCAATAAGCAAATTATCGCCGCGTCAACGAAGCCATTTATCTGCTGCATTAAAGAGTTTGGAGTTAAGAGCTCGCTCCGTTCGGACGAGGGGTCCTCAGCTAATGACGAGTGCCGATTCGGTTGGGAAAGACGGTTTTGTATGTTCGGAACCACAATTGTCTAGGAGATAGATGGATATATAGCTATATAGGATGATGCTTTCTTTCTTTTTCTCTTTTTGCTTTGCGCCTGTAGATTTCTAAAACAAATAGCCCGTTAGTGGTGCTGGCGTTTCTGGGTTGAAATATATATATATTTCTGTCTATGTCTGTGTTGCATCGGAGGATGGAATAGGGGCAACTGGCTCATATTATGTTTCTATAGATCTAATGAAAAAATGAGAAAAGCCTTTATGTATGATGTACTGCTCCCCATAACTACAATCTTCATCACCTTCCTCCCATCCCGAAGTACAGTAGAGCTATCGTAGGTATAAGTAAAAGGCGATTATGATAAATTGTAGGTAAAACAAGGCAAAGGTGAGTACAACTATGATTTCAACTCACCTCCATGGCTGTAGATTAATATTATGTTTATAAAATGCAAGGGAACAAAGGAAAATGAGACTCCATAGATCCATGCATCCACCTACTGCATGCATGTCCAGCCCCTTTCCAATTCCCGTTCAGCCCCCCTTGAAGATAAAACACAAAGAGGGTGCGATGATGACAGACCGTTTGATTCTGAAAATGAGACAGCAAACGCAGGAAATATAGAAGGGTGAAGGGAGATAAATGAGGGATTTGAAGGCAGTGTTCGGGAGTGATGCTCAAGACGGGGACACAATAATAATAACAAAAAATGAGCGGCTTCACGCAATTCTGTGTTGGCTGAATTGAATGAACAGAGCCGGCGGGAAAAAATAAAAAGTAGCCGAAAGGAGAATAGCCTTCGTTTTGACCTGCGAAGAATAGTACCGGCGTGTTTGTGTGTGCGAAGTCGGAAGGGAAAGCCGTGCTGTCCACATGGGTTGGTTGGTCGAGGGCTGAAATGTAGCACATGGATTGTCCATAACTACTCGGCCCAGCGCCAGCGAACATTCTAGGCAAGGCAAAATCTTACTTCCTTTTCACCTCATGAAAATAATTAAAATCCTAAATGACAAGAAAAATCAAAGGTCACATTATACCTTTGTAACCTTCACAATTGTTGTATCGATTCCATGAGCGGCTGTGTCGAATCGACAATTGGAGCCCCAGAAACAGTCCTTCTTGCCAATCTCACTCTGTGGACAGCGATGGCCATATATACAGCCGGGATCATCGCAATCAGTTCCGAACCGACACGGCGTCATCCGCGCAACTGCATGTAAGACGGTGCGCTCATTCTTCGTCAATTTATGATCATGAGTATGATAGCAACTTAAGTTGGGGCAGTCGCCTAGTAAATAATACAGGTTGCATAGTTTCAGCTTTTTCACGCGGTTTAATTCGTCCTTGGGGATGGTTTTGAAATCTAGTCGGTCGACGCGTTCGCCGTATTTATTGCGCTCCACCTTAGGCGGAGCAGGGCTACTTGGTTTCGAGGTCGTTAAATCGGTAAATGGACCATGGGCTCCTGCTGCTGTTGTGGCAGCCCATGTTGGCGGCGTGTTGGTTCCATTCGATGGGATAGTTGAGTTTGACGGGATGCGAGCAAGGTTGTTGTTGTTGCCAGGAGTATTCGCAGATAGCACGGAAAGCGGTGTAGACGAGGGTATCGACATGGGGTTATTATTCGTCCCATTCCGGTCATTCCATGAAAGTGAATTCGTGTTTATTTTTGAGGTTCGGAAAAGTTCTTCAAATTTAGTTACTCTGTAAGAAGCCTTGATGGGTACAAGTTCTCGTTCGAATGGGACGCCTTCGATTAAAGATATTCGTCCAACAAGGTCGCGATCCGCTAATGTATCTTCAAGAAGCCTAGCATACCCATTATCGTGAGAGCAACCGAGAAATATTTGGTGACAGTGACAATTGTATAAATGGAGCTTAAACATCTCTTTAAATGTTATTCGAAAATTAGTACATATTTCTATGTGAGTCATCAGAGTGGAGAGATGAATTAGGAGGACGACGTACCAGCGATCTTATCATCAGCTCTATCTTTACCACTCCCCACATCCACAAAATCAAACAATAGTCTGCTTCCATTGAATCCACGGGCAAATTCCTCAATTAGGCCGGGACGTTCAATTAGGCCAGCTTTATAGCATGCATCAGCCAATCCTTTGACGTTTGCATAAACTCGAGCTATAATTTTTGGCGATTGTATGTTCGGAAGATTTCGAGATGCATAGTCACGGATAGCAGCCCAGAGCTGATTTGCACCATCTTTGCCGCCCTGCTCACCCTGTTGGAGAAAGGAGTCTTGGAATACCATCCCATCACCATCGAGAAGAACGAGAAGAAATGGTTCTTGTTCCTACCGCAACCAACAAAGAGCTGATCGTTAATGCTGCTCGGAGGAAATATTATATATAGGATGACAAAACCTCACCATAACAGATTCCATAGCAGTTATCTGGTTCATAAGCTCTATCTCATGCATTTGCACTTCACGATTAAAGCGGGATTCACGTTCATGGTCTAATCGGGTTTGTTGGTATGCATTTTCGAGCTCGGCAACCCGTCGTAAAAGATCCTATTTAACTAACATGAGAAGACAGCCAGATGAAAAAAAGGGAGCAGCAATTAGCACCTCAATTAACTCATTCCTTGACTGTTCAACCGCTTTAACTTGCTCATAACGCTGGAAAAACTCCTGGGCGGTGGAGCTAGCCATCTCGTTCAAGCTGAGCTGTGGAGCGTGTAGAAAAATAGATTATCTACCTTTCTGTCACCAACAAGAAGAGGTGAGAAAAGTGACAAAATATCGGACTAGATGGCGAGGTTATAAAGAGAATCAGTAATATAGTAATAATAGAAAGTCAGCTCCCAATTAAATACGCACGGCATGGTCAGTTTTCTTTCAGGCTGAATGCTTCTCCGCTTTGATCGGAGCGCAGAGCCCATCGGCGGCTAATTTTCATGCGTCTATCGCGTTAGGAACAGGATGTTCTGCTGACTCAACTGCCGCGCTTGGACGTTGTAGTGATATACGTGGAAATTAAGCTCTAATCTCCCTGGGAACGTTCCGCTCTCCCAACTTTCTTCGCCGCTTCGTCGCTCCTTTTCTTCTCCGCTCCTCTTCCAAATCTCCTCCATATACTCTAATAAGCTCATCAGTGCAAACATGGGGAAATATGGGCTTCTGTCAGTTGCGCTGCTTTCGCTGCAAGCCCTCCTTGTTCGAGGGGATTCGGTGAGTTTAATTTTTTTTGGTGAAAGTCTCCTTTCGCAGCACAACTACTAATACAACATTGTATTTGTAATGGCCCGCTCAGCCTGCGCCAGGAGATATCAAAGCCCCTGAATTGGATGTTACCGTCTCGGCTTCCTTCCCGAATTCCGAGGTCTTTGGAGTAAAGCTCGTGAACGGCAACCCAACTAACGCTCTTCTCTCCATCTCCAACAATGAACCTGATCCAGTGACCCTGAACTTGATTGGAGGTAGCTTATGGACGATTCATCCTTCGGAAGAGGTGGGCCAGAATGTCCGCAACCTCACTTCTTCCCGCTACAACATTGCGATCCCTCCCGGAGGACAGCACTCAATGGAATATCCGCTTGTAACTGAAATGCACCCCCAGGATTTGAGACTGCATTTAGCTGCCGTTATCTCCAACTCCAAGGGCATGGCATTTACTGTCCGCGCCTATAATGGCACCGTCAGCATCGTCGAAGCTGAAACGAGCATTTTTGACCCTAAAGTGTTAGTAATGTGCAGCTTGCCAACTCTGCTTAAGATCAAGTGCTCACATGACCTACCATTTCTCTAGCCTCTTCCTCTATTTCTTCCTCCTATCTGCATTCGTCGGTACTGTCTACTTCTTCTATACCATCTGGATTGCTCCATACTTCCCTCAGAAACGCAAGGGCGCAGACAGACCGAAAAAATCCTCCGGACGAACCAAGAGCGAGCCATCTGAGCAGGCTTCCGTTTCTGGGACCGAGTCAACAGGCGTGACTTCTGGAAAAACATATGATACTGAATGGATCCCTGCCCACCACATCCACCGACCCGAACCTCGAAAAGTGAAGAGCGGAGGCCGGGCTAAGCCCAAAGCTTAGTACGAACCTCTGATCAGGCATACGTACCACTTTGGATGATGTTGTATACCACCAAACATTTTACTTGGCGGTTTTCATTCCCTTTCTGGAGTTCGGTTGAGGAATGGATGTGCGGTTTGGAACCAACCACACAAGCTGAGAAAAATAATGCACGCTCAGGACGATGATGCGTTGATCCAAAGGAAATTGATAACTCTCCGAGATGCGACTTCGTACCAGTCCATTTAGTTTTGGTATCATTGTTTCCTTTCTTCCCATTTTAAAATTTGTATTACATATCAAATAATATAGTCTCTATATGGGCTCATAAAAAAGTAAACTAATAGGTCGTATTTGCTCAATATCCGCATGACATCTTGAAAATCCAATGTTTACCACATGTGTTAGGATCCGAAATTCCAGGCAATGTCAATGATGGGCCACCGTATAAAGTCGACATACGGTATCCACAACCTATCCCGTATGGGATTTGGAAGATAAATGGTAAATAGCTTCGTTCGATAGCCCGTCTATTTGAACATGGGGATCATATTAAAATCCACCATGTATGCATACCACTCATCAAAGTGTCCTCCAAGCTAGAAACTCCTCCTCCAAATGTGCCTTCAATCGCTGAAATTTGTTCCCGAACATCTTCCCGCATCTCCAGCACTCAAAGTCCCGCTTCAGATATCCTTCTCTCCCTGGATGTCTCCGTGCGTCATCCTTCGCCAACGGAAAATCCTCAACATCGATGAAAAACGGCGTTGAAAAACTATTATAATGTTTCCGATGCCTGAGGCACGGGCTAAACCTGTCTACAGAAAGGACGTGTATATGCAAGTGAGCCATAGAAGGGTGTGCATGGATGCCGCACATTATTTCCTTCTCCCAGTCGCGACCGGCCGGCAACTCGTCGGGCGGCGGATCCGCATCCATAGCTTTCTGGCGCGCGATTTCCTGTGCGGAGGTGGAGCTGTGCATTCTCCGTAATTCCGCAGCTGCCAGGCGTTTTAACCTCTTCGTCTCCGTTTGAACCTTTTGAAGGAATTCTGGGTCATCGAAAGCGTCGAAGGGGTGTAGGCGTGCCTTTGTTGGTTCGCGGGGGAGGAGAAGGAGGTGGAGAGAGGATTTTGGGTAGCGGTCGCGCACAGCGACGAATTCGTCATTATAGTACAGGACGATGGATGGGGAATAGGACGAAGGATTTTCGATGTAGGGACCTAGATCATCGCGGTTTTTGAAGTTGATTGAGAGCTTGTGTGAGGAGGATATTGGTTCTAGTGGCAGCTGGGGTTTGGGGGCCATAAGTTCGGTAACTGTGAATCCGGAGTGGGATATTAGTTATAGATAGCTGGCATGCTCAAAGAGAAATGGGATAATACAAGCATTCCGGCTCTGCATCTGCTCCTTACGATGAGGCGCGGGTGCTTCTTCTGCAGACCCCGGTACAACATCCCCGGGGCTGGAGCTGCGCGAAGAGTTCCTACTCATTGCCGAGGGAGTCGAAAGTGTTAATAACCAATTTTAAATATTTGTAACAGCGTAATAAGCCCTTCATGCCAAATGCACGATGTACATACAATATATACTGTATATCCGCTCTCGAGCTCCAACACAGCCTGCATGCCAGCGATGATAAGATAATATCTGCTTATTAAGCCCCTCAGCGTCATAGTGAACTAGCGCACCTCCAGTTGAGACTTCGATGAAATATTAAACGACGCCATTGACTAACAACGAATGGGCACTTATCGGTGATCTTTCGTGATCTACTATGGGCCCGAAGAAGGGGCCCGCCGCTCGTGCTGGATCTAAAAACAAGCCCAAACCTCCTCCAGCAGAAATCTCTATTAGCGATTTCGTGGCTGCAGGTGAGCCCAAAGGGAAATCTAAGGCTGCGGACAGAAATAGAACCGGCCATAAAGATGGAAAAGACGAGCCGTCCGAAGAGCAGAAGAAGCCAACAGCGCGGGTGGTGATAGGGGGTGCCTCATGGACTGGAAAGCTGCCTGTGAATATGCTCTCAGAGCACTGTCAGAAACAAAAATGGGAGAAGCCAGAATACACAATGGTAAAGAACCCCATGTATTAGCGCTAAGGGAGCTTTCTCACGCTGACCGATATATTCCAGACAAAAGCCAAAGAAGGCTTCGTCTCAAGCGTGATTCTCAAAAAATCCAATCCTAAAACGAAGGAGACCATAACTCTACCTCCCGTGCGCCTCCCTCCCGCTCATCAGCATCTGGCTGCCTGCCCCACCGCAATGGAAGCTCGCCATTTTGCTGCAGCATATGCCCTCTTTCGTGTATGCAGCATGCGTAACTTGCACATGATGATGCCTCCTACCTACCGTAATCTGTGGAAAGATGAATTTACGCAGCTTAAGAATGCTGATGTGAAAGAAGGGAAAAGTTGGCTGTATGAAGCGGACCCTTTTAGCGCTATGCAGGAGCGGGAACACGCGGCGGCAGAGCTTGCTAAGAAGAGGGCTGAGCGGGAGAAGGGGAGAGTTAAAGCTCTGGATCCAAAGTTCCAGCAGCCAGGGCTGAATATGAACGCGGGGAACACAGGGGATAACGGTGGGAAACGTTGGTCTCAGGCTCCTAAGGTGGAGATGGGGAGTAAAGTACGACGTACGATTGAAGAGCTGGTAAGACAGAAGGCTATTTGGAATCCGTACAAGGTCCGAATATTGGAGCCCCAAAAGAGGCAAATTGTCGAAGAGTTGAGTGGTCTAGGCTTCAGAAGGAGTCACGTTGAAGAAGCCGTATCTGAATGCAAGGACCGTGAAGAGGTTTTGGAGTGGCTGTTGATACATATTCCAGAGGATGATCTCCCTGCGTGGAGTCTTCCTGAAGGGTATACCGCCGGAATTAGTTTAGCTAGTGGAGATCTATCCAGGGAATCCAAGGTCAAACGACTTTCGATGTCTGGTTTTTCAACAGATTTCTGCGCTGAGGTGCTTGACAAGATGGGTGGTAATGAGCACATAGCAGCCGAGCAGCTACAAAATATGCTCCTCCATGGCAGCAATGTATTGGAGTCCGACTCTCCTACAGAGGAAACTGGAGCTTGGGAGGAAGAGCAATTTACCTTGGAAGCGATATATGGCGAGAGATATATACGATTATCACCGATTGCATGTGAAGTAATATCGGAAAACCAGAATCTGCCATGCAGAACGACGTTTTATTTCCAAAAGCAGTCAACCGTTCCATATCCCAACTGCGCACCGGTCCTGACCATTGTATCAAAGGAAATTCCAGCATACGTACGCTTTAGCGCTATCCGGCAAGCTATACAACATGCTAACAAGGACTTGCTCGGGGAGCCGATGATATTTAATGTGGTAGAATGGCTTGAAGAAAATCTGCCTCGAATTTTGGAAAATCCAGGAAAGCTTCGGACCTTTTCTGTTGAGTCTCTATCTCATGCGAGGGACAAATCGACCATCCAAAATTGCGCTAAATCTACTCGAAAATCACCAAAGCCTCAGAGTCTAATCGCCGGCACACCACAAAGCCGTGAGATTCGAAAAAAATGGGAGTCAAAACAAACTCTCCCTGCTCAACAGAAAATGCTCAGGGCGAGGCGGTCACTTCCAGCGTGGGATATGCAGAAAGCAATTAACCAAGCTGTCCATTCTCATCAAGTCACTATCATATCAGGTGAGACGGGAAGTGGAAAAAGCACTCAGTCCGTTCAGTTCATTCTTGACGACATGATAAAACGAGATTTAGGTTCAGCTGTGAACATCGTCTGTACGCAGCCCAGACGGATTTCTGCCCTGGGGCTTGCTGATCGTGTCAGCGATGAGCGCTGTTCTTCTGTTGGTGACGAAGTGGGCTATATTGTAAGGGGTGACTCGAAAGTGAAATATGGAACCACGAAAATTACGTTCATGACCACTGGTGTGCTGTTACGCCGCATGCAAACTAGTGGCCAGGATGTTGTCAGTTCTTTTGCGGATATTAGCCATGTCGTGGTTGATGAAGTTCATGAACGGAGCCTTGATACGGATTTCCTTTTGGCACTGTTGAGGGACGTCCTCCGGCATCGCAAAGACCTAAAACTCATTTTAATGAGTGCTACGTTGGATGCAGACATATTTACGCAGTACTTTGGAGGCGACGCTAAAGTCGGGCGGGTCAACATTTCTGGGAGAACATTCCCCGTTGAAGATCTCTATCTCGATGATGTCGTGAGGCGGACGGGGTTCAATCCTGGAAATGCATCATTTGCATTGGATGAATATACCGGTTCCAATGACGACGACTCAGCGGACACTTCTATCGGCTCCACACTTCAAAAACTAGGAATGGGTATTAACTACAATTTGATCGCATCCACAGTCCGTTATATTGATTCGCAACTCAAGGACAAACCAGGCGGCATCCTGATCTTTCTACCGGGCACCATGGAGATAGACCGATGCTTAGCTGCTCTCAACTATCTTCCATTTGTCCACCTATTGCCGTTACATGCATCACTTTTACCAAGTGAGCAGCGACAAGTCTTCTTGCCTGCTCCACTTGGGAAGAGAAAAGTAATCGCCGCCACTAATGTCGCAGAAACGTCCATCACAATCGAAGATGTAGTTGCTGTCATCGACACGGGCCGGGTCAAGGAAACGCGTTATGACGCTACTGACAATATTGTCCATTTGGAAGAGGTCTGGGCATCGCAGGCTGCTTGTAAGCAACGTCGAGGAAGAGCAGGGCGAGTTAGTAGTGGAACTTGCTACAAGATGTATACACGGAAGGCAGAGGCCAATATGGCCCCTAGGCCAGAACCAGAGATCCGGCGTGTGCCTCTGGAGCAATTGTGTCTTTCAGTCAAAGCCATGAGCGGAATCCAAGATGTGGCAGCCTTCCTTGCAAACACCCTTACACCTCCTGAGAATGTAGCGATAGAAGGCGCGCTAGAACTTCTCCACCGCATTGGTGCACTTGATAATCAGCAGCTAACAGCTCTGGGCCGGTATATTTCGATTATTCCGACCGATCTTCGTCTAGCGAAACTAATGGTATACGGCGCCATATTCGGGTGTCTCGAGTCTTGCCTAACAATTGCAGCAATTCTTACAGTAAAAAGCCCTTTTGTGTCACCTCGAGACAAAAGGGAGGAGGCAAAGCAAGCTCGGGCATCATTTTCAACAGGAGATGGAGACTTACTGATTGACCTCGCAGCGTACCAGCAGTGGTCCGAAAGAGTCAAACAGCAAAGTCCCTGGGAAACGCAATCATGGTGCAACCACAATTTTCTCGTCCCCAAAACGCTTCGCGAAATCTCTTCGAATAGATCCCAACTACTATCCTCGCTCAAAGATATTGGCATAATCCCTGTAAGTTATAGACACACAAACGACACTGCTAACGGCGCGACGCCAAACCGCTGGAATAGCCAAAACTCCAACACACAACTCCTTCGCGCCCTGATAGCTGGCGCTTTCAATCCCCAAATCGCCAGGATCAGCTTCCCAGACAAGAAATTCGCCGCGTCGATGTCCGGGACCATAGAGCTGGACCCTGACGCCCGCACGATCAAATACTTCAACCAGGAAAACGGCCGGGTGTTCGTGCATCCTAGCTCCAGTCTCTTCGACGCACAGAGTTTTTCCTTCTCGGCCACGTATGTGAGCTACTTCGCGAAAATAGCAACTAGCAAGGTGTTCATCCGCGATTTAACCCGTGAGTCAACGATGTGCTTCTCTTTTTTTCCATGAACATTCGCACTAGGGTACCATTATTGGCCGCAAAAGCTAACGGTAATGTTAAAACACCAGCGTTCAATGCATACAGCCTCCTTCTGTTTTCGGGGCCCATAACCTTGGATACTCTGGGCAGGGGCGTGCTTGTAGACGGCTGGCAGCGTTTGCGCGGATGGGCGCGGATCGGTGTGTTGGCCTCACGCCTACGCATGTTACTTGATGAAGCTCTAGCGCAAAAGATGGATAATCCAGGCCTTGAGGACATGTTTGGAGAAAAGGTGATCGATGTTGTCAGGCATCTGGTTGTTTTTAATGGACAGGACCAATAAGTAAATTGGTGAATAGACGGGGTCTTATACCATGATCAATGACCGGTTTACTGGGCGCTTGGTTCCGTTTGGAAACGTCGTTGGATACCTGACAACTTCCCTTTTGGTTCGCGCTTTCTTCGACACATCGACTCCGGATGTCCACCTTGCAGGGACTAACTACGTAAGTGGTTTAAAGAGACCACCCGTATATATGACATAGACTAAAAAGCACAGTTGGGGACCCTAGCCATGATCGTCCTTTCGAAATGGAAAGGGGAAATAGAAACTAGAACCATAAACATAGACCAAGCTGATAATTACAGACTACCAAATGTAGCGTAAAAATTTCTATCAGGCTCTCCCCATCCCACCTGCGTCTTTTTAACAGCATAACAGGAGCAGAAGGAAAAGGGCAACAGAAAAGAAAAAAAATTCACTTGAAACAACTGGGCAGAAAAGGGGATAAAACTAAGCTTATAATCCATCAAAACGAGGAAATAACCACTCACAAAATAATAGAATGAAGCACAATAAAGCTAAACCATAAGAGATAAAAAGAAACTGAGCAAGCTAAATAAAAGGAAAAGGCAGACCGGTAAACTTGGAAAAGAGCAGAATCCGACAACTCCATTCGCGTGCCTGGCCATCCCACCCGAGCAAAAAAAAGAGCCCCAAAAACCAAACAAGAACATGAATCACCCATTTCCCCCTCCTAGCCCCAGACCATCCCATTAGATACTGAAGAAGAGAAAAGAAAAGGCGAGAGAGAGAGATAGGATAGAAGACGGCCCAAATAAAGATCCTCCCATGCCATGTAGGCGCCTAGAGGAAGTAAAGAGCACATGTTTAAAGGTCTAAAAAAACGGCAACAACGGGGTGTACCATCTCCGCATATGACCTTCGATGAAAACAGGCAATTGAGAAATAAAGAAGAGTCGAAATGGAGAAACAGGGCCGATGATCTAGCACACTTGGGCATGGGAAACTCAAACGAACGAATGTATAAAACCGGTGTGTCGTGCCAATGTGCCCAAAAAAGGAATAAGAAAACAAAAAATGCGGATGCGAATGCTTATTCTGGCGAGTCGGAAAGTCAAGGGGTAAGACCAGTGACAAGGTATCGAAGATATTAAGGGAGAAATGATGGATAAAAATGGTTCGTCCGAAAATTGTCGTAGGCGGAACAAGAACAAAAATACGAACGGCCGCATCCTTGCTTTGGAATACCCACAGAAAATAAAATCTATACAACGCCACTATGAGAATTAAAAATTAAACGCCTTGGCACATGGTTGATTTTTTTAAAAAAAATACAATCAACCCGGATGGGCGGCCTGTATACGCCACGATGCGCCGGTCGGGATATAATTAAAAGTAACATAGGAGATGTCGTGGGTCGCTGGAATAGCTAAAGATAAAGGAGCGTAGGATATACAAGAGATACGCGCTTGCAATCGGTGAAACGGGAGAATGCGGCAAATTATAAAAGATGCGTGATGCAGTTCGGCGAATGAGAAGTTAGAAAACGATGGCGAATCAAGGAAAGAAGTGGGTATCTAATCGTTAAATTTATAAACGAGTGTTTTGTCGAAGTAAAACCGAGGAGACATTCTGCTGTGGGTAACCTGCAACAGTGGGGAAATCCGAACAAGGTATAAAGAAACAATACGCAATGGTAAACACAAAGGAGTGGTTGTCAAAGCAAATCCAAGTGGATTACTGACGGCGCCAGATGGACGGGTCCTCGAAGAGGTTTATTAGATGAGCAGCGGAGCCCTCGCGGGTTGCTTCTGGGAGCTTGAATTTCTTCATCATCTCGGCCTTGACGAAAGTAGATGCCCGCTTGAATCGTCTGTCCGAATACTTTTCGTAGACAGCTGAGTGATGCTTCTCCGGGTTCTCGCAGCACTCAAGAATGAGCGAAACGAGAGGATACAACTGGGAGTATGTATAATTTGAATAATATACATGCGCAGGCGTCTGGAAGCTAGTTAGATACAGAGCGAATTTAAAGTTTATTTTAAAGGTGACTTACCCAAGTTCCCTTCCTCAGCATCAATCTCGCGAGGCAATGAGCACCAGCAGAATTCCACCACATTGGAGCTTCAGCTACAAAGCGCTCATCCATGATGGTAATCTCTAGGAAATACTTGGCAAGAGTCCGCGTCTCCAAGTCGTAGTCGTCGGCCTTACTAATCCGTCGGAGGAAACTCATGGGACCCGGCCAACCGAGCTCGAATTGAAGCATGCTTAGCATAAAACGCTCTGCCTTCAAAATTTCATCGGCGGTATATCCGTTGTCTACCATGTAGATAATCTCTTGGAGAGATGGGCAGTTGATTTCCTCGTACTTAGCTGCAATGAAAATTGCAGTAGCCCCAACAAGCTGTAACTTGCCAAGAGAAACAATTTTGCATGACAAAAATCGGTCAATGTAGTTGACGCATAGGAAAAGGGTTTCTGGGAGCAAAGAGAATCGATGATGGACCTGGACAAGCCAGTCCATAAGAACAGATCGCATCGACCATTGAATCTCTGCTTGATTATCCATATAATGGGCATTGGGCAAGAGTCTCATCTGTGATATTGTTAGTTGCGATGAGCGCCGTTCGTGAGCGAGTGAGAAAATATTTTACCTCAAGCTCCCTCATATACTGGAATATCTCATCACTATACTCCGCAACCATGCTAGTATCCCAAGCTTCATCCTCAATATCCTCCGGGGTGCGCGTTGCTTCAACAATTTGTTTCGCAATTCCCAACTCTCGCTGTACCTTCTGTGTAACCTTTGGCATCAGAAGAACCGTGGCACCTCCAGTGGTATTATCACGGGATCGATGTGAGCGAGCGGTAACGTATTCTTCCTCCTCGTAGTTATCATCATCATCCTCGTCCCAATATTCTTCCGGTTCCGAAGGCAAATGTACACGGTCGTGCTTAACACGAGTAGGGCCTGAGTTTTCAGAAGGGATACCAACGTGATCAGCAACAGCCTTCGTAGATACAACTTCGGCGTTACTAGTGATATCTAGTTTTGCTTTGGAACTAGCCACGGGCTTTTCATGCATCCTGTCCGCTGTTTCATGAGGCGAATAAAGCTTGATCTCTCCGGTCTTTTCGATATATACTCCATCTAACCTCAAGGCCGCAGGCTCATCTGAGCTGATCGACACAGACGAATGTTGCAAGCCCTTTTTCATCCGATCGTTCCCTTGAGCTACATTAACTGGCTTAGCATTCACAACTGCCTTGCTACTCCCCCTCCGGTCGCTGACCGCTCTGCCACATGCTCAACAGGGCCCTTGTTATTCACCGGAGGAGCAAGGGGCTGGTTGCTCTGAGAACTAATAGGTTCAGATTCTACCACAGAGGACAGTGTAGTATCTTTGAAAACGGTATTGCGTTTGGTGGTGGTGGTGGTGGCTCTTCGAGGGTTAGCAGGCAGCTTCTCTAGTGCATTGGCATTGATCACGTTGGGTAGGGCAGGTTTAGCACTAGCAACTGATAGGGGCCGCTGAGCAGGTCGACACAGGGATGTTGGCTTTTCAGTGACTACTGATAATCCTTTTGGAGCTACGGACGCATCATCCCTGAGTGGTCGCGTAGCACATGCCGTGTTGCTAAGATCCCCAAAAGCTGTACGCTTAAGGGCGTTCTTCGCCCTCCCAGGCCCAGCCAGTGTTGACAATGCCGGCGTCGATTTATTGCGATGGTGGAGTGTCTTCCCGGCAGGGTTGATAGGGGGTAGCAAGTTCTCATCTCCAGGAACACGAAGGGGACGAAAAGGTCGCTGAGGCTGAATACAAATATCATAGTTAGTAAAGATATTCATTTGGGCAAACATTGGGCCCAGATAATGTGGGTGGAATCGAGATATCAACGCGATTCGGCCGGATAGCCACGGGTTAAAGGCAAAAGGGGTAAATAGGAGTAAACTTTAGAAGAGAGGAGGATCGAATACTGACCTTTGCATCCATATTGATACTGACGTCGATACTAGCAAGAAAGAAAAAGTATTCCTTAATAGAAAACAATGTTGACGTTCACCTAAGATATCCGGAGATCTCGAGGGTTGATTCTAGGGCTCTCCAGGAATCCTTTCGTTAGAGGTCTCAAACACAGGACCAATTGGTGCGTATCCGGACCGGCACGTCCAAGGAAAGGTGAGTCAATGAAGTTCTGCCATGAGGAAGTGAGAGGAAAGGTGGTTGATGGTAAACGGACGGCCGGTGCTGGAGGAAAGAGGGGAATCCTGTTGCTGCAGCAGTTGTTGTCGTTGCTTGGATGTTTAGATTTGTTGATGCCAGGAGCGATAAACAAAACTAGTCCTGTTGCGGGCTAGCGGCGGGTAGTTTGGCTGACAAGCCAAGCGAGGCTGATTACGTCATGGACGACCGATGCAGAACACGTCTTCCGGCGCTTATGGAAAAATGTTTCCCTGAATATATGGACCTAGTTTCCCAATATTTTTAATTATAAACAAACTTTTTACATTGAGAATATTCATGCGACCTCAATTGAAAACGCACTCATTTGCGCGATCAATTTTGGCGGCGTAATTCCAATATTTGTGAAGTTTGCATCCCTCGCGTGTTGGAGGACACGCCGAAACGCCAAACCACGTGAGCGCCATGTCGCAAACTGTCACCAAGCAGGAAAAGGTGCGAGAACGGAATTCAGCACTCAATCCACATATGATCCTTTCGTTTTCCTCCCATGCTATGGCAAATACCGTTGGAAGGCGTGGAAAGCAATATGATAATGAAAGAATGCTGACCCCTCAGCAGGATCCCTCAACCATTTTTCCGCAGATCAGTTCGGTGCCGAAGCACCATCCAATCCTGTTCGAGCGGCACGTTCATCAATAATTGCATCCTCGGGATCCAGCGCAAGCCCCATAAATAAACCTTCCAGCTTTATCCGTCAAATGATCCCAAATAGCCAAGATTTTTAATCGGGTATTTTAACCTCTCCCTCACGGGCCACCTGGCCAGCGTTACTTCTTCGGAACCAATTCAACCAAAAAGCCATTGGTGGGGGCAAAAGGGTTCTCGAACATCCACCAGCGACTGGGTAGGTCGCAACCTTGGAAGCTACAGTGCTCCGAACGCTGCACAAAATGCCATCGAAGATGAGACAAGCTATTTCGATGATGAATTATGTCGAAGAAAATGGGTGTTTGAATCGGGTTTTTGATGCCTTAATTCGCTAGCATAGCCGTCCGCCCACACCAGGCCACCAAATGATACGCATCATCACTACTGCCAAGTCAAATCCAGTCAAATCACCACCAAGAAATAGTCGCCTCCTCGACGAATAATCCGTTTCAGCCCCAATAATAGTTCATTTGTTAGAGTCCGTGACAAGTCGCAAAATAAATAAACCCCACAAAATGTAACTGTAGTGTACCCAGCCAATCCGCGCACTTGTCTTCGGGAGAAAAGGGAAGAGAAGGAAAATAGAAATAAGAAAGAGAGAGACCACAACGAAACAAAAATAAAATTTATCGCTTCCAAGGTTGTCATCTGAAGGTGTTTTTCCTATTCTAGAACGCCCACGCCGCCATCAATCAATCAGTACTAGTAGCGACAGCCTCCTAGAGCGTAAAATATGCGACAGAGCGGGCAATAACAATGGGAAAAACAGAAAAACATCAAGCACCAAACACGCTTCCTCCCACCCCATCTTAGTGACATCTACAATAATACAATAACCGTCGGTAGGGGATAAATGTCACCGACTGATGATGCGGGGAACGAGGAGGGACGATGGGTTGACGGCTAGGCATACACCTCATGAGCATTGCCAGCGTCTGGTTCGTTGGATATCATTATTTGCTGATTGTTGAGCTGGCTGGGGAATATTAATAGGAGGGCCACTCAATCCTTGCACATGGCGATTGGCATCTGATTTGGGGGAAGCGGGCTGTATTCTAACCTGGATAGTCTATGTGGTTTCACCCTGCTGATCACGCCAGCTGTGTGTGATGGGTTCTTCGTGCTCTCAAAGATGCGCGTGCGCAGCACTGTCAGGTTAAAAGTCAGGGTCTCTTGACTACTTAGTTACCTTTTGGCTCCAGAAAGGGTCTGGGGGTTCTGTCTGTTCATCAGTTCCATCCTCTGCCAGCTTGCCTGTTCATCGGCCCGACAAGCCATTATGATACGCAAAAAATAAAAACGGTCTCTTTACTTCCCTCGGGCCAAACAAAAATGTATGCCATAATTATTGCGAAATTCTGCCTTGCTGTTAAATCAGCGACATCAAAATAATTGGCTCCAAACTACCTGCAAACCCAAGGTATGAATGCGCCAGATTACCTTTCATACTTTTCTAGACAGCGCTTGCGCTGGACATCACACATAATTTGGCAGGGTGGGCGTTTAGTTGACTCTTTATCACCGGCACACCGTATTTCTTACATTCTTCTCCTTGACTTTTGAGCGGAGCACAGCAAATACAAAATTGTTGAGAACCTCACAGTGCCACAACCCCCGGATATCCGCTTCGCATGATTGGCCAGACCCCGTTCATGTCTTGCTGCTGGCTTTCGGGCTGGCCTGAGCTGATGAAATAGTCAGTGGGCCATGGCGGCGATTGCTGCTGGGGGGCCAGACCAAAAGGAAGTGTCTGTCTCTTCAGACGAGGTGGTGCAAGAGAAATGTTCTACCTTCCTCAAATATCGCTCCTCTGTCGGGCGTGATGGCCTGTCAATAAGGGTCAAGTCGAGAGTGGTGGCGACATTGGTGGACAAATAAGAATAGAACGTATCAATCAGGCTTTCCCCGGCCCAGAGAAATATTATAATATCATCCTATTCCTTCCTTTCATCCATCCTTTCATCCATCCCACAGACTCACGAAGAAGCCAAAAGAAAAAGGGTTTCGAATGGATGGAACTGCAATTCGTAGGAAGGGCACACGGTCCCCCAAGTCCAGCATCGTCCCAGAAGAAGGGTAACTACCGCGTAGATGCGCACGAACATGGCGTGCTAACTAGTGTCTGGTCCATACGCAGTTCATCTAACCTACTGTACATTTGACTGCTTCGACGTGGCTCCCGCCAAACGAAGGAGACCGGACATCCAGTCAACGCTTCTCCTCGTTCCCACCACCAGAACCAAATCCTTACCCGTCTCGTCTCCGCATGCACGACGACCTTTCCCTCCGCAGGATTCTTGGACAAACTAAACAACAATAATAATGACAATAAGCATGATTCTGAAGGAGGGGACACTTCCAGTTTCACTCTTTCGCAGCCCTGCCCTTTGGTTTAGTTTACCAATCGGTTTTCCCAAGGAACTTTGCTTGTTCACCCATTTTACTGTCGCCTCTTTCGGAAACTAACTCGGAGGCTATATATATATAAACCTTCGTGCGAATTTGCATTTTGAAAATGAATAATGAATTAAAAGCGAACCCATAGTTTGTATCGTATTTTGAAGCCTTCTCTGGCGACCTGACTATTTCATTTGTTAAAACTAGAATTCGCTGTATATTCAAGTGGGAGGTGCTCGTAGCAAAAGAGGAGGAGGCGGAGGAGAAGCGCGCACAGAGATACGAACTGTCGCATTCATCTGGGCGGGTACATTAGTTGACGAAACCTACACAGCCGTCGCATTCTTGCAAACTGACATCCGTCAGGATGGAATCGCGAGTAGGAATACTGCTGGATTTAATGCGACGCTGCGGTATATGATGCCAGAGCGGGAGGATACAATGAAACAGCTGCGATGATAGAAGCAACACATCCAAACCCGTATAACCTGAAAATAACGAACAACAAAGTAAAATCGTAGGGAATAAGAACGGAAAATGGGCTTGCTTGCTGGTCATGCCCCTGCCGCACATGTTGTATTTAATGGATGGGCGTGGTTGACCGGGTCGACTTGGTGTGAAACCTCTCCGGTGCGCAAGTTCGCTCTCTGCACCCACTTCAAACCTCACCTCACTCAACAACCTCTATCCTCTCCTCTCTTCCATCCTTCCATCGTCAACCACCAACCCTCGACATTCCCCGTAGATTGCTTGCATCCGCCCCGTCTGACGGGTTCCTATCCTATCTCACACCTGATGTAAGTACCTCCCTCTTCCCTTGTACCCGGCTTGCCGCTCTATTCGACTGGTCCTGTCGCTGAGCTGCCGTCCTGTTGCCATCAGACTGCCTGCCTCTGCCAACCAAGGCCTTCATCCACCACTGCGAATCTCCATCATCGCCAGCTTTATTTTGGAATCATACTTAGTGTACTTCTGCGACTCTATTCAATCTATTTTTGCTTTAACATAGGTATATTTCTCCCTCACTGCCTTCCGAACCCTTCCCTTCTCGTCTTGCTGCCCGAATCCTCAATGCCAGCACACCTTGCCCTGGCTGGCTGCTCATCCTTAGCCATATACCATCCATAATCCACAAACACCAAAACGTTTACCCTTTCTTCTCCATTGTGCGATTTCATATACACGATGCTAACTGCTTTCTGTTCCATCGTTCTTACAGGACACCTCTCGTTATCCTCGCCTATATTCTCATTTTCCCTACATTTTTACATACCCTGCTTCACCTTGGTCTGCCCACTATTACAACCTACCTTTCGTTGCAACATCACAACCTCGCCCATTAAGGTTTTAAATCACTCATAACCTTGGTCAATTCTTCCAGTCTGGAAGTTTTGGACGGTTGTGATGAGATAGATGGAACTCAGAAGTCTCCTCACGGACCCGCCGTCGCATCCAGATGCTGCTAGGATCTTTACCACGCCACAACATCGACACTCAGATAACACCCAAAGCCACGTAACAATGATGGCATCTGCACCTCCTCAGAACCAAATGCCACCCAATGATGGTTATTCCACTCCTCCCGACATCCACGCTACCATTGATGGTCATGGTGGTGGCCCTGTTTCGCAGCAGCCATCCCCAAGCAGCCCATCTCCCAAGCATGTTGCCTTCGAGCTTCTCCTAGATGAGAACTCAAAGGTTAGGGCACGCATCCCCATGCGAGTGCAAATATTCCCTCATGATACTACTGACTCGATCGTTACTACGGTCAAAAATTTTTACGGCATCTACGAAGGCGCAGCAAGCGGTGTGAGCTTCGAGGATGAGAATGGCAACACACTCATTGCAAGATACGAAAATCTGAGAAACAACATGACAGTCTATGTGAGAGTCATCTCTTGCCATAATAACTACCCCGAAAATTATACGCGAGGGGCCTACTATAGTCCTGTCGATGGCTATCAACGACCTACCCTTGGAGAGCCATTCCAGCATCAACCGCAACACCCTGCCCAAGCTCTCGACTATGGAAAGTCGCTCTCCCGGCCACACTCAAGAGTTGCGAGGAAGAGAAGCAGGTCTCCAGCTAGTCGAAGCCGTCGCAGTGTCTCTGCCCAAAAAGTTCCTTGTCGTTCTGGCATCAAGAGTCATGGGTCAAGCACCCACGGCAGTTTCCACGATGACTCCATGGGCCCCTGTAGCGACAATGATGACGACCATGGATCAATGACAGGATCAAAAAAGGCTAGAAGTGAGCAATTTGCTAGCTCTGAAATTAGCATGGACAATATACTACAGGATGGTAGAAGAAAGCGTCCAAAGTTTGACAGTTCGGTAAGATTTATCTAATCCATTCCCCAGCAAGGGAGCATCCTTCTCGAGAAGCCATATCGATTAACCATATTTTCTCTATTGCTTAGGAACTGCCTCTGTTTGTCCCTCCTCAAGTGCCTCTCGCCACGTCAACGTCGTCGATATCTCCTCAACGACGGTCCACCGTACAAGAAGGGCCCTCCCCATTTATGAGACCGGTCCAGCGCCCTTGCGTAGGACAACAACACATTCCATCTCCCCAGGCATATGGACGTCACGATGCAGTGTACGGCTTCAATGCAACTGTGAATAACATTTATAGTACGCCTGCTCAACACGGCCATCGACTACGCGATCGGACAAACACACAATCTGTTGGTGGTTTCGGGAACTCTGCCCGTCGTTCCAACAGCAATGGCATATTGCCCACTCCAGATCCGACAATTGCGAGCTGCATCTCCGACGAAGACGTTGCAATGCAGCTAATTCGTCTTGGAGACGTTTCGAATTTCTCTCACGGGCGCACGTCTGCTTCTACCCTTGACGACGCATTTAGTGGCGCTGCTGATGCCTCATCCACTGGTGCCACCACGGATGGTGCTGAAGCCAGCGAGGATGATGATGATCTTCCACCACGCTCAAGACAAAAGTTGGAATCCAGCCCACTGCTCCCTCCAGGATTTGTCAAAAAGCATCACAAGAACCTAGACGAAATTCTTCCTAGCTGCGACAGCAGCGACCCAAGCAGTGACGACCTTGATGGGAACTATCAACCTCAAAATGCTCAAGTACTTGTCAAAAACGAACACGATAACGATGCCGCCTACGAGGATGCACCCAAGGCGAAGCGTCCAAAAGTCAAAACTTCAAACTCGACAGCTGCCAAAACCTCAGTTGCCAGGTCGAGTTCCTCATCCAAAACCAAGGCTAACAAGAACCGCCCTGCTGCAACTGCCCGTAAGAGCAAGGTCACTACAAACAATAGCAACAGCAACCAGGTGTTTGCAGTTCCAGCCACCCTCCCTCCTATGGCTAGCCCTACTTCATCTCGCAAAATTTCATCTTCCGCAGTTAACTTCCAGCATCAGCTTGGTGTGGATGAAGAAGACCTGTCCACCAAACCTCGCTGCCAGCGCTGCCGCAAGAGCAAGAAGGGTTGCGATCGTCAACGGCCCTGCCAGCGATGCAAAGATGCAGGTATTGGCATTGAAGGTTGTATCAGCGAGGACGAGGGCAATGGACGCAAGGGCCGATATGGTCGCCACATGGGAGTTCCAGTGAAAAAGAATGACGCTTCCGTCAGCAATGCAGGTGTCGTTTCCGCTCTCGGAATTAATGAGCCCTATCCTCATGGAGCTAACGAGCGCTATCCCAATCCTGCCGCATCTTCCCTGGCACCCGCATTGGCTCCTACCAGCGTCGCTGATAAAAACAAGAAGAGGAAGCGATAGTGGTCGCAATAACATTCCCTCTTGACGAGCGGTGACTATATATACGAGACAATGCGTGGCATGTAGTAAAGTGGTTCTCTCGCAAACCCGTACCCGCCACAATTACCTCCTGGAACTTCCTCTCTATAACGTGCTTGCTTGTTCGAGTGAATTCTGTCCTTACTTTTCTCATCCCAAGTCCGCCGTGAGGCATACCTCAACGTCACCTTACCTGGCTTAAATATTCCTTTTAGAAAATACGGTGTTGTTTCACGCGTAAGTTTATGTTTTCTCATGACAAAGGTGTTGCGGAGAAGCACAAGGTTGACGGCCGTTGGATTTTCACGGATTTTCTCTCTTTCTCTGCTATCGATGCTATCATCATCTTCGTCCCTCGTTTCCACTTGCTTACCCTTACTTTTGGCTGCCTTGAAACCTCACCCAAGTCTCTTATCCGGATAACACTATTTATCTAGATCAAAAGTCACCACGTTGCAGATATCCTTTGCCTAACCAACCTACGTTCCTTTCCATTTTCGTCGACCAACGAAACTATATCTAGTTTTCTTTACTTATTTCAGCGAGCGATTAGTTTCCTTCAACTGTGAACCGGGAGGGGTTTGAAGCTTTCGTGTTGCTATGTGTCTGTCATACTTATACGTCTTTCCACGGACTATATTGTTATATTTTGTTTCAGTTTTAATATGTTTAACTTTATTTTTTGCTTGTTTTCTGATTTCTTTAGTACTATCGTTTTCTTCTTGTATCCCTTCTCTCCCTTTCTTTTTCGTTAGTCTACGGAGGCGGTGTGTGGTGAACATTCATGGTAGGGCAGGTTAACGACATGCCCCTCCATTCAATGAGCCAACGCTGTCCTGTGCTGTGGGATATATTGGCTGTGTGTCTAAAAAGAAGCAGCAACATTGCACAAAGAGGCAGAGGTGCGCCAAAAATTCAACTGACAAATAACTTTTTAAAAAGGAAAACAGATGTTTCATATATAAGAAAAAAATCAGCGCGGGAGGGAAAAGAGAACGGAACCAAAATGGGCCCCATTCATACGTTCACTAAGGGAATAGTATCACACACGTCTTTCCATTTTTTGCACTTCTTGCTCTGTTATTCCTTTGCCTTACTCTAAGGTCCGTTATATACATACTTATTTCGCTCATTTTCCATTCCTATCGGCCACCATGCTCGCTATCATTCCTATATTACTGCTTCTGTTTAATGTTCAATCAATTGCGCCAAGTACATGTTTTTCTATTTTTGCTTTATCATTTCTAGCATTCTGTTTCCTGTTGTTGTAACGTGCCGCCTTGCTTTTGTCGTTTTCTTTCCTTTTCCTTTTGTTTTCTTTTTTTTTGAGAAAAATTTATCCTTGCTTTTATGACTGCATTATTACTATTATTATCCACCTAAGTATTTAGCCAAAATTGAATTATTACTGATTCAACAAAAGAACATGGTTTATGCTCTTCTGCAAGTTGTCGCATTCGTCCATTTCCGGTAAAGTGCCGGTCTCGGCGGCTCATCTCATCCAGCTTGACTCTAATTTGCGCTCCAGGAATAATAAAATTCCGATATATTTTTTTTTTTTTGATACACTCCGCGAATTATACCCAGGTGCAATAGGAATTGAATTACACTTTGATTAGTGGCATTTGAAGAGGACATCGTAATATTTCCAAAGAGCTGCCCATCAACTAAGAAAACATACCAATCCCTTTCTAAGTTTTCTACGTCCAATCTCTGCTAATATATGACGCGAAACTTGGAAAACTCACGCCGATAAAAGGGCATCACGCCCCTTGAAACAAACACGGCAAGGCAACACAGAGAGAATATTCCAACCTCTCTTAGAAGTGAGCCTACCGAGCAAAATTGGAGAAGGGCAACATCTATCCAACTATGCCACCAAAACCCACAAACAACCCTCGCCGGCCCCCTACCATCTCCACAGCCTCGCGCCGCACCGCCATTCCCATCGACAGCGCTTCACCCACGCCCACGCCCACGCCCGCAATTGCAAGTGCAGACCCAACCAACCACCCCATAGACCCAAGCCTCACAGCGCTTCGTTCCCGAAATGTCCCCTCTCCCTCTACCATAACTGCCAGCGGCTCACCACCCCGCGCCGGAGTCCAACGTCTCCAATCGCTAAAAAAGCGCACCCCGGCCGGCTCCCTGATCCCGCTAAACCCAGATGGCACAGCACCTAAACCAACCCTACGCTACCAGCCTCGCGCGGTAGTGCGGAAGAGTAAAGAGGAACGCGAGGCGTTGGAGAGACTTGAGGTGGAGAGGCAACAGGAGAGGATGAAAGAGGCTGCTGCACTGAGGAAGGCTGATGCGGCTGCGGCGGGGAGGGGTAGAGATAGATTGGTGAGAGGGAGAGGGAGGGGTATGGGGAGGGGGAAAGGGATGTTTGTTGCGGGTGATGTTTCAGGGCCTTTAGGGTCCGGAATGTCGATGCGGAGTCGAGGGGGTGGGTTTGGTGGGGCGTCGGGGAAGGGAAAGCATCGGTATGGGCATGGGGCTAGATCGGGTGCGGGGAGGGTTCATGGCCTTGTGCGGGCGAAGAGTGAAGATGAGGTTGGCGGGATAGATGGTCCGGGTGGGAGTGGGGATATTTCGTCTGATGAAGGGAGTGACGGAGGGCCCAGGTTCAGTATCGAGCAGATCAATATCATTAGCGATGATGAGCAGGAGTTGGGAGAGGAGGGTGATTTTGAGGAGGGGAATGGGAAAGGGAAAATGCGTGCTCGATCGCCCACAGGCGATCGTACGGGGAAGGGGCTGAGGCCGGTTCGAGTTGAAAGACAGGAGCACCAGGAGAGGTCGATTGGGATCAATACTGATGCTAGCTCGGAGAAGTCTGCTGAGTTGAGAAAGCAGGCCAGAACGAAGGTGAAGGAAAAGCACGGCGGGGTGGAGAGTTTGTTTGTACAAGACAGCGAGGAAGAGGCTGATGATGCTCGTGGGGGTGAAGGTGACGATTTGGTAGAAATAACTTCCGAGAAAGCAGTTGGTGGTACATTATATGGAGGAATACGAATTAAGGAAGAGCCTACGGATGACAGAGATGTGCTTATGACCGACGTCATACCGCAAGGCGTGGACGACCGTCCTGCGACCTCTGATACTGGGCCTCTAGCACCCACCGCCCCAAAGCCGAAAGCTAGAAAAAGTAAAGTTACTATCCATGATCCGCGGAGCAAACTGCAGACAGAGGAAGAGCGTCAGGAATGGGACCGTCACGAGCAGGATATAGAGCATATCAAGCAGGCCTTGGGGACAATCACCACTCACGACCCGCCTGCGGAAGAGTCACAAGACGCAGAACAGGAAGATGAGACAAAAGCAGTTGAGGCACCCAGGGACGAACGTTCTGGGCGACTCTTCCTCATTCAGTTTCCGCCCATGACACCCAATCTCGTCCCGCCGTGGCCGGATATGGATGAGATGGACCAAGACGTAGTTGAAACAGGCGCACGCGCATCAACGCAACAATCTCCTAATCCCACAATTAAGAAAGAGGTCACCGACGGCCTGACCGCCCCAATGCCCACCCTTTCCGGCAACGGTACGGTTACTCCCTCCCCGTTAATCACGGCCACAAACTCCACTCTCCCACCAGGGCGGGTGGGTAAGTTGAACATCCACCAATCCGGTCGGGCAACAATAGACTGGGGCGGGATCAGCTTTGAATTGACCAAGGGGAGCGATGTGGAGTTCTTGCAGGATGCAATTGTGGCATCCGGGGAGCAGCCGAAGCCTACTGGAACCGACGAGGGACTGCATCCGGCTGACTTGGAGGCAAAGACAGTATGGGCGATGTCGCAGGTTAACGGTAAGTTTGTGGTAACGCCTGATTGGGAAGCATTACTTGGGATATGAGTGAAGCATAAAGCACATTTGGAAGTGACTGAAGGTCTTTCTCTGCATTGCATATGGAATTGGCGTTTCTTTTTTCATAGTATGTTTTGAGCGTTTGATGAAGTCCCATGCCTAGAATATGTCATGGAATATATCCATCCATGTGTTCCCCAAAATCTTCATTTTACCATCATCACGTCCACTTTTAACCGAAATGCGTAGTTCTGAGCTAGATATCCCTATCGTTTCATTTTCTAAAGGTCTTGATCTAAACCTACATCTGAATTGGAAGATACCGTCTCGGCATTCCACTAGAGACTCCATGCCAGGTTCATCATACATACAGCACATCCATCATCCCCTATTTTAGACGAGAGCCGTGATTAAATGTTCAAATTTTAGGTTTGTAGCTTCGTCCATTAGTATTCAAAATGTGCCAACAACCCAACATACGCTCCATGGGGAAACTTGATCCAATATCCAACAATTAATGGGAGCGTGAATCAAAGACATTTGCTGCTGCTTTGCCACACTTTACACTCGTATATTTCCACTGCAATTTGAGGGGCCAGGAAGGTTTTTCCCCCTGAATTCGAGTAAGATGATGCCCTCCTGCCGGTTAGTAGATCACAGAATCAAGCACTTTCTCAGGGGAAAAAAAAAAAAAATTTATGATCCGACAATAAAGAGAAATGGAATTCTGGAACGAACAAGAGATATGGATATTTTTGTGCAGAGACAGAAATAATAAAGGGATAAGTGATGAGGTAACTGGAAATCGTTGCAGAAATGGATTTCGATGGGGTAAGTAGCGTGAGCTCACCACCAACTCCATGGGACCAATCAGTGGGCCGCAATGACGGTGCTCACCGAATTTCTACAAATAGACAAAGTACGCGGCGGTGTGTTTCTATCCCATCTCAACGTTCTCCTTCATTGTTGCCAAGTTCAGCTCAGTGCTTCTTCCCCACAAAACAGAGGACTGTTCAATGTCCTATATACACAGCACCCTGGTTCATTGTCCGGTTTACAAGCTCTTTCTAAGATGCCTCCCAAATTGGTTGCAGAGGGCATGATCCAGATATTAGGTCAGACCGCCAATAGCGTTGTGTATGCCGTAGCGGACGACAGCGATACGGGCCGCGCAAGAGACAGCGTTTCAGTCCTCAAGGGTGGAACAGTTTGGTACAGGGGTCGGGAGGCGCTTGGTCCGGGCCAAAGCGCTGAAGAATCCGACGAGAGAGCACGCAAGGAGGCCGAAATCTACGAAGCTCTTGGAAAGCACGACCGCATCCTCAACTTTATTGCTCTTGAGGTAGCCGACGTAGATGAGGGCATGGAACCAAAAGCATGGGCACTGCGCTTGGAGCGGGCTCCGCATGGTCCCTTGCGAGATTGCATCGTGAGCAGCCAAGCGAACCCGCCTAATGTGCAGACCCGACTGGAGATGGCGATTCAATTCGCGGAGGGTGTTGCACACATGCACCGGCATCGCGTTATTTGGGGTGACCTTTCAACCCGCAATGCGCTTTTGTTTGACAATTGCTACGTCAAGTTGGGTGACTTTGCCGACTCGGATGTGGTGGACAAGTATCCTAATGACTGGTACGGTTGCGAAGTCCGCTACTGTCCACCTGGATCAGCTAGGCCCAATAATCACATTGTCGGTACTGTGAATCGCGAAATATTTGCTCTTGGGACTGCTATTTATGAGATCACTGAATGGAAAGTGCCGTACGGTCCCCCGGTTGAGGTGTTGGAGGATGAAGTTATTGCAGCTCTTGTTGACGGAAAATTGCCAGAGTTTAATGGTGACAACGCTGCTGAGGCTGTTATTCGTGGGTGCTGGGAGTACAAGTATAAATCATCTCAACAGGCCTTGGAGGATTTGCAACGGCTTAAGGGAAATTCAATACGGCACAACGTTGGCGGGGTGGAAAGTTTGAAACTACTGGTATTAAATGGTTTGGAGTATATGAAGAGACTCTTTTTATGGAGCAAAACCTGATCGGATTCAAGGTGGCCAGTTATTTCGGACCACATTCAAATAAGTCTGCCCGGCTCTTTATCCCAACGAACAAGCACTAAATCCGGGCCAGCTAAAAGCAAACATTGTGCAGCGTCGTGTGGCGATGTGGCGACTCGTGTAGAGGGAACATGGAAGCTCGATGTGAGAACTAAATCATCTCTCGGCCCGGTACGCTCAGTCAAATTAATGACTATTCGAAAGGGAGTCATGGCATAAACCAAAATCGTGAGCCAAAGACCATTCTCTGGCTAGGCTTTCTTATTGTTACATTGTGCTGTACCGGCATAGGGATCATCGCATCTCTCGTCAAAGGGATATTATACCCAGTCAGTGGAGGTCTGCATCTGCATGTCACTGTAGTTGTAATGAGCTGTAGAGAATGTGACAAGGCAATGTTTCTGTATGTCACAACAACTTGCTGCATTTAATATAATTATATATTTGCGGAATGATAGAGTCGTTAGAAGATTTAGAAGATGATGCATTCAGGTGTAAAAGTGTAGGGCATTGCTTTTACTATGTACGGACACCAAGTCTTACTTTGGCTGAACAGCAACTAGATACGGCAATGTATCTCTCGAGACCTGTGATCAAAGCAGCCATCTTTTGAGATACATATATGTATATCCCCTCTTGCTTGGCCAAGGGGAGAGTGATGACGTTGAACTATGTGTGATTAGTCATGCAACTCTAGGGCCCAACTAAGCCAGGTTAGGAAAGATGCAGCAGCAACCGTGACACTATCGCTGAAACTGGTTTAGTGCAATATCGGGTCAATCAACACCAACACAAAAAGAGCTCGCAGACAAAGGCTAACCACTCAACCAAAAGATCATACACAAGAACAGCTAGTGTTTGTTATTGGAAGCGCATGCCTTGTATAGCTCAACCGCTCGGGGGACGCTTGGGCGTGCTAAGTGTTCGTAGCACGGGCGCTGCCAGACGGCCTGGAGATTGCCAGTGTGCAGTAATGGGAGACCTCAAGCGCTAACTGGTAGAAAAGGGGACAAGCCACCCAATCCAATCCCTCCAACAAACTACACCAGTGTTTGATTGGAAATAACTCAGTAGCTATTGATCACACAGTTTTCGAAGGGAAGTTAACCAAGTTGGCTACCATCGCAGTTTCAAGATATGTTAAATTTGAATGCCAACTTGGAAGTCTTGATCCTCTTTGTACAGCACTTTTGTTCTTTCATGACTATCTCAAGGATCATTGTTATCGAGGGCACTCACGTTTCTGCAGCGTTGCTGCAGTTAAGATTGGAATATGCTTTTGATGATGCAAGTGCTCTGTGCAGTTCAGGCTGGCTACACAAGTTTTTCTCCGGGCTTTGTCTGGAAGGACGAGAGCCCTCATAGTTTACTACAACAAAGGTAGATTATTTCTTTCTTTTAAATCTCCCTACAACTAGAAAAACTATCTACTATTCTTAGGTTTCTTTGTTTTAAAATATTTAACATCCCCAGGAACCCAAGGGCTTCCACTGGCGCACTGGTGTCTCCGGAGGTCTGTCTCATCGATACCCTGTTATTGTTTTCCACGATTTCGAGGACACGCGGGTGATGCCATTCAAACGCGTATTTGGCGGAACTTCGGGGAGCCATTGTATCTCGATAGAATCCAATTTGGGGTGGTATACTGTTGTACAGTTTTTGATACTCTTTGTCCATCATTTGCTATACGTGGGTTCATTTGCGATTCATTTAAATTGAGTCGAAGCTCCTATGGCTCGAGTCAGTCAGTCCCGCTTCCGTTTTTCCTGCTCAAGGTCTTGTTCTATTCATCGTATCTCTTTCTGGAACCACTTGCTACTCCTAACAAAATGCGATTAGGAACCTTTATATATCTCCTGGCCCGTACGCTGTGTCTCGCCCATTGTGTTCTAGGAGAAGAGAAACAGACGAATGTTCCTAAAAATCAATGTTCTGGACTATGCTTGGATCCATCCGTTCTCCAGAAAGGCTCCGAATTAGATGGGGAAAAAGAAGCTCTGAACAAAGATGAAGTCATTCCTTCTATAACGTAGGTGCCAGTGCATTTGGTATTTAATTAGATCATCTAACGGAGGAAATAGTTCATCGAACAACTTCATCAACTACTGTAACGGGAAGACATTAACAAACGGCACCAAGATCAATGAAGGATCTTGCAACGGCATCCGTGAGTAGCTCTTAATTCTCACAATGCAACTCCTAGCAAGATTATCTCTAATGTCACCACAGCCATGGGCGAGATTCCATCAACAAAACACATGGTTTCCACTCTCATCACGTCTCCGTTGCCAGGTGATGAATTCAAAGTCAATCAGACGATTACTTTCAAGGTCGCAGTCAAGAACATCGAAATGGGCTTCTACACAAATTCGAATGTGACATTCCTCTCCGCACCACAGTCGCTAAATTGTGAAGGATTCGTACGAGGTCACACACATCTCACTGTCCAGTTTATGGGCCCCAACACTACAGCTATTCAAGCCTTAGACGCGAGCAATCCGACTTGGTTCAAGAGCGTCAACGGTCCGCATGCCGAGAATAAAACTGACGATTTCACCGCTACGCTTGAAGGGGGCCTTGGGAAGCCGGGATTTTATCGCGTTTGCACTTTGACAGCTGCAGCCAACCATCAACCCGTCATTATGCCAGTTCCCAATCGGGGTGCACAGGATGACTGCACGAAATTCAAGGTGATTTCTGGATAAAGTGGAGGGACAATATCAGCAAAACAGGATAGACATCGAACACTGCTTTTATGGTTATCCTCCAGAACTCAGCTATCTGATTTTTGCCCCTCGACCTTTCGCCCCCTACAGCTTCAAACTGATTCATGCGCCCAATGACAAGTCGTTTTGTATCGTTCGCTCTCTCTTCCAGCAACAAATCTGCCATGCCGCCATCATTTTCTGATTGCGCAATACTGCTGAAGATTTCCCTTGTACCTGTCTCATTCTCGCATGTAGAACAATAATATGGCAGTGTGACGACGCTGAAAGCCGGTGAGTAAGATTCGGTATTTTCGGCGTTCTGTCGGTGGAAGAACCCAGGCAAAAAAAAAAAAAAAAATTAACTGTATTTAACATTTCCGGTACACTGCGCCTCTCCAGGTGTAAGAGAGAGTTGTATGGCATGAGGGGTTTGTTTTTGTATCACCTTGTCAATCTTTTGAAGCTGGAAGGGCAGACTGAACGGATCCCAACAGGCTAGAACTGTTGCATGACTTTCAGGTGGCTGTCCTTCCGTGAGCTGTTAGTATCGAATTATTAATGGAGCTGCCTTGACTCCCAAGTAGGAATTGCATTCTGGAATTGCAACGGAGTTTTAATATCTGTGAAATCTCGTCTCTGAGGTACAGAATTGATAGAGCATAGATCTCACTGGTCAGGGTTTGCTGACTCATGCCCCACAAGTAGAACCCCATGTGCTGCCCGATATGGAAATGTTCCACGATGATCGTCCCCCAGACTGACATCAGTCCTCCTTTTGTCGCACGGCCATCCATCAACAATCAGTAGATGCCCGTTTTCATTCACCATAAAGAACCTGCAATCCTGCTTAATCCCTCCTCTTGATCATCTGCTGATTCAACATCTCCCACTTGGACGACCGTCGTATTGCGTATGATCATTATTGTTTGAAGCCAGCGCACACCTCAATCCCACCCGAGAAAACTGCTGGTTTTTGCGCTTCTTTCAGCCAGAAAGACGCCTGTGAATGCGAAAGACGAGCAAAGAGGGAGAAACTGAGTTTTTTTTTCTTTACGATTACGCGACAGCCAGATCAAAAATATCGCTGCGACCATTCCCAGATAACTTCCAGGCAAATATTTGCTATTGGACTCAGAACGGGGCAGACTGAAAGTTGGACTTGCAAAGGCGGGGGATATAAAGAAGACAAAAACCACTTGGTTGAGCCTTGGTACGGGACCTGTGTTTTGAGTTTCCGCATTCGTCAGATCCGCGTTCCAAGGTTACTTGGCCATTGAGTTTGAGGCAATCTAAACTCTATCCCATGGTTTCTTTGTTTGGATACAAAAGTTCCATTTGAAACGCTCATTCCTTATTATAGGGAGACAACACTAACACCGTGTAGATTCTTATCTTATCAGAAATTTTAAAGTATCACATGAATGAGAAGTCAACTTCTTCCACCTCTTTAGTGCTGGCGAATTCGCGTATCCATACCATACCGTCCTCGAAGCCATCCGATATTGACATAAAGACGACCTGTGCAGAAATCCAAAGTGCCGCACTACACAACTAGAAAAAAGAAATCACAAACAGGTGAAAATGAACGGCCATGGAGGAGTCGTCCATTCCATGAGGCCTGGCGACGTCCACCCCATTCCTTTCACTCCTGTACCATCCATGGGGCAAGAATTGGGCATTATGTTTGGCTTCATCTTCTTATCGATAGTGACCATGCTTGTCTATTGGTATTTCTGGCAAGGTATGTAGTACATTCATCAATGGCGTCAGAGCCCGCGCCTATCCCGCACTTCCATCTTACAGATGTAAATACTCAACATAAAAATTCGCATAATCCTTTCCGATCCACACATTGCTATGGAATATAGACTGACAGAGCCCTCAGCTGCCCAAAAGCGCAACGCTGCGATAGAAGTTGCTCGCCGTGAGGCCCTCACCGCGCAAGAGCGACTACGGCGATCCGAGAAACAGAGGGAGCAGGGCGTGGACGATAATAGTGATCATGATGGCTTTGCGGTACCAGGAGCTGTTGATGGGATGCCGAGTCGATCGACTCGGAACGGCACGAGTGCGAATGGGTTTGGGTTTGGCGATGCGATGCAGGATTTGATTGTTTAACGAATGATGTGTTCGTTCGCTAGTTTTGTTGATGCGTATTGGTGGTTGTCTGGTGCTCTCTTTCGGCAGTTGGGTTGGGTTCTGAGATTATAATTGGAAAACGACGGATATGGGCGTCCCTGTTGCTATATTGTTTGGAATGGCGTTGGAACGTATGTTTTTGTGAGACACTTTTTCATGTACCTTCGGTTCGCGTGCAGTTTTCTTCTTGCTCTTTGGGATACCACTTTGATTATGACTCCTATATACCCTTACCACCATCGGTAACACCGACATCTCGCGGCTATTTATTGGGAGTTGCAGCGACCTTTTGCGCTATTTTTGCGAGGTGCATTATATGCCTGCTGATTTGATGTCGAAAGTTTCTTCTTCCACCAGAAAGTTGGCGGCAATAAATATGTAGCCGTCGGTGACAATTTGCAGTCTGCTTGTATATACTTTTTTACATCTATCAAGCAAAATCCAAACCCGTATCAACAGACCGCAAGACCAAACCCAACCGTCCACTGCACCGACCCAATAATCACAACCAAAAGGCCTAGCGCAACACCAGTTGTAACCAACCCATAAACGTACGCATGCTCATGGTCAAGACTATCCAACTCAGCCACCCACGTACTCACCGTTGTCGTACAGCCACAGAACCCATCCATAATGCCCTGCAATACCTGACATCCAGTGAGACGAGATACGCTAACGGCAGCCGCCGCAACGGCAGCGGAAGCGGGAGAAAAGGAGGACACAGGCACAGCAAGCACATTTGTCGACCTCTGCAGATCATAGCACATAGCCAGCACCAAAGTGCCGAAGATATTCGCTGTGAATGTCCCTAAGGGAAACTTGGGAATTCGGCTGTTAAGTAATAACGAGACATAGAATCGAAACAGACAGCCTAGGGGTGCGAAGACGACGGCAAACATGGCGCTGCCGCGCCAATGCTCGCGGACTCCCAGAGAGCGATCAGGAGGCCAGATGGCGAGGAAGACAGCGCCGAGCCAGGAGCCCATGGCTAGAAAGGAGATAAAGGGGTCGACATATCTTCGTGAGAAAATATAGGGGATCACGGGGGTGTATTTGTCCATGAAAATGGCGAGGTGGGAGCCGAGAATTAGCGCACCGATGCTGAGGGAGAGGGTGTAGATTATTATGGCGAGAACGGCCATGAAGCTGTATCCACCATTGCGCGGTACGGGAGATTCTGGGTGCCCTGGCGTGGGGAGGTCATTCGCTAGCGCGAGGAAGACGTCGAGCATGAAGCTCGAGAAGGAAGTGAGGGAGCCGCAGAAGCCAGTTGTGAGGCCAATGTAAAGGGGTATAGTCTTTTTGATAGATTTATGGATTTTGAGGGATTGGGCTGGTTCCATAGGTGGCGTCACCGGTTCCTCTTTCGGGCTATCTACATCGTTGTGTTCGGAGACTCGAGATTGTCGCTCTGAAGGCGGATGCTGTTGGCGGGTATGGGAACGCGAATACCGGCGTCGGAGTTGTTTCATAGGATGCGGCAAATGAGCATGAGAAGATGGATTGGAAATATGGCCATTTGGCGCGCTAGATTCGTGTCCGGGATGCTTTCGTTTCCACTGTCCCCATTCTTCACGAAACAGCTTTCGGTCCTCAGCTAAGAATCCCATAAGTAAGCATCCTCCAACATTTGCCCATGTAACTGCAGTGATTAATGGTGCTCCGGGATAAGAAGTCAACCACTGCAGTCCAATCCGAGCCAGTGCTCCAAGTATTGAGAAAAACACAAGATATGAGATTGTATAAAGGAGAGTAGCATAATCCGATAATCTGGCCTCGATTCCGGCAACTCGTTCAACGGTCGGGGGCGGCGTCGTAACACGAGACTCAGCACTCTCAAGAGCTGCCCAGTCACCCCGCCAGGACGACACGCGTTCGACGGGAGGAGGTACGGCAAACTCAGTCAGAGGTCCATTGCGCTCTAAATCTCTTCGGAAAGTCGCTTCACGAATATGTTCTCTTTGCAACTCTGCTTCTGCATCTTCAAGGGTATCTGGGAGGGCGCTCTCAGTGAGGTCTGCGACTCGTCCCTCTTCCAATCTGCGGCGTTCTTCCCTCCATCCTGACTGTGCTTCTTCGAGACTTGGGCCTCGGGTCAATTCCGGGTCGCCACGGGCCTCCGCCAGAGCTTCTTGTCCGCTGTGGGAATGGCGAAAATGGACTGACGATTTTTCGTCATCCATGCTTGAAGTATACGTTCGAAAGGTCCCCCATTAAAATCGACAGTTCTTTTTCACTGGGCCCTCTTGATATAGCAAAAGTGTGAGCTTAATTCAATGTACTGCGGCGCCAAGCAAAACTTCCAAGAATCACGAACATTACCTCGATGTTACCAGAATGCAACGGGAGCTGCTGCGTCGATACACACGCCATAACCATTTCCCGGATGCTGTGTTTCCAAACGGGAGACAGCATATTTGTTCGAATATTCAGAGTATAAGCGTTGATGGGAAGTCGAGGAGGTTAAGCTTGCCGAGATGGACATAGTACATCATGTGACAAGCTTAGCGGTAATATTAATACGTTCAGTAATATTGGGTACAAAAAATGGTGGGGGGCTGGCCGAAATTATGCAGCTGTTGTGGGGCAGACGGGACGCATTCCGGCCCGATACCATAGCATACAGCCCTCATACACAGGTTGATAAGATAAGCATCCCTACCGCCTTGCTCCACCATATCAACACCATCTTTTCTTCCTTTGTCTCGACAGACATAGGAAGAGTTAATGAATCGTCGCTCAAGTTCTTAAATACGAGTAATCGTTAATATTCCTCCAGGACAGCCAGAAGAACCATGGCGTCCGCGTTCTCAAATAACATACATGTTTCCCAGCATCCTTGTCTTCGCGCGAAGCTCTCTCAGCTGCGCTCCAATGCTACCAGCTGCAAGGACACAAACAGGTTAATAAATGACATTGCTATGATAATTGGCTGTGAGGCTTTGGGTGCCAGTTTGCAGGTCACTCCGAGTGGTATGGTGAGCACTTACTCCTCCTTCCTTCGCTGTCGAGATAAAAGAGCGGGAGCAGGAGGATACCGTGTAGCAGAACCACAGTCAATCTTACTCTTTTTTCTCCTAACGTATATTGTAGGGTACAACACCTCTTGGGTATGAATATTCCGAAGAAACAATCATAACTGAAAACATCGCACTGGTCCCAATTCTCAGGTCAGGCCTGGGAATGGTACAAGGTTTGTCACCCATTGTTCAACTGCGCCAGCCTTTCAGAGCCTTCAGTCCGGTCGTTTGTTTGCCAATCCAATCTCCTAACTTCCCTCACCACCCAGCAATCCAAGATCTCCTCCCCTCACCTGTTGCGGTACACCATCTGGGACTATTCCGCGAACCAACCACCCTCCACCCGGTCGAATACTACAATAACCTTCCATTCAAGCCCCTTGCTGAAAACCCACAGAAAAACGCTGCCGCTGTTTCTCTTGCCATCATCGTTGATCCGATAATCGCGACAGGGGCCACTTGTGCGGCTGCGATCCAGACTTTGAAGGAATGGGGGGTCTCTAAGATATTGGTTCTTAGTGTGTTGGCGAGTGAATGTGGAGCAAAACGGGCAGCGGAGGAATGGCCGGAAGGGGTGGATGTTTGGCTGGGCGGTGTCGATCCGGGATTGGACGCAAAGGGGATGATAAAACCTGGTGTAGGTGACGTTGGCGATCGGCTGTTTTTAGCGTTGGGAAAATGAAGGCTTCCTATCTAGCCGTGGTCATCTTTGTTTCGGGAGTGAATGAATTAGTGGGAAGTGTGTTTAGGAAAAGGGGGGTAGGTGAATGAAGGAAAAGCAGATACGGCAAAATGTGAGTAATGCGTCCCAGGCTGTTCGATGGTTAATGAAGACGTACAAAATACCCGACATGTTTTGTTTGTGCTTTGTTTTAAATCAGATGGCGGAGTTCTTCCGTTGCAATTAACGAGTTCCATAGGGGCTGCCATTATGCTGTGTCGATTCAGGACGGGTCCAAATTCCGGTTTTATATTCTACATTTTAATATCACGTTTTCATATTTTTCTGATACAGATACAATTTTCACAATCTCTCCTATCCAGTATTCCTGAATATCTGATGCCAAAGTTTTGAGAAAGACATCAATATCTTTCAAGATCAACGGAATGGCTCACAAGCCCGTAACCCTACCGCATCTGCCTTCGGCATCGGAACAAATGCCGCGGGTTCTATTCTGACACTGACGAATGCATGGTTGTTAAGCTTTCAATAGACGTGATGAAGCGGACATTGAAGGCTTTTGTGATCAGCTTTGCAGTCAACAGTGGGGTGTATGTATCCCGAGCTCTTTCTCCACACAATCTAGCAGGAAATAATAACAGCGGCAACTACTTACAACCCGATTTTAATTTTCCCCTTTGTGCTCGCAACAAATTCTCTTCTCCACAGCACTCACCATTTCTCCAATGGTATCTGCGAAAGGAAACCCTTCGCCCTCATGTTGAGGAGGAGGTAACTCCCGCCAAGGTAGGGCTGACCGTAGCGGGTGCACTTTGGACAGTACAAAAGAAGGAGATACTCCTCCACAATCGAGGCGGATATGGCTGTACCAAGCCTTTACAAGAATATACTATGGATATCTCGCAACCACGCTGGCCGGGAGAGCGGAGGCAAGGAGCTGGACGCCGATACTACTAAGATATGAGGGTGCAGTGTGCAGGTGCGAATTACCATCACGTCCTTGACACACACTCACACGCACATATATATATATATGGATTGCAAGGCGAGATGGCGAATATAGAGAGCAGTTCCTAGAGTGACCTACCCGCATTCCGGCCCTCCACCATTCACCTCATCGCCAACCACTGCCAAAACAACATCTGACGGCGTATGCTGAGAAAAAGTGCCTCAAGGCACAGACGTCGACTTCACTGACCACGCCAGTCAGGAGTCAGCATAAGCGGGCAGCGGCGGATCGCCCCGGAACTCAGACACCACCTGAGGGTATCGACTCTTAGCTAGGGCCTGGGTGGCTTTGGCAGCAGGAAGACCCTTCAGCCGGACAGCATGTGAGTTCGGAATGCAATTTGCAATTTTATGCAGGCAGGGGTTCAGTGTTGTGGGATTCCTTGGTTGGGACCAATGAATTGTTGTGCTGGGGTTCCCTGGGGGAAAACAAATGGGAATGAGCAAGGCGTTCGTAGGAGAAACGGGGGGCACGAGGGGAGGGGGTGCAGGAAGCGTGATATTATCAAATTTGACTGTTCGTCAAGGATACCGGATGAATGGGCGAATGTGAAAACAAGGTGAACATTCATTGGTGCTAATAGAAAGTCATGATTTCAAGATTTCATGGTGTTCCTGATTGGTCTAGAGAAGCCCAACGTAAGGGACGGTCAGCACGATAGGAAGATATCTAGGGTAAAAGAAAGAAAGAAAAAAATCAAAAAGAGGCTGAAGACGAAATCTTTTTCCCAAATATCCGCGCGCGCCTGGCACTTGTCGTCCCAGCTGCTCGCGGAATGCGTATCGGCTCCACCTCACTCGTTTTCTTCCCTCCTCCCTCCTCTTAATAGTAATTGATTATGATTATTTCCCAGCCGCTTTTCCGTGGCTTCAAGCCCTGACTGTCCAGGTTCACGTCCATGTCAATGTCCCTGTCCCTTGCGCCAGGGCGCCCTCTTCATCGACAAAGAAAACCAGTGCTCGTTTGGCCGGGGTCCGCATTGTTTGTGTAAAAGGATTCAGTTGAAAGAAAGAAAGGAAGGAAGCAAGCAAGCAAGAAAGAAAGAGAGAAGGAGAGGAGGAAGAAGAGAATCATAAAACAAAAAACGCCCACGAAAAATGCCTCTCTCTTGGCTTTTTCTTCTTCATTTCCTTTACGGTTTTTTCCTGGCCGGACGAGCATATAGCACTCACAACCCTCTTCTCTATGGCAGGGATCCTATCCGTACAAACATTCGCTCTCGCAAATGCTCACCTGCAACCAAAGAGAGAGTATCTGGATACATCGACAGATGCCGTCTGGCGCGATATCAGAAAATGAAAGGCATACCTGTCTAAGGGACATTCATAACATAATACAGATAGATGGGTAGGGCTGACAGAAGCCGGGAGACCTTGCTGGCCACCGGCCATGGAAGAGGGATGCATCACTCGTGGATGGCTCCATCCATGGTGGAGACATTCGGAGTGCACGGCCGCCTTCTGGAAGACTGGAAGGCCCCGCCTAGAGCACAATCTGACACATCAAGAGATTGCGAATCCGGGGTATCGAGAGATTGCTTTCTTTTTTCTTCTTCTTTTCTTTTTTTAATCTCTTGTCCTGACCATATCTTGATTTAGCAAGGAAAATATGGTGTGCAAATTTCCGAAAGCGTATCGCACTGGAGGCCCCCGCGCACCCCCCCCATTCTTTTCCACAGGTCTCTTTTCCGCATAAGGAGTGCTAAGAGTTTCAAAGCTGAGTGAGACACACGACCGAAATGAATCAATGACCGGTTCCTCGTGTGACTGTCAGGTTGCGGGGTTCTCTGTGTTTATTGCACCGTGCCAACAATAAGCGATACAAGCCAGGAAGTTGGCGAGCTGGGACCGCGAGTTAGTGAGAGGTTGGCAAAGTGTCATAGTAGCTTACATGCATTTACGCCAACACCCATACGTATCATGGGATGAGCCTTGGGCCTCTGACCCCCATGCAGGTGAGAAAGTAGTTCTAGAAAAGCGCTAGTTGACAGCGACGAACAGTCATGGAAGATTCACTTTGCCAACCTCTATTCTCATTGGCCGTGGTTTGTTTTGTGCATCCACGTTCGGGGAAATTACAGAGTTAAGTATATAAGTATATTGATCTTATTATCTTATTATCATTATCACCAACCACATCTAAAAGGGAGCCATGCGCTATCATCTTTTAGTTTAGAGAGTTATGTCGCAAACTTGCCATGCTGTGTCCACAGGAGAATGAATATCTAGATTTACAATGTGGCGTTCATCCCCACTTATCTCAAACAGAGCGTATAGTAAGTTAAAGGACAACATCTCATGTAGGTCGTTGCGAATATTTTATTTGGCAAGTAGCAAAGCATCATCAAACTAAACAAAGTAAAATAGATGAATGTATATAAGCATCAGAAAAACGTTTCATCTTAAAGCAACCCTACAACAGTACGAGATGACCGACCCTCTATAATATCATATATCATATGCACAGAAACAAAGAAAGGGATAAATAAATGAAAATGAAAATGAAAAACAGTTCCCATTGGAGGGAGATTCCCGTACCAGTAGCGCGAAATGCCGACCAGCGGGCAATATTGTTACTGAGAAGCGGAAGGAGCACACAAAATAGAATATTATCCCCTATATCAAACGCAAAAAGCGTGGGTGAAAGGGACACGAGGCGGGTTGGTAGAAAGGCGTAGAAGTGGAGGTAAGAAGATGAGCAGTTTTGTATGGGCCGTGTAAAGCCTGTGAGAAGACAGGAGATGCAGAGCCACACGATAGGAGGGGAGCCTCCTCCATAACCTGCAGACCCACGTATACATATCGATATATATATAGATATAAGCGGTATGGACAGATGGTATCAATGACATCTCCTGCTTCCCCATCAACCGTCGTTCCGTTCCGGAAAGCGGTTGATCTGTCAAACAACATCAACGTCAACGCATGCTCACTCCCTAAGCAGTAGTAGCCTAGCAGGAAAGGAACGATCCGCCAGTGACAGATGTGCGATGGAGATAGACACCATTCTCCTTAAACATGACACTAACATGTGCCAGTGGTCGCAGACTATGTCCATTCCGTTGGCTGTCTGTTTCTGTCTGTTAAAATCATGGTACACCACTGGATCTGTTTGACGTCACCGTTTTTCCTGCTCCTAGGCCTATGGGGGGGTAGATTGCTAGCATTCCATGTCTATCATATATAGCCTATGAAGGGTGATAGCAAGATAAAATAGAGACGTCCAGAGACTCATGGGAACATTTATGCTAAAGCCAGGAAGACTGGTGAGTCACCTTCTCTTCTCCCCTTTCCCTCCTTTCCCCAAGGGCAGCAGGCGAGATGGCCAGTGGGGGGGAAGGATCCTACTTGGAGTTCCCATAGCATGAAACAGTGGAAGTATGGCAGCCACTGTGATTCGATGCGTGGATGTTGATGAACCAGTGCGTGGCATAGAACTGTCGAGTAGACGGCTGGCTACGACAACTGGGTTCTTTCAGCCATCCACTTGCCATTATTATGGCGTTTCTGGAGATAGAGAGAGAACAAGCATGGCCAAGCAATGGCCGGGGGAAGGGGGCGTCAGGGTGCGACGCCCTAGGGGCCTGGTAACATTCAGGTGGAGGCTACAGGAAGCCCGATTCCGAAAGCAATCTAGGCAAAAAAGACGAGAATATATAAGTCAGCAAAATATTCCGCCATATGAAAAATAGAAAATAAAAAAAAGCCAATTAAACTTAAAGGCTCGTCTGGAAACCAATGGTGAAAAGTAACATCGTAGGTATGTATGTGTATATATGCAGAAATACAAAACTTAGCGCCTGCTTTCTGGCGCCAACAACGTCACACGAAGGAAGGATACCATGGGGGGTGTGCTCCCAAAACGCAAGAGAAGACGAGTAGGCTCCCCTCCAATTCGTGCTTCCCGGTGCGTGCTTATCCAAATTGCGCAAAATAGAATAAGAGGCGCGATCTAGACTCCCTCTTATTCGCTCATTTTATCTTCTTTCGTTTGAGAGGCGAGGCAGGGTTACAAGTTTCTGACATTGCCTAGCGTGCTTTTTCTTGGGAGGAGGGGGGATCAAAGCCCTCTCCCCACTTAACACAGTTGCATGGCTTCGCTTGTGGTCGGCTGGGATTGCTGCACTAGCGCACGTGCCAACTAGCCACCAAAACCAATATCTCCGCCCACAATCATGGGCCAAGGCTGAACCTAAAAGCGACAACTAAAAGCGCAAAGGGGAAATGATGCAATGTGACCATGACAGGGATCTTGGGAGAGTAAGAAATCTGGGGATTGTGGGAGGAGGGCTTAGAACGGGTCGTGAGATGAGAAGAACAAAATGCCCAACAGGGAGAAAAAAGAAGCAAAAACATATCATGATCATAATTCAAGTAGAAATCATCAGTGCAAAAACAGAAGCGTCATTCATTCGTCCATACCTCGCTATTTTCTCATCTTCGCGTTCTCTGGGCTCAACCTCAAGACTGCGATCGTACATTTCGTGCACATCACCGGCCGCTTGCATATTGCTAAGTACGTAGTCCTGCAGCTCCGGCACGGGGTGGAACGGGTACGGCGCATTTTGATACTGCTGAATGTCGCGGATCACCTCAGCCGTCTTGGCTCGCTTGTTGAAGTTGATCAGATGCGATTGAGTTAGTGATGGGATTCCATCCTCGATAAACGTAAGATCCGTTAGATAAACGCCTAAGTCATTGGTTGTTAACCGAAAAGATGCTCCAAAGACAAAGTTTATCGCACAAACTAGGGAGGGGAGGAATAAAGTTTACCGAAGAAGGGAATACAGGGAGGGTTAGCAAGATGTAGTGCTTCGCGATATTCGCCAAAATTTTTCGTGCTAGCCATAAGCCGCCGCATATTCTCAAGCACTGCTAATATTCGGGCGCTAACTTGGGCCCATGTTCGATTCAGTCTGTGGACAGGTGCTGTACCCAAAGCTGATATTATCGATGTTAGCGTGGAGTAGTTGTTCATTGCACGACATCGCTAGAGTTAGTTGATTAATGTCAGTTCCCATCACAAATAATGTTAAAATAACCGTTCCGCAGACAAGGCATGACGTGAAAAAAGTAGGTCATACCTCTGCAATCAAGACAAAGTGCTTAATGACAACTACTCTCCGCTTCACATCCTGCTGATGCAGTATCATCTCCGCGACCCAATTAGTCAACTGATTCGAATGAAGAATCAGTGCCTTCACATTGGCTGCTGGATCAGGCTCATCGGGGGCAAGTTTCTTCTGCCATGTCTTGTTAAGGCATTCCGTAGGTTTGATCCGGGCGTAGAGCCGGGATTCAATAATAGTAAGCTGCCTCGCGAATTCCATTGGATCAATGTCCAGGAACTTCAGCTTCTTCAGGTTCTTGGGGAGAATCGGTGGTGGTGCGTTGCCGCTTATGGTAGGAACAAGTCGTTTCGCGGAGGTATCTTGGCCACGCATACGCTGATCGATCAAGCTCAACAACTGCTGGGAGCCAGGAGTCTTTGCCTTGCCAATCGAATCTTTGACGAATGCGTATACCCGCTGCAGGAGGCGCATGTTCGCATCATCGTTGGGCTCCATCCAGTAATTCTCAAACCAATTTTTCATGATATTAACAACTCGAATCCGGATTGGGATCTGCTTTTGTTCGGTCCAAGTTTGTAAATCTGTTTTGTCCAATCCGTAAGGTGGCTGTAAAGTGAAGCGATGCACAAGCATCTCGAATAACTCAGATGCGGTTGTAAAGGAACGGTATGTGAGCAGGAACGTGGAGTTGAAGGACGTGTCAAGTTTGTCATGGCGCGTGAGATGTTCCACCAGGCCAGCAAGCGTACCACACTTGAGCGTCGGTACTTCTCCTTTGTTGTCGTAGAAAACTTCCGATTCGTGGTCAATGTTCAAATACCATTGCATTGCTGGTTCTGTTGGGATGGTATCACCAAAAAAACGCTGCGCTTTATCGATATTTGCTCGACTCTTTACGGGTTGCCTATCAGCTGGAGGATAAGCCGAGGGCTTTCCTATCGACCCCGACGGAACTTTTGACAAGCTAGCACCACCAATGTCTCGAGCTGGAGGCGCTTCTGAAGGAGCTTGCTCAAGGAGTAGCGTGAGAGAAAACCCGATTTGGGCTACATAATTCTGTAGTTGACGCGTAACCGACCTTACACCGGCCAGTCGGGTTTCGAGGGTATCGCCTCTCATTTCTGCCCATTCATCACCCAAAGGGGCGGAAACAGCCTGGCAACTCAGGACTAAGTCAGCGATACCATCATATGCGCGTTGTTTTTGAAGGCTGTAGTCGACTAGTTGTGGATTCTGAGAACCGCGTTCCAGTGGAGAAAGATCAATAGATTCCACAAGTGACATCCACGGTTGAAAGCATTCGACCACTCTAGAGCAAGCAGCGCAGACCGTATCTGCGATCGCCAGGTGTATTCTGGGGGTTATAGTCTTCTCCGACAGAGACAGATTCTCTTCCAATCTTCGTGTGCTAGCTGCAAGCATATCCTTCAGGTTTTCAATTCGATCAACGATGTTCGAATTGAGTACCACAGTTGGCTCGAGTCCCGGGTCTTGATTTTCGTAGTCTAAAAATGTAGTTGGATTTCGAATTCCCACGTTGTTGTTCTGCCAGTGGCCGCCAGATGAGCTTCCCTGGACAAAGCCAGGAACTAGACGACTAATGTCGTCGCCTCGTTGTTGTTTTGCAACTTCGACATAACCATAGACGCCATGCAAAACACCTTCAGCCTCCTGCAAGCACTTGGCATCCGAATCTGGGCCCCGCCAGTCAGCTGCAGCAATATGGGACGAAAGGACAAGTTTCGAGAATTTGGACATCATATCGCGGAAATGCGGATACAATGCTTTATTCGTTGAGATTATAGAAGGATTGCCAGAGTGATTATCAGTAGTGTCCGAGCCTGCAGCGAGCAGCATCCTGAGATGATCAGAAATATCTTCAGCCCGTCTTACGTATTGTTCGCGATGGCCTTCCATTATCGCACGCCTGTAGGCATCGATTGCTTGGCGCATATTCCCAACAAGCTTATTCCAAGTAAGGGGAGTAGACGAGCCGTCATCGAGGAAAAGACGAGGAATAGTGGACAAGATAGACTGGGCAGAAAGTCTCTCGTTCTGAGCGGGCTGAGCATTCGCAGCAGAAGAGAGCACGCCACTATTTGAAGGCAGCTGGCTGCTGCTGCTAGGAGGCGACTGGTGAGGGTGTTTAGACTCAGAATATGATTTTACTATGGGCGACGCATTTATCGAGTCTAGCGAGGTAGCAGGGGAAACACCGTCCGAAATAAAGGACCGTCGACGTCGTGACTCAGAATCGTGTGAAGAACGTATTAAGGATTCGCCTTCAGCCTCCGATCCCGAGCCATCGTAATCATCCTCATCACGATCGATCCCCCCAACCATCAACTCTGGCGGGGGCCGAGTCTGTTCAGGAACAAATATATTTGTTCTATCGCGTGGGCCAGTTTCTGTAGCGGACATGGGTGACTCTAGCGGGAGTTCCGCCGTGCTTCGACCGGTCAAGGTGTTGAAGTAGAATAGCCGTCCATCAGCTGTGGCCTGGGGAATCCAGAAGGCTGCTTCTTCATGTTCTGAGCCTCTTGTTCCTTCGATGGGGAGGATTGACCGTTCGTCTTTGGGGTTTCCTTCCGAGTCCAGATCATCGTCGTCGTCGTAGTCGTCAGCGCCGGATTCCGCGCTGATGTCAGCGCCTTCATGGCCAAAGTGGCCACCACCCAATCCTATCGAATCCGGGTCTGTTACAACTGCGCAGTAGTTGCTCGGGAACCAGCCGCGCACGTCCCCCATGACGCCATCCCACCATCCAGTATCCAGCTGGTTAAGGACCTGTATAATGTCGCCTTGACGGAAACTGAGACTCGTGTGGTCATCAGCAGTATAGTTATAGAGAGCACGAACGTATAAAGCAGGCGGAGATTCCACTGGAGAGTTATATACTATTTTATTTGTTTTCCTTGTCAACAAGAACCGCGGATTATAGAAGGAATAAAAGGGACTTATGCAGGTTTAAAAACAAAGAGGAACTTGGGAAGAAAAAGCAAAGCATTACCTTCTTCAGTTACCCTGTTATTATTCATACCGTATCCATCGTTTCCATGATGTCGTGCCATGTCTGCGTGATAGGAGTGGTTGTTGGTGGAGTGGTATTGTGAGTTGTCGTTGGATGACAAAGCTTCGTCTTCAGTGTAGTGGAAAGCAGCGGCAAAGGTGCCGGGTTTCGCATTCAAAACGGACTTTGAGTTGACCGTGAGCGGGACAGCAGATCGAGAAGAGTACATGGCTTGGCTAATTTTCCCAGGGGAGAGAGAGGAATAGGAGGATCGAGGAAAGGTTAAGGTCAGAGAAAGGAGCTGTGAGTATTTCTATCGCATCGTCGTGAAGGGTCGGTTATTTTGGTTGTTTCGATGTTGACAGGTTTATTATCGGTTGATAAAGAAGGTTAAGGGGGGAGGGGGGAATAGGCGGTTTCAAGCGTGCTGGTTATTTCCTCGTGATTTCTCCTCCTTTTTTTTCCCCTTTCTCTGGTTGTATGAAGTTTATTTGCCGTCCCTCTCAGTTCGATTGGGGGAATGGTTCGAGAGCAATCGAAGGTCGGACAGTGGTTCGCAGATAGAATGGTATTACCAGTCACAGAACGCACTACTGCGAACACAGACAGGAGGCACGAGTAGAACCACCCACGCCAGGCGATTAAATGGTCCAACCAGGACAGAGAGAGAGAGCGAACGGGGTGGAGAAAAAAGAACACTAAGGAAGAGGCGAAAACACCGAAAAATGGAAGAGGGTTGGTTTGAAAGACAAGGTTGGAGTTTGGGCCGGGAGGAATAGCAATAGTAAAGGGAATGAATGGTCCTTCGAGCGCTCGTTATATTCGACAGAACTGTACGACGGATGGGCAGCGAAAAGGAGTGGGGTTGAAAGAGGAGTCAGCGTGGGTCGAGCGAGAAAGGGAGCAAGGCGACGGATGGGGACGACAGAATCCAGGGCCGAGATAGAAACACACGAAGGAGGAAAAACGGCTGGCAAATGGGCGGAGGATGAGAGGAGAGTGTGTGTGAGCATGAGAGAGAAGTGAGGGTGAGGGTCAGAGTGAGGGTGAGGGTGAGAAGCGAGGAGGTGAGAAGGAGGGTGAGGTGAGCGAGGGTGAGAACGAACACTCAGGCGGCTTCAATGGTCAGCCGAAGGAAATTTGGTTAGGCAGCGCAGGGAGCCAAGGGCGGAGAGAATGGGGCTGGATTGGGGGAGGACGCAGGGAGCTGTGTGCCACGGCAGATCTGTCGCAGCTATCGTCTTCTGCCACTGCTGCTGCTGCTTCTTCTTCTTTGACGAAGGATAGCCGACTGTCCGTCTTGTTATTGATTTATTATTTTCACTATTGCCGTAGAAAGAGAATGCGTGGAATCTAAACTGTGGATGTGAAGATTGGAACTTTAGTGTCAGCTTCTGAGCGAGAGGACTTCTGTGCTCTGTACTCCGTACTTCATGGTATGTTGTACCGTACAATACACGAACCAGCTTATTTTACAGGAGTGGTGTCCGGATTATCTCAACTGTGAAAATGGCCGACAGAGCCAGGCTTGGTACTTTTCCTGGTACTTCATAGTCCCGTATACAGATCTATCTATCTATCTACATATATATACAGGCTGTGCTTGATCTTGGGCTGCAAATGGGCATTCAAATCGGCCTTGACCTTTCACCACGAAGCCCGTGCTGGAGCAACCCAGGCCCCCGTAGGCCTGAGCTAGCCGGCGTTCCACTGCAAACAGATCCACTGGTGGGAGTGGATTGGCCTTCTCATTTTCTGTTTCCCGGGAGTATTTATTCTACGAGGAGAGGATCCAGCTAGAGCAACACAATAATAGTGAACAGTAGTAGCAAAGTCCACGGGTGGCAGTTGATCCTACGGATAAGGACGTCGTCGAGACAGAGAATTCAAACAAGACCAGTGATACTGACTTACTTCCCAGCAGCAATAATTGAAATCAAATATCGAACCATCGAATCCTACTAGTAGTTGTACGCAATATTGGATTGAGATTGGTTAACCTCATTCGAACAAAGTTGAGTAACTCTAAATCCATGCCTCCTGCAAACGGGCAACCAGCGTTTTATCGGGAAGCAGGATTCTCCTCGTTTTCCTCTTTTTCATATCTCTGGCAGACAAAGCCCAGGCTGGCTATGGATGACAACCCACACTTCTTCCCTGAGCGAGCGACGGACAATTCTACATCCTAACCAATCAGGGTCTTGTTCCATGGCGTTTTCGGCTGCCAGGCATCCCCTAGTTATCCCAATCCTCGCCGCAGATATCTCTCCCCCCAAGCCCACCCTAAACAGACTGTTTCTTTTTATCTCTATCCGCAATACAATGGTGTCCCCATACGAGCCATATCTTTTTCCCCCACAACACGGATTTGTCACTTGGCATGGGGTGGACCCAGAGTGTCGTTTGCTGGGATAATCACAACTCTCCAGCTCTCCCGATGTTGAGGAGGATGACTTGCTTCCACACAAACATTCTGCTTGGGGGAAGTCTCATTTTGCTCCAAGTCAGATAACAAACCGACTCGAATCTGGATTTTGCGCGTTTCTTCGCGGTATATTCAATATAAACAGAGGCATTTTTTGAGACTCATCGCTGCAAGACTCGCAGATCTGAAGAGTGAGAAACTAAATGTCTAATCACGGTCTTGAGTTGAGTCTGCTCGAGAGCAGTTAGGAGAACATACATATTCACAAACTGGTACATATATATATACATGTACATCAAGAGTGTGTGATGTTGTATGGACTACCTCCATGCCCATGACAAGAACTTGAGGATGTAAATATCTCCTACACAGGTTTTTCATAGTCGTCTCTAAATGACTCCTTCTCTGCGAGAACATGCATGCATGGAACACAACACATTCATGGCCGGCGACACCTTCCCCCCGTCTGCAATTTATAGAAACTGGAAAGTAGCGCGGATGCATACATACATACATACATACATACATACATACATACATACATAAGTTACACACTTTACATACTTACCACAGCCTCCGGGACTGAATTGGATTCAACTTTGGGGGGGGGAACGGGGTGCCCGCTTGGGCTTTATGTATGAAACATACGCATACAGGAATGAAGCCCAATATGTTTGGAATGCCATTCATTGACTATGGAGTTGAGATAGGTTCCTACCGGTTCGTGGGAAGCGTATTTTGTTGGGCATAAAGGGGCCCCGGGTTTGAGACTCTACTACACGGCGTATATAGATAGAATTATAGATGACGAGCTGCTGGCTGGTATTACTCTGTGGGTGTAGTACACCACATGGATGTATCTTGTACTGTAGTTAGATGTACCACACCAGTTGTCGTGTTTTCGAGGCTGGAGATTCAGGGGCTCCGGATTACCAAAAGAAAGAAAGAAAAAAAAAAAAAAAAAAAGCACATCGCTCTCGAGAGTCAGCACTTGACATTTAATGTTTGTAAATCCTGACTAAACGAACATGGAGAAGTTTGTAATATCCATACAATAGTTACAGATAGCAAATCCGATTGGAAGTCAGAGCAAAATAAAATAAAATAAAATAAAATAAAATAAATAACAAAATGATCAGGAAAATTAATAACTATCGCATGGACACGAAACATGCCCACGCAGGCCCTGTTTCAACTTTATCCTCTCTCTCTCTCTTATATGTAAGTCGTCGATCCCGAACTCCCGCCCCTGCATTTGACCTTCATGTCGAGTTGAGGAACCACAGAGAGCGCCCATACAGATACCTCCCGCTGTCCCATCCCACACCCAGCTTAGCCGGACTGGTCGCCCGATCCCTGATCCTGGGAGTATTCAGTACGCAGCGCAGTGTCAATCAATACTACATACATAACATACCAGCCTTCATGGTCAAGATGGCTCGCAAGGCTGAAAACAACAACCACGCTGTCTAAAACCTGCGCTTTTTTTTTATCTGTTTTGGTTCATATGCGTCTCCTTCATTTTGTCTGTGGGCCTCTTTTGGTCTTGTCATAGACTATACAGGAGTTTGAAAAGCTATCTATGCAGTATAGATCTGTGCAAATCTGGCTATTGATGCTGGTCAGGATGTTAGTAGTCCGACTCTACCGGAAGTCATGACTGCCAATGGGGGCGATGTTGACAGGGCTCGGGGGGATGCGGGGGGAGAGAGAGCTGATTAGGGCGATTGGTTAGGGGGGATTTAGTGCAGTGTCTCTGACCTCTCCTGTTAGCAGAAATCAACTGCCGATGAGCCTGTTCGTTCTTTGAGGCTTCGATGAAGCAAAATGGCCAATGAATGGAATGCTTGATCTGCAGAGTAAGCAACACCCCACAATCCCTCCCCTGGCAACGGGATTGGAATACGCTAGAAGTTCCTGCGTAGAACCTGCAGATGCGAAGAGAAGGGGGAAATCCTCTTCTTCCTTGCTCTGGCTGGGTCGTTTTATTCGTTGTGCTCGGTATGAACGCCGACGTACAGTGCGTGGTTAGCTTAATATTACATGGGTCGTTCCGTTGCTCCAAGGCTTGATAGAACTGATATCAACAGGCTCCTGTGACGGGTAAGCTATTTGATATCGCCCTCCACACATGGATGCTGTGAACTTTACGGGGTGCATGCATATACGGCACTTCAATCGAACCGCATGGCGGCGGTTATCCACGTTTTATTCACCCCGTATCATCCACCAAGTCTTGCCCGCGCCCTCCTGTGCGTGTATCGAGTTGCCATCTTCCTTCATTCTCAATTTCTCAATCGCTCCATTTCAATGGCCCCTCTCAAAAATGTTCATGTACTGGGCATAAATTTTCCACGATTTATCTCCTTCACCTCATGTTGGCTTCGGCAGGGTTGAATGTAACGTCTCTCTGCACCCGTGCTGGCAACTGCCAATATGGTAATTAGCAGCAGCCTACGGAGCATTGACGCAGCATGTCCATCGGCATCCCTGAACCATGAATCGTGAACCATGCCCCATGGACGTTGGGTCGCCGAGTGTCGACCTCGCTAAAACAGCCGCCTCTTCCAGTTCCTGAATAATGGTAGCGGTCGAGCGGCTGGCTGGGGTAATCCTGCTCATCCCACCTAGCACTTCGGACCTATGACTCTGGAGTGAAGTCAAACGTAGCGGATCTGCGAGCGCCCAGAGCAAGAGTTAGGTGCCACCCCACCAATTGCATGTGGTAGATGAGATGGCTTGGTCTGGCACACCTGTGAAGTTTCCGATTTCGCTGATAGTCGTTTTTGTTTTTCTTTTATTTTATTTCCCCCCCCCCCTTCTCCCCTGGAGGGGAAAGCAGGATTTTAGTACAAAAATGGAACGAGAGGAAGTGGATTTCTGCGTGCTTGCAGGGATGGGCCCCTGTGGCTTTGGAAGGGAACAGATGAAAGCATTCAAAAATCCAAGAGTTAGTTAATGTTATTTTCCCTGTACATAATCAGCCATTGTGCGTGGGATATCTGGTAAACCGATTGACTAGGCATTGGTTCATCAGAACCCTCTACGTGTAGTGCCAAATTCGCCATAGTTCAAGCTCTCACAAACAGATCCATATAATACTGCAGCGGCGTCTACCGCATGCATGCTCGCGTGGCTTCAAGGAAAATAGGCCCAAAAAAATCAAAGCATTGAAGTCCAGCGGTGCTCGAGGTCTTTATGATATTCCTACCTATGAGGGAATTTCAAGGGTTCTTTCGTGTTGGCAAGCGGCCCTCCCGGACCTCATGGGCAGCATTGAACTTGTCTCTTGGGACTTTTCTGTTGTAATTATCGGCTGAGGGGGAGAGAAATCCAAACCAATCCCTGCCTTTTCAAGATTTCTCATTCGTTGCTTGCTGATGATGCATCTGCAGGTGTTCCGCGATGTGACGTGATTCAGAGCAGACGGCCCTGGAAAGAGGACATTTGGACCAGAAAGATGGAGTAAGCGAGTGAATTGGATATTTGTGGACATTTGTGGACGTAGGGAAACCTTTTTCTTATTTTCTCTGTCCAGTCTCAAGCTGGAGAGTCGCATGAACAAAAAATGGAAAGAAAATGAATAATGAATGCTGATACTTTTTTGCTTTTTTCTGCTCAAGATCTCATTGGTCCAACCTAATCTGTCTCATTAGACCTTCCAGAAGGTCGTTGTAGCATCGGGCTTCTTCTCTCTCCGCCCCCACAACCACCCCCCTGGCCCCCTTACTGATAAGTGCTCATTATTATCCCGGGCGGAGTGGGTGGTCAGCGTTACTTCCAGAAAATTCTAGGAGGGGAGGCGAAGGGGAAACCTTGAGCAATACCTGGGTTCTGAATCTCCATTGATATTATCACCTGCTCGTATTCAGCTATGTACCGGCTAACAATCTCCACGAAGATATGCAGGTAGAGACTGTGGAAATACTTTGTTTGCTTTGTCTCTATTAAGGGCGATGTTCTGACGACGGAAGCAGCTGAATGAAAGGGAGCCACAGTGCACTGGCTAATATTTCAACCCTGGGTTCTCCCGTGTACGAAGTATATCGGCTGGAAATATTCCACAGCCATGAGATAACCTGGCATGAATAATATCTCCAGACTGAAAGACGCGACATAACTTCGAGTTAGGCTGGGTTAAATTCGACTGGCATCACGGTGCAGGGGCAGATTTCCGCTCACGCCGCTCCGCCCTCCTCCCTTCTAGCGGAGGAAAATCCAATCCGCCAGCAGCCTTCCCATAATGAATCAGAAACCACCTCCAGGCACTTGCCATGTCAATGGCCATGCTAACGAGTTCGCAGCGTTCAATTCTTTCGAGTCTATAGCAGTTCTAGCGTCCAAGGCATTATTAATTAAAGGTTATATAGCTATATCAAATTTACCTACAACACAGGACCTGAATGGGGCATTTATCCTGTGAATAATCCCTGCTACAAGGACACATATATCGCTCCTGTGCTAGATATAGGGATATATGGCCGCATCGTTGCCCTCTCCTTTTATTGCCGCACTGATGACGAGCAATACTTCTGATATGGCCCATGATGTCATGTAAAAAATTTAGATATCGCCTTCCAAGTCAGGTAAGTGTATGGCGCAGAAGAACTTACATCCTGGATGGGATCCCGACCTGTAACTATTGATTGTATCATCAGCACAGGCGCCATATTGAAAAAGATCAAGCTGTTTGAAAATATGTTTTAACCCCATATCAACCAACTAAACTCACGTCGGTCAACAGTGGCTAATTCGTCGGGAAAGAAGGGCCTATCAAGAAGGCCACAGGTGGCTATTCCTTAACATAAAGGACTCCTATCACACCAAAAACTGCCCCTGATTGATTTTCGCCTTGAGCGCAAGCCGCGAGATTCTAGCATTCCTCACAGGCAATCCCGAAGATACTCGATGATTAACAACCACTGCTTACCTTCCATAACTATTTCACATCAAGCAGGCTGTTGGTTCTGCACCAGAATGCCACACACGCGATGTTTTCTGTTGAGTTCTGATTATTCCAAAATTAGACGCCCCGGAACTGATAGAAAGACCCCTGAAACCAATACTGGAGACTTCGCTTTTACTATTTATCTGAACATTGACGGAAACGGAGTGCTCGAGCATCTCTAACCTAAAAATGGCGTCCCAGTTGCGCTGGGGGGTGTGTGTCTGGGAATATCATGAGTTAGATACAGACTGGAAGCTGGAAGATCTCATGGCGGTGGTGGAGAATTATGACATCGCAAAAGAAATTCTCAAATTCAAAGACAAACCATGCGATTTTCGCCCTTGGCGGGATTTTCCGGTATCATATCGAGCTGCATAATTTCCTCAGCCGCGTGCCACTGAGTTCCCTGGCCTACCGCCTTTCTCGTTCCCAAAACTTGACAATGTGGACATATGCCAATTGCTTGGTCAATTATTTCACACATCTTTGGACGAGGCCGCGAGGGGTAATTAATGATGGTTTCATTTGCGGTGGGCAGGATGAGCGGCAGTTTCCAGCCCTAGTCGCCAGAGCTCAGAACGGGGACTCTTATCCAGCAATTTCTGTCCAGGAATCTCAACAATTTCCTAACATGGGAAATGTTGCGCTATCTCCTATTCTCACTCCGCTATATCCTCCACATAGAACCCCAAGCTCACCTCCTGCAGCAGGCTGGTTTCTTTCTCCTCGTCGCCGCTCAAGGCTAGGTGGTTATTTAAACCCTTCCTTCCAGAGTGAGATCGATGCAATTGTTGAAGAAACAATTTTGGATTCTAATGGATGTTGGCTTTGCTTTTAGCGAAATCGAAAATATGTTGCTAACAAACAAGGAGTTCTGAGTGCGACAAATGGCGGATCATGACACCCATTCAACCAGGCGCAATAGATTTCGCAGTGTGCAAGCGTAGAGTGATCACCCCTGTTATTGGTTCCTCAAAGTCTGTACACACGATTTTGGAAGCCCCTTGTGAGACGGATATATAGATGTATAGGGGAACGAATAAGCAATGGACTATCTCAAACGTGAAATCAGTGACTCGTCCGTGTTGAGGACCTGGATATGCTTCCAAGCTGTGAAGCATTCTTTCACAGGGGTATTTATTGAACCCCCCTTCAAAGAAAGGATACTGGCTGGTTGGATAGAGGTAGTTCCGAGGAAACAAAGACTGAAACACCGAAGGGCGTGAAATCGGCAGGGAACATGGGGGCAAACACGACTATTCCATGCAATTGGATATGGATGCCTTACGCTGTAAATGACACAATTATGCTGATTGTCGAAGATATTTCGCAGTCAGTCAGCGTATCGCTGGAGGGTGGTCTTAGGCAACGAAACCTGGCAACCCAGTCTGCACTGTGTCAATGGTCCGATAAAGATTATCAAACCTCTCAGAGCCGGGTATATTCCCCACCCTCGCATGGATCCCGGTTTTCTCGAAATGCTCAGACTGCTAAATTCGCATGAGCTTTCTCATCTCTGCGATTCTTTCTGTCCGCAACCGAAATTCGTATTTCGTAGAGACGCAACACCTGTCGGCATTCACCCTTCCGCCCTCCGGCCCACCAGCTATCGACGGTGTTTAATCCGCTCTTCCCGTCTGTGTGAAGATATATATCTATCCACTTCAGAATCCCTTCTTGCCAAAACTGGCAATTCTCGAACATGCCTTCAACCGCCGGGCTGAACGTAGCCATCTACGAGGATCGCGGCATATACAAGCACTGGCTCCTCTTCATCGACGGGCCCACGGAGGCGGAAAAGTTCATTCTTCAGACCATGAGCTGCTCGGGCAACTACCGATTTGAGCTGGAAAACCTAGACGCTCATAAACTGCTGAACCTCTCGGAAATGGTCCATCTGTGCGACGTGGATACATCAGAGATCAGGGCCATTACGGACGTGGCCAGGGCTGCGGTTGTGCATAATAAATATCCCGGATATAAATGCCAGGACTACGTTCTTGATCTCCTGGACGGCTTGGAGGAGAAAAATATTATCGATGGTGATGACGCGGGTTATAAGAAAAGCAAGGAGGTTGTCAAAAGCAAGCAGGAAGGGTTGGCATGGATGAATGGGAGGCGGCGGCCGGTGGCTGGTGGAACATGATAAATGTTTTTTCCCGTTCGTTGTGTTTGTATGATTGATGATATATGTATGGTTGATGGATCGCTGACCGACCACCCTACACCCCATATTTTTTCGTTGTTCTGTTTAGTTGTTTCGTCCCTTTGCACTTAACATATAACAGTGCCCATTGTAATTTTCCTCCAGTTGCCTTGGTTATTCCCGTTTTGATGCTGCATCATTGTTTGATATTCGCGATATTACATAGATAGAACATATGACCAGCCTGTATAGCCAGCCCTAACAAATAGCTTCGGGGGGCAGCCATGAGAAATCTCAACCCACAGAGATCTCATGGAAGTTCTTCTCTTGCAATTTCTTCTATTCCGCAGCTTGATCTACCTTCCTTGATGCCAACATTTTTATCTCGAGGGCCCTGATCACTTCTGTGCATGAATAACCTCAAATGCGATTGACAAGAGAACTAAGGGGGATGGATGAATTAAATAAAGATAACCGTTGAGACATTTGATTTGTATTTTTCTATAGTAATAATATCCAGTGCACAGGTGTTATTGGCAACCTAGCATTTTGTTTTCTTTGGCTGTAGCTTGAGACGGGTTGCTTTTCATTCATTCTCTCTCTCTCTCTCTCTCTCTCTCTCTCTACCCCTCTCTCTACCCCTCTTCCCCTCTTCCCCTTCTTCAGTGGTTCACCCGTTCATTCAATTTTCTCAAAGAAACATCCCATGGATGAAAACCGTGACCGAATCAATTCTCGTGCATGAGATCATCTGTAACTGCACTGCATCCACTCTCTCAGTGGAGGTGTTATTGATAAAATATCCTGCGCCGTCGCGAGCCGTCTCAAATGTGGGGAACAAATTCAATCAATCAACAAAGAGAGGGGGAGAGAGCGAGAGATGGAAGTGAAAGGAAAAACATAAAATAAATAACTAAACCCTTCCCCCTTACCTACCTTCTCCCTCAAGCATTCTTCCAACCCAGTGATCGAAAAATCAACAATCGGCGAAAAAAAAAAATTTTTAAAAAAATAAAATATATAAAAAAGGGCCCAGAACCCAGGTAGTCAGTCAGACTGAACGGAATACGCTGCACAGAGGAACGCGGGAACAAGAACGAGTTCGGTTTCGGGGAACTTGTTCCTGAATCCCTTTTTTTTTCTCCTTTCGCAGTTTGCGTACAAAGTAAGTTAGTTAGTTCTGCGAAGTTAGTCCAGGTTTAGCTCAGGTGGCTTCAGGGTTAGTTTGGTTAGGTTAGCTTTGGTGTTGTAACCGTTAACTGGTATCATGGGAGAGAACAACCAGGCGGTGGAAGAGGCTGGACTGGTGGGCTGGAGGGGTGCGTTGGAGGGGTGTGCGGGTTGATGATTCTTCCGTGTTCTGGGGGGATTGATTGTTTCTTCCAAAAAAAAAAAAATAGAAAAGAAAAAAGAAAAGAAAAGAAAAAATTTATTTTCTTTCCCTTTGTTTCTTGACCTTGGCGATTGAATGACGGCCGTCCAAGAAGAATGTGATAGTTGGATTTACATGACATGAGGATTAAAGGTAAAATAAAATATGAGGAAAAGCAAAACGGTTGAGGCAAAATGGGAGATCTAGAATCTTGGATGCACTTCTTACTATTCACCGTGAATAGTTCACATTAATTAATTATTGCCCCATTGGGCGGTCATCACATCAATCCCGACGCCCACCAGCAAGTTATCGTGATTAAAGAAGACCCACATCGCGAGCCGTATTTGACAAAATCTCATTGGAAAATCAAGATGAACGACGCCCCCGATCTTCGTTCATCTCCTGCGTATGTCCTCTGTGCAGGACAACCCTCATTCTCTCATCTGCCCCGCCATCTCCTCTGCAGTTGCCACAAAAATATCGAATTCGATCTCCCTTGCCCACTTCAAAAAAAAAAGAAAAGAAAAGAAAAATCTCATCTATTATTTCAATCAGGGGGGACACATACCCGAGCACCTATACCCCCCCAGGCAATATCAATAGTTACAATCTTTAGTTAACTATAACTAACAATGGCTATAACTATCATCACCACATCACCATAACCATTAAAAATCAGCTCCTCCCCTTCCCTCTCCAAGAATAAACCCGCAACCAACCCCTGCGTCACACAAGGCGGTGAGAACTCCCCGGGCTCGGCATCCATCCTGCCAGCAAGCCTGAACGACTACTACTACATGGTAGTTGTGGTCATCTGGAGACTGTAGTCGATTTTCAACCTGCGTTGTTCAACTCCACACGCAGTCGTCCGAACTAGTACTCCGTAGTTTTTGCTGGTGATGATGTGTTCAACGCGCCGCCCCTCCCCCCACAAAAAAACCGGCAAGAAGTCGAGTCGTCGTCGATAAAAACAGGAGCTTTCTTTAGCTGTTCTTATTTTTGATTTGATTTGATTTTTACTTTTTTTTTTTTCGGTGTGTGTGTGTGCGCGTGTGTGCAAGCAAGGAGCTTATGACTTAGCTAGCGGCATGCAGTCATGAATTGGGCCCGCTTGTTCAGGCACCGGGTCTGACTCCGGTCCGATTTGACTGGGTTTAAACGTGTTGATCGGTTCTTTTTTTTTTTTACCTTTTTTTTCTCGTTTCGTGAAAGTGTTCGGCACGTTGGTTGGAAGAGGGGTATCACTGTTATTGTTATCATTGTTACTCGTTTCAGGTTTTTGTTAGTTTGATGGGATTTAAGAGCATTGATAAATAAGTATACCCCTGTGTACGGAGAGGTTTTCTTGTAAAAAAAAAAATACTTGAATAAATAAAACAAGTGGATAAGTGGGCCAGTGTTTTTGCAGGGGTTCCTCCCTGGCTCGGCACGCGGGCGGGAGGGAAGGGAAGGGAAGGGAAGGGAAGGGAGTAGCCGGAGAGAAAGTTAGTTAAGTTCAAGGACGAACAGACAGACGGACCATGTCGTG